ATTCACCCCCAATTATGACAGTTACAACCTCATCCGCCATTATATGTCTATTACAGCATTGTGGGGTCTCCAGAAAACAGAGATTAAAATCTCCGCGGCCTCGCAACTATCGGGCGACAGAAGAAACGTTTTTTGGTTCCCAAAAACAGTAAAGGTGAAAGTTGCATGGACAGTTCTCCTTATCATCTCCATTAGTCGGTTCCTACATAGTTAGTGGCAGTAAACAAAGTAAAAAGAGTGAAGTTTGTATTCCGCGCGCTGAACGATCGAAGCAAAGAATACTAAGGGTCTGATTACACCTTACAAGGCATAAAAATTTTAAATCGAGATCTTTCTTTGCCCTTTGTGCCTAAAGTATGACATGTCTTCTTCAACAACTTAAAAATTAAACGCTCTCCTTATTTTTATAAATGACGCTTTCTCATTTACAATGTCCACGATTTATGCCGTAATTTTCGTCAAAAAAAGGGCATTTTGCGAAATTTTTTGCAATTTTGCATTTTTTATGCCGTAAATTCCGTGCCTCAGGCATAGTAAAAAATCCCATTCACGAAAATGATGTTGCGCTTTAGCCAACTTTACTGTAATCTCTTCGCATCCATTTCAGGCTTTTAAACCTTGTTAAAAGTGCAGTTAAGTGCTTTAAATTGTTAAAAGTGCCTGAAATTGAAAGGGTTTACACAGATTTTATGAAAGTGCAGAGATTAGTGACATATCTTCAACAGAAATTTAATGCTGCAGTTGTACTTGAGGGTGGAGATTTCATGGAAAAGAGGGCAGAATAGCCTGTAGCTGAGGGGAAAGACTATTGCCTAGGCTATTGAAATTTCAAGCCGGATTTTACTACACCTCCGGATAGAACTTGTACTTTTCTTTATATATGTCAGGCTGTTATATATGTCAGGCAGGGGCTGTAAAAAGCAATATCGCGTTTTGCAGGGGCTGCCGATATATTTTTCAGTCTCGGCCACCAACAGAGTGGAAATTAGGCATTCCGGGAGCTTTTGCTGAAGCTGCAGATCGCGTTATTTATCAATTCCTAATCGCTCATTGCGGAACTGCTTCGCCTCAAAAGGTTTCTTCAATCGCCCTCAAGCTAATTCACCCTCCGCTGCGTGCAATAAACGAAAATGTTTCTTTTTCGACCCATCGCATCGCTATTTTTTTCAAATTTCACAAAACATTATGATTTGTGCTCCCTCTCCTACATAATACCTTGAAGCCATGCCTTTCACCTTCCATGTAACCTCCCCGTTTAATGAGCGAATCAATTAATCGTTTCGCCTGCGGGTCTTCGAAACGTTCTTTGGAATGCGATCGTTGGAGGCGGGGCCAGGGCACCCCTCCTTTCCAAATTTCTCGAATATTTTTTCCGCCTGTCAGCAAATTCTCCCCGATTGAAACTCTCCATAAATATTAGGCCTGAACGTGGCGATTGTATCACTTTTGCTCGGGTACTCTAGGTTCTTCTTGTTACTTCGCTGTTCCCGCTACAATTGGTTGATAAGTGTTGCTGACGCTGTATTCATTGCTTGCAGGGGTACAATGTCGTTTTGTGTTGATTGGGCTCGCTTTTCGTTGGATGAAAAGACTGTTGGGGATATTGTACATATTGAAACATGTTTTTTATAGCCGTGTAGTTGAGCTATCGAGTTCTTTGAAGAGTTTCACGCAAACAAAACTTAAACATAGCAAAATAGGATTGCAAAAGAAGATAACCGATTTCTCAGCAGCTCGAAATTGCGGCCAATAGTCTTTGAAATAAGTGCTAGATTTTTAACTCGCGCTTTCAAGAGGCTAATGCAAGTCTTCGATTCTTTCCGTGCTCAATTCAAAAAGTTGTTGCCAAAAAAACTTTTTTTTTGTCTGTCCGACTGTCTCCATTTCCAAACTCTCGATAAAATAGTTGCTGAATTCGTAACTGTCCCCGGAAATTGGCAATCCATTTTTACAGAGTTTTTATACAGGGCGCTTTCGAAAAAACGTCATCAAAATTCAGTCAGCCCTCTAGCGAGCAATATAATCGCAGCCAAGTTCCATCAAAAATGGGTGCAATGTCCTTACGGCACGCCCCAATAAGCAACATAATAGAGATTAGAGAGTTCAAGGTATTCGAATACCGTATACAAAACTAGTTTAATTTGGTATTTGCATTTCTTTTTGATGTTTAATGTCATATTATCGCAGTCTTTGTTTAGTCACACCCTCTTGTGTCGGTGTCAGGTTGAGTATTGGCATTGTTGCATAGGCATTATTTTATTATGAACTCTAGTTTTAGTATTTTCCCTTTGCGTAATCTGAAACTATGACTTAGACTAGGTTGTGCAGGGGGCGGTAATTGAATCTCATGAATTTGTCGCACCTCTGCGATTAGATTAACGCAAGCGAAAAGAAACTGTTAGGTTACGAATCATTTAATAATTTTATTTTTAGAGATTAATGGAGTTACACTATTAGGTTTTTCGCAATTTTACGTCAGTCAGGAAAAAAATGAAGGAAACGTGGAGTATTTAGCCCTTGGAATTCAGACTGCAAAATTTCGTTTGTCTGGGGATGAAGGTTGTTACCTCATCTCAGTAGTGTCGTAATCGCCAAAAAACTTAGATAAATCTTTTTGATGAAAGTGCGAAATTTTAACACCGCATTATGCAGAATTAAAAGCAAAAAATAATTGGAAAATCAAAAAATCGACGTATTTTTGATTTGCTATTTTTTTATTTGATCTTTTGTAGTTAGACAAAAGGGCGGAGCCAACGGAAAGTTTTTTTGTACAAGGGAGGTGCAGACTCCATTTGTAATCGTTAAAAATGGAAACTTCTTGTAGTTTCGTTGTTACTGTCAACGCGAGCGTAGTTTAGGGTATGGTAGCAGTGTTTTTCAAACATTTTTTACTCTATGCCAACTTTTAAAAATTTAGAAAAACACTCGTATATTTTATGCAACCTTTTTATAATCAAAAAATTTTCGTAATTAAAACAATTTGTTTATTTTTTAGTTTAAAACTTTTGATGACTTGATCTCTGTGCAACAAAGATCTACAATTATCCCCTATTTTTTACACTCTATTCATTCAAAATTTCAAGCCTTATTTTGGAGATTAATTAAAGCTTTCTTTGTCTCCCTCTCCGCAAAAAGTTTTGGTTGGTTTAGAGGGATTCCGAATATATCGTTTTCTCCATATTAAATTTTCTTTATTACAGTTTCAAAAAATCCATGAGGGTGGCAAAAAATTTGTAAAAAATTTTACATCAGACTTTCAACATTTTCTCCACATTTCGTGCCATTCTTGTCAGGCAAAAAGGTCAAACTTTTTGTGTAATTTTTCGATCTGAATCTTACTTTTTTTTTGATTTTGCGAATGTAATCTTTAGTTTCAGTTGTTGTTTAGTCACTTTTGTTTTTCTGAATTGCTCTTTATTGTAATCTTACTATATAGTAGTAACATTGTAACAACTATATTTTTTCGGATCTTTTCAAATTTGCATTTTACATTGTAATAGCATGTAGTTTTTACCGTTTTAATTAAACATAGAGTAAGGGTCCAAAAATAAAAAATGAGCAGTGATGCCATAAGAAATGTATTGTACTAAACATGACGCTCTGAATACACCCCGAGGCGTAAATTATTCAAAATCTTTTCGGGTTATGGGTCTAGAATTACTCACCAGGCGCTTTTACGCCCTTAAAGTTCGTCTGTCCTATGAGAAACCGGTCGGGAAATTGTACCCAAACAGCAGTATTGCGAATTGTTATATTTGGTTCCATATTTGTAGTTAATTGAGAAGAGTAACTAGTTGTATTTCAAATGGTTCTGGTAATTGCAAATGTCGAAAACTTTAAATTATAGTAGTTAGTAGTAACTATGCAGTAACTGGCTACATTTATTTCACGTATTTAAACGGGTGGGAGAAAATTGAGATTTTTTCTGAGGTACGATGGTTATGACAAAAAAATCACTTCTTATGGATTGCAGTCCATTACTGACAATTTTAAACCATTTTTTATTACTTACCATTATAGTAAACACTTTATTTTTACACTAAGTTCACTATATACCCTCGTGACCTTTCCTCGACCCTTTTTTTATGTCTTATAATAGAAACCCTTTCTATTTTTGACAAATAAGGAATCCAGTAACAGTCCTATTTACCGCCTCCCAGCATTTTGGTTGTAATAACGGAATGTCTCAAAAACATCGCTATAAAAGCGATGATTCAAAGACTCAGAATACATTCTGGTTATGTTTTCATGACACTCTAGAAATGTAGTAGGCTTGCATTGCTGCTAAAATGTCATACGATCATTCTTGTTCAATGACACCTACCCTTTTAGATTCCCGACTCTACTGTAGTCACTTTTAAACCATATGATTTTCTTGGCCACATTTATAAAATAAAAGCTATTTCTTCGTTTTATATCCATTATATCCCACTTCATTTGGGGGCTAATGATCTCGTGGATTATATTGTTTATCCTCGCGATGAACCCGACCAGAAAACGAGTTAGTCATTACAATTCTCCAGCTGAATATGTTTTTACGGCCGTCTCGGTTTTTTGATTACTTTTATGGACCTATTTCCTTGATTTGGTATAATGCAAAAATACAGTTCACTTTAGGACCGATGTTTTTATATTATGAGCATAAAAGATATATTTTTTGTTACACATTTTTGCACCGCCCACCAATTTTTTGCACAAATTTATTTTTCAATTCTTATATCGCGGATTTCGACGACTAAGAGTACCAAAATATCTGTAAAGCAGTTTTAAGATGAACCAAAGGTTTTTCTTTGGCCCTGTCAAAATGTTTTAATATCAACACGAGCACGTGAAAATGTTAGTGTATACTTTCCTGTCCTTAAACCCATTTTTTGCCCTTTTAACATTTATTTTAATATCTCTCGCGTGACATTTATTGTAAGACTTTCATTATCCTCAGTAACGCTCGCTTATTTTCCAGGCCCAGGTTTCAAATCGGACCTCACCCCGATATTCCTATCATGGCACTCTCCGAATCCGCAATGAGCCGTTATTTCGGCTATCTACTACTTTTGATGCTGATGATGAACGTGGTAACAGTTTCGGCGGCACCCTTCTACTCCTCAGAACAGATACTGCAGCCAGTTCGGCGATTGTCGCCGTCCATGTCGACTTTCTGCTACTTCCATCCCAAGGTTTGTAAACACACAGATGCCCTGGGAGAGGAAAATAAACTGGCCAGACGGCGAAAACGACGAGGCCATTACTTCAACCATCAAGTGTGAAATATGACGGACAATGTCTACTTGCCAAAGAAAGAGATATCTGAATTCAGCAAGGTTTACAATAAGATGGTCGTATCTTTTCCGTCCCCCACCCAAACTGCACTGTGCTTCAGATTAGGCGTAGAATTTGTGTTCCTACTGTTAGAAAATGTCACAATCATGTCGTATATAGTCTGTTCATTCACTTAATCATCTTTTTTCGTCAATTTGAAGAATTTTAGCCAAAAAATTTTTTATGTAAAATTTGAATTTTCTCCAAAATCATATAAATTTTTGACTTCAAAATTACAGTTTCTCTTTTTCTAAACTCCCAAGCCAAAACTTTTTTCTGCAAATCTTGGATCTTCAAGTTGACGAGCACTATATATGCCACAACTGACCCAATGAGCTTACACTTGCCTCGAATGTGATCACTACGCTTTGAATGATCTTTACTCGCTATTTATTACTCAATGAAACAAGTATAATACACCCATTGCATGTTTACCCTCCAAATTCCACTTTTTACAACGTCTACTGCGCTCTTTCACGGAATTTCTTTCCCGTTTTCGTCTAATTCCATTCCAACTGATCTAAAAACTTTTTGTCTGTTATGCCATTAAAATGTCGTAATTCTTTTCGCTTGTTACTAAAATAATATTGTTTCCACTAACAATTTGATTGTTCTTTTTTGCGAAATAAAATTGTGCCTTTAATGGAAATGGAAGTTGATGCATTGTTGATTTAATTTTAAGCAAACCCTACGTAAATTCCGCAACAAAATTAACAAAATTACCTTGTAGCAGACAGCAGTACTACAAAAATAATAATAGCAATAATACCGAATTTTTCAGACTGTATTTTATGGATACTTGGATTCCAAGTCGAGATTAGCTTTTTCATCCGCTTATTAAATCCCCCCCCGCTTTTTTGGTAATGAAAAACAATATAGATGAGAATGTTGAACAAGATCTTTTGGTCCGTAAAACAAAATAAATAGAGCAAACCACAATACTGTAACTAATAGGATCGTCCTCTTATAGTACGGTCCAGACAAAATGACGAGTTTATTAATTTAATAATTTTTAAAAAACTTTAAGTTCAAAGCTTGATTTTTTAAGAAAATAAGAAGATACGGAATTCCAAAAATCCCAAAAATATGAGCTATAGAAATGACAAATAAACACGCGTCATTTCGGATTTAAATCTACAATCAACCATGATATAAATTTTTAATTGGAGCAAAATCCTAACGAAAAATCGCTTTTAAAATTCCAACTTGACGACATGATATAAAATAAAAAATTATGTCAGAACTACAGTCAAAAGTCCTGTGCGAGCGATACGGAAGGATTAGAGATTTTAGAGCATGCACCCTGGGGCACTGAGGCGATCAGAAGCGGCTTTTAAGAGGCTGTGCCAGAAAGGGACAGTCACTTTTTTGATGAAGTACAGGGCCAATTGTTACAGAATGGGGACGACATTGGAGTGAATTTTGGCTCATCAATTTATTATTACCAAATGATGACCAAAAAAGTTTAAATACGCACACCAAAGAGCAAAAAATCATACGATAATATTTTTTTTAAATTTTGCATCCCTCCTCAAAGTTGCAGACACCTAATTCCTAAAAATTTTAGTTCGATACCACCAAGCGGAAGCTGCATTTTTCCGAATACCTGAGAAAAATTCGTCCCTAATTTTTGCAAAGCATCGCAAAAAAAAATTAAAACAACACAACATTATTTTGCAGATATTCCAAGACTTGGTCAAAATCTTCAACAAAATTCCCAAAATAAAAAATAATCAACATTCTTTCAAATTTATTTCAACAAAACTAAGAGAAGATCAAAAACAAAAAAAGAAATAAAAAAGAATAGACCCGCTTGGTTTCTGGGATTCAGACGAACACTAGACCTGGTGGCATGTCACAATTTCGAGCAGAATCTCGGGGAACCCTTTAAAAACGTTCAGTTCGAAGATATATTTCAGTCGTTAATAATAGTAATACCCAACAAAACAAGTGAAAAGAGAAAATGTAATATACATTTAAAGGGGTCATTACTTTTACTAGAGTGATATTACTATTACACCAGCTGAAGGATGTACAAATGGACAATAAAAAAACCTCTAACGAAATAGTTGCAAGTTGATCAGGTCTATCCATAGTTACCGTACTTCATGAGGCTGGACCTGAGGGGGTTTTGGTTCATAGGGTTGCCGAATTGGCGGTGCTGGTTGCGAGAGAGGATGGATCTCACGTCGGACGTGAACCTAAGAGCATCAAGGAAGGGCAGGAGGTTGAGAAGGCAGGTGTCGGTGGGATCCGAGAACCACGACTTGATTGGGATCGCGTTGTCTACAAAAAAATAGATATTGCACTTGGCCTCGACATTACACTTGAAAAAAATAAACATTTCCTCCTAAAATGAAGAAAAAAAATCACCAAAAACTCACGAGGATAGTTCCTATAGGCAGCTGGCGAGTTATCCAAGATAAAAACAGAAGCCAAATCATTATGAATGGCCAATAAATCTTTGGTGTACCCACTGTAATCAACAGTACAATGTTGGCGGAAATAGCGTCGGTTCAACCATCCACGCCCCCTGTCCAACTTGTCAGCTACCGATGTTCCATAAACTTCCATACTGGCCGTGAAAACCACGAGATCATACCATTGTGAGACAACAGTAAGGAAAAAGTCGACATGAGGCCGGAGATGGACAAAGAATCGAACTGGCTGGCGGTCAATTACAACCTAAAATATATAAAGATATTTTAAAGCAGTTTCGGGCACATATTCATCCAAATATTTCGATCAATAGCAAAAAAATCATAAAAAAATCGCGGTTATCATACTCTCAGAACAAAATCAGGTGGTGTTCCCGGCTTGACGGTCGGACGAAGGACCCCATCATGATGTGAGTGTATTAGAGTCTCATCAAGGTCGAGCACCATAATTTTCCTCTTTACCATACCTAAATTTCAAGAAATCCAAGATTCAAATATCAACTTACTTAGCCTCTGCATGGTAAGAGGAGAAAGTGGTACTATGTCATACTTGACTGCCTGATGTTTTCGAATCTGCAATGATAAAGTAATACACAATCAAAAACACAAAATCTACAACTTGGAGGTCCTCTTCGATAAATTAAAATACTATCTTATCAGTGAAAATGTCAGATAAAAAGAAGGGGCTCAAGACTCCAAATATCGCCGAAAATTCAAAGGTCGAACCAGAAAAAAAAATTCCCGAATGCGTTTTGATGGAAGAAGAAGATGCAAAACAATTATTTCCAAAAGGCCAGCAATCTAACAAACAATATTATCCATAGAGAAGATGAGAGAAAAAAGAGACCCACGTCTTCAAAATGGATGACAATAAAAATAAAAACATATCCAGACGTCTTCGGACCTATTAGCTTCAAAAAAAACCAAAAAGATGAAAACAGAGCCGATATGAGATAGATTATAAAAAAATCTCTCGAGATATCAAGTGTAATATCCAAAAACTCACCGTTCGATACTGTCTTCTGAACAAATACAAGACGAATGAGAACAGCGAGCAGACCCATATCCAAAGGGTGGCTCCAACATGTGTAGAGAACCGGGAAATCATGGTCGGGCGCTGCTGGGGCCGCAAACTTCCACGACCATTCGACTTGTTCACCATGGTCAAATATTGACCAAAGAAATTAAAGCCACCAACACTGTAATTGCAGAATATTCGCAACAAGTGTGTACTTGAAAGACGGGACTTCTTGACCGGCTAAAAAATTCCGCCAAAAATCCATTTTTTACGTTTTAACAGAACGCCAAACCGGTTGTTTTCGTGGCGGAAGAGAAAAAAATTCCTGGTGTCAAAGGAAAATCTCCACGGTTTTGGTCGAAAAATGTGAATAATCAGGTCTTTTCATTTACAAATGACTCATGAAGGTCTAAAAGCAACGGGTTATATTCTTTTATGCTAAATCCGAGACAGGATTCATGCAAAAACGAAGAAATGCGGCCAAGAAACAGCTGCGGATCGCGTAAGTTATGGAAAAGGTAGCTAAAATCTTTAAATAATTTCAGGCTTGTCTCTGATTTCTTTTGCCCGAACACAGGAGGTGTGGAAACACATTTGTACCATCTTGGAGGATGTTTGTTGAAAAAAGGACATCATGTTATAGTACTGACTCACGTTTACGGTGATCGAAAAGGCATTATTTACCTTTCCAATGGTCTCAAAGTACGTGTTAACTCATTTTTTGTTTTGTTTTTAGGGATATCAACGGTGGTTTTGGTTTATAACCAAAAATTAATATTACCCTTGATGATCCTTGACGTTTTTCGTCTCAAATATATTTTTAGGTATATCACATTCCTTTCTTCCCTCCAAAATCAATGTACATATTGCCCTCAGTGTGGGGATCTTGTTATTTTTACCGGGAAATCCTCAAATTGGAACGTATCGATATTATCCATGGTCATTCCGCATTTTCCCCGATGGCTCATGAAGCGATGTTGCATGGCTGGTGTATGGGGTTGAACACCGTCTTCACTGATCACTCTTTGTTTGGATTCTCAGATATCTCGGCTATTCTCATCAATCGATTGCTTTTACGATACTCACTGCCTAATATTGACCGGTCGATCTGTGTTTCCCGAATTTGGTAAGTGATTTTGATTTTTTATTGGAATTTAGGGTGCCTACATGAAGACTGTATGTTTGTTGAGCTAATAGGGAATGTTTCAGCAAGGAAAACATCGTCCTGCGAGGTGGTTTGGATCGAGATAAAGTGTCAGTTATACCTAATGCAATTGACGCCTCTCGATTCCTACCGGCGGATCGTCCCAAAGCGGGCCCTCTTACAATAATCATCGTCTCTCGACTAGTCTATAGGAAAGGAGCTGATCTTCTAGTTAAGGTATGGCAAGCGGAGACGTCAATATTTATATTATCCATGATATAAAATCATTTATTTTTTAGGTAATCCCTCGAATATGCCAACTGCACCCAGATATTCGAATAATAATTGGTGGAGACGGTCCAAAAAGAGTAGACCTAGAAGAGATGAGAGAAATCTACAGTCTGGAAGACCGAGTGGAAATGAGAGGAATGCTCCCTCACAATAAAGTCCGAGATGTCCTCATTGAAGGCGATATCTTCCTGAACTGCAGTCTCACTGAAGCCTTTTGTGTTGCTATCGTCGAGGCAGCCAGCTGCGGACTTCACGTTGTCTCAACAGCTGTTGGTAAGCAATTTAGACTTATATTGTACTAGATCTTTAGGTGGAGTCCCAGAAGTCTTACCGCCGGAATACATAACGTTGGCCAAGCCTGATATTGACGACATAGTCCAAGCTTTATCATCAGCGATTGAAAAGAAGAAACGAAATGAATTCCTGGATAGACACACATTACACAAGCAGATCAAACAGATGTATAGATGGGAAGATGTAGCCAAAAGAACGGAGAAAGTGTATACTCAGACAATATCAGAGGATAAAGTGAGGATTGGAGAGAGGCTTAAAAGGTAAGAAGTAGTTTTTTTAGATTCCACTAGACAAAATTAATGACTTATGAAAAATGGAAGGTGTAATGAGCAAATTTAAGGTACTTTAGACACGATTCGGTATTTGGAATGGTCTGGCTGTTCGTTGTAACAATAAATATTCTCATCTGTCGATTTCTTGATCTCATGGATAACCTCAAAGTAAGTCCCAAATTAGATCTAAATAATATATAGAACTTGATACAATCGAAATACTCGTATTTTAGACCACAAATCGCAAGAAGAAGAAACGGAAATGAGGTGTGAAGGCAGAATTGATACTCATCTTGACTTATATAGATCATGAAGCAATTGCCTCCAAATTCAGTCCCAAAAACGCTCCAAATACTGACAACCAACTGAAAACAAAGGTTTTTTAATATTTGCTCATGTGCCATACATCACTTAAATAACCGTGTCTAGTCAACAGTTTGCTCAGGGTTTAACGGGTTTTTCATTTGCTGCTCAAAAATTAATAATAATAAGTATTGTTTTGCTAACATATTCTGTGATTGTTGTTAATAAAAAGGTGTTCATATTAGAACCTACTATAATATAGTGTTCGAGTCCACATTTTCCTCTAATTCATCGAAGAATTCAACGGTTTTGCATGGATGAATATTGTAGAAGGCAATTCCTTTGTCCGGATGCTCGTTTTGAGAGATAAATGACCAAAAATTCTCGTTATCAGGAGTCATCAAGGCCTGACGGATCTTGTCGATCACAATAAGCTGGCCATTTTCGGAGTAAAAGTTGAAAAACAGCTGGGGGCATCCGTAGATCTTGTTGTAGACAATGGACAATAATCGGACACAAGGTGTCGAATTTAATGGTAAAAATGTTCGAAGCTCAGCGGAATGAGTTCTGGATTGGAGAGCAGAGGGATTCTCTGGAGCCTGCAGAAACAACTCGCAAGTTCTTTACATCATCTTATTTTACACATGGCGTCAAAGGCAAATTTCTTACCAGAATCAGTTTGAAATTATCGTCATGGCTAGTGTTATACTTCCTAACAAACTCGACAAGGTCATGGTTAAATTTTTCTTCGGAAAACTTCATCGCTTCATCATCTTTATATGAAAAGCCAAGCTTATATTATACTAGATGTCTAAATTTCAAAAAAGTAGTCAAAGGACCAGACTTTCACCAAAATCAATTTGTCAAAGTGGATAATATTACAGTTTAATTTATTTCGAAAGATTTAGAGGAATCGCTCTTCAAAGTTCAAATAATCCGAAAAGCCAATACGATCGTCGCGACCAGTAAGTAGATCAAAGTGGACTCTGGAGCCGGTGGAGAAGCCAGGAGGACCGCGGTTGATCTGACTGGCGGAGTACAGCTCGCTGAAATTATTTTGAACGTAATTATCTCCAGAAACATCTTCAATTCTCTAAAATCCAACAAAAATGATATAAACCTTACCTGATGAAATGCTCGGCTTGTGGAGTTCCTCCCAACAACCGGCGTTGATTCACCATGCCTTCCAGAGTATCCATTCGGTTCTTCTGAGCCAACAGTTCGTGAGCGGGAGGGTTAGCACCTCTGTTGGGAGCTCCCTCCGTCCGAGATTGAACGATCTTATTCATGGTGGTGCCATTGACCAGCTGAGAGTCAATGGCTGGCCGACTGTTCTTATCCTGAAGAAGGTCAGAAGAGCGAGTGGAGAGCTTCAGAATATTAGCCATCTAAAAAAGCTAAAATTATTTTGGAAGAAAGCAAAAAAACTTCCGATGAAATAAGGATAAAAATAAAGGTAAAACACGAGTATATCAGCAATGTCCCAAAAAACGTTCTAATGTTGGTCTTCGACATCGAAAATTGAAGCAAAACGAAGAAAAAAGAAGCAAGAAAAAGTAAAAAAATGATTATCATCGAAAAGAACGGAATGCCAAGATGTTCTGGCATTCATTGTTTTCGCTGCGGGAGAAATATCTAAAACCGGACTTCTTGGATTTTGAACATTATACTTTGACTTTTCGTTTTCCTAGCCGGTTACAACCTTCTCCGGTTACAACCTTCTCAGTTGTAACCGGCTAAGCATTTTGAATCAAGAGTCAAATCAAAACTTACGATAAGATTACAGTTTTTACATCTACAAAGTTGTAACCTCATGATCAATATAAATTTTTGTAAATGTTTGATTTAAACCTTTTCTGATTTTGATTCCAAACAAAAACGAGTTACGGAAGTCAATACGGAAGCCTTCTGTGCAACCTTTTTTTCTCGTGTTCGCAGCGTGAGTTTGATTTGAAAGAGAAAAAAAGGTCAGCGTCGGAACATTGGCTCAGAATACCTTACAAAAAAGGTCGCTGCAGTCTTTCAAAAGAACTATTCAGTTCAAAATTGCCTTTAGGACATATAAAAAATATTTTTCATGAATAGCCGCTTGATTAGCCTATAAACTGCCCTTTAACCCAGGCTTTATCCAATAATGTCCCGCCAAAGTCATCATCTCTCCGTCCACTTCATCATTGCTTTTCTGTTTTTTATCCAGCTGACGTAGTGTTGTCCAGCCCTGTGGTTATGACTTTATTTGGATATGGAATCTCTAATTGAGAGAAAAAAATAGAAACCCTGCGGGGAAATTAGTCATTCTTTTACATATTGGCATTTCATTTGGATAAAAATATGCCAAAAGTCGCTGCCCATGTGAATGACCATCTAATTAAGTGATTAAACACACATGTTTACTATAAGTTTAAGAATCAAAATACTGTATTATGTATGTATGCATGTATTTTTGATGACCTAACAATCATCCAAAAACCATTTTTGTCTTGCCGTCAAATTAGTTATCTTCTTTACGAGGTTTTTTGGATTCCGGCAGGAATTTTAAAGTTGGATGCCAAAGAAGTTCGTGTCACGGATTTGAGATTAGCCTTGTTTTTTGGGGAATTTAAGTTTTTCATTGCATGTAAAGCTTCAAAGATTGTGCTTGTTTTATTTTGGTGCATAGCAAAAAAATTTATCGACATACCGTACCTTGCCTATCCCATAACCCCTTCATTAAAGCTTTTGCCGCTTTCTTAAAAGTCAAAACTTTCCTAAACTAGCCATCTCCCCCCTTTCATGGTCATCCTTCCATCCCACTTACCACTTTATTCCCCCTTTCGGAATGTCCATTCCCAAGTTTTTATCCGCCCTCTTTATAAGCGACGTTTTCCCGACGATTTCGCAAATTTTTGACCAAATTTTTGCGCGCGTAAATATTAAATGTCATCGAAAGTTATGGCTTCCATTTTTTGCCGGAGGGCGTTTTTGGCACGCGAGGAATTTGGCGGATGATTGGGACGATAAGAATGCGTGGAGATATTGGGGGATTCGAAAGGATGCATACGTTTTTTATTTGGACTTGAAGATTATATTATATTTTGAAAAATTGTAAATGTATTAATATAGTATATCCATATCACCTTTGCGGAGCTTCTATCAAAGCAAACTTTTATAGGCTTGCCACGGAATTGGAGTGAGATTTTATAAGATTTCAATAAACTTTCGTTCGGACTGGAAAAAAGTTTAGACCACAGCGACTGTAAGGCCGCCGGTGGACCAACTGCGATGTTGTTCCCTTCAATCTGAGTTCCTGTTTACGTAATGGGTTCAAAATTTAAAAACCCCTTTTTGGTTTTAAACCGTAACTTCAAGTGTTCTGGGCACGAGATCAAAGTTCATATAAGATATAATAAGCCAGCGAGACTCTATAGTTACACTTTGCTACTTATCAACCGAATTCCGCGTTGTACTTTTGACCAATCTTGAGCCGCTTTTCTTCCGTTTTCTGTTTAGTAAAGTAATATCAAGATTATGCGAACTGAAAATAATCTAATTTCTTCTGGAACACACGGATTATGAGGGCCTCCAAAATTATTTGTGGCACGTTTTTCTTTTGCTTTACTGGGCATTTTTTGTGATATTAGAGAACAAATGTATTCTACAACAATTTTTTTTGTTTTACAGTGTTATTTATTTCTCTCTGTTAGCTGTAATGACCGAAGGTTTCCGGCGGAACAAAAGTAATTTCCATGTCCGATAATTGCCTTTCCGATTCCTCCCAAGGCCTCCTGTAAAACTTGGCGGAAGTAATAAGCAATAATAAATGCATGCCCGGAGGGTAAACAGCATTTAGAAAATTATATTTTATTCTGCTATTTTTAACTTTATTTATCCAAAGATTTTGGACAGTAAACCATAAAGTATGGACGATGAACCCTTCGCACTTTTCTACTGTGCATTCTCAACACTTTAATCCTTTATCCGCCCGCTTCCAAGCCATAAAATGGCCCATTTGCCTTCCTTTTTTGGAAAAAAATCTATCGTGACGAAAAGTTTTGGCAAAAAATTGAGCAATAATGACCGAAGGAGCGTAATTAGCGGTCCATGTTTCTTTTGAATGAGTTCCGATGCATTGGAACTTCGCGATGGGGCGTGTCAAAAGTTTTTTACTTTGTTTCTAACTAGGATGGAAAAATTGTAAAAAAAAATTTTTGCTTGGAAGATTATGGTAATTTTATTTTTTTTTCCGTTGAGTCGAGACTTTGACTGAAAATTTTAGCAATTGCTTTGCAGTCACAGCTGACTGTAAAGCAATTGTTCAGATAGGATTTTTTTTGAAATTGCTTAACAACAGCAATAGGGGACATTCATAAGAACGTTGCCAATTTTTTATCTTCGTAATAAAAAAACTAAACAAAAAATTCTGGCCAATTTCAGTCAAAAAACCAGCGGGCTTTTGTAAAACACTGGTTAAAATTTTCAGAAGTCTTAAAAAATTCTTTGTTTTTCTCAATTTTATCAAGAAATATTTTGCCATTACCTTGGCCATAACACTTTTTTGTTCGATGATATTTTTTTCCAAAATTTAGATAATTCAATAACTGTTTTTACCATCTTTTTTACTCTCCAGGACCTTCATAAACCACCTCAACCTTGACCATTCTTCCACACTATCCCGTCCAGCCTCTTTAAAAATATAATACCTGGCCACTCAACTCCCTCCCTCATCCTCAAGTAATTAGTCGAAAGTAATTTCATCCCAAAGAATTGGAGTGAAAATTTTAAAAAGCGAAAAAACGGAACCAAAAAAGTTTCTTTATAACGACCGCGAGGGGGAACAATAGGAAATCTGGCCACATTTACCTGGGCCGCATACCTTTTGAAGGCTCTCTTCGGAAGCGTCCGCAAATGGCCATTTCGAGGTCTTTTTCGGCACATAAGTTTGGGGTTTATTTGGGGTGTAAGATGTTGCGAAATGGAAAGTAAACTTGTCTGTAAGTAGTGGGTTAGTGGATTTTCTTTAATTTAGAATCATATTTGAGGGTGATGGTGGCTGAAAAAATTCATGATTTTAAAAGACGGTAGCGGGCCTGTTTAAAAAGGCATTGCTCAAGATACGATACATCGATTTTCCTCGAATTTTAAACCGATATTTCGTCTAGTCCACTTACAAATTTTACGAAATCTTTTTGCGTTCTTCGCAGGCGCAGATGAGATACGAAACAAGTTTTGAAAACTTACCACAAATAATAAGCATATTGTAGCGGGAAGTGTTACTTTCTAATCACAATTTTTTGAATTATAAGCATAAGTGCCTTTTATTAGCGTTGTAATGACGTTGGCTAAATTTACACCCATATGAATGTTCTTTTTACACTAGTAATGATGTGGTTTACACTATAATTTTTGTTTAACCAAGGTGTGTTACGCACCCTTCTCATACAATTTGTATTCCTGTTTTAATAAAATTTCGTGCAAGTTCCTTGTACAACGTCACACATTATTTTTGAACATCCTAATCTAAATTTCTTTATTTCCCAATTGGACATTCATCTCGCCGTATTTGGTTGACAAAAGCACGATTTCCCATTTTTGGAGTTAATAAATAATGAAAAGAGTATTCCCAAATCCCCTTATAACGACCGCTGCTAATCTGTTTTAGTTTTCGTCGAGTCTTTTGGCGTTTTGCAAACCCCCATTTACAACTGAAATTGTTTTGTTTATACTCGCGGCTTAACATCTTTCTTTGTCAGCAGTGTTCCTGACAAGTTTACTGTATGTGTCTGTTACCAATGCCGTATTTTACCATCTTTGAAAAGTTTTTTCGACTAAACATTAATTTTTATCGTGAATTTTAGAAGATTTCTGTGTAAAAATTTTGTATTTTAGATGGTTTCGTACTCTGGCTTGCAAGAATTTGAAAAAGATGTATTGGAATTCGAAGCCGATAGAGACAAGAGCATGGGGTACACATTTGATCCGAGGGATTGGAACAGAGGCATCGAGAATATTGAAGAACATCAGACTAGTGAGTTTGAAAATAAATATCGCAAAATCTTTATATCGAAAAACGTTTTAAAAAGGAAAAAGATAACTTTGGTTCAAAGAAATATATTTTCCATTTTTCGCATTTTTTTAATAATTTTTTTTATTTCTTCTGACATGAAAATCCCTTATTACCACCCTTTTGTAATGCCAATTCTTTTGCTGACCTACACATGACCTTTCCTTGTTTAATGCACTCCGGATATGAGGCTTTTGTAACCAGAACTTGTCGCCAAACAATGCCCAAGAAGTGCTAAATTGATGCGCTTTTTGTCCGCTCAAGAGTTGGCAAATATGCGTAGAGAAGGCGAATGTTTTGCCACTTTCAACGCAAAAATTTCAGGGAATTTTTTGGAGGTGGTTTGCGAAATACGTAAAATTTATTTTTTTAAAACAGTTTTAAAAAAATTTGAAAAAGATAGAATTGAGGAATTTCTCATGGATAAAATATTATAATTGGACCCTGATTTGTCCGTTTTTTCTTTTGTCAACCCCAGAATTCACGGCAATGTTGAGTAATTAGCAATTATCCACACATGTGTGACCTTTTTGTTTTGTGACTTCCAAATTGTTGCGCAATCCCCGTAATAACAGAGTTGGCCAATTATTTGGTCCCCGAAAGAATATGTTGTGGTATGTTGGCGTCGGTCGCAGCAGGGGATTTGGAGAAAACATGGATTTGAATGGGATTTGGGGCTTTGATGAAATTTATTTATTGGCAAGTGCAATTTTCTTAGATTTTTTTTGAATTTCACCAGATTTTCGTTGTAAAAATTACAGTTTATGAACTTGACAGGCATCAAACATATTCCATTTGCCCAATTTTTTGTTAATTTAAAAAATTTTGCATAATTTTAAAAAATTTTGCATAATTTTAAAAAATTTTGCATAATTTTAAAAAATTTTGCATAATTTTAAAAAATTTTGCATAATTTTAAAAAATTTTGCATAATTCTGAAAAATTGCAGTATCAAAATATTGAACGTTTTGAAAATTTTTTTTCGGCCTTCGTAAATACCCTAAGGGCAGATGAGGTTATTTGACCTGGATTTGTCGTCCCCGACGCAAGAGCCCCTCGAATATTTCCTGCTTTTAAATTTTTGACTTGTTTTTGAAGCGGAAAATTAGGTTCAAGAGCGGCCGGGAAAGGTAATTTGATCGGCATTGGCCCCACCGGCCGACACGGGAGACCAGCGGAGGATTCGCAGGTAGTAAAGAGGAGAACATTTTTGACAAAGTCATCGGCGGCTTTGGGGAATTTTTGGACTTTTCTCACAATCAGTTCTTTGCAGTTTTGGGTTTCTGAAAAAAAATTGGCCTAAAAATTGACCCGAATAATCTCAATTTTTTGTATTGGCAAGTTTTATTTTTGAAATGCTTAAAAAATAAATTAAATTTTTAGTTCAGAATTTCCTATTTAATATTTTTCAATTTGATCTCGACTGATTTTTAAAGCCGTCTTTTGGATTTTCTAACCTGAAAGTCGACAAAATGAAGTCCATTGAAGCGTGAAGGGTTGAATAAGTCTTGATTTCCCGCGAAAAGTAAGATCAATTTATATTTTTGAGAAGCTTTTTGATGTGTAAGACAATATAACCCTTCTGTCTTTTAGTAAATATTCGAATTATAATACTTTTTTTCCAGCCAAACTTTATATTTCCTTCGAAATTTCATAACAAATTTCCCCCGTAGAATTGGCCGATTTCCGTTTCTTTGTGCGAATTTTCAAATCTCCCATAACGGCGGCCTTTCAACGCCTTTCGGCCGTCTTCGCGCACGCACATAATTGGCCGAGATTTGGGCGTTTTTAAAAACACACTTCAAATCCAATTAACCGTGCCGATTTTCGACCGCCGGGGATGCGCAACCCCAAACAAGTTTTGGCCGCAGGGCAGTTGGGCCAATTTCTGATGCGCGGGCGTTCTCGGAGGGCTAACGGAGTTAGCGAGGAGTTATTTTGCTGGAAAATCAATTTATAAAGTTATGACGTTTTCATGTAGTTACAGTGGAAGTTGCTCAAGTTTGACCTTGTTATCTTGTTTGAATTTGATGCTAACTTGGAACATTGGAACATAACCTTCTAGACGATTTTTCAATCTTTGTCATTTCTTTTTCATGAGGGAATTTACTCATGAGGCACATAATGGTGCTTATACAAAAGCTCAATTTATTCTGGTAGAAGTTTGAAAAGTTACAGCCAATAAACGCTTCTCGTCAGACCAAATCTCTTCAGGTTGCGTACTCTCTCGAAAAAGAAGGTCTATGTTTGCCGCTATGGGCGCCAATTCCTACTTATGTTACATTGATTGACATGGGGTATATTTAGATTACATGAACAAAATATGGAGAACTTGACGCGTACCTTTCACAGTTTTCAAGTCATACCCATAACCTTATAAAACAAATATTCCAATTTATGGAATATTCTTTTTATTGACATCCAAGCCATGCCCCAGAGAATAGTGTTTACTTCAAAACCATATCCCAAATGACTTTGTCCGCTCTAATATGCATGTCCTCCCCCATACTCACCTTTGTCAAAACTTCTTTCAACTCGCTCCCTGACCATTTAAATTCGCTCCCACTTGTCGCGTTCTTTGTTACTTGTCTCTTTTTTCGCTCACAGATTCCCTGAGGCTAATTCGTTATTCTTGTGTCCACTTTGTGTCCCCAAATTCGGAACATAAGTTTTCTCGCTTCTTTTTATCCTGAAATTTTTATGCGCGAGAAAATTTTGGAGCGGAAGGTGAAGGCTCTTTAAGGAAGGGGCCTGGGGGGAAGTGCGCAATTTTAATATTAGGATTAAGAGCTTGCGAGAATGGACATTTCTTCAGGGCATAACCTAAAGGATTAGGAAGGGGTTTATGAGTGAGTGGACAAGTTGTTGAGGGGGATTTTGCGAAGGAAAGGATTGGAATTTGGTCGAATTTTGAGGTCGAATGAGACCGTGGTGTAGTTGAAAACATGGGTTACTTATTCCTGTAGTTTTTTGATTATTTTTTTCCAAAAATTGAAAATCCTCAACCTGATGTATTTTACAATTTTTTTTAGCTATTATACCTTTATTTTTACTACAATTGCTTCATGAGCTCCTTCAGAATTGCACCCTCACAAATTCCTCTCCCTTTTTATGCAAATTCAAGCTCATCCATCTTAGCTCTGTTTACCTCCGACATGCTCTTTGTTTACAGACGCTAATGAAAGGGACAAGTGTTAAAGTCGTACGAAACAGACGAGAAGAATTTGGTTAAAATTTCTTGAAACAGACTCGCCCCGTCCTTTCCACGTCCCTTCTCCAAAACTTCGCCTAAAACCATAATTTGCGTACCTAATTTGAGGGATTTGTGAGCGGCCGTCAAGGTCGCATTCGGTGGTTACTTATTGTCCGCGCTCATTGTTTTGTAAGGTTTTATACATGGGGTACGATCTATTACATTGTAGGAGACTCATCTGAACTAATCTGACTACAAGTGTATTCTTTACTGTAAAGTAATGCCCTTTTGTCATCATTTTATATGATCCTTTCCCTCACATTCCAATCAATATTGTCTTTGGCCTCGAAAGCCACAAGGTGGTTATAAGAGAGATGTAATTATGATGGATTGAAAAGCATGTCATTTGAGCTGAACAAACCTCTAATCTCTGTGTGGCCGTCTCCTCATCGCCTGCCCTCTTTCGGCCCGACTTTTCTTTTGATTTCGTTTTGAGGATCAGTTGACAAGAAAAGGAGGAGAAGAGTTCTTCAAATTTACCTGAGGGGACAGGCCCAGTTTTTTCGGACGGCTACTTTGACTCATCTTTATATATCAAACGTCGAGTCCGCAGGCGTTATGAGGGATGGTTTTGGGAGGGCATGAATTGATTTACGAAGTACATACCGGTCGAGTATGTGTTAATGAAATAGGATTTCCCGTGGCTGCTTTTTGGCTATGCTACAGTGATGGACCTGGTGTGCTGTTTTGTATCCGTAAAGGGTTAAAAATCCTGCAAAATACCTCCCTTCTTTGTCCAAGAAAGGAGAAACAGCGCAAAGAGCGCGGCACAGCATTCCGAACTTTTTTCGCCGCCGATCGGTGTCCAAAAAAATGAAAAATTAAAAAGTGCACATTACATTTTCATGTGTGTAAGGGTAGCCAGAAGAGATACCGGCAAAAACAAAAACTCTTTATGTAGAGTAATCAATTTCCTTTCAGAGTATGTAAGTATTGTCTTCAGGTTGTCCGCTACCTTTGAGAAAATCGTCACTAAAAAATGGAAATTTCGATTTTGAATGCCAAAAAATGTACTTTCTTGAGGCCGCCAAAAAGATGTTGGAGTCTATCGTAAAGAGAATTTCAAGGGCTACAACATATTAAAATTTCAAGATTTTTGTGGGGTTTGAGTCAAGTTAGAGTGAAAAAACACTTGATTTTGCACTTTTCTTGATTTATTTGCACTTTTAGTGCAAAAATAAAAAACCATCCGTGGGCGATGGAATCTGTGTGTCATGTCGGATATGCATGCCAAACATGAAGCTTCGCCGACGCTCCGGAGTCGCTGAATATCCGTTTAAATACGAAACCTTAGAGTACTATTTCTGTCGTTTGAAATCGCTTTATGTGCTCCAAGATCCCTTCTATCAAAAATATATTGTGTGTATACAGTGTATAACAACTGCATAACGACTTAGTTGCAAAAGTCTAACTCAGATTGGCGGTTAATTTAATTGGTGTTGCAACATCAAAAATTGGCTCTGGGAAGGATTTTCTGCCAAATTCAATTTTCGAAATGAAAAAAATATATCGTGAGTAAATGATAAGAAGTTGTTATACACTGTATATAGACAATATACTTTTGATCAAAAGGTATCTTGGAGCAGATAAAGCGACTTCAAACAATAGAAATAGTACTCTAAGGTTTCGTATTTAAACGGATATTCAGCGACTCCGGAGCGTCGGCGAAGCTTCATGTTTGGCATGCATATCCGACATGACACACAGATTCCATCGCCCACGGATGGTTTTTTATTTTTGCACTAAAAGTGCAAATAAATCAAGAAAAAGTGCAAAATCAAGTGTTTTTTCACTCTAACTTGACTCAAACCCCCACAAAAATCTTGAAATTTTAATATGTTGTAGCCCTTGAAATTCTCTTTACGATAGACTCCAACATCTTTTTTGGCGGCCCCAAGAAAGTACATTTTTTTGGCATTCAAAATCGAAATTTCCATTTTTTTAGTGACGATTTTCTCAAAGGTAGCGGACAACCTGAAGACAATACTTACATACTCTGAAAGGAAATTGATTACTCTACATAAAGAGTTTTTGTTTTTGCCGGTATCTCTTCTGGCTACCCTTACACACATGAAAATGTAATGTGCACTTTTTAATTTTTCATTTTTTTGGACACCGATCGGCGGCGAAAAAAGTTCGGAATGCTGTGCGCGGCTTTTGATTTGGAAACATGGGGATGCATTTTTCACTTTGTGAAACAAAAGGCGGTCTCTTAAAGGCAGTGCTCTTTTGATCAGAGAAAGGAGGCATTTTGCGGTATTTTTGATTTTTCCTGCATACAAAGTTGCACTTTTAGAGCGGCTGGATCAGATGCGCCATTGTAGGACCTGCGTCATTAAAGATTCAGCTTTAAGATCTCAATAATTTATGCAAAGCACCAACTGAAACTCTCACAGAAGCCTTGGAAAACGCTTGACAAAGATTATTGCTAGTTTCTAAAGTTTTACATACATATATGCTCGCATCTTGATCAATTCCACTGTAAATTAATCCTCGTCCAGCCTTACTCAAACTGATAAAATCCCCCGTCTAATCCACTCACTCCTTCTATGTAAAACTGACACAATGTCCACTCCGTTTCCCTTTCGCCCTTCGCCAAACTTCAACCGGAATACCGCTCGAAATGTGAGGGGAACCGTCCGGTCGAAGTGGATAATAATCCGATTAATCGGACCAAGATAAAACCCTGTCTGCACAAGACGAACACCCGCAAAAGAGCCCTCGCCAAAAGCGGAATATATAGTTTTCAGTTACGTTATTGACTGACTACTCTTTGAGAGGGAACTTTGGAAGAACTGTAAGTGATTTTTTAATCTTTTGTGGGTTGGAAAATGCAAGAGTTGGTGGGAAACGGAGGAAGTCGGTCTTTGATCGGCGAATATATGAAATTTTGAGGGGATTCTTCGTTTTTACGGAGATTTTTGACTATTTTACGATGATGCCTGATTAGGATCACATGTATTTTACAATTCAAGTCCTTGCTTTTATCACAAAGCCTATTGTTGCGCATTTGATCCATTTCTTTTCCGTTCTTCCCATCCTGTATTACCCGCGTAATCCGCCTTCCATTATTCCATTACGTAACATTTGGCACTCTAGGGGTTTCGCGCAATAATGAGCTTGTTTGATCACTAATTTTCAGAGGCTAATTAGCGGATATTATGTGAAAAAGAAAAGGATGTTCTGGGGTGCGAGGAAGCGCTAATAACAGATAGCTGGAGGTAAACTGCGACATTGTTTGAAAGGGTTATATTTTTGTTGCAAATGATGATCTGAAAAACAAACTCTTTTGTACCCAAAAGTGGATTGCGATCCTTAAAATCTTCGGTTATGCTTAGCCTGGACGTTTAAAAACATTTTGCAAGAAATCACGTAAAATGAGAGAGTAGGCTCGACAAAAGAACGTCTCTTTTTTTATGGTTTCAAATGCCACTTGGAAAAAATTGAATTTTTATACGATATAAAAAATGCTATCTTTATACATAGTATAAAAAATTACTACGACTATTTTGTCATTTTTTCATCCATATCTTTACAACCTCAAAAATTTCATCTTTGTTGCAAAATCGGATAAAAAATCAGTTTCGAAAATTTCGGCTGACCCCAGATTAACTCGTTTCCCCGACCTTGCAATAGTAGAGGATTAGTATTATATGTTCATCCAACTGAATAGCCTCATCATCTTGCTCTTGAGGGTAAGCCGGAGAAAAAACAAGGAGGTCATTAGCGAGAAACCCGGGAAAATGGGGAGTGACCATCAAAATATAATAGCCCCAATTTCTATGAATTACTGTCTCAATTTTTTACTTTGCTACTCATAACTTAATTTTAAAAAAAATTTTGCTTTTTTTAGTAAATTCAGCTTTCGTGTCCATCATTTTCCCTCAATTAACCCGGCCATTCATGTAATGTTATGTAAATACGACGTATCTTCTCCTTATCCTCGTACTATTTATTTATTTCTCGGCACGAAGCCGCTTTTTTGTTCGTGTTTTAAGGGGGGTTTCACGGCACTTTTTGATTAAATTTCATTTTTCGTGTGTTCTTTTCTTATCCTAGCACTAGCAGATGTAAAGGGGAATTTGGATTTGATGTTGCTGGGGTGAAAGGACGAGAGTTTCTAGAAGCAATTGGAGGATTATCTAGAAGATGTGTTTCGTTTTTATTTTTGAATGTGGAGGTTTAAGAAGGCCGGTACAGCTACTTTTTAACCGCTGTTTTATGAATTGTGAGACAAAATGTCCAGAAAATTCCTTTGGCTATTATTCCAATAACAACAGGGAAGAATTCTGGTACATTCTAAATGTGTACTAATATATAATTACTATTGTACTTTTTGCAATTTTGCTTTGTTTCCAGCAGGAAACACAAAAAATTTTTGACGTTTCGTTGCCCGAGCCGTTAAAAGTGCGATTCAAAAGTAGCTGTACACTCCTCAAATTGCATATTTTACCGTTTGGTTATGTAATCTATAATGCCTAACTTAACTAAAGAATTTTACAACTATTAGGCGTAGAAGTATGACCGTGCCGTTTTTTTAGTTGCGCCTTTTTTACAGGTAGAGTTAAAGTTTTGGTGCATCTGTTGATATCGTCTGAAAGAACGTTGAAAACGCTGTCTATCGATATAGGCTTCGTGTGGTTAGGTTTAGAATAGCGGGTTTTATAAAGCTTCAAAGATGACCAACTTTCGTCCCAGAAAAATGCCATTTGCGGGAAATTTTTCTCTATACATGTAATGTGAGCAAAAGCGCCGTCGACGCATGGAACGCTTACAGAAGCTTACTGTGGTTGTGCACTGTAAAAAAAATCCGTCGGAAAAGGGTTCATCGTTTCAAATCCCGTGATTTTCCAACCCATATAAGAAATTTGAATATGGAGATTATTGCAAACAAAATGATGCCGGTGCGCAAGAAAAGCTAGTTGTGATGTTACACGTCTTGCATAAAGGAGCTTCACTCAGTTTGGAACAATTGTGAAGGATCCAGAGAGAATTTTCCCCTCGGAATTAATAATAGAATATAAAATTGGATAAGGTTTAGTGTAAAAATTTTTTGTTTTGATTGAAATAATGGGCCGGAAAACGGCACGATCATACTTCTACGCCTAATATTTTTCCATATTCCCGTCCCTCTATATTCCCCTTTCCCCAAATTTGAGCCAATCTGCTTTTGACCTCAATTCGAACACCGCTTCCTTTCCTTTGTCCTCTCCCTTTTACCATTTGTCATATCCGTTATAAAAGGCGCTAAATACCTTCATTATCGGTGGATGCGCGCATATAAGGACATAATGGAATAAAGAGTACCGAAAATAATGTGAAACGAAGGGATGGCCTTGTTTTTTGGGGATACCGACATTTGCGGGACATTTCCGGCGATGATGGAGGTGGAAATGGGGAATGCAGTTTTTAGGTATTTTCGATATGGCCGGGATTTAATATCATAGGGATTTGGAGCATGTTATGTTGTCTTTTGTTTGTTTTGCAAGTTTTCAGAGGAAGTTGAATGTAAAAAATATTGAAAAAAGCAACCTTTGTGTTGTACTAGGCATCTGACGACAAATCGTCAGATTTTCTCACTTCTGAGTATTCGTTTTTCTTTAAATTTTGCCTTTATACTCTAAATAGAGCGTTTATCAATTCTGAAATATTCTGGCCATTGTTTAAAAAAAACTAGTCTTTGCAGCAATATTATACTCCTGAGTTACTGTAGAGCCTTCAGTTGCAAAACAGAAATTGAAAGATAGCATCTTACGTAATAGAAACATGATGATTCGGTTTTTAAACACGATTATTAGCAATTTTCTTGATTGCATTGACGAGTCACCCTTTCAGGATCCTTCCACACACTAAATCACCCCTCCTCGATTCCTCAAACCATCAAATTTGATCAAGATTTCTCCAAAAACAGACCGTTGGAAGTGGCCAGAGACGTAATTGTACCCACCAAACCGAGAAAATCGAATTTGAATAGCAAGAAAAAGAAGAACAACGCCCGGCGGAAGCATCGGAAAAAGGATCGGAACCGGACCCGCCCCATTAGCATGCCCCTGGACGATGATCTGTTCATCGAGCCCGCTGGCGATTATGATGTCGTCTATGGGGATTACAATACCACGTAAGTTCGAAACGATTTTTTAAAACTTTTACTGGTTCTAGGGACAATTTTAGAAAGCCTTGAAAAAAATATTTTCTTGAATTTTTCACAGAAAAGTTCGTCTTAAAGACATCTTTGATTCCAAAAGAAATATTGGAATTTTAGTTTCTCTTGATCTCAAAGTCCATTTTCAATCGATAACCTAAAATTTTTGCGTAATTTTGCGCCCCTCTGAATGCGATAAAAGTCACTTCCCCGGCATTTGAAAGTAAATTTAAAGCCAAATCCCCGCCGATCCTCCCCCGGGACCAAATTGAGTTTGGGAGGGGTGAAAAAGAGGCGACAATGACACGAGAAATCTCCCAAATTGCAATTTTTGATCAGATAAACATTGGGCTTGGGACAAGAGCTATTTTAGAAAGGAAATTGGGTTATCTAACAACTCTTGAGCCGTAAATAGTACTTTTTACAAATTTGGTCTTTTAAAAAAATATTTGCCGAAATGACTAATATTTTTTCTAAACGTACATAAACTTTAATTTTCGGCCGTTTTTTGCAAACACAGATATCAAAGGGACAATCCCTGCGGCGATTGATGGAGTACACGCCAAATCGGCCTCCAAAAGACGGAAATGAGGGATTGGGTGATCCAAATTTTATTCTCTCAATTTATTTGAACGCTTTTCGAGGCTGAAGTCCATGTTTTGCACTCGAGAATTTGGATTTTTTAAGAAATCAGAAAAAATTTTTGATATTTTAGAATTTTTTCAGAGTTTGGCCATTTCTGCATAGCGCGGTTGGAAAGTTTGCGATGTTCATAATCTTTAAATTTTCGAGCGTTTACATGATCACAGAAAAGTTTTTTCCGAGATTTTTCGAATTGCAAGGCCTTGCGTCTCAACCGTTTCTGCACAGCGCGATTTGCAAAAATCGAAAAAAATCAAAGCTTATACTTTTTGTGTTTCCCAAGTAATAAAAAATATTTTTTGGATGATGTAACACTCTAAAATTTACCGTAATCCCAAAAAACCTTCGAAAGATATTGCGATAAAATCCCGGAGATTGTTTCAATCCCGGTCCTTCGGGCCGAAACGCCAGTTCATCATTGCGAATAAACTTGGTTGTTTTTTGATGAAGACAGAGTAGGGGATATCCGATTCGGACAGGCCCTCCGGGCGAATCGCCGGCCCTCCCAAAACTTTTTCCACCCTGCCTCGCCCATTTATTTTTTGTTTTATGGGTTTGGGTTCACATTAGGCCAAATTTATGGGCCGTTAATTAATTTACAATAATTAGGTGCCTTAGGGCATTAGAGGGGAAATTTATGGATGATGAATGGAGGATAGGTGCAATTAGTCTGATTACTTGTTTGATTCGTCTTTTATGACTATTCTGTTAGGTATTTTTTGGAGATCGGGGATATTAAACGATGTTAAAGATGAGTACAAGTTCAAAGCGGAATTTCTTTGAAGTTCTGGTCGGATTGGGCCGAAAATTGTTTCCAATAGAAAGCCCATGGATCAGAGAGTTGTGTCAGTATACAAAATGTCAGCTATCAACGTTTATAGATCGATTTTATCGAATTTTTGAATCTCCAAATTATTTCCTAAAAATAGAAGAATTCCAAAAAAGTGGGTCATTCTGACCCAATTTTGTCTCGAAAATTTTATCTCTCCTTCCTGAAAGGCTCTATTATCCTTTATGCAAATATCCGACGACCCAACTCTATTTGCATTTCCAAAAAATTAGAAATTCATATTTTCTTTCCCGGATGCCAATTATTTATAACCCAAAACTTTGTAAATGTTTAGTGGACGCAACCCCTATTATCCGGAGACTGTCAGCGGTCAGCTGCTTAATTAGGCTCAACTTGAGTGGCATGGCCAACCGAAAAAGTCTTCGCGGGCAGAGGGATTTGCACGCGATAAATGACTTGGGGAATTTTTGAAAGGCGCAATTTGAGGCAACTTGGGGCTAGTGCCAAGAATATGGCTTGGAAATTTAGGATGACAATTTTTTAATATACGGTGGGAGATTTTAAATCTTGCGCAAATTAAATTTTTGTATTTTTTAATATTCCAAAGCTTAATTTACATGTTGAGCCATATTTAATTGACATTGGAATGATGTCAGCGGGTGATCTTCATCTTCATTTAGCTCATTTTGGCGGGGTTTTCTTTTAGGTTGATTTTTGGCGCGGCATGGGAAGAGATAAATTTTACAGGGTTAATGGGACTAGTTCAAAAATTTCTACTGCAACATGAAATTTGGGCACTAAATTTTTACTCAAAAGGTCATAATTTTCATTCAAATTTTTTAAATTTTGATGTATATTTTTTTCGCATCGTATTTTACCTTTATTATAATATCCATGACCTCTTCAAAATCGCCTCTTCAAATTGCAGATCCGCCCTCAATTTTGTGGCTCTCATCCCTTTTATTTGACCGAAAACAAATTTGAGATGGTCCTGAGTAAACCGAAACAGAATTGGCCCAATTTCGCTTCAATTCTCTGTGCGGAACGGGGTTCGGTTTTCCAAAAAAGGGCAACTCAAAGCGGTCAGTAGATTTGGGGGAAAAAGAGCCGGACTTTTCGGAGAATTTATTATTTTGAGTCATGGAGTGTTGGGCCAAGATTTATTGGGTGCAAACGGCGACTTTATTGGGTTATCGTGGAGATTGCCGAGGGAAATTCGGCTGTATTTTAGTCATCAATAAAATTTGTAGAGTCTCAATTCAAAATTTCCTTGCCTTCTAGGGCCCTTCAGCCATCCGTTTTTTTAAAATCTCAATGTTTTTTGATTGTAGCCATCTATGTTCTTTCATGATCTAATGACCTAGTATAACATGCCCTAAAATTTCGGTGCCTTCCCAAGTTTTAAAACCCCGACAGTTCTTTCCAAATTTCCCTCGAAGGCCTTCTAAAAAAGGCTTAACGCGGAGTCTGACAATTTTTTTGATTTTTGATGGAAATTTGACAGTTTGTTTGGAACCGCTCAAAAAACATAGCATCCTCTTTTTTCTTGTAAAGAAGTGATGTTATTTCGTTGAGGGAAAAGAAATTTTCATAGGGGCTTGAGATTTTTTTTGGGGAAATGATTGTAAAAATTGAGTTTTTGGGAAAGTTTTTATAAAGCTTTGTGACGTATTTTGGAACGTACTAAGTTTTATACAGGGGTAAAATCTTGATCATTTCTTTTAGACCCATTAAATTTTCTAAATTTTCATTTTTCTCCTAATTTGCCCGTAATTTTCATCTCCTCATTTTAATCTGCCCCAGGCAATATTTCTTCCCCAGAACACAATGTCACCCTTTCCTTCCTATTCTTTTCCTCTTTTCTTACACTAAACGACAATCGGGAGGGGGTTAAGATGAGTTATGGGGTGGTCAGTTAGAGGTCCATATTTCTTCATCAAAAGGAAGTATGTGTTCGGAGGAACAGAAAGAATCGCGAATACATATCGAGACCGGGGCTTAGATACTGCGTAAATTCGAGAGAACCCAGAGAAAGGGATGAGGGTGAAATTAAAATCGGAGATTTTTTGTCAAGATAATTTCTGCTACCGTATGCTGGGAAAATTGGACAGGAAGGTACCTCAAATGTGATGACTCTTCAATTTATTGATTTTTTGTAAGATTATTGTACACATTTGCAATGTTTCGCCTTGAGCTTCTTATGTTTTGAGTAAAATTTGGAGAGCTTACTGTATTCCATAAACATCAAAGGTTACGCAACTTTCAAAGCAGCGCAAAGCCGGGTAAAAATAATTTGGAAGCGAGTTTTAAGTGCATTAGCAACCGAAAAAGGAAGCTCGGCATTACGAAAGCCATGCAAATGACATCTACTGGAGCATGATAATTATGCAGATGGAAGAGCGGAGCCGAGGTGGCAAGTAATAGCGAAAATACGTTATTTAGGGAGCGCGAGGGCCAGCGGACTTTATTTTTGATATTCAAAATAATTTTTTTTTATATTACACTTGCTACTAAATTGAAAATTCCATTGATCTCAAAAATCACGAATTTTTTTATCATTGCTTCCTTCACAACGAGGATTAACGTCATTTTCCCTTTCAAATTCTGTTTATCACCCGTTCCCTGTCCAAAATTCCGGTTATTATTCCGATAAATCCTTTTTTCTCTTCTTCTCTGCCCTCTCCCCTCTTCCGCCGTTCACTCCACCCTCCATTTTTCGTATATCGCCGATTTTCGGGGGGTTTTGAGATGTCAGTGTGCAAAATTTTTGACAAGTTGGCGCCGTCCAAGGCCCCTTCGCTCTCTCCGCAACCCCCTCTGCATTGGGGTGGGGGGAGCAGAAGGGAAGGGAGAACTTTCGTTAACGGCGTTATTTATGGGCTATCGCCGAGACCATTAATATAATGAGCGAATGTTGTTAGTGTTTGTTTTTGACGCAATCATGTTTGGGGTGATTTATGATGATTTGTGTGAGGAAAAAGTAGCGGAAGTTGCCGGAAGTTGCGGTTTATGGAGATTAGGGGATTAGGGCAGGGAATCGCTTATATCTCTTGTCTTATTATGAATTTTGGAGCTGACTAGGGATCCTAAATCGTCCGCAATGTAGTGGTAATATTGATACAGTGATATCATAACCTCAGATGACCACCTACTTTGATATAAGAGCTCTTATATCACTTATCATATCTTTCTGATGACGCAAACAGGCACTGTCATCATCGATAATCTCACAGTTGTTCAATTGATAAGCATTGTTTCTGTTTTTTTCCAATCAGCGCCTCAAAACATCAACATATTATACTTGATATCAACTGATATTCCGGTTCCTGGAATAATGGTCTTTGTTTGTTATAAAGAGGTCCTAGCGTCGATATACGGTGCCGGGTAAAGCAAAAAATCTTGTCAGTGGTGAGATAGCGTTGATTTTTGAGAGAGCGAGAGAGAAAAGAAAGCGCTTTTATTAATTAAGTTTATGCGAAACGGAAGGAGCAGGTCGTAAATAAAAATTTTATGAGTTTTTCCGCCCTGCGATTGGTGGTTATGAGAGAGAGTGGACTTAGGAAGGGCTACTGTAACTATTAGAGAGCTTTCTTAGGGCATATGTATATCAAAATTGGTGTAATGTCATGCGTAAAGCTATGCATTCTGTGTTAAGCCCTGAATGTGAATAATAAGCCCCATTCTCATACGAAATTACGCAATTCACCATCTGTTGAGCTTGTCCTGATCTCCCCATCAAATCCCAAAAAGTCATTGTCTAATCTTTCCCTCGTCCTCGTTCTGTAAGATTACCCTGCAATTTAACCCAGATATACATGGTCTATTATTCAACTCTCCATAATTTCCCCTCCTTTGTTTTTTCGACCCATTTTTCTATAGGGTACCCTAATTACGGGATCGGGGGCCAAATTGGGTTAAGAGTTTCTCTGGGATAATCCTGGAAGAGGAATCTGCGTTCACTCGAGAGAAGAGGCTAATTAGAGCGTAATTAAGTTTTTGAATATGCAAATTTGGGATGAAAAATTAATATTAGTTGATTGAGTCATCAGTAATGTTATTATTATTGTTATTAAGCAAGGTCTAAATGAGTCAAGGTCGAATTTTAATCCGTCTGTTATTAGATCGAGGCACTCGAATCTGCTTTTGGTTTTTGATATGCGGATTAAGGCGAGGAAATACCGAAAATATTGATAAGACCACAAATTTCCTCCACTTTTCCACGAGTTTAGACCGTTTGTGGCGACTAATTCCGATTTTTTGCAAACTTAGATATCTAAGATTGTAGTAGACATGTCCTATTTAATCTAACGATAGTTGGTGATCTATTTTAATGTAATCGTTTCCATAAAGTCCCATTTGCTCAAATATGGTCCTGTGTTTATACAAAGGCCTTATATGGACTGAATGTGGACCTAGATTTCCTCCCAAAACGCTCCGGATAATCCGCTGCATCTTTTTGGCACCGCATCCACTTTTTCCCGTCGCTTTTGTGGGAAAGTGCACTTGAACGCTGCATAAAGTGCCAAAAAGTCAAAGGTGAATGTAATATTCGTTATGACACGGGTTGTTTTACTTTGCTGGTTTTTGAAAAACTGGAAAATTTTAGGGGTCGATTTTTTTGTCTGTTAAAAATTTGGGTAATCGGAATTTTTTTGACACACCTTTTTAGCGCTTCTTCAACGGTTTTTCTGACGAGAGAGTACCAAAAATGAGGAGAGGCGATCAGAGAAAAAAAATTGACGCTTGTTCATTTTAAATTCCTCAAGGACAAAAGAAATTTTGTAGAAATTTTACGCGAAAATTTTTGAAGAAATCCCGATTTTTTAAAAAGAAAAAAATTTTTTGGTGTTTTCTGCAAAGCGCGAAATTACTATTGAAATCCGAAAAAACGCATAAGAATGACCTGTGACCCTTTGTGGTTTACCTATATCCCCAAACATACCTAAACGCCCATCGTTGAGTGCACTTGAATGCCCTGCACTTCAGAATGTTTTCTTTTCATCGGGTTTATAAAAATGATATTCCGATGGGGTTTATGGGGTTGCGCAAGACCTTAATGTTTATTTAAAGAGGGCTCGGCTTTCAAATTTCTTTGAAATTTAATGGCTTTGGCTTCGTTTTAAGGCTTTAATTTTGGAATTCGAATAATTTTCCAATTCCGAAATTACATTTTAGATGAAAACTTGTAATTTTTTCGCATTTTTCACTTTATTTTAATCGAAAAGTCCTAGAAAAGGTCGAATTTTCGGGGTTCGACTACGTTACTAACCTAATTTCGCAAAATGCCCTGAGGCAAAATTACTTTTCAACCAGAAAGAGTAAGGATTTCCCCGAGTATTTTTTTGCCATTAAAAGCCCCTTTTTTGAAAATATTCTTAATTTAATCCAAAATTTCGACTGAATTCAATCCTGCCCTCAGGCTAAAGACCCTCTCTAATGTTGTTTATCCGATGCATGGATGCCATTTCATATAAAATCTCGGCAAATCATCGAATTCTTGATGATTTTTCGTGCGAAAATTATGTTACACTTGATCATAACCAAAAAATTTTTGAGCAAAATATTCTGTGTTGTATTTTGAACGGTTTGTTTATTTATTTCCCCCATTTCCCGAGCCAACTGTTTTCTTTTGAGGTCATAAACATTGTTTATGCCTTATATTATACTAAAAATTTTTTGAAAATTTAAAAAAGGCTAGTCCGATCGTTAATTTTTCAAATTTATTGAATAAGATTTTACTCAATAATAACCGATTTCCTTTTCAGAATGGACGATGGAACAGGGAAGCGTCCGTACATTCGACTAAATTCCAATCTCCCCAATGTCACAAGGCACACTGGAGGTGAAGTGAGGCTGAAATGCGAAGCCGTAGGATCTCCTCAACCGCTCAGTTTCACGTAAGTTCAAGTTTGACCGTAATTTTGCGGAATTTTGGGAAATTTGAGGAATTCCAAAAAACCCGTCATAGCTGACCGATTTAAGGCTCTAAATTAATATAAAAACAAGACCCCTCAACGTTTTTTTATGTTTGTTGACCCCCGGAGTCACAATCAGCGATCTTGCTACCGTTTAATGTCGTTTTAAAGCATGTCATAATGACGGATTTTATGGATTTTCTTCGATTTTTTCTTTTTTCCTCTAAAAATTTTTTTTAAAGTTAGAACTTGTTTTGCAATGCTTGTAAGCTCGAAAGAAGAGTAGTATTGACTGTGAATAATTTCAGATGGCTCAAAAACCATGCCCCGATTGAGAAAAGTCGAAAAGTGAAAGTCCGAAACCGCGAATTCTGGTCCAAACTGGTCATAACCGATCTGGATGTCCTCGACAGCGGCTATTATCAATGCACAGCCAGCAACAGCGCCGGATCTGTGAATACAACATCAGTTTTGAGGGTAAGTTCCCATTTCGATTTGATTTTTTTAACTTTTTGGAGAAAACTTATATTATCCATGACGGAAATCTGTGGTTTTGCGAAAAACATACGTTATGCATGCGTTTAGTCGGCTAGTATGCCTTGTCTAAAACAAAAAGCATGTGGTTTCTGACAATTTGCCTCCCGTTTCCGAGTCCTGGATCCCTTATCTCCGCCGTTTTACCATCAATAATCACATGTAGCAAAATGCGCGGCATGTTTGCCTAAATTTGGACGGCGTTTCGAAAGACAATGTCCTTTTCCAGACCGTTCCCCGGAGGGCAGTTCCTCTTCTCCGCGGCTCAATTTTTTCCTCGTTCCAAACTCTTTGTGGTCAAAGGTCGTACAGCTGTTTTTTGGAGGGCCGGGGAAACGGCTCGATTTGTACTCCGGCATGTTCGGCTCGGGTTTTATGGCCAGAAAATTTATTGAATTGATCAAGCGTTTTGGCGGATTTTACGATTTTAGTGGGGGTTGGCGGAAGTTTGAGGTGTTTTATGAGTATTCTGGGAGTTTTAAGTGTTCTAGTTACTGAAAAAAATAATATTTGGAGCGTCTGAACCAATTTTTTTCCTTTGAATGGGTATATTAGACTTGATTAGAGTCTTCAAAAGGGTTGGAGAACGGATTGGGACAGAAATAATTGGATTTTCTGGCCGAAAACAGCTTCTCTAATATTATACTAGACAAGAATTTGCAAATTTTGCAAAAAATAGTCCAGATCTTGAGATCTTGCAATTGTTTTCCCCCGATTCTGCCTTTGACTCTTACCCGAGCTCTTCCTCTTTGCCCTTAGGCAGTTTCCCAATTTACAACAGCCTAATTAGCCCCCGATTTTTTTATGAATTTCCTTCCGATCACACCCTAATTTTTTTATGATTCCCACCGCTGATAAACGCAGATTGCCCTTAGGTGAGGCAAATAAATTAGCCCCTGATAGTGTGCTGAGCGTCCACTTGGGAGAGAAAATATTCGAAAAAACGAAGGCGAAGAAAAATTGATGGGGCGCTTCATTTATCAATCGACGCTTTCGCTGCTCGGACAGTGAGTGAGTGCCGTGAGGTCGTCGGGGACGAATGGAAACTCCCATCCTCCACTTTTTTTGTTCGAAGAATGGAGTTCGGCTGATTTGTGAACTACCCTTTTATTTTATGGGAAAGTTGTAAAAATAAGTGGTAATAAGAATGTTGCGTTCCGGCTGGAGGTGGCTTTTTTGGAGCGAGAGTATGATCATCGAATGGTTTGACCTTTAGAAGGTCTTGTCTCGGGTTATGAGTTATTTGGAGCGGTTTTTGTCTAGTGTAATCTCTGTAATATTCACTTTATGGTTGGTTGTTGAAAAAAGAGGTAATTGGGACATCGAAAATTATGCATTGATTGAAGGTATATGAGTTCGATTTTTGTCTACTCTAATATCAAAAATTCATGTTTCTAACAGAAAAAATCTGTAAATCAATTTCCGACGGGCAGTATGATCTTTGAAAATGCCTTTAGGGAAATTGTTAAGGCTGTTTAGCGCTTTCTGGAATTTTTTTTACCTAGTGTAATATCAGAATTGATAAAAATTTCTTACAATTTTTTGCCAAGATATTTGCAAATGAGTGTTTCGATCAACTTTAGGGCTTTTCAATTCTTAAAATACTGTGATCACTCCCCTATAGCCACCTCATCATGTCAGTTAAAGAGTAATTGTCAAAGCAAAGATTACTCAGCCAATGACTCTCTTCTTCATCCCATTCGCTTTCTTTTCCCATTCTTCTGTTTTCGAAATGGATGAGCACCGAAGATTTTGGGGCGATCCACTGACAGCCGATATGAGGAATGAGGGGCGCGCGCGGCCCGGGCTATGGCCCAACTGCGATTTTTAATTATGTTTTGCGCTTTGAAAAGATCTTCGGTTGTAATCGAAAATGGACAGGGAAATAAATGGGGTTTCTATGGGCTGGGAAAGGGAGCTAGAGACTTTTAAAGTTTCAAAAATGGTGTTAAAGAGCCTTAAAATACCTAAAGTAATATAAAAAGTCATAATTTGTGACTTTTTATATTATTTTATGTATTTATGAGCATTTTTTTTACTTTTTAATGACTGTAAATAGTCTGAATGTGCAAATCAGATCTTGTACTGAAATACGAGCCCAAAAGTATTAGCCGATTAGAGAGAGGCGTCCAAAAATTTTAATCGCCACTGATCAGAACCAGATGGTGGCTCATTTGCGGGTTGGTCGCCTCGAAAGAAGCCTCGCAAACGGTCGAAAAACGCTGCGAAAACACTTTGGGAATAGATTTGGGTGGTCTCGAGTATTGTAAATTCTTTCCCGTTTGAGGCCATGTTATCGCGAGTTTACGACGGCCTGTTTAAGAGTGATAAAGCGTCGCGATTGACAGATTAGACTAGTTTCATCTCATCAGCTGAGGTGCTCCAGCTGGGTTTTCTCTGTTCGAAATCTAAATTTCCTCCTGTCTTATCTATTTTTAGCGCGATTTTAATGCAGTTTTGCCCGTTTTTTCCCACGCTCATAAAACGAACACATGATATCGCTGATCATGGCTCATTGTACTGACTCAGGTACTTCTTTCGTCCCAAAATCGCTTATTACTGTCATAAAAGCATCTTTTTTACAGTAATTTCCACGAAATTTTTCTTTGTCCTTGGATAAGAACAATACAAGTTTTTTTGAACTTGTTGGAGCTTATGCGAATAAATGGCCGAGGATTTGAGCGCCCTCAATCTTTTTCTGAATTTTTAATGAGTTTCATTTCACTCTTTAGTCAGTTTTTGCACACTCGGATCATATATTGTCTATGGGCTCATTCTTCCCGGGGTTTGTTCGTTTCGCTGAGAATGCTGTTGTTGGATAAATGGGCGAAAAATAGGAGGATGTGAGGGGAATTTGCATAATTTTGGAGAGAAAAAAACGTGATTGAAGCCGGTTTTTGTTGGCTATCCTAGAAACTGTCTATTATATGGTTGGAATCAAAATTTTCAAAGAATTTTAGTTTAATAGAAGGCTAAAGTCTTTCGAAAGTTTTGGTCTTAACTTTATAATAGACTTTGTGATTACGTAAGGTCATTTTTTTACAGTTTCAGACTGTAATTTGCCTCCGAAACGGCCGAAATTGGACGGAATTTGAAAAATAATAGAGACCACCCAAGTTGCGCACGATTTATTTTGTATAAACGCCGATCCGCGCTTTGTTTCCCCCAAAAAATCTAAAACAATGACTCAAAAAGGATTCGAATTTCCTGGCCAAACTAATTCCGTGTGTGGTAATTAGAACAATACGCCGATTTTCCGATGATTCTTTTGATTTTCGGAAGAATTTTTCCCGTTTTTCGATTCAAGCTTTTACTCGTTTTGAATTTGGGGTTTCGAATTTTCCCTGTGAATTCGAATGGAAAAGCATTTTTATTCTCCATGTTTGGCCAGATCTGCATTGGCCAAGCCGCGTTTCCTCCGTCCTTCCTCTTTGGCCTGACAGATTTCGGCGTCCCAAGAAATAAACTGCCAAATGTCGCGCGATCATTCCGGTTTGCCGGCGATTTGAGTGGACTTTTTGGATTATGGCCAGAGTTTTGAGGGGTAATCTGGCCTGGCCAAATGAAAGATTGAAGTTGCTATAAGTGATTGGGTTTTTTCGGTGAACCCGCCTTGCTGGCCAAGGATAATATGGATTTGTGTTGAGAAACGGGTCTTTGTTGCGTCTACTAAGCGCATGGATCATTCGTAAGGCCTAAGAATCTGTCCAGAACAGCCCTCTTGACCTTATCCTTGATCCAACTCGCCCCCGGCTCTTTGCAACTTTCGTAGCCGCCCGTTCCCACAGGCCACCGCCTTAAAATCCATCCCGAATTTGCCTAATCTCATTCTCATTGGGCCCATCCCGCCAAATGAATTGAAATGAGCCGCAAAAGGGAATTGGCACCGCTGAAGGATTAGGGCCAACGAAAAAACAAAGCAGCGGTCATTCCCGAAAAGAAGCCGCCCCCTCCTCGGTGCGGGCTCCCAGTTGAATTCCGCAATTGATTTGGGGTGACCCTGGGACAACACTCACACCAGATTGTCCAAATTGGAAAAGCGAGAGCGGGCGGAATATAAGGAAAAGTTAATTTCGAGATATTTCGAAAGTTAGGGGGCGTTTGGTTGGGTTTGGGTAGAGTAAAGCCGTTCGGAGGTTTGAATGAAAAGAAGATTGTCTAATTTTTTCGTATCTCCCACGTTATCAAGGCTTGTGCAAAAAAACAGCGTGTTTAAATGGACCTATTTATTGAAATCCAAAAAAATACAAGTTCAATTCTAACAACGGTTAAGGCGCGAAACCACCCATTTTAATCGAATTCCTAATGATTTCCAAACCCCCTCAGGCCAAGTTTCAACCGAGTCTATGTTTTGACTGAGCTCGCACTTTCCTCGGACCCCCATAAATTAGCGTTTTGTCTTGGCGATGGATTTATGGCGGGCCGAGAAAATTGAATGCCTATCGCCGGGCGGGGATTAGAACTCGAGTCGAGAATGATCAGGGTGTTTAAGCCAGGTCGTTAAGTGGTTTTAGAGGCTAATTTTCAAAGTTTACTGGGAAAGTGGGTGATAATAGAGGAATAATTATAAATGGGCTATTTGGGTGGTATAACATATTTTTTTTGCTGTATCAGGTTAAGAATTGTTTGGAACTGTCCGTAACTTGATGAATAGCTTGTTCCTTGCGCCTTCCCATATCCACTCCCCTTCTGTTAGCCACTGGTAACTTGACCTCGAGTCTTCGACGGTTGCGCAACTCCCGTAAACCCCCGTTTTAAAGCTCGCTGACAGATATTGATAGCTTCTTTATGAGAAATATGTCGACGGAATGCGCTCTAAGGTAATGTTAGATCATATTTGATTTGATAAGGCTGATTGTTGAGGAAATTTTTGTCTGTTTTGGATTGTTTTGCAAGTTCTCTCGGGGTGAAATTACAAGGATAAGGTTTGCGAAGAGTGTTGGGAGTTGTTGTGAGCAGATTGCGAGCATATTGGGTATTTAGAGGCGTGAGAGTGTTGAGAATGGTCAGAAGGGATCGTAAAAAGAATTCGGTAAGGTTGGTTGGGTCACGGTTAAGATGATTTTTGTCAAGGATATACTCTAAGAGGGATTTTTGGGCATTACTTTTACTTTGTATGACATAATTATTGTCATGGATAATATAAATTTTGGTGTTTTTTATTAGTTTTTGGGGTTTTCTTGAAGCTATTAAGATTTTTTTAATAGTTTTAGGATGATTTTTGTAAGCTTTGGACTTTATTTTTTCATGAATTAATTTCAATTTTTTTCAGGTGAACACCGCTCCCCCGAATGCCAAGCCCAAGCCCTCGACGTCGGTGAACAAGCACAAGAACATCGAATTCGACGAGGAGTACGGCGATTATTTCGACGAGAATCAACGGGCCGGCGACAACTTTGACGACATGTTCAAGGTCCCCGATGCTGCCGGCGGCCACGGCTACGCGCCCATGCAGGAAATGGCCAACGAACGATGGCTGGACGGCCGCACCCTCACCAAAGGCCAATGTGTCCCGTACATGGGAAGGGCGTGCTCCAACTTCCTGAGCGGTCGATATATTATGATCACAACGGAGAACAGGGACGAGATATACGATGTGGACCATCATATCTCGGCGGCCATGATGTTCATTCACAAGATGCCGGATGTCAGTGAGCAATGCAAGAAATACTCACATGCCGTCGCGTGCTATCATCGCTACAAAGTCTGCGATCAGAGCTCGAGCTCGTATGGAGCGGCGGAAAACGTGGTTTCGTTGTGTAGACCTGATTGCGATGAACTACAGGTAAGAATTTTGAATTTTTGAAGAAAAAAGAGTGGTCCAAAAGAGGCATTCTGTCGATATTTTGCAGTTTTTTTGAGACGTTTTTTGTGATTTTATTACCTATTTTAATATGCAATCTTTCATTTGCAGTCCGCCGTTTGCCCCAAAGAGTTCGCCATGGCCGCTCAACACGAACTGATTGGGGATGGCCCCAAATCCCTTCTACCTCGATGTGACACGATCTCCCCGGACGCCTCTCATTGCATCCGAGTCCTTAACCCAACCCCCTCAGGCGGCCTCCCCAAATCTCCGATTGAAACCATCCCTGAAACGGATCCATCGGCCGGCAAATTCAGCCATTGGTGTTATGTGGACAGTGGCCGCAAATACGAAGGAAACGCGGCCACAACAGTCAGCGGCAAAGTCTGTCTCCCGTGGAGAGACAGCCCGTCGTCCGAGTTCCATCCCACCGCCAATAAACGCCTCAGGAACGCGGGAAATCACTGTAGAAATCCGGGAGGACCCATTAGCCAACCATGGTGCTATGCGGCTCAAACTGGACTCCCAGAGCCGTGTGATGTCAAGAAATGCCCACCCAACTTTTACCCGGAATTCTCAGACTCCGCTCCGGAAATGGGCTCCGGCTTCATCGATGACATGTCCCGGACTTGGCAAGGCTTCAGCCCACAAACTCAATTGATCTCAGCCGCTTCGTTTGGAGCGGTTCTGTTTGCTATCTTCCTCTGTCTTTGCTGCGCTTGCTTCTGCCGGAAAAAGAAGACAAAATCTTCGGCCTCGACCTCGGCAACAACCACTGGTGGCCACAGCACCGTGACCTCGTCGATGCTCAATAAGAACGGCTACTTTGTACAGAGCATGAATGGAGGCTCTTCGATTGCCAACTCGGCCGTCAACGCCCAATATTACAATCGAGGCCAGCCCCCACCGCCGATGATGATGGCCCAACCCAATTATGAAATGAACTCCCTCCTTCATCCTCGCCACGCCGCCCCTGGATCCGCAATTCATTCGATCGGATCGCATCCCTACGCGACAGCACAAGCAGCCTCCCACATGCAATTGTACAGCCCTCATACCTCAACCGATCCCTCAGAGCAATCCATCTCAATTATCAACGAAAATCAGGTAATGAAGTTGATAAGGATATAAAATAATAAAAATCTCTGTGTATATACGATAATATGTAGTTAGTATTGTAGAAAAATAAATTTTAAATCATCGAAGGATAGGATTTTTTGAAATTTTTTGGAATTTGAGGGAAGGGGACATTTTATACGATGAATTCTTTATTGGGGTTTTACGGTGAAATAGGGGTAAATTAAGAGAATTGTGTAGGAAATAGTGACCTATATTATTTAAAATACGCTACGATTTTTTTGGTAACAATTGGTGGCCTAAATTTAGAATAACTTTTTAAAAATGTCTTCAAAAGAATCTTAAAAATCAATTTTTTTAATTATCCAATCTTATAGATCACGATTGAAAATAAAATTGGTGAGGACAGCCGAGAAGTGATCTACCAAGGAGAATACACACCACCAAAGGGCTTTGATCACACTGCAAAGACCATAAAAGTCGCAATTCGGATGCTTCAATTGGGCTCGTCCCAGCTGGAAATCGAAACTTTCCGAGAAGAGATCCGCGGATTGGCCATGTTCGAGCATATCAATGTGATCCGAATGCTGGGTGTGACATACATCGAGCAGAATACGAGAATGGGAGCGGTCTTTGATTACGATGTGAATGGAAATTTGGTTCAATATCTGAAGCTGAGGGAACCAAGGGGAAATGAGTAAGTTTGGAGGGGCAGATGTAGGCTGTATCTTTGCGAATTTGGTTTGAAAAATTGGGGTTTTTTATGGAAAAGATCAAAAAATTAAAAAGATTTTTTGGGATGTCCTCTGCGACAAAAAAATTTCCTGTAACCTTGAAAGCTAGACTTTGTCTTATCAATATTTTTCCAATTTCAGATCGGAAGAAGAACGCTGCCGCAACTACGAGGACATGTGTAAGATCGCGGCCCATATTGCCGGAGGCATGGAATACCTGGCCAGCCAAGGCTTTGTTCATCGAGATTTGGCCGCCAGAAACTGCCTTGTCGCCAACCAAATGGTCGTCAAGATCGCCGACTTTGCCAAGTATCAACAACAATATGATCACGACTATATCATCATGAACAACCAAGCAAAACTCCCGATCCGGTGGATGGCCAAGGAGGCGTTTGAAATTGGAAATGAAAAGACAGATGTTTACTCGTTCGGAGTGACGTTATGGGAGATTTACACGTTCGCTCAACAACCTTATGGACATCAGAGTGATCAAGAAGTTATCGAAAAGATTACATACCGAGATGTGTTGCAGTGCCCAGCCGGATGCCCTACCAAAATTTATGGGTAAGAAATCTTAATTTTGGGTTTGAAATTTCCACGCCTCTTTTATGCAAAAATTTAGGAGAGCAAGCGTTAAAATTTAAATTTTAAAATTCAAATATGATTTCTATTGTTTCAGATTGATTGTCGAATGTTGCAATGCCATCCAGGAGCGTCGTCCCACCTTCCGAGAACTCCATCAACGCCTCCAAGTAATGTCCGCCTTAGGGCATGCCGCCTATGGCACAGCCCGCGCCAGCTCAGTCCATTCCGGCGGATCCTCGGGCCAATCCGGCCAAGGGATGAATAATGGATTCGTGAAGGGCTCCCTAGACGGAGTAAATCAATTTGGCAACCCTATGGTCCCCTCCCCCGCACCCCATGTCACTAAAATGGCTATGATGCCCGGTCAGAACAGTGTAATGCACAGTACCCCGATTGGTCATCGATCTCCGAGGTCGAGAGCACCCAATGATCAAGGGGAAGACACTTCCCCGCTGATGAGAAGGAAACCCTATGAGGCTTACACTTCGGACTCGGCCTCAGAAGATTAGGCAGAGACCAAGTGGAAAGAATTTTGTCATGGTGTATATAATGTTGAACTCAGGGAAATTTGTTGGGATCTCAAGTGTGATCGGTTTTAATTTTATTCATATTTTGCGAAAGCTTAGAATGGGATTTTTTAAGAGCTAAACATCGACGAAATTTTTTGTATGGAATCTTCTCATTTCTGCATGAGAAAGATTGTGTAATATCTTGGTTGAGAGTGTAATAATGAACAAGTGTGCAAAATTTGGGGACGGTCGAAAGTGATCACACTTGGGGCACCTTCCTAGGCAATATTTGTAAGATTTATCATTTTTTCAAGTCTTTCAAACTTTTTGTTTTTTGTATTCTTTGAATTTTATTGGCATTTTGACCGGTAATCTTTGATTATTTTTAGTATCTTCGTTTTGATTTTTCTATTATTTTACTCATGAGTCACAATCTTCTGACCTCGAATTTTTTCTGTTTTTTTTTGACTTTAGTGGAATGAGCTTATTTTTTGTTACAGTAACCCTTAACCCTCTCCATTTCTCATTATAGGGCATTTAATAAAAATTTTAATATTTTTTATTTTGATTTTATCTAGTATTTTCAACCAATCTACCTTATTTCATAATACTCAAGTCATCGTCTGACTGAAACTGGGTCATCTTTTTTGTTGATATTTATTCGAATCTTCTCGCAGAATCCTCTCCACATATGCACACGATTGTAATTGAATTTGAATATTCAAGTCACAGTGAAGGAAAACAGATAATAATAAATATAAAAATTGAATCATTTCGTTTTTTGGAAAGATCTTGGTGAAACTCTTTTTGGAGCTTCAAGGCATGTAACTTCGCATTTAAATTTTTCAAATTTATTTTCAAATTGTAAGCAAGTAAATAATTCTGATATTAACAACAACTATGTACAAAAATTAATATTACAATCAAAAAACTGGCAATAAAAGCGACAAAAGCTATCTTCTCATAGTTTTCGCCATTTTTATCGCCTTCTTCATTAATGGAGGCGGTCCCTTCTTTTTCTCTGGCTTGGTCACTGGCCTTTTCTCGATGCTCCCAAGGGTTCCCTGTGGCCTTGAAACGGTCCTTGAGTGATGCGATGATCTTCTTGCAATTGGCCTGACATCCGAGCACTTGAGAGTCTTCTTTTCTTCAGCCTGTTTTTGTTGTTGCTTGGCAGAGATTCGAGCGGCCAAGTCAGCTAACTTGGCCTCCTCCGCACTCTCGGTACGCTGCAAAATATTTAAATTAATATTTAAAAACTTTTTAATTTAAAAATTACTTTTAAGTCATCAAAAAATATGAAAAAATTTAGGAAGTTATGAAATTTTTTTTACTTACCTTGAAGTATTGGTACCACGATTCTTCGGGCTTCTTCTCCAATTTCGACCCGTATTCTCGCCGAGTGACGTCTTCCCACACCCGATCTTGGCTTTCTCTTACTTCCTTGTTGGAACTGAAGATCATCTCCAGTTCCCGCACAGTGCGATCCCTCAGGGCAACTTTAGATTTCTCCAGCCTTGAAGTTGTGCTGGGGTTGCCAAGCCCGGCGCAATGGCCAGTTTTCCTCCCCGTTGTCGGATCATGAAAGACTTCTGAAATTAATTATTTTTTAAAACCAAGAAATCGGAAAATAAATTTTTTTGGATTTTTGAAAAAATAATTTCTGATGAATAAAAAAGGTTACTTACCTTCAGCCTTCGGCAGCTTAGAGCCGACTGTTGGCTGGTCTGGCTTGGCTGCAGTCTTGGCGATCTTGGTTTTTTTGACGATTGTCTGAAAATTTGAATAATTGTATTGATATTCAAGGATGACGTATAATCAAAATAAAACTCCAAAAAAATGTAAAAAACGATTGCTTACCTGATCAGCTGCAAAAAGCTGCTCCTCGAACGTCAGGGGACGTTTCTGCGCCTTCTGGGAGACGGCGGGCATCTTTGTTGGAACCATTTTACTTGATATCAAAGATTATAATCAAAAAGATTCGAAAATACTAAGCGCCTTCTACCGGAGTCGAAAATGTTAAGTGAATGTGATTTTTGTTTATGTGTTATGTCGTGAAATTTCTGCTTTGTTCAATTCTTTCTGCTTAAAATTGGCAGAGAATTTCTGCAAGCGCCCAGAAATTCAAAAAAATTTCTGTTAATTTTTGTTTGCGTAATTAATTTTAGTCAACCTCCTGTTTTCGTAATTTTAAAGGCAGATTCGTAATTGAATTTAAACATATTGCTTCATTTTCCAATAAGTCATACGGATCGAAAAAATTAAAGTCATAAGATGTATGTCTATGTGTTTGTTAAAGGACCAGAAAAGGTATTTTTTGAACCGATTTTTTTATCGGCGTAATCAGGCAATTTCGTGGCGGGACCATCAAGGTATGCATGTGTTCTCGATTTTTAGAATGGAGAATAAACTTCTCTTGTGAATTCTAAATGGCCGATTGGCCCAAAACCATTGCTTCACATGTTGAATGAGCTGGGTCATTCCAGGAACTCGATGAAAAACATCAAACCCGTTCGTGTATTTTGTTTTTTTTTGTCCTTCAGTTACTTTTTTAGATATCTCTCCGAACAAGAAGGATTGGACGATTAGAAGCAGTTAGAATCCGGACTCGTGGATGGGTATGGTCGACGGACACATGTGGACGGGTGGGAATTTTACTTTTTTTGTGTTTATTTTTTAGACAGACAGGTATCATGAATAATATATTTTTATCAGTGAAATTAGTGCTCTAGCTTTAGTTAATCACTGCATGAAGTAGTCCACGAGTTGATATACGTTTTACAGGACAAAGCATGTTATTAATACTCCGTTTTTGTAAGAACTATGCACTTTTGCCATGGATAATATCAAAATTTGGGCTAAAACTTGATTTTTGGGTAATAAGCTTGAACTTTTGAGCAATAATTTGTTTGTAAATGTTCATTTTGTTTCAGATTCCTGTTACGTCGGGAAAAGACTACGTTTTGCAGGCCTTGGAGACTAGAACAATGCCATCAACACGGGAAATTATCGCTTCATGAACGTTGAATAGTATTTCACCCTTTTTCTCTATTTCAATCTAAATATATTTTCTCTATTTTAATCTAATATTAGCAATAAACCTTTTCTTAAGATCTGTGAGTTGTTTTTGAATTCGTCAAGGAACTTGACGCCATGTTCAGAGTAGCATCCATGGAAAGAGATACCTAAAATTCAAAAAAAAAAACTGGATAAAACGGAAAAAATTGAACTAAAAACGGAACATGAATAGTAAATGCTAAAGTTTTGCCATCTTTCTGACAATGAGCCTAGAAGACCAAATAGAACCTGAAAGACGAGCAATATCAGTAATTTTCCAATTTTTCATGAAGTACAACATGATTTTTGAACTTATATGACGATTTTCGATGGAATTCCTGAAATTGCACATCTTATTCAGCATTAATATCAATCTTTCTGGGCCAATCAACTCCATCTTCCGCCAGAAACGTCATTTAAAATTCACAGGAGAAGTTTATTCTCCATTCTAAAAATCGAGAACACATACATACCTTGATAGTCCCGCCACGAAATTGCCTGATTACGCCGATAAAAAAATCGGTTCAAAAAATACCTTTTCTGGTCCTTTAAAGCTGAAGAGGACTCTTTTTCATACTAAACTTTGCAAAGACGTATCAGATTTGTGACAAGGTTGGCTATCAAGTTGGAACATTTTCCTTGCAAGATTATTCGTATTTTGAGAGATTTACCGTGTACATTACACTGTTGTGCTCTCTGTTTATTACAAATTTACAAGAAATTCATAGTTGATTCAGTTCTCATCCCTGCAAAGCTTCAGTTCGGAAGTCTTTTTGGCAATTTCAGATACCAATTTTGCGTCGTTTTCGTTTGGGATGTACCAATCATCGATTGCATATTTGAACGAATCTCCGTATTTCTGAGCGCTACCCAAACTGACATTGTTGAACAGCAGCCAGGGGACACCGTACTTCTTCTCAGGTCCAATAGCATCAGTTCTGGCGCCGTGCGCTCTGTGCAATTGATCAGCCAAATCGGTGTTGTAGCAGGTGCTAAAATACGATTTTGTAGATATTTTTGTTGCTTGGCCGACTTACGTTACTCGAGCCGCGAGATCGGCGGAAGTTTTGAATGTGGCGTAACATTTGGTTGCAGCTTTTACGATGTCTGTTTGGGGAAGTTGCTGTTCTAGACATCTGACGAAAGGAATCGGATCCTCGAAGTAGTGGATAACACAGGCTTCGTACTTGTTTCCCGCGCATTCGGGAGTGCCATGCTGACAAAGAACTTGGCCGTTCTGAAAACGAACATATCTAATTGCTAGAAGACGCCTGGAAAAGTCATCAAAAATGGTGATGTCTGCCCGCCAAATGACGAGCTACATATGATACAAATCTCTTCTATGCAAATTTAATTTCAACCTAAATTTGCGTTAGTCTTTCTTACAACTTATAGCCTGAGGCCTTGGCATCTTTCTTTATAGATATCAACTGCCGATAGCTCCTTACCTTTCCAATCTTTGCGTTTCCATAAGGAACCAACTCAAACTCGACCTTATCCGCATACTTTAGGTAGATGTCGGTGTAAAAAGTTCCAATAATAAACCTCTCACAATAGGGACACAACGATTCATAAAGCAGCGTCAGCCGAAGCTTCTGGCCTTTGCTTTTGGTCGTATATTCATTGCACTGTTGAGAGACGTTACACTGAGCCGCAAGGTCTTTATTTTGGCACCAAAGCGAAGGTGGGACTCTGCCGCAATCGATATTTGAGGAATGCCCTAAGGCCAGTGTTCCCAGAAATAACAGATATTTGAGCATTTTGGTTTATCTGAAGTAAGTATAGAAATGAAATAGAAAGTTATCGAATCGGCAAATTGAGAACGGCAAAAGACTAGTATTATACTACATATTACTATTCGGTGTTTTAATATTTTTTAAAACCGAAAGCGCCTTAGACACACACAGATTGATTAAAGAACTATCCTGACGCAATATTGCTCTTGTGTACGTTGCTCTTTTATATAAATTTCTTATCACCGAACTACCCTTTATGTCGAATCTTGTTTAATTAATGATAATTTTGTGAAGAGAGCGTTCCGAGGGTAAACAATTATAAATTTATAGATTCTGGAACCAACAGGACATTCGGAAAATCTATGGAAAAATAAATTCGAATAACTACAGTCAAAAGCTTCAGAAATACTCCCTTCGGTTGTATTATTTGTTTATTACATGAAAAACAATAGCGCAGTATACCAAATGATTTGCTTCAATATGCGATCAAAATCAAGGACCGTTTTACAACACTCTTATGCAGGCACATACCATCCATTAATTGCGGCACTTATATCTTCCTGAAAAGTCTGAATCCCGTCAAGGCTGACGTTGTTAATCAAAATCCAAGGGACCGATGTCAGCTCAACAAGGTCGTGTCCGTAAGTTCTTGCCTGGTTCTTTTTGATTAATTCATTCCCTAATTCCCCATTATAGCACTGGCTAAAAGGGATTGTAAGATATAAATAAGTGCTTACTTAACCTCATCAACAACACTAGAAGGCGTCCCTAATTCCTTGTAACAAGCTTCAGCAGCTTCGTTAATATCCTCCTTCTGCTCTAGCTTCTCTTCCGCACATTTGATAAACGGAAAGGGATCTGACAAGTAATGTATCAAGCAAGCTTCGTATCTGTTTCCATTACATTCCGCCTCAAGATGCTGACAAGTCACATGCCCTTGCTGCATAATTTTATGAATTAAATTGCTCTCTCTCTTACCTCATCAATCTTAGCTTTACCAAACGGAACTAACTCGATGTCGACCTTATCCCTGTGCTCGGAATAAAGCTTATATAACGGGCCTTTGATGAACCACGAACAATCAGGACATAATGTTTCGTAAAGAACAGTCAACAAGATCTTCTGGCCTTTACTGCTTGCCAGGTAGTCGTTGCATTGCTGGTCCCATTTACATTCCTTGGACAAGGTTTCGTTTAGACACCAAAGAGCCGGTGGAATTTTGGTGCAGTCCAAACTGAAGGAATTGGTTAATGGAGTCAACCCCAGGAAAATCAGGAACAACAACATTTCCCTGTCGGCAGCTAGAGCATAATAATCGTAAAGTAATAAATATAAATCGTCCTTTTATTCATTAATGCTTTAAAGGTCTGCCCGTAACTTTTAAAATGTGTAAAGGCAACAATATTATCGCCTAAAGTACACGATATTTGTAATGGTGTTATGAGTCAACATCTGATGAATGGTTTCAAATGTTATTCAGTCTCGCTGCCGCTGTTTTGTCAACTTTTCCTTGAACACGTTTTAGAGCAGTTTGAAGTTATAACCAAGGCCTCAGAAATATCAGGAAATAATTTGTATCTATTTATCAAAGCCTGGTTATTTTACTGTAGCGAATGATTTGACTATTTGTTATTTACCGATGTAGGTCTGAAGATTTGGAAGCATCGACTAATGTTTATTTGAAGTTACAGAAATAAAAAAATAAAGCAAATTCTTTTTCTACCGAAGCAAAAACCGTAGTTTCGCATCTTGTAGTTATAATTCAAGATGACAAACATTATTATTGTTGACCAGCTTGTCTTCGGTTAAGAAAATTTTCTTGGAGACGTCGTTTGGCACATAAAAATGCTTTGCAGCAAACCCTAGGTCATTTCTATAGCCTTGAATAGCCTTCAGGCTGACATTGCTGATCACAAACCATGGAACAACATGGGGTCTGGTCGGATGGGCACTGTAGATTCTTGCAACATACGCCTTAGCTAGTTCCTCTCCTTCTGCCTCTTTATAACATCGGCTAAAATTCGATCAATTTGTATTGTCCTTCGTTCCTTACTTTACATGATCGATCGTGGCCGCATCAGTTTGGAATTGTTTGAAACATTCCTGCCCCGCTGCCTCAGGTCCTTGGTCAATCCGTTGCTCCACACACCCAATAAAAGGCACTGGTTCTTTGACGTATTTTATAAGACAAGCGTCGTACTTGCTTCCGTTTACTTCTTTCTGAAAATATTTTATTTTTTTTGTCTCTATCCCGCCAAGATATGTCATCTCTTACGGGGTACTTATGATCGCCGCCAACAGGGGCCAGCTCAATGTCCAGTTTATCTCCATGATTCGAATAAACTTCCTGTAATTCGCCTGAAATGTACCTTCGGCAAGCTGGGCACTGTGTCAGGTACATAACAGTGACTGGAATCTTCTGGCCTTTGCTTTTTGCCAAATATTTGCTGCAGGGAACATTCCATCCACATTCTTCAATCAGAGTCTGATTTAGACACCAGAAAGCAGGTGGGACTTGGTCACAGTCGATAACGGAGGCATGAACGGACCCCGCAATTACAAGGAGAGCAAAGATCAACAACATTATTTGCCTACGACTTTTTCAGAATGGGAATTGAAGCGTAAAAATCACTATTTATAACCTGTAGACTCAAAACTCATTGAAGGTCCTTAAAACATTTGAATCCTTTGTTTTATCAACCATAAAACGCCTCCTTGAAAAGTTTGGTTATATTCAAATGTTAGCCGACTGTATTATTATCTTTATTATACTAAAGGGTTAAAGGTTACTGACACATACTAGTCGCGCCGTAAAGTCCTGACACATATTCGCGCGAGAAAAGTGGAAAGCTCGCGCGAAAGTGCATGTCGCCAGTGCAAAAACAGGGAATTGCCGCGACGGGTCCGAAAGAAAAACAAATATGCTCTGTGTAAATTCCTCAAAACTTTATGTCGCGACTAGTAGTTTCGTGTGTTTTGCAATGTTCCCAGCAACAACTGTCTTGCGGAAAAAAGCAAGTGGGGGCAAAACACCCTAAGGCCGACAGTGGAACAAAACCGGGGTGGGGATAGAAACGCCCCATGCCTGATTTTACTCTAACATGTCTCAATTTAATGTTTATGCAAATGCCAACGAATATTTTGGCTTACGTCTTGGTCGTTACCCTTGCTAAGCCATCACATAGAACGGAACGGTCATTAAAAAACGTGGTTTCCCTGATAATCTGCAACCTTTGTTTGTGAGAAATTCGTTAGGTCCGTAACTCCAGAAAGATTTAAATGATGATCTACGCTAGCAAAATTCCATGTGCTAGATAACGTTTATTTCAAACTACGGTAAATTGAAAAGCAGCAGATGTTTTTAGGTGACAATATCAAGTCAAAAGCATTATGGAAACTTGGTAATGCTGTGTAGCAAGGATTAGCAAACTCCCTTTCGTGTAAGTTTCTTGCCGGTCTCCTTTGCACTGTCGCTTTTCACATACCACTGTTTAATTTCAGATTCGGGCTCAAAGAATTGAATACTATTCAAGCTGACATTGTTAAACACAAGATAAGGAACACCGATGTTGTCTATGTTGTCTGGTTGGACATTCAGAGTTCTTGTGACGTGGGCCTTGGCCAGATCCTCGCCTTCCTGACTGTTATAGCATTGCCTGAATAGACGTTTTTATATTGTGTATACATTTCTTGAGATGCTTCAATAGCCCTATTCGTGACATTTTATTGCTTACTTTATATTATCGATCGTCCCAGCGTCCGTCTGGAATTTTTTGAAACATTTCTCGACCGCTTGCTCTAAGCCATTCTCAATATCCTGCTCCACACAACCGATAAATGGAACTGCTTCTTTTATGTATTTTATAGCGCATGCTTCGTATTTGTTTCCTTTACACTCTTCTTCAAGGTGTTGGCAATGAATGCTTCCGTCCTAAATGTAATTTGTTAAAAATTTGTATTCCCTTAAAGGCAGTCCTTAAACCACTTCTTACGGGATTAAAATGCGCATTTCCAGCAGGGACCAACTCGATGTCGACTTTATCCCCAAACTTTGAATAAATCTTCTGTAGCTCGCCTGTAATAAACTCTTGACAAGCATCACACAACGCCTCGTACAGAACGGTCAGTTGGATCTTCTGCCCTTTGCTTTTTGCCAAGTATTTGTTGCACGGAACATCCCATCCGCATTCTTTAATCAAAGTCGGATGACGGCACCAGAGAGCTGGTGGAATTCGGTCACAATCATAGTCAGAGGCTTGAGCGGAACCCATGAGGGCAAGGAAGACAAAGAGCGTCAACATTGTTCACCAGCGGCAAGATCAGTAACTGAATAGAAGTGCAAAAATGAAAAGGAACTATGGCTATTTATACTTGGTTTTGTGGACTCATCATTACATTAAATGTTTATAGAGAAATTTCAAGAACTTTTGAAACTCTGAAATTAGCAAACAGCTCTTCAAAAAGTTTAGTTTTGAACTTTCGGTCAGTATTTAAATGACTGTATATTTTATTTGCTTTGAAAAAAGCGGTATTACATTTAGTTTGTTTCATTTCATTTAACGACCGCCATTGTGAAGATACATTTTTATACATACCAAATGTCAAATAATAACAAAAGAAGTGTTCCAACAGCGACCCCGATATTCCTTTCCAATTTTGCGGACGCATAGCCACATGCATACATATCAGTTCCTTAAAACCTTGGTTTGAAGAGGGAGCGAGGTATGTTTATCTCAAAGTCTAGGTTATTTCTGCATAAAAAAGAAAGGAGTTATAAACGTATAAAAAAGTAATTTTATCCGAGTTTCATGAAAATCTCAGCATCAAGCCTTTTTCCTGTAAAAACCATTGTCGTACAAAGATTTCGCGGAAATTTCATTTCGAATTGCGTAGTTGAAAGGACCGGCAGTGCGGTTATTTAATACTTTTTAAGTAAGCTTTCTACGGCTTGGGGAACAAATTTTTTTTTTGGTTGTTATTGATAAAATAGGCTACGTAATTTTGTAGCCATTTTTGCGATCACCATCTCAAACTTGTGCAACACACTTTACATTCATGAATTTAATCAGTAACGAAATAGAAAACAGAATGCAAAGAATCCAAGAAGGATGAGAATATTGTTGTGGAATTGATTGCCGTATCTTGTGGAACCGCTGGCATTGCAGCATTTGACGCCGGTCATTATCAAGTCGTTCGTCTCTTCCTGTCTACGCAAACAGTCGGAGATCTTTGCTTTCAACCGATAACGTAAATGTTGCTTCCTAGCCTGAAATCTTAGGTTATGTCAGAATTTCATATTACAATACTGTGCGAGAATAAGGCTTGTTGTCAAGCCTTATTTTTACAATTTTTTTTCCAATGAAGTACAAAGTCAACGCGAAAACATAAGAAACTGATGCATGATTAACCTACAAATTTGTTAAGATCCTTCGCGGTCTGTTTGATGGCTTCATGCCGTTTTACAGTGTCATTGAGCACCTTCTCTATGCGCGTTTGGTGACTAAGTACAAACTGACTGCATTTATTTCTAAAACCATATCATTATAAAAATTACTTTGCAACTACTAGACATTCAGCCACTATTATTAGAATTAACTTACTCGAAGTAATCTCCATTGGCAACGGCCAGGAATGACAAGAAGACGATCGATAAAAGGCTCCCAGAAAACTTCATATCCGCTAATCAATAGAACCTTTAAAGGCTTGTCGTTTATAAAGCCGGTTTGAACTTTATAAACTTCAGATCTTCACTACGCATTTATTTATCTTCGGTGTTTATTAGTCACAAAAAAGTAGAGTATCTTCACCTTTATGAGGAGCATTCTCCGTGTTAACGCTTAGTTGAATCATCATTTGGACCCGGAAGTTATTGGATGAGTCGATGAGTTGAAAAAAACAACGTTAGTTTTAATCACCAATTTCCGTAATTTATTCTCGGATATGACAACATTTTTGCTGAACTTTGAATAGGTTTTGAACATGAGTGTTTTCAAAGAAATTTTTATCAACGAAAATACAAACGAGTTAGTCAGATTTGACAGAAAGTAAACTCCAAGCTCACCTCCCGTCATTTTGATGTCGTTATTGAAAAATCTGTAAAAAATATGAAAACAGAAGCTTATGCAACATCTCTTACACAATCAAAAATTAACAGAAATTTTTTTAATTTCTCAGCACTTCCGGAAATTCTTTGCAGATTTTAAGCAGAAAATTTTTTAAAAAGACAGAAATTTCATGGCATCTCACATAAACAAAAATTACATTCACTTCATTTTCACCGTTAAAAGGTGTGTATTTTAACGAATTTCTTTTATCATCATACTTGACATCGAGTACAATGGCCTCAACCAAGATGCCCACTGTCTTCCAGAAGGCTCAGAAACGCCCTTTGAAGTTCGAAGAGCAGCTGTTAGCAGCTGATCAGGTAAGTAATCATTGTTTAAACTCTATGTTTACGGTTTTTTTTTTGAATATTAAAATTTTTTCAAATATTGAAAATCTTCACCAAAGATGGCTAAATTTTTAGCCGATCGTCAAAAAGATCAAGTCCGACAAGGCAGCAGCCAAGCCAGTCCAGGCTGCAATCAGCTCCAAATGCGTCGGAGTTCCGAATGTCGAAGGTAAGCAGTTCTTTATATTATTCATGACATGGGAAATCCCCCAAAAATAATTTACCGCGCTTTTTGATCTCCAAGATTAATTGATTTCAGAAGTCTTTCATGATCCGACAACGGGGCGAAAGACCGGTCATTGCGCAGGGCTTGGCAATCCCTGCACAGCCTCAAGTTCGGATAAATCGCACATTGCCTTGAGGGATCGCACTGTGCGGGAACTGGAGATGATCTTCAGTTCCAACAAGGAAGTAAGAGAAAGCCAAGATGAAGTGTGGGAAGCCGTCACTCGGCGAGAATTTGGGTTAAAATTGGAGAAGAACCCCGAAGAAACATGGTACCAGTACTTCAAGGTGAGTAAAAAAATTTTCATAACTTCTTAAATTTTTTCATAATTTTTGATGACTTAAAATTAATTTAAAATTTTTCAACATTAATTTAAATATTTTGCAGCGTACCGAGACCGCGGAAGAAGCCAAATTAGCTGACTTGGCCGCTCGAATCTCCGCCAAGCAACGCTTGAAGCAGGCCGACGAAAAGAAGACCAAATGCGCGGAGGTCAGGCCAATTGCAAGACGAAGACCATCGCAGCCATCAAGGACCGTGCCATGGCAACAGGCAACGCTTGGCACCATCGAAAAGAGGACAATGCACAAGCCAGAGAAGAAGAAAGGGCCGACTCCATTAATGAAAAAGGCGATGAACATGGCCAAAAGAATGAGAAGGTAAACTTTTTCTTTTAATTATTTGACTGCCAGTTGTTTGTTTGTATTGATTTTAATTTATTTTTCTTTTTAATAATATTATTTATTATTTTATATTTTTAAATAAATTTAAAAAATTTAAGTGCGAAATTGTTTGACAAGCTTATAGCGAAAGAGTTGTAATGAATGCCAACGAGTAAGAATGAGAACCAAAATTTTTGTTTTTATACAGGTTTTGTTGCACAGAGGTCTTACTGTAGTCTACGGGAAGATAAGACAATAAAACTTGTCCTGAAATTCTGCCACGCGTCAACAAGTCGGAGTGTTGCACTTGGAACGTTTCCCTTGTTAGACGAATGCACAGTGGTTACAAATCTTTCTTCTTGGTTGGTGTGTTCATGCTTTGGCGGTTACTCATGCCCAGTCGATTAATTAGTCAGAGCAGACTTTTCGATTATATTTTTATTAAACGATTCGAATTTTTAATATTACTAATACTCAAGAAATCAAAAATATTCAACGATTTTTTGTCTTTTACAGTTTCCAGCTAGAAAAGTTACTTTTGCTGACCGTTTCTACTCACTTTCACTGCGATCTCAGGAAAACATGAACTTCCTTTAAACGAAAATCTATAACGAAAAAATGCATATTCTTTTTAGACGTCTTAAGTTCTCGAAGACAATTGCAACAGTCTATTTTCTGGAGCCAAATGTAAATTCTTTTTATATTGCATCTGTAATTAACGACTTTGTTATACTGGGTTTCTCTTTTAATTCTGTGCATTTTTCATGTCGTTGCAACCGATTTTCAACAAATAATCTCGTTTAAATTTTTCACCCATTGACATGCAGATTGGCCCCAGAAACATAAAAAGTGCAATTCTGCGGGTCATTGAGATCTCAAAGACTATTTTGAATTTCTTTTTTTGTAATTATTTCAAAGTCAAAACATAAAATTTTCCGTATTTTTAATCGAGTCATTGTACGGAGGCTTCGAATTCCTGAGGAATCCCATTTACGCTCATTTACATCCGAACGTTATAGTAAAGGTAATTCAGGGTTGCCAACTGTTCAAGGACAATTTTAGAAGATCGGAAGAACCTAGAGGTTAAAAGATCAAGTAGAATACAATATTAATTGTCATCATGGCAGAACGCGAGACGTCTAATGTGAGACTTTTGAATTATGATCAGTTTAAGACCCGACAAAAAATTTCTTAGTAGTTGTGCATAAGTCACATAACAGTATATGAAAATCTTAGCATTTTTGTACACCCTAACCAAGGTTCCCCTTGGTATCGCTTTTAAATCTTCCTTTCTGAAACACTAAAGTTTAGTTGATAGGCTTCAACGTTGACCATGTCCAAATTCCCTTGCAAGTTGTTTTGTGGCTGCTGGCCGCCAGTGCAGCTAAAATACGTAAGTTTCTCCAACATAATCACTGTATTCTTTACCAGTTTTCCACGCAAACAAAAAAATGGGCGAGAAAATCCCGGATTCAGCTTTATTAATTTCGCTCGGCCTTCTGTTGGGATTGGTATTCAGAAATTTCAATTTGGTATCAAATTTCACCATGGATTCCACTGTATTCTTCTTGTATTTGCTGCCGCCGATAGTCTTTGAGGCGGGGTATTTCATGCCAAATCGGCAATTATTTGACAATATTGGGTCCGTCGCCATGTTTGCGATCTTTGGAACCGTCTGGAATACAATCACAATCGGTGAGCACTTTCTCTTTGGTCTGTTAGTCATCGTCTTATAGGCGCCACTCTCTACTACGGCGGCTATCTCGGGCTGTATACTGTAAAAGTAAACTGGCCGGAACTCTTTACTTACGCTGCGTTGATATCAGCGATTGATCCTGTTGCCGTGATCGTCGTGTTTGAGGAGCTTCATGTCAACGAATTCTTGTTTATCAACGTTTTTGGAGAAGCGTTGTTCAATGATGGAGTTGCCGCCGTTCTCTTCCAAATCTTTAATCGGTTGACGCTGTTAGGGCCTGCCAAAGTTGCTGGTGAGTTTTTTTTGAAGTATTGATGGCGCTGGTAAGCGGGGAAGCTTTAAGTGTGATTTTCAGGGTGTCTTTAGAATTGTCACACTTGTGATACCTAGGCCAAAAGTGAATCGCTGAAAAGTTTACTTCGCGCTTTACTAGGGCAGCCGAAATATTCAAGCCAATAGGAATGCTGCAGAAATTTCAAAAAACCTTTAGGAAATTTTAAGAACTCGAATGCCAATATTCACTGCATTCAGAGCGTCGCAGTTCGAATATTTAACCAAACATTTTTTTGCAGAATTCTCATTCGCTGACTACTTTGTGATAACGTCCACCGGATGTTTCGTCGCGATTGGCGGTATCATTTTTGGTGTGGTCTTCGCCTTCCTCTGCGCTCTCAGCACCAAGCACACCCAACGGGTGAAGATTGTCGGTCCCGTTTTCGTATTCCTCTTCCCATATTTGGCCTACCTGACCGCCGAGATGTTCGCCTTATCCGCGATTCTGGCCATTTGTTTTTGTGGGATCTTCATGAAGGATTATGTGAAAGGAAACATCAGTGTGGAGGCAGCGGCGTCAGTGAAATACTTTGTGAAAATGCTGGCCCAAGCCTCGGAGACGGTCGTGTTTATGTTTCTGGGGCTGTCAGCGGTCGGATCACCGTTCTACTTTGACTTTTATTTTGTCTTGATTACACTTGTGGCGTGCGCGGTTTATCGAGCATTAGGTGAGTATTCCGCATTCTGAAGATCTCATAATTTTTTTAAAAAAAATATTGGTTTAAAACTGACTTCTTTTTCGACCAAAAATACCAATTTTTCAGGAGTCGTTATTCAATGTGCAATCCTCAACCCCTTCCTTCAAAAGAAGTTCTCCTTTTCGGATCAGTTTGTAATGTCCTACGGAGGTCTTCGAGGTGCGGTTGCGTTCGGATTATTGAGTAATATCCCCTCAACCTTGGATCAAAATATAAAAGACCTTTTCAAAACAACAACAATAATTGTCATCTGTTTCACAGTTTTTGTTCAGGTAAGTTCCTTGTAAAATTTTCAAATTATCGCCAAAAAACATAACAGTTACCTTGGTACTGATATAAATACAAGGTCTAAGTACATAATGTCATCAATTTTTCAGGGGACGACAATCCGGCCGATTTTGAATTTCCTGCAAATCGAAAAAAAGTCCTCCGCAGATGTCAAATTTGTGGAACGAGTCTTTGACAGGGTAATTTTCCCCTCAAATACGACAAATTTTTGCATTTTTGATGACATTATCTATGACAATCCACTTCCCTTTTCAGTATTTCGACTACACTCTCTCCGGAATCGAAGATATCATCGACCAGAAAGGCTACAACACTTTCCGCAGCTGGTATGAGCGTCTAAATTCCAAATATTTGAAGCCGTTTTTGATCAAAGACACCGACCCAACCCTATTCGATCCCTCTGCCATTCTTCGAGCGTACAATAAAGTGACCGCCGGCGAGGTTTTGGCGCTAAATCAAGAGATTTTGGATCGAAAAAGAGCGATCAAAAAGACGATCGAGATCGACGAGGTTAGTGGGATTGAGAATATTGGATTCGACAATGATTCAGTGGCCTCGGCGAGTACAACTGGTAATAGGGAGCTTCAGCAGGTACAATTTTTATTTCTGAATGAAATTTGCTATACCAAAATTTTCAAAATCAAAATTTTTTTAATCTAAACTTTCAGTTCCTCCACAAAGAAGAGAACTTGAATGCGATGTGCTCGATGATCGAAAGGATCGTTTCACAGAAGCTTCAGGGCTACAATCACATTTCCTCGGCGGTGGACCGTCGGAAATCGACCGTGGCCGATATTCAGGACGATTATTTACATCAGCTCAAGAATCATTTATAAATTTTTTATTTTCTTTTTTATCAATTATCAAATTAGATGGTAATACTCGCTTTGAAAAGTGTGAATGGGCAATGCCTCGGGGGCATTCGCTTTCAACAATGGGCCTAACATTAAAGTGCACTCAAATTTGGGGATTTGTTTTGGGAGGGCCCAAAAACTGCACTGGAGACAAAAAACAGAACTTCAAATTACAGTATGACATGTGATCCGTACTGTAATTCAAAGACATAATAGCAGTCGTACCGTAAGACAAAAAAAGTTTTCAAAAATTCAAAAAATTACAGTAAGACAAACAAATTAAAATAATTTTTTGTTACAGTAGTCCGTTAACAATCTATCACCAAATTACTATGAACAACTACCATTACTTGTCTAAAAAGTACTGTAAATTAGAGCAAGACCAGCAGCTGGTCCTGCAACTTACAAGGGAAGTCACTTAAATCACGGATCGATTTTGTAAAACGACTGTTACAGCGATGGGGAGGGTAGGACGGAGATACCAAATCTGAAAACCGCTACCTCCACCGGCCTCTGGGAGCCGAGATAATCGACCAAAAAGTTTGACCAAATTCGTCCGAACATTTCTTCCTTCCGAAAGAGGAAAAGTCAGCGAACCAAATGGTCCGGTGGTCTGGAAGCGCGCTTCCGGGCCTTAACCTTTTCAGGTTCGAATCCGCGCGGGTCTCGAGCTTGTGAAAAATTTATAAAACAGTTGATGTAATCCAGTAAATTTACTAGCAATTTATTTTTAGATTTTATGCCTATTTTATGGTAAATTTTCAACCTGGAAAGTTCAAATGGTTTGAAATTCGCGTTCAAATTATTACTCTGAAATTTCGTAAAATATGCAAAAAATCAAAAATTTTATCTTACCCGTAAATTTACTGGATTACAGGAAAAGTTTAAAAAATTATTTGGCCCATGCGGATTCGAACCTGAAAAGGCCAAGGCCCGGAAGCGCGCTTCCAGACCACCGGACCATTCGGTTCTCTGCCCTCCTTCTTTCGGAAGAGAGGACTATTCGGAGCAACTTTTTTTGGTCAAACCTTTTTGGTCGATTATCTCGGCTCCCAGAGGCCGGTGGAGGTAGCGGTTTTCAGATTTGATATCTCCGTCCTACCTTCCCCATCGCAGTAACAGTCGTTTTTAAAAATCGATCCGTGACTTAAGTGACTTCCCTTGTTAGAGTAAGACCAAAAAAATCAGTTACAGTAATCCAGATCACTATAAAATTCATAGCAGTTTTTAGAAATTTTAAGACACTTGAGAGTATTCGCTACAAATTGTACACAATATAAGAGGGCTTGGGAAATTGGGAAAATAATTAAAATGCTAAGCCTAGACGTTGAGCCTAATTCCTTGGACCATTTCTCTGGCCCGTTTGCTTCCATTTGGCCGCTTCTTATTTCTTGGTGACCTCAAATTTCGGGAGGAAGAGTCCGAATTTGTGTTCGATGCCACTGAAAGTGGCTGCCGCGAGTCTGTAGCCTCCAACATGATCAGGGTTCACCGAGGCCCGGTCCACAACACTTTGAGGGGCCGAGACCTCGGATCCGGCGGGACGGGTACCTCCGAAATCAACGTAGAATAGTCGTTGGAGCAGTTCGTAGGTGAGGAGAGTGACTGCGAATTGAGGGGAGGAACGGCAGACACGGGCCGCGGTGCCCTTCCAGAGGGCCGAATGACCTTCTTCTTTCGTTACCTAAAAATATTTATAATTAAGAAAGTTAATAAAACGATGAAACACTAAAATATATAAGCCAAAACAAAGATTATTAGGGAATACTTTGCCAAAAATTCGATTTACTTACTTCCAAAAACCCATCAAAATTTCCAAACAATTTTTCGAAAACTTTTAAACTTTCACCCGCTCCTTAGAAGCCTCTAATCTGAATCTCTTCGATGTTTCATCGAATTCAACCAGCCAGATTTTGAGTCATAGCCCAAAACATCTTATACTACAATATCATCTCAAAAAAATCCAAAAAATGCCCTCAAACGTCCAATTTCCTCTAAAACCTCCCACAATTCCCTCAAATAATTTCCAGCTACATCTATCCTCCACTCCTCACCTTTCTGAAGCAATCAAAGACTCCATCATACGTAGTTTGACCAGCCCTTGCTGCCACTTGAAGTCTTGTTTTGATCACATCGGCCGGGGTCACTAGAGCTGCGGCTGGGACACCGGCAATGAACGCAGAGCAGAAAAGCGATCCTGGGCCGTTGAGACCTCGCTCATCGGCGGTGTTCTTCTTGGCATGCGCGTAGACGGGGAAATAAATGGCGGAGAAGGGGATATCTCGGAGGAAACAGGCCCTCGCTCCTCGATACAGACCTAACAAGCCGAGCTCTTTGATCACATGGAACACTCCAATCTTCTGAAAGAAAAGCATACATAAACTTTCATATATACCTTATATTCCGGACAAAATTTGGATACTACCCTAGATCAAATACAATAAAATGTAAAATCAACTTACATGGCCTCCTTGAATCTCTCCCGCAACTTGCAATCGAATTTTCACAATCTCCAATGGATTTGTGAAGACGACTTGAGAAGCTCCGGCACATCCACCGGCCAGGATTTCTCCCCAAAGCGGGATTCTTCCGTCCTTCGATAGTTTATCACGGACCAAGTCATTCATCGTCAATTTTATGGCCTTTTCTGGGGCGACGCCAATGATTTGAGGGAGAAGACCACGGTAGAGACCGAGGACACCTAGAAAAATATCATTTTATGCCTGAACCCCGAAAAATTTCAGGTCCATCTAACACAATATATAACTTGATGGTCAAGAAATTTAGTGTGGTTACTAGCGTAAAAATTGCGAGAAAAGCCCCAAATTTATAATTAATAATACTAATAATAAAATTTCCTTCATTGACCCCCTCCTTACCTTCAAACTTGACGACTTTTTTGAAGCAATCCCAACTATTCTTGTACATGACCTCCCCGATCACACTGCCGGTTCTCTGATTCTGCATTCTAGTTTTGACCAAGTCGATTGGGTACACTGCGGTCGCTCCGCATGCGCCGGCCACCGACCCCAACGTGAATCTGTAGGCGCTTTCCAAAATCGCGGTTCCGAGACCCCTTTCTTCCTTGGTGTGGACTGCTTTGAAATTGGTGAGCCTCGTCATATAAGTGACTCTCTTGAGCCTGTCCGGGTCGATTCTTTCCAGATCTTCCATGCCGACCACTCTGGTGCCGGGATGGGCCATTTCCGCGATATGGAAAAGGATCTCCACTTCATACGGAGTGATCTGTGCGTAGCATTGTGCGGCCTGAAGGAACTCCTCCTTCGTCACTTTTAGGTCCAAATTTCCACGAGCAATCGAAATGTAGACGCGTTTGATGAGCTCGATCTTGTTCAGGAGCGAATTCATGGCCTGATAAAAGGGGAAACGGACCGAATGGGCGCTGGAATTGCCGCCGGCGATCGAAATCAAGTTGTTTCTGACGAATTCGGTGAGTAAATGGGACTTTACTGAGGTCATGATGGTGTAGAAATCGGAGGCAGAGATGCTGCCATCGCCGGATTTGTCAAATCTAAAAAAATAAAAATTTAGTAAAAACGCCTATCAAAACCCAAAAAAAAATCGGCCAAAACTTACTTTTTGAAGGCTTGAAGACCTTGTTCTTCGTAGAAATCATGGAGCAATTGACAGAATGCATGGTATCCAATCTGACGCTTCTTGTTTCTAAAAACAATCCATTATTTTTATACAATACCATCAATTTTATATTACTCTTGACTTCAACCCAAAAAAAATCCTAAACTTTTCAAAAATAACTCAAAATAAAGTTCAACTCACGCTCCAAAATACTTCTTGATGAACTCGCTGTTAAAGTCGAAGTCCATTTCCTGGAGGGGAGTGGTGTGTCTGATGACTTTTTCGAATTCTTCGGCATTGATGGACTCGTTGGCATTGTTGTCAAAGATGTCAAAGGCCGTTAGGTACAGGGCGTCGGGACTGAAATTCATATAGTTTAGACCATGTTTTATTAATACGTCATATATTTTACTTGTTCGCAATTTCATTACCAATTTTATCCAATTCTTAATTTTTTAAGATCTAAAACAAGGTAAGATGCCTCAAATCCGAAAAAAATCAGGCAAAATTTCCTCTGATTCTGGATAATAATTACTACTGTAAACATTCACATCTTATACAAGCTTTTCCTCATCCACTTCATATCACTTTAGCCTAGAGGTGGCAATCGGGCTGGGCCGGGCCGGGCCTGAGCAGATTTGAAAAAGCCCTGGGCCGGCCTGACCGCTTCGGCCCGCGGGCCGGGCCGACACTTTCGGCCCGGCCCTGCCCGGAAGGTAGATAAGTAAAAAATTTTTAATGCTAACCAGCAAAATAAAGCACAAATGCTTTGTAGAATGGATGGAAATTAGATTAAACCTTTTTTTGACTTACACGCTGTCTTACTACCTTTTAAAATTATGTATATATATATGTAACTTATTATGTATATGTAAAATCCCACCCAAATATGCAAGGGTCAGGCAAAAATCTTCGAATTTTTTTATGATAAATTTAAAAATTTCACTGTAATTTTGATTCCTTGATGTAAATGAAAGTGTTTAAACAGTTTTTTGTTAACCATGTACCTTATAACGTCCATACCTTTATATAGCTAACTTCCTGTAGTATTAAAAAATTCAACATAATCCAACTTTTTGGCTAGGTTTTAGCTACCTGTACGGATGTTCCAGTCATCCGACTAGACTTTTTAATTTCGCGTAGACACACGTAAAAACCTTCTGGAAAGCATAAGAACTTCCAGTAGAAAGTGCAAAGACTTTTATCCAACTTTTCTGTATTAGCGGGCCAAACCGGGCCGGGCCGGCCTGGGCTTTCATCGGGCCGGGCCTGAGCAAATTTGAAAAAGCCCTGGGCCGGCCCGATTGCCACCTCTACTTTAGCCATCAATCCCAATTTTTTTACAAAACGTCCCCCTCGTTAACTAAACCAATATAAAACTCCAAAAAACTTACGCACAAAGAGTTGCCTCGAAGGCGCAGAACTCCTCGAACGAGATTAGGCCATCCTTGGACGTATCGGCGGCACTGGCGAGCAATCGGACGGTTTCTTTGTTGTAATTATCCTCCGTATACAAGCCCAGATATCTTCGGATGAAATCCGTGTCCGTCATATGCTTTTTTCCATTCTTTTCCACCGATGCATAGGCGTGGAAGACCTCTTTGAGCTTGTCGAAATTGGCGCGGGGGATATTCTGCAGACTGGTGTATTCACATTGAGCTTCGCGAATTGGCCATTGGAACATCTGGAAGGGTAAAGTAAGTAAAAAATTTTGGACGAAATTCATATATTAGGCTTTACAACTTCAAAATTAAATTAATAGCGTGGTCAGGGTAAAAAATTTACTTAAAAAAATGATTTTAAATCCAAATTCATCAAAATTTTGTCATAAATCATACAAAAAAAGGTAAGTTTAGGCACTAACTCTTCCAGAAGACAAATTCAAAAAGTGTCTTGGACGATATTTTTTCGCTTACCCCCAAAAAATTCTATGCATTTTTTGGGTATAATATAAAGCTTTTCTTTTAGCCCAAAACTTCATGTTTCTCCTCAAAAAAAAAACAGTTTTACCCTACCTTTCGCCTCAGATCCTCAAAAAATGAGCGGCGAACTTCCTTCGAGGCGACTTCATTCCTGACGGCAGTGTCCATTTAATGGCTACGAAGTTTCTTGGACGGTGATCACCCCAATGCGGCCCTGAGGAAAGCTGGAAAAAAAATTATTTTTTTTTTGGAACAACTTCAAGTAAAAAACATCAGATTTCGCGTAGAAAATGAGAAATGAAAAGTTGTTTACGGATTCACAAGTTGAAGTGATAAGAGGAGCGGGAATATGTTGTCCTTGGTCACGATTCACATACGAACATCATTTATAATATTTTTTATCCAACTTTGGTTAAAATAAAGTTATTTTAGACGTCAAAAAAATTTAAAATCATATTTTTTATTCCAAATCAGTCTAAACTTTAGAAAAATCAAGAAATCCGTATAAAATTCTTCCTAAAAATCAACCTCACCACGTGGAGATTGTTTATCACCTATTTTGTCAGATGTTTAATGGCCCATCTGCACTTTAATTTATCGCTTTTGAGCGCTCTAATCCAGTGAAAATAACATAGAGCTCCTAAACATCCATCCTGCACTTATTTGACCCACTAAAAGTACCTAAAGCTTCTTTTCCTCGGGCCAGCATTATAACAAAACCCATGGAACGTGAAAATCCTGTGATTTAAAGAGTTCAGGAGAGAGGTCTTTTTGTTGGGAGAAAGCATGGCCAAGGACAGACGAGGACTTTTCCGAACGTCTCTCTTTTTCTACGCAGTTTTTGGGATGTTCCGTGAGATCAGGAAGGGTTTTTACAAAACACGGCCATTCTGATTATAAAAAAGATGATTCATAGAGTTGCAAAACACATCATTTGTAGTCTAATTTGTTTTTTGGGAAGATCAGAGACAAAAAAATTAGCTTGCAAAATGCAAAAATGGCTTAAAATCTGATAAAAACCTTCCAATTCTATGCCACAAAGACATCAAATCCACGGAATCCACGTAGAATTTGTCAAATCCAGACTTAATTCCAGTGGATCGAGACAAAAAGACATCTTCCGGACCCCCACAACTATATATTCTTTCTTTTCCATTCCTTTCGCCCGTTTTTTCTGTTTTTCGTTCGAAAAAGTTCATTTCATTGGGGGAGAAATGCTCTCCCATCTGAAGGGCTAAACAGTAAACAGTCAAGCTCTTTGTGTTCTACAACAAAATCACTGAACCTAGTGATTCATTGGTTCGAGTTTTGATTCTTAATAGTTCTAGGGTACTTATACCATAAATAAAGTGTGAAAATAGAATGATTTGATGTGCTTTGAAGCCCTAATTGAATTTAAAGAGCATCCAAATGCAATAGACTACAATTTTCGCAGTTTTTCCTAAGCATTGACACTTTTCTGAAAGGAGATCATCGCTTTTTATATTACCCATGAGGTGGTGACCCAGATTTTAGCCAATTCAATGCTCAATCAACTCAAAATTCTGTATAAATATTATTTAACGGTCCTAGAACTTTTTTATGGCCTTTTTGAAAACCAAAAATTAAATAAACCCGCCTAAAAATATCCAAAAAATTATATTATCCATGAGATAAGTAACGTTAATTTGGTCCGACTTTTGCTCAAAAGATTGTCAGCTATGCATAAAGTTACAATAATCAGCCTCATCTTTGATCCACCGAGCGTTAAACCATCAAAAATCAACATTAATTCATCAAAAACTACCTAAAATTATATTAACTATGAGATGGCCCTGAATTCCCAGCCCTGCTCGAACGTCAGTGGAACATCTTAAAACAGGGAAGTGAAGGCAAAAACTCATTGGGAACGAACAGAAGGGGTTGATAGGAACGCGAGAAACATGCGGACCGGACCCTCTTCCAACCAACTGTCACATGCGAAAAAAAAAATTTTTCTCCTTGCCCCAACACAAAAACCGAGATAAAACGGCCTTCCACAACGCGCTGTAAACACAGAAATTTCACTTATCACTGTGAATTCGTTATATTTTCATGGTTGTTTATCAAAACGGTGGGGAGAAATACGTTTTTCTGGTAAAAAAAAAGAAAAATGGGATGGAAAAAGAGTAAACAGGTGGTAAACAATCTCAGTGGGCTGTAGAAAGCCCTCCATCAAGTTTCGAAGCCAAAATAACCCAAATATTACGTTATTTAGCCAGAAATAACAATTGATCCAGTTAATTGAATTCTGCGATTGATATAACGTTTTGGAACGGTTGGAAAACGCTTCACGAGACTAAACAATTGAATAAGAAGAGACTAGTAACGTATGAAATCGTTTTTGTTTACGTATTCGGACGTTCCACCTTATTTTAGGCTGTTTTGGATATTACTTTAGGCAGTCTTCGATAACCCAAGCCAAAATAACGTAACATTCTAACTATTTAGGCTTCTAAACATCATAGGAGGATTTACAGAGCACCTTATATAGAGAATGGATTAAACCTTAACGTATTTTACCCTAAAACAGCAAAAAATATCTAAAGTAATATCCAAAACCTCTAAAATAAACTAAAAATAGAGAAAACCAAAACAAAAACAATTTAAAATTACTTGTAACCGCTTTCCAGTCACTCCACGACTCCCACAAAACACTTTCCAAACGTTCAGCGATTCCCAAATCGCCCCAGAATTCAAAGAACCATCACTTGATTTTAACCCAACAGAAGACCACGTTTATAATCGAGCAGCACAAAGAACTTTGAAATCACATGGACGTTGTTTATAACAAGCAAAATCGAGTGTTCGCTCAAAAAATATTCCCATTTTTTGGGGTTTCATGGAATGCCAAGAATTTTGGCATTCGGATTTTTCGTGGTGGGACTATGGGCTTAAAGGAAATGTAATCCTAAAGATTTCAAAGAAAAAACTGTAGAAAATTACTAGAAGATCAGGAATGATTTAGAAACCGGGAAACATAGATTTTAGTCAATTTGAAATTTGCGATCCCACTAAAAACGGAAATTTTATTGTAGTAGATGGGGATGAAAGAAGGTCAAAAAAGGCGCGTTATTGTGTAATGACACGCATAATAGTTGCTAAAAAGATTAAACACGACATGTACGATCATTTTTATCACGTTTCAAGGCTAAATAACACTTTTATTTCATATTTTTTTTGAAATAATCACGTAAAATTTGACCTCAATTTTAAATCCTTGAGATCGAATGTTATGCACACTTGTAATTTTTTAAACACGTTGTTGTCTGCCTGCTTTTCTAGATATAATTACTTCAACTAACGAAATGAATTTCGCCTGTAGTTCCGGTCGTTGGCTCCTGTTTAATCGAACTTGTTACTGGATCCCAAATAAGATTCCTGATTGTTTTTCGATACGCAGGGATAAAAAGTAAAATCGACAGTGTACTCAGCAATGTGAAAAGCTGGTTTGACATCGAAACAACATATCCGATTGAATCGTAGGGCTTCCGCGAAATGATTGAGTACAGTAGGCCAAAAACCGGGATAAAGTAGAGAATCAGCGGGTAAATTGCCTGAAAATTTTTTGCTTCAAATTGTGCGATTTGCTTCAGACTTTGTGGGTTTTCTTTAGATAGTCTTAAAATAAATCCCTGAAAATTTTAGCTAGTAATTTCGAACCGCAGCCGAAATTTAGAGACATTTTTTGAGATAGCACGTAAAATTAGGAGGGCCGGCCAGACAAAAATCGAAAGAAACAAAGCTGTTGGTCAAAGCGTGTTTTGCCAACACGGAGTACTCTTACCTGCAAGATCATCACATTGACAACATATTTTTGGGCGGCATGAGTTGTAATCCCCGTATTTTCTCTCATCTTGGAAATAATTCGTCTTCCAAAGTACAGCATTGCTCCGTATGCCATGGAAAACATGAATAGACAGTGCATTTGGGTGATGGAGAAAAGAAGTTGGTCCTGAAAAGGAAAACCAAAATTGAAACAAGACTTATGAACACATGCCTTTTTAATCACCAAATGTCGCTTGACGTCTGAAGAAACGACCGTGTTTAACACAATATCTACAACAGTCGCTGTTGTCTCTTCTGTGCCACAAATGTAAAATAAAATACAATGTAAGCCAGTGTAGACAGCAAATCCAAGACATGTCAGGCCGTAACGACGGCGATTCCAGGTATTCCCAGTGCACAGCATATCATGGCGATACCAGAAGTGGATTGCGTTGATGAAGGGGACGAAGAGAAGGAAGAAGATAAAAAGAATCACCAGAATATTGAACAAGACGATTGGGATGTCTCCAAGGAAAGAGTTTTCAGACATAATGTAGAAGTTTATGTCGGTGAAAAGAGAGACCTGAAATTGTGGGTTTTCCGGCTTACTGGAGAGTAAATATTGTGTGAGCTTGTTGAAAAGTAAAGGACCAAAATGAGGGTTTTGATTTTTATGACAACGAGCAGGCGACCTCTGCAAGAGGCTGGCTGCACTGTAGGGAAAATATCGGCTGCTGCTTTGGGAAACTTGGCCAAAATTTTGGAATTTTGTCTGCAGTTGAATTTTCCAGTAATTTATATAGGCGTCGCGACACTTGCGGGCATCCACTTTGCGGGCAAAATTTGGGGGGTCACATATGCGGGCAGCTGAAACATTTGTGGGCAACAGCATTTTTTCCACCTCCACCTTGTTTTCCTCAAGTGCCGGTTGCCCGCAAATGTCGGCAAATTTCCAAAATATCATAGTAATTTTTCCAACTCCACCCTGTTACCCTCACAATCAGGTGTCTGTTGCCCGCAAATGTCGGCTACCCGCAAATCTTCCAGGCTACGCGCAAATGTCGGCTGCCCGCAAAGTGGTCGCCCGCAAGTGTGCGCCCGCCTTTATATAACGCCTATTTACAGAATATAATCAGCATTTGAACAAGGTCCAGTCTTACTGTAGGTACGTCTTCTTGAACAAACTTTTGAGAACTTTCCTCGAAGACGACCGTTTTTTTACTCACCGGCATTACAACGCCAAACGATAATGACATTCCGCAATCGATGAACGTATTGAACCCCAAGATCCAAGTATACTCTCTTTTCTCTTTTTTGTACATAACACACGATATGAATACTACCAAGATGGAGGCCGCCAACGATATGATCGCAGTTGAAGCACAATAGATTTTAAAAATCAGTCGAATAGAAGAGACTGAATTCATCGGTTTTTAGAAAGTTGAAAAATAAACTTGTAATCTATCATAAATGACTGAGTAAATTATTGCCAATTATTTTACAGGTGTTTCTGCCCACGCCGTAAGCCATACGATGAAATTTGCCAATTAATTTTGGAATTTTTAGTTGAAGGGAGGTTACAAAACATGTAAAAAACATTGCACCCGGCCGATAACTTTCTGTCTGATATATGGCCAAGTTACAGTTCCAAACAAAAACTTTCAAAGTCGTTTTATTATATTAATACATTATTATTTCTTTCAGAGAGATTTTCCACCGCGGAAACTCCGAAAACCTTTGTCTCATTTGTATCTGAATTCACCGCTCTCTCCAACAACGTCCGACGGTATGTCGGGATAAGGACGAGTACTGAGAGGGCACTGAGCAAAGTAAACAGTTGCACGGACATTGCGCAGACATATCCGATCAGATCGAACGACTCTCCGGCGCGGATAAAGAACATGAGAGCGAAAAGGGGGATAAAGTAGAGGAGAAGTGGGTAGACGGCCTGCAAATTTGGGTATTTGAGAGCAATGGCTTTGTTACCTGGAGCACCATGACTTTGACCACGTATCTTTGAGCGTGGTAGGTTGTTCGGCCCGAAATTTCATTCATCTTGGAGATAATCCTTCGCCCAAAGTAACAGATCATTCCGTATTCTAGGAAGAGCATAACTTGACAGTGAATTTGGGAGAAGGTGTAACCTGCTTGATTCTGCAAAAAAAGATGAGATTACTATTACGCAAAACCAGCATTTTTACATATTTTAAAGTGAATAAGAACAGTCTAAAAAATTATTTGGTCAGTGTCTGGCTCAGTTTTTATACATAGACACCCTTTCTCTAACAATAAGTGGTTGGTTTAAGTGGAATTTACCAATTTCAAATTTCTGGCCGACGGTCATTACCTTATCAACCCCAATATGTGCTTGAACATCGCTCTTGAACCTGGTATTCGTAATTATATCCATCACAGTCTCACTAGACTTCCTTGTAGAACAATGATAAAACCACCAACAATGTAATCCTGTGTAAATCCCGAAGCCGATGCAAGTCATTGCGTATCGTTTTCTCTTCCAAATCGACCGATTACACATGATATCGTAACGGTACCAAAAATGAATGGCATTTACTGCGGGGGTGTAAAGTAAGAAGAAGACAACGAGCATAATGCAAATGTCGATGGTTGGAGGAGAGGCTTGCTGAAGGAATGGGTTTTCTGTGGAAATGTAGAGGTAGGAGGAGGTGAAAAGGGAATTCTGAAAACTGATAAAGGTAGAGCACTTAGCATACATGAAAGCGTGGATCTACTATGGCTAATGTAAGATACATCATAAAAACAATGTGCTGTGTTGAAGCGATAGTTTTTAGCCACCCCGAGCCGGGCAGGACATTAAAATCTCAAGGAGCTGGGCCAGGTCGGCCCTTAAATATCCTTTAAATATCACTTAAAAATCACTAGGCCGCGCTGTCACAGAATACATCGTTTTCTTAAACCCACCGGTGTTACGAATCCAAAGACAATCGAGTAGCCCAGATCGATGACCGTATTGAATCCCAAGATCCACGTGTACTCACGCTTTGTTCCTTTGTAAACTCTGTACGACAAAAATATAACCAAAATACAACAAGCACAAGATATTGTCATTGTAGTCACAGTAAATATTTGATAAAAGAAACGCCATTTTAATATTGCTTCCGCGTCAAACATCGTCATTATTTCAAGGTGGAAGGTAATGTGAATTTTCTAAAATAACTAAAATTGAATTCATGATAACTCTGTAGACTTTAAAGATTGAAAAGATGGCAATTTTTACTCACCAACTAGATGGTAGCGGCTCTAATAGCAGACGGCTGCAGCTACAAACCGTAAATTAGACCACATGAAGTTGAAGTGGCACGGCATAATGTAAATCATTAAAAATTTGGAGAACATAAGCAGGGCTTTCAGAACTGGACTCAAAATTCTCTGCCAAATAATAGGTGTACTATTAATAAGATTCACCTGGCATAATAAAAGAAATCGTGGTAACAAGATCTACAACAAATTAATTTTCACAGACTCTCGTATGTAATATGCGAAGATCTTTAAATGCGCTTGTAAAGGCCCAGACAATATTGGCTTCTTTTAAATTAATTTTGACATACGATGCGTAAAGTACAGTATTGTAAGGTTTCTTAAACCGTTTTCAGATTCTCTATGTTCGCAATCAAAAATGGTCCATGCGGAAAGATGTACAACGGAACTCGGCAAACACCCGGATGTTTAATTTGTCCAGCTTCTCCTCACGTAATGCCCGCCAACTGCTCAAACATATTCGACAAGAACTGATATAACCTCCGAAATATTCAAAAAGTCTCAACTTTTAAAACGCAGATCGGAGTCCCCAACCGTGGTTGTCTAGGGGATGCGGCCTCTAATTACGGTATTACTTTTACTCTTTGCCATTGTTCTTGGTGATGAAAACAAAACTGAATCAACAGTTGAGAGCCTGAAGCAGCTCTTTCCTGCAGAAATCGCCGAGAAAGTGGGGAAATTGAGTCCGGATGATGTGAAAGCGGCCAAGAAGATTTTTCAAAAATTGACGGCAAAAGAGGACCTGGTCAAAGAGCTGAGTGAACAAAGCCCCGCGCTGAAGGATTTGCTGGAAGCCGTGCTGACAAAGCTGCATCAACGGAAGGCCGAGATCGACAAGGCTTTGAGCGCGGATACAAAGAAGTTTTTGGGAAAGGTAAGGCGACATGACAGTACCATCTTTGGCATGGGGAAGCGTCGTATTTTGAACACCTTAACTCTAATTAGCTTGCTCACCAGTTTCTTTCCTCTCAACAGTACTACAAACTTGGCTACTGCATCATCTTCCTTTTGTATTTTCGGCTTGTTATAGAATTTCTTTCTTCTCAATTACAATTGAAGTCAAAACGTCAAAGCACAATTTTGAATTTGCAGGCCAGAACCGTACTCGAAAAAACTTTTGAGAAACTGAAGAAACTGTACGATGAAGAGGGAGAGACCGTGAAAGAAGACTTGAGGAAAGCTTTCCCGAAACTCATGCTGGTGATTGAACGTAAGTTAGGATTTTAGTAGAGGATCGCATTTTGTATTACGGCCATTGGAGGAGTCACAATACAGAATCTAAAATTGGGATGGGAGATGACGTGTAAGGTTTTGAAATAAAAGGCCGAGAACCGTAATAGGCCAGAAAATTCACGTGGATTACTCGCAGACTAGGACCAGTGCAACCCTTCGATTTTCCCCAAGTTTAGCTTGGGTATCCTACATTAAAATATTGCTCACCATCCCCAGTCCCCCTCCAAATCCTCCGTAGCCATAATAGCCCCGGCATAACTAACCTCCTTCTTTTTTAGACCCTCAAGTGCAAGCAGATGTAATGACACTGTGCGGTCGCGGCGGTTATGGTGGCTACGGTGGTTACGGAGGCTATGGCGGCGGCTACGGAGCTCCCCCTTACGCCGGCTACGGCGGTGCCGGAGGCTTTGGTGGCGGAGGATTCGGGGCTCCGGGCTATGGCGCCGGAGGCTTTGGAGCGCCCGCTTATGGAGCGTACGGAGCTCCGGCCTACGGTGGAGCCGGAATGTATGGAGCTCCGCCGGGCGCCGGGCTGGGAGCAGGACTCTTGGGCCTGCTTGGGTAGAGAGATCAAGGAAATTCATTGCAATGCGAGTATAATATCGATATCAGCCAAACAGAGATAATAAATAAACTTTGAGAATTCTGGAGAAGATTGGATGTATTTTTAAACTTTTTAAAATATTATATTTACTGGTGTGATTTTAGACCCTCAAATCCAAGACGGAGCCCTGAATTTGTGTGGTTGTGGCGGTGGAAGAGCGCCGGTCGTGGTACCTCCAGATCAAGGGCTAATCATCCCTCCAGACAACGCTGCCTTTGGTCTTTTTGGAGCCAGTTTGCTCAGACTCGCTTGATTGCATCAAATTTATCATCAGCATTTTTGTTGAGACCATATTTGTAATTTACAATAAATTTACCATGTATAAAACCTTTTTTGAAATCGTTGTAAACTCTCTCTTATTGTAGTTACAACAAAGAACAGGCTACAAAAAAGCGAAAAACTTCTTTATCCATGTTTATTTGTCTTGATCAACAGGATCTATTCAGCAAAATGTCATAAAATCCGCTTTGAAAAGCTGGGAAACCGTTAGAATTGTGGATAATTCATTCATCCGAAAGCTCTTAAAATCCCCCAAAAAGAAGGCAAGAAGAAGGAATATGGTTATTATCCTGGTTTCAGCGTCTTGAGGGACGATTTGAGCTAAATTTTAGGGTTTAGTACATCAGCACTAAACAAAAATTTTAGCAGAAAATTGAAGTCCCGCAACTTTTTCGTTTGATGACTAAATTACAACGCAAATTTCATGTCTCGCAATACTCGCACGACCATAAAATTAGGCGTATGTTACCCAGATAAGCCACAAATCAATTTTTGAGATTTTTAGCCCACGCTTTACAGTAAGAGCAGAGATTTTGAACGATCTTTACGAGTGAGAGATTTCATAAAATGGAGAGATTTGGTCAGAGAAATAACGTCTTTCGGCGATTTCTAAGCACGTAAATTAGAGACGGAAAGTTTTGCTCATTGAGCTCTGACTTTTATTTTTAACTCATTCAAAGCCCGAATTAACTTCCTTAGTCTCTGCTTTAATCTGATTTCACCTCCATCACGTACCATCTCCCAATTTCACCATCATTTTCCGCTGTTTCCACCACCTCTTAACAATGCAAACACAAGCCAGAGTAACCACTTTGTAATTCCCCAAATTCCATTGTAAACTCTGCGAATCCCCCACGCTCTTATCGTGTAAGTTTCTTATGACCTTTTGGAGGCATCCATCCCTCACTTTACAATACTTTTTTACGCGTCTCTTCTTCTGATCGGATGCCATTCACTTTCCATTTTTTGGGGTTCGGAAAACAATACCTTTTAAGGCGTTCCACACATCGCGCTGATGCCTGCTAGTCTTTAACTTCTCCGAACTTTTGATCGTCATTGTTTTTGCTGTTTTATTTATCTGCTGGAGATTTCGCGGGCTCTAACTTCGCAACACGTTTTCTCAAAAATCACAGGTATGTTTTTTTTGCGGGTTAATGAGCTTATGGTAATTAATGGAGGCTTGCTTTTGAACGTTTCATTGTTTTAGAGAGCCGATTTTTTTAGCAAACCTGGCCATCCTGTGAAACTAAACCCTTTTAGTCGCTGTAAAAAACCCTTTCCATCAAAAAGAAACTATAAACTTCCGTGACATTATCAGTTGAACCCATCACTCCTGTATAAACGGCCACTCCCCCATAAATCACCCACGATTCCGAGGCTTCGTTAATTATCGCCTAAAAGCGCATCTTGAACGACACCTTCCGTTCGAAGGTTACCTCCCATTTCCTGTTTTTTACACTGCGTGTAATTCCGATTTATTTCTTTTGTGCTTACATTTGAATCACAGTATTGTTGGGATGGTCAACTTTGTGCCGCTCTTTCAAACACTCCTCACAGTGGGGCTCTTGGGCAATGGATTCGAGAAAATCGTCGACAATTTTGATGGTAAGCTACTTTAATTACCACTTTTTTTTAAACAAATACCAAATTTATATTTTTTCTCGAAAAAATTGACTGAAACTTCAAAAATCGGCTTTAGTCATACGAAAAAAAACAAATTTAATTTTTACGATCTTGGAATTACCTAGCAAATAAACTGAAAACCTCCAAAAAAGGAATTGCATTGGCCGGGAATCGAACCCGGGTCGCCCGCGTGGCAGGCGAGCATTCTACCACTGAACCACCAATGCACGTCTCGTTCCCCTTTCAATTTTCGCCACTATTCTTTTCCCTCTTTTCGCACGTTTTTTATCGTTACTTTTTGTTTGCAGATCAAAGATCTTCCCACGCGGACGAACATAAATATCTGGATAGGCTGAATCCCAAACAATTCGCCCAGTTCTTCACCTATGTGGATGCCACTGGAGGTAAAAAGGAAGAGGAAATTTTGGAGACCGCGAAAAAGCTGGCAGAAGACCCAAAAATCGCACAAAGCGCGAAATTATTGGTAGTGGACACCTTGAAAGCCAACAATATCAGCGAAAATGTGATCGACTTTGTAAATGAGGTATGATATAAACTAACATTCATCTTAATCTTAATTTTTAAACTGTTTTAGGCAGGAAACCAAGCTCAAAACATTCTGAAAACCATCAATGGAGAGGAAAATGATGTCCCTGAAGTCATAAAACCGCTTTTGCGAAAGTTCAGAAAGCTTTCAAGCGCTGACAACAAACTTTTGGAGAAGGTCTTGGGTGCCCCTGTCAATGTGCTGAACTGTAATTTAATTTCCCATTATCAAAATTTTGATTTTAGCTCCCGAAGCAGCTGAACTCATTGATGAATCTCCTAAACCAAAATCGGAGCCCACAACGACTCCAATGCCGTCCACAACTCCCAAAATTCATCACAAACTCCACGATGAGCACATGAACTCCAGTTTTGGGCAGTCTTCTGCATTAGCAGCAGCTTTCACACTGATTTTTGCCTTCATATTGTACTAGACAATAGTTTATTTTTTCTTTTTAATAAAGATCCTAATGTATTTACTCGTTTCGCTCCTGGAAATCGTCGGTGTCTCCGATCTGAACAAAGGTATCATTGAACCAGTCAAGGTATCCGGGGAAAAATCGCTCGATTTGTTGATTGACATGGTATAACAACCTACAATTGAGCGGTTCATCAAATACGAAGGCCTAAATTTCGAAAAGCAAAACAAATAACTTACCATCTATAATCGAAAAAGAGGAATGAAGCCAAGACTAGCATAATGTACGGAGCTCGGCGGACATCTCTTCGGATTGGTGGATAAACATATTGCCGATGCAAGAAGGGAGAGTCGCTGAAATCCGTGTATCCTTTGCCAGACTTCCTATCCGAATAATGGAAATGGTCTGTTCTTCTTCTTTTGCCGGTTATCGTAAAATCTGCGGGATCCTCTTCGGGTTTCTCTTTATATACATCTTCCTTTGACTTGACCCCATCTCCAGCCCAATATTCTTGCCGAGGAGAGAAGAAAGTTCGTGTTGATCGGAAATATTGACGAGGTATACGACGAGACAACAACATTTTGGTAGAACAGTCGAAAAATTTTGCGGAAAAAAACAATTTTTTGTTTGGGGAGAGAGATGGCCCAATTGTGTCAAGTGTTTCTCTGAACCAAGTTTCAGTCTGAAACTTACTTCTGACAGCTGTAAGAAGAATCATGTTGTAAAAAACCTTGGCTTTTTACGGTTGTAGCTGCTTTGCCTCGTAGTATGAGCCCAATTTGAACCCTAAGGTGCAGCACAACGCTTGCCTCAGCAAACGGAAATAACAATTGGACCGATGTCCTATTCAAATTATCTTCGCGGAGTAGCGTTAGAATAGTTTAATTACCCACCTTCAAATCACAGTACAAGAAATTGACAATAACAATTATCTGCCACAAAAAAAACCGACGACCTCTCTTCAAAATCGTTCGAGATCTCCTCCTTCCCAAAAATGATGACAAAAACAAAATATAGATTCAAAAAGTTGCGATCAAAACAATAAGAGAGACTTGGCCCGTCGCTTTCTCGGCGACATTCGTGGGGTTGGAATTTGTTTTTTTTTTTATTTGAAAGTCGATGAGTATCAAGTTTATTGGAATGTAAAATACTAAACAAATACTGTTTAGTTGACGCAATCCCTCTCCTGTCCTGGGTATTTGGCTTCCAAATTGAACCTTCCGGCATCAAAAGTCTTTTGGGGAATGGCGCCCTCTGTGATGTACCTTGATGGGATGTTAACAGCGAACTTTTGATAACACGTTGGGATGGGGTTGAAGTAATGGCATTTGTGGTAGACATTAAACTTGGGCTTGAGGGTGAAGACGGATTTCTCAGATCCTTGGAGGTTGAAGTATCCGCGAGCGTCAGTCTTTCCTTCAGCAAGCTTGTTATCCGTGCTTACTCGGTTCACATCGTAGAGTTTGACTTTCTGAAAGGCGGTGAATTATAATAGAAACAGGGACTTTAATGTGTCAGAGTAAGTGAGGGAGAGAGAAAGAGAGAGTTTATAAGGTGAATATTTAGTAAGTAAAAGGTAAGATGAAGTTTTATTATTCAAAAAGTATACTGCAATTCAAAAACTCACCACTCCAGCAGCTGGCTTTCCGTCACAGGTCAGGATACCCTGAACGGCGATGCTTTGAACGCCGGCCGAAACCGCGGCCACCAAAAGCGTACAACACAATGGAATCAGAAGTTTCATAGCGAGAAAAACAAGGGTTGAGGATAATTGTCGAAACTCCAGGCCTTTTATACTCTCTCCTTGATCATGAAATTCCCTTATCGGGGCCCTTATTTCCGTCCCTCGCGTAAATAATGAATCAACGGAAATCAATAAAAAAGTAAAAAGGGCCGGGGCTAAGTTCTTATCATCGAATTGAAGAATTGATATGACGATTGGAACGGCATTTTGTCCATGTATTAAAAAGGGAACATGAGTCATTCTGGATGATGATTGAATTTATTTGGTAATCGAATTTTTGGTTCTGGTGTACGTTTGGAGTTTGTCAAATGCTTAATCTGAAGCTCCTAACAAACGAAGATTCAAATTTGAAATTTCTGGAGAAGATGCTTTGGTAGTTGTAGCAAATTACGATTATTAATTATATCAAAAAGTCTTTTTTGTATTGCCGACCACCTTGATAAAGGAGAGTCGGCAATACTTTCTTGGACAAAAAATGGCTGATTGTGAAATTCTTTGCTTACATTGTGCACAGTGAACTGAGGTTTTCAGCGATTCATCTGTTTGAACGGTAAATTTTGAATGGTTTGACATTTAGGCCATTCGCAGTTAATGTAAACAACCGAAATTTTCTCATTGTCAGACGATTTTTGATCCTCGGAAAATTCTCCGCGACATCCTTATTGTACTGATAAGGTTATTGAGGGGTTTATAAATTGTAATTTCTGATGCAACTTAAAGTTTGTTCAGTCTTGAGCTTTGGTACGTACTGTGTATGTAAACAATACAATTGCGAAATCATTGGTCTCCAATTTCAAAACCAAAAACAAAATATTGGCTTCTAGGCAAGAAATCGCATTATGAAAACATTGAAATGAAGAATTGGATAAATATTTATAACTGTAGGCAGCAAAGTTCGGGTCCTGTTTTGGCTTTGGCATTTGGGCTCTGTTTGGTAATCGTGACATTTATTTCACCGATGATTTGTAGGTGTTGTAAGCATTATTTCTATTATCAATGGAATAAGTTATCATAATGGAGAAGTAATAGAGGTCAAGAGAGAATTAAAAGGAGAGGTTCTCTTTGTTTGATACAGAAAGAAAGGAAGGGGAGTGCTCGTCGTTAAGTGCCAGGATCATGTCCAAAAAGCAATATCATCGCTCCATGTCATATTCCTTGTAATTCTTAGCTTTCACGTTTGACATGCATACAGTTCAAACATCCAAGATAACTAATCTTTTACTTCAGAAATTGCAGTAATAGATTTCTTAGGATAAATGTTATACCGTAATTTTCGGAGCGCTTCAAAGCAAGAGAAATGTGTGCATGACGTATGGTGTGAGTCGGACAAAAACAGCCATTGATGTCTTGTTCTCAGAAAGGCGGCTGTCTGACTCACATTGTTAATTGATTTTCTCTCTGTATCCGAACAATACAATCATTTGTTACTCATTTATAAAAATATAATGTTAATATTATAATCATTACATTTCATTTAGCATTAGTAGTACAGTCCTCAATCTGACCAGGGAAGTTGTCCTCCAACTTGAGAATTCCAACGTCAAAGACTTTCTTGTCTCCATCCGTTATATAGGACGTCGGAATATGAATGGTATGTAAATCTTTGAGTGCAAGGGGGTTTCCAGAAGAAGCAATTGTGGTAGACGTTTATTTTGGGGTTCATGGGGACGTCCGAGTTTTCTGCTCCGTCCACGGTAAAGTTGCCAGTCGATCCGTAGGTCGCGGTTGCACCGATCTGATTTTCAAGCGAATAATCATCACCGTCGTAGAGTTTTATCTTCTGAAATAGTACGATACAAAGATTTTCTTAATCTGGAAACTATTACAATTGTGCCTCCGCAAGAAAGCAGTTTATAGAGAGCCAAAAGAAACTTACGACAGATCCAGCTGGCTGTCCGCGACAAATCAATTTTCCGGAAGCGGCGACACGTTGGATGTATGCAGAAGTCGTATTTACAAAGTTCATAGAAAATATGAGTAATATCACCTTTATTTTAAAAAAGTTTGACAAACTCCAAACAACACAACTAACAGTAAAGGGACTGATTCAAAAACTGCATCCCAGTTTTTTTACTTTTTTTGCGTTAAAAAAAAGTTCGATGATTCCATAATTACAAGAATTTATTGGGTATCTGACTCACACCGTCGTTCGGTTCTTTCTTTACACATTTGCTGTGATTTAAATTTACAATGACTTTATTGTTATTGTTGTAATACGGGCTGCTTTAAAGACAACAAAGAAACTCCATTATAGTATATACAATACAAACTACTTATTTATTAATACAATCCATACTTTGTCCTGGGAACTTGGCCTCCAAATTGAACCTTCCGGCATCAAAAACTTTCCGGGGAATTCCCCCTTTTGTTATGTAGGAAGTGGGAATATGAATTGTAAACTTTTGCGAACAAAGTGGATTCCAGTAATGACAGTTGTGGTATACATTGATCTTAGGATTCAGCGTAAAGGCCGATTTTTCTGAACCTTCCACTGTAAAGTAACCACCATCGTCTGTTCTTTGTTCGTCCAATTTGTTGTCCAATGTGATCGTATTCTCATCGTAGAGCTTGACTTTCTGAGAAACGGCAAATTTAAAGTTTGTTTACTAGTCTACTAGTCTACATTACTCAGTCTATGCGAACAAACTTACCACATCATTCGCAGGCTGGCCGTGGCACATCAGCTGCCCGGTAACAGCAATACTTTGAATGGATGCGGACGCTTTGTATACGAATCCCAGAGACAATATAAATAACACCGGCTTCATAATGAAATTAAAAGTATAAGAAACCTGATAAATACGTGAGACTCGAAGTGATTCAAAGGAAAACGGGGAAGTTGAATTTATTTCAATGTTTATCGCATTGAGGGAGCTGATTTAGAAACATAACAATACAATCGTTCTTGTTGGTTCTTTGAGACCAATTGAGACGATAAGTCACGTAGAGCTGTTTATTTTGAACTGGTAAGATAGCTAGTGTTAATATGGAGCATGGGGCAAAGCTGATTCGGTAGTTCTAGCCACGATTTCAAACCCAATTCTATGTTACCAGTTTATGCGTCATCCAATCTAGCCGCAAGAATACAAACTTGCACCCATAAAATTTCGCATGTAAGCATAAGACTAATAAAAATACTAAAAACCGATATTATTAAAAAGAGCCGGGTTTTCAAAAGCAAGGTGCTGTAGAAGCGGAAGTCTTCTTTTCCGGCTAGTTCAAAGTCGCCTTCATTCAGCAGAAGACGTTGAAAATCTCTGTCACTCTGAGAATCCGCGCTGTAGAGAATTCTCCAAATTCTCGCAAAGCAGAAAATGAAAATGGGCTAAAGAACACATTTGCTTACGGCAAATGTTGTTTTGCTTACATAACTCAACAACAGAACTCCTGTCGTCATGAGTGACACTCGGAAGCCATGTGTGAATGCCGCGGCTTTGATTAATTTGGTTGTGAAGATGTGGATTATAAAGTAAACAAATGAAAACATGGCCAAGATCATCAGCTAAAATTTAGAATACATTTATTTCAAGTTTTGACACAACAACTGAACGAGTATGTACTTACAAAGTAGTATCGCGCCATAGAGCGTTGAGTGATTATCATCGGTTTTCCAGACAGTTGAGGGCTGAAGAATATCATTTTTTGGCAACAAATTCTCAAATGCCGACAATTGGCCTTTCGAAAATCATTGTTACTCTCCTAGGCGAGAGCACTGGAAAAATTTTTACGAGATTTCTTTGACAATGCAATCGTTATATAGGAAATTGAAATCCGTAAGAGTCATACGACCTGTGTAATCCGGAAATATGAGTCAAGATTACATGTAGCAATGACGGAAATCTTCAACTTTACGTCAGATTCTCAGCAGAGATTGTAGGACAAAAATCAGTCATTAGAAACTGGCTTTCTTTGCAATCAATTTCTGTTGGCATTCAGATTGCTTATGAAATATGCATTTCATTCCGTAATTACAGGAATTTTATAAATTTTCTTATTCATCTTTAAGAGTCGAATCGTCTAATGATGGTATGCACGGTATTCAGTTTTTTCTTTAAAATCCTACCACGTTCTCGTTGTAAAACCATGAACTCTTACAACAACCCCCACAAAACACATTCCCCCTCTTTTTCTTATCACTCCTTTTTCTCACACTTTCTGTAGCTCCTTTATTATTTTGTTTCAAATTTTTCGCATTAAATTTTCACTTTTAATTAAAATTACCAACAAAAATAAAGAGCGTCGCCCTTTGTGGAGCGCTGTAATTACATTAGAGTTAGAAGTCATTCGAACATCTCCGATACTCGATGAGCACTCTGTTCTTTCTGCAGATGGAGAATAAAGGTGTCATGAAGGAGGCGCTCCCTCATCGACGAGGGGAGCAGGTCAAAGTGCCCGAGGTTCCGTTTCATAATTTGATCTTGGGTGCTATTAGGGAGATCGCGAAGAAAGAGCCCAACAAAGTCGCTTTTGTAAGTTTTTGGAGGTGTTTGTGTTTGTGCAAAGCTGGAGTGTCTTATCATCATAAAGCGGTAGGCAAATGATGACCTATACCATGTGTTTGGCTTGTTCTCTTGCATAATTTTGAGAGCCATTACCCCAGTTTTGTGTTCGTCAAAAAAACATCTTTCAGGTCCACTATGACAACCCAACGATACCGAACATTACTTATTCCCAAGTTCAAGAGCAATGTCAGAAGCTCTCTCGTTTCTTGACGGATGAAAAGCTCCTTCACAAAGGGCAAATCTCCGCAATCTGTCTGCCCAATTCTTATCATTTCGCTGTTTATTTCCTTGGAGTGGCAGCCGTTGGCGGTGTTACAACTGGATTCAGTCATAAAGCCAAGCCTTGTAAATCTTTTATGCAACTTATTAATGTAGTTACCGTTTAGCCGATTGGATTTATCAACTGAACAATTCAGAAGCGAGAGTATTGCTGACGAACAAAGATGTCTTCGGAAAAATGCGAAGAGTTTTCTCACAATTAAAGTTTTTGAAAGTAAGTATAGCCTTACAATACCCTAAGGTTTTCATTATTTTTGGACCGTCATCTTACTGGACGCACAACCGAACGAAATTATTGTACAACCAAAAGTTCGGGTAGTTCCATGGAAAAGGGTGATGGAAGCGCCTCCTCAATTCGATATTTTGTAAGCATCGAGCCGGAGATCTTTGTGATGTCGATTGTTTTTAGAAAAGTAAAAATTGATCCAAAAGAAGACCTGTTGGTTTTGCCATATTCGAGTGGAACAACTGGAAGGCCAAAGGGGGTGATGATCAGCCATTACAATTATGTCGCTCAAGTCGTCTCATACAAGGTGTAAGTTGAATAAGTTTTTAAGCAGAGCATTGCAAAGTGTGCCACCGAGGAAGGAAGAACATGTGAAACTCCAAATTTTTAGAGAGACGGTGTAAAATATTTGCGATTTTTTGAAGATTGCAGCTATTATGTATACATTGTATGAGTACATAACTGATCGTGATTATGTTTTCCTTCAGATTCACAGAAACCAAAATCTCTGTGCATTTGAAGAACTTTGGGGTAGATTTCTCCGCTCCAACCCATTCACTGCTATTCAACCCCTTTTATCACGCTATGGGATTCTTTTTACTGTGCGCTCATCTCTTTCGAGGCCATACTGTCATCATATTTGCTGATCTAAAGATTGAACGGTATCTACAAGCAATAACTGAATTCAAGGTCGGTAATTACCATCTTATTTTTAGTTACTTTATAAGATATCCAAGGTTTATATTGTAGCCAAGGATTGTCTCAATGATCCCCTCGTTCTTCTCATTCTTTGTGAAATCCCCTTTGTTGAATAAGTACGACGTCAGCAGTGTTGTCAACTTTGGATGTGGCGGCTCATCATTGACTTCAGAAGTTTCTGAGGCCTTTTATCGGCGTTTTCCACATTGTAAAATCATCAATCAAGGCTACGGGATGACTGAGATGACCTGCGCCATTGCTTCAAGTCCATTCAGGGCAAAGGCCGGTGCAGTTGGGATTATTTTACCTAATATTCATTACAGAGTAAGTCATATTATTTCTAATATTGGTGTGTAAGAATTAGCATTGCAATGTCTTTTTTTGCAGATTGTAGACCCTCAAAGCGGCCGAGAATGCAGTCATAAAGAACCGGGAGAACTGTGGGTAAAAGGCCCAACGATGATGAAAGGCTATTGGAAGAATAAGAGGGATACACGAGAGACGATAACAAACGATGGGTGGTTAAAAACTGGTATGGATTAAAGAGAAAATCTGAGAATTTAATTATGAGGCAATGTGTAGTTTTTCCTAGCCAAAACCCGCCAAATTTTAGAGCTCTGTTATTTGCCGATAAGTCGAAGATATTTCGGGGCTAAGGTAGTACAGCCCCCCAGTCCAGTTTAGCCCCCCATGACCCAGTACAAACCCCCTCGTCCATTCTGAACCCCAAAATTTATTTCAAAGAATTAATCCAAGTTGTATGGTCCAGCACAAGCCCCCTACGTTTTAGATCAAGCCACCTACGTTTTAGATGAAGCCCCCTCCGTTTTAGAAAAAGCCCCCTACGTTTTAGGTCAAGCCCCCTACGTTTTAGATGAAACCCCCAACGTAGTAGATCAAACCCCCACTTACATTTTTTGTATTATTCTAATTTGTTCATTATGTGGGGTGTGAAACGGGCAAAACAGTGGGGGTTTGAACTACCTTTCGTGGGGGGCTCAACTACCGAAGCCCCGATATTTCTTTAGAATCTCAATTTTTAATCCCAGATATTTTCACCCAACCGTGGTTCTTTGAAAAGCAGATGCTGTTTACCGGTTTCCACATAAAAACATGTCCTAGAGCCCCTCAAGGCACATAACAAAAAGTAATCTTGTCGTGGTCTGGATCACTGAATAAACAAGATTGAGCAAACCATCCAATGTTATCTGGTTGATTTCAGGTGATCTCGTCTCCGAAGACGAAGATGGCCAACTCTTCATCGTTGGTCGCCTCAAAGAACTCATCAAAGTCAATGCGTTTCAAGTCGCCCCAGCCGAGTTAGAAGACCTTCTTCTTCAGCATCCGTTCATCGAGGACGCTGCGGTAATTGGAGTGCCAGATCCGGATTTAGGAGAAAAACCCCGGGGCTATATTGTCAGAAAGTCTAATGAATTGAAAGAATCAGAAGTCTACGAGTACATTGCAAAGCGGGTTTCGCCATATAAGAAGTTGGCTGGAGGCGTGGAATTCATCGACAAAATACCGAGGAATGAGCCGGGAAAGATTATGAGAAGGGTGTTGTTGGCGAAATATTTGACTCAAAATAAGCCCAAATTGTAAGAAGAAAAGATTTTACTGTAATATTTGATTGGAAGCGATTATATGAATAAAGCTAATTTCTTTGAGCAATTATTACAATTCTTGACGATGAGAATAAGAATCAGCGGATATTAGGAACCTTTTTTATGAGAGAACACGATAAATGAGCAGAGTCTGCGTGACTAAAAAAATTGTTTAGCTATTCGTGAATTTTTGCTGTATTTCCGATGCCATTCTAAGAAATGTATCTTAAATTTCTAGCGCCAAATTTTGACTGTTTTTGCAAAGTAGCCCTCAAAAACTGCAGCCATCCTTTAGATATTCTAGCCTCAATTTTTTCCCATTTTTTGCAAGCTCAACTGGACTTAATTTCATTATTTCAGTCCTTAAACTTCGTTAATATGCGCAGTTGCTTTTGAATCGTGCTTTTTAGGACTTGAGAAACAAAACGTCAAACAAATTTTTCGTCTCCCATCAAAACAATGTCCGCAAAAAAGTAAAAAATAATTTTTTGTGCGGCTAAAGGACACCACTAAATAATAAAATTTTCCAGACTTTATGGCACAAAAGACCAATAAACTATTATTTGGAAATTTTGTTTCTCACGCCGTAAAAAGCGCGATTCAAAAATCGCTGTACTGCCCTTTAAAGGTCTTCCCTCACACTTATTTTAAATGACGTTTTCTATAGACTTTCCCCCAAAACCCTCCCTAATCTGAATTTCAGACATTCTTCTATCATACTCAAAAGTAAATACCGAAAAATTTTTTCGAAACCCGTTTCGTTCGTTTCCATGGCATCGTTCCACCTTTTTCATGTCCACCTTCGTGTCTAAACTTTTTTGCCTGAGGCCTTTTTTGGGAAAAGAAACCTAAAACAAGCACCTTCCCCTACTCTCCCCTCCCCGTATCCGCTCTTTTTCCGGCCCAAAAAAGTCTTGGCCATGGGGAAATTCTGGCTTCATTTGAATTCGAATAATGAGGGAAGGTTATTATTTTTCCGATTTCCCGAGGGATCTCACCTTATTTTCTATATTTATCATTGCTTTTGGGAATTTTAAGAAGTAAATTGTTGTATAAATTCGTATTTTAGTATTATTTATTACTTTTTTTAATGGTTTTTTTTTATTCGATAATTTGGTTGCAAGGAGCTCTTAGCGCCATAATTTTTAATCTGTTTTGCTCGTTATTTTGCAAGATTTTTTAGGAAAGATTTTCAAAGAGATGGGGATAATTATCCTTTGGTTTGAATATATGGGTAATTAGTGTTAACTCGGTAATTGTAGAGAGTGGAAATGGAGGTATGCCCTTTTGCTTTTTGATGGGAGAAAGTGTATTTTTGGAAAAAAAATGAGAGAAAAACCGCTGCAAATTATAGGGAATGCTAGAGATGCGGAAACAAAATTGACAGTAAAATTCTGCGGCAGGAAACTGTAAGGCTTTTTGTATACAATATGTTTATGCAATATTTATTTGTTATGAAATAAAAATAAAAATTCACACAGAAAATTGCAAAAAAAAATGTCGTCTTTGGATAATCCCACATAGCGTCAAGGCACGCTATGTGGGATTTCTGCTACGCGAAGATTCAAAAACGCGGATTTGGCACATACAACAGCATTTTAAATTAATTACATTTTTACGAATAGTTTCACTAAGATCGAAGATCTATATTTTTTGGTTTGTCAATTTTTAATTCGTCAAAATTTCACCTTACCCAACTCAACAAACACCGCACCTCATAGTCAACAACACCCCCCTCGCTGGTGTCTTGAATACAAAATGCCTTTCCTTCCGCTTCAGTAATGTCAAATTTGCACAAAGCCATGATGCCTCAGGCATCGTATTGTGAATGTCACTTCCGTTTTTTCTTGTGTTTTTTTTGGACAAAGATTGTTTTGAAAGCAGGTATTTTGAAAAGGAGGGTAGACATTTATTTCTTTAGGGGCTCATTACTTGAGCGGTCACTTGGCAACGGAGAATGGGAGAAAATAGAAAAAAACAGGGAAATGACCAGGTTTGAGCGTTCTGATGAGACCATCCAGGCGGTAAATTTGATAGATAATTGGGAACATCATATTTTATAGTCCATATTTTTAGCAGCAAAGGAAAAATGTAGGACGGCCAAAAAATATTTTAGTATCTACGGTAGCTCATTTGCAATGATCGTTGAATATATCGACCCCACTTCAATTAGTCAGCTAAAAATTTTAAGATTTTACGAGTGGCCTAGAATTGTTCACATCCAAAATTTTGATGCATTGACGACTTATAATTCTGAGTTATCAAGTTGATTTTGTAGACGTATTTTACCGCGTTTCCCCGTAAAATAAAGCCCATTTTAATTCAACATTCATACCATAAAGGTATTTCAGGGAACTTCATAAATTTTCAATAGGATTTTCCACATATTTCGTGTGTAGCATCATCTGGATTCCTTTTATTTTTAGTCCATTTGTTGCTTATTTCCCAAAATAGGACACATTCTCTGACATATTTTAAAAAAAACAGCTTGACTCTTTTTTACTGTAAAATGAATTCTCGCATAACATGTAAATTTAAGCGTGTTGTGTGTAAGCATATACCGCATGACATTTGCATGTTTTCAGTCACTTTCGTACGTTTTCGATCGCTAAAGCACAAAAATTTAAGTATTCTTTACATTTGCTCGGCCGCAGAAAGTAATTACTTTTTATCTCCCGATTTCCCATGGTATTTCCGACCTGGCCCACAATTTTCGCAGCTGGCCCCATTCTCTTTAACATTCATTTCGCTCCTTTTTTGGGTGGAAAACATTTTCCAATTTGGGGATTGTTAGTGTCCGCAGGATGTTATTTTTTCGAGATTTCCCTGAAACAAAAGAAGTCCAACGCGGAGGATGAAACTTTTTCGGCGCTTTTTCGAGATTTTTCGCATGATTTCTGACACGTCAAATGGCAGAGTAAAAATAAAATTTATTCCGTCATTTAAGGCACCATTTTGTGCTGAATTTCCCTAGCACTCTACATAGGCAAATAAAAATTTTCTTAATATTTGATATACCATTTCTACCAAACCACTTTTCACTTATAGTTAGGACCAGAGATTGCCACGGCTCCGGAGCCGGCTCTTGGCTCCGGCTCTGAGCGGCTCCGAGCCGGGAGCCAGAGCCGGAGCCGGAAATTTTGGGGTCGGCTCCGGCTCCCGAGCCCAAAGTCGGAGCCAGGCTTCCCAGCGGTCAGAAAAGTAAAAATTTCGTGATCTTGTTAAACCAAATTGCTTGAAAAAACACTGCGGAGGATGTCACTTGACTGCAAAAACGTTGGCTGTATGATCTATGGCACTAATAACTTTTATTTTGGAAAAATATTTTAAAAAAACATTTGGCATAGGAGCCGGGATTCGGAGCCGGAGGCCTTTTTAAATTTTGCACGGAGCCAAGAGCCGGAGCCGGAGCTGCAAAGTTGGCCTCGGCTCCGGCTCTGGGAGCTAAGAGCAGGAGCGGGAACCGAAATTTTGACCGTGGCAATCTCTGGTTAGGACCCATAAACACCTTTGGAAGCTAGCACAAATCGCCACCAAAATATTCAATAATCTTGCTATAAAATACGCCGCGATCTGATGATTATGAGATCATCTTCCGATTTGCTAAATAATTTTGATCATTTAGAGCATGCTCAAAGTTTCCGAATATTCCTAGTCGCAACACGCTATGAAACCGCCTTCTTTTTAATGGGAAGTCTTGAAAAATGGGGACTGGATATTCAACGTTACCCACCAATGACGACAACGACATGTTCGTTGCGGCAGCTTGTCGAGACTTGGGGTAAGTTTACCATCAAAACAAACATATCCCAGAGATTACCTAAGGATGAAAAACACGTACTGCTTTCAGCACCAAACATTGTACAACCCAAATATTCCGAAAGGAACCCCAAATCAGGCCAACGTTACATCGAGATTCAATAAATACTTTGGCCACGGTGAGGCCTGGGATTGTGATCAGTGGGAGTTCGGACAAGGTAAGATGATGTCAGAGATTATGGTGTTTTTAGAACGTCATTGTTCATAATATGGATACCGGTGAGTGTGTGAACAAATGGAGCGGGCACAAAAAGGAGGTCACTAAGGTCAGTATTTTATCATGAGAGTTTTAGAAAAATTTTGACGATAGAGTGCGTAATGAGGGAATCGGATTAGAAATAAAAAAGTTTTTTTTGGCCGTGATTTTCTAATATTGCACGGGAAAGTTTAACTTCTTGCGAAAACATTACTTTTAAAAATAGATGTAATATTTGTAATCCTAACGAGGGATGTGCAAAACCGCGCACCCTGGTTTTTTCTTGAGACATACACCATTTGAAAGAGCGTAAAAAACTGGTCTAGGATCACATTTTATTGGCTCCTATTTTTGCTCTACGCCTTAGCTAGAGAGCACTCTTTAGTTCTAGGCTTATCTCACCCTTTTTCCGAGGAAACAAATCTGAACGGTTTCCAAAGCACAGCGCAGCAGTGCTTCGGTGTCCTAGTGGGGTAAGGCGCTGAACGAGGCGAACCTGCGGACCGGGTTCGAAACCTCTTTAGACTTTTTTTTCTTTTTTCAATATTACAAACCAACTAAGGTCTGGAAGTGGTGTTTGAGTTTCGAGGATATTTGTGGTATAATGAGAGCTGTTTTTTAAAAAAAAACGGAGATTTTTTTATTCTTTCGAATTTGTAGTCCTTGCCCTTGAAGTGGCAACTAGTGGGTATCTTCTATGGCTGAAACTTTCCACGACTTCCAGATTTTTAAGAGTAAAGCCGGGTAACCGAAAGTACGTGAAAATTGAGTCTGAAAACGGTTTACATGTTTTCTACCCGCTATGTTGCATTGGGTTACACGACCTAAAAGATCGCGTGATCACACGTTGTGAGCATCGACTTGGGTATCTCAAGGTCGGAAAAAAGTATTTATTTTTTGGCATAGGGTGAAGCGTTGGACGTCATAGGTACTATGAGACATATGAAAATAAATCCTTCAATCTCTTTAGCCCCTCAGCAGCAAAGAGTCGTGAAATCCAACTAGGATTTTTTTAAAAATGCTCGCTAGCTAGGGCGTAAAGCAAAAATAGCAGCTAATAAAAGGTGATCCTAGACCAGTTTTTTACGCTCTTTCAAATGGTATATGTTTCAAGAAAAAACCAGGATGCGCGCTTTTGCCGATCCCTTGTAAGTTTTTCATGCCGAAACTGCATGATGATTTTGAAGGCAAATTTAAAATATCTGCGTTAAATTTATGGCAAATTTCACTAAAATCTAGGCCCTGCATTTTGAGCACTTCTCATCAACCATCCAAAAGTGATTACTGAATATCTCAATTGTGAAACCAACAAAATAAAATTTTCAGGAAATATTGCATTTTTATGAAAATTTATAATATTTAACCTGCCTTAAAATTTAATCTTCAAAATTTAAATTTTAAACTTTCAGGTAGTCTACAAGCATGTTGGTGGCAAACACTACGTTCTTTCGGGTTCTCGTGATACAAATATCAAACTATGGCGCTTTAATAATCCCATGGCCATCCAAACATATCAAGCCCATGACATGACAGTCAGCGGTTTGGCCATTCTTGATGGTAGGCCGTTCCAATCGATACAATAACTTCCAATTTTAGAGAGTAAATTTGTCTCCGGTGCCAGAGATTCGTCGATTCGATTGTGGGATTTCGAGACTGCAACGCCTATTCGGACGCTCAAAATAAATCGGAACATGGTCACACATATCGACAAGGTCCCTCAGGAGAATATATTCGTCCAGACGTCGGAGGATCGGACACTCAGAGTGTGGGATTCGAGGACAATGAGTGTGGTCTACGAGAGTCCAACCAGGAATCAGATTTTGACGCATTGCGACTGCTCGAGCGATGGAAATTACTGTTTAACGGCGAGTGGAGGCTCGGCGAATGAGGGGTGTGAGGTTACGGTAAGTAAAGGTCGACCTTACAATTTGTTAGTCCCTGCATTTCATTAAAATACAACAGTCCTCGTTTAGTACTGGGACCTCCGAAAGCACGAAGTGATAAAGGAGTTGCGAGGTCATGAAGATAACGTAAAATCAGCCATTTTTCTGCCGCAGCAAGTCACGTGGAAGAAGCTGGTGCTCAGCGCCTCCAGCGATCACACGGTACGGGTTTGGAATCTGGAGGAAGGAAGTAGGTTCGGTTTAAAGAAGGCTTACCTTTTCAGATTGCTTGTGGAAAGAGACGTTGCCCACGAATGCGGAGTTACATGCTTGCGTCGGATTTGCGGATGGAAAGTAAGTAAAATCAAAGAAATTGGGTTTGCAAAGAACTGTTTATACCACTGTTTTGTTTACAATCGATTGAAAGCTTGCACGTATTTTACAATTTACAGTATAGGTGCTCAAAGTAACGGCCTCAGAGATTTATAAAACTTAACACAGCTTTCAACAACCCTAATTTTAAGGCAGATGCAAGATTTTTAGTTTTTACTTTGCAAAAATAACCTAGATTTTTGGTTGGAAGTTTGCGATCGTTTATTATTTTTGCATACGCAGTCAGACCTTGCAACCTACCACTCCTTTACACCTTGTTTTCATCTAGCCAGGTTACAGAGTCGTCTAGATATGATGTGGGCTTACTGTAGAGGGTTCCTGCCATTTTAAAACAGAGTGTAGCATGATAACTCTTCAATTTTTGCAATTTCAGTGTCGTTGTCGCGGGCGATCAAGCCCTCTTGTGTGGAATGCGGCTCTATGGCAAAGCCGGCCGGCCTTTTCTCTTCGTCAACTCCATTCAATCCAATTTCCATCAGCCAACGATGATGCCGTCGGCGACCAGTAGTTACAGTATACCTTAGAACTGCTAGGAATTTTAATTTAGCCAGTGCTTTGTCTCTCATTTAGAATTTTATTTGGTTTTTTGCTTTTTTACCCGTATTTTTGTAATTTTACAACTTTTCACTTGTGAAACACGACTTTTAAACCATCATATTTATCAAGCTCTGCTCAACATACGATTGTATATTTTGTAAATATTGTCTTCGGTATGTTGGATAAACCGCAGATTTGGAGTGATTTGTTGTCTTTTCGTACAAAAAAACATATGTTGCCCGAGGGGAAGTTGGGCAAAATGTTTGAACAGCCGAGAAATCGAGAGAAAAAGACAATGAAATGACCGTATATAAGCAACAGACATCATAATATAGTCTGCAAAAAGAGTGACCAGTGGTTTAGTCATCATTTTTGGGGAAAATGTTAGTTATCACGTAGGATGGAGGTTTCATTTTCTTCAAATCATGATTATATATTGTAGATTAGTCATCTATCATTCCATAAAAATTTTAGCTGCCGGTTTGCATCAAATTTTTTTCAATGCTTTGCATTTTAACTTGATTTTACCTCATTTTCTCTTTTTCAATCCGAACACAAGCCAACGAACACGTCCAGCGTGCATTTCCCCGCGTCTTATGCCATTATGTTTCGTATTAACGAGTAATAATTAGTAAAAAGTAGTCGCAGCCCTCCGAATCCAGCTCATTTGTATTCAATAATTGACCGGAAGCGGAGAAAAATGGATTTCTGGCGGCATTCGCCTCTTTTTCATCCCCAGATTTCGATTTTCCGATCGTTTTTTATTTGCTGTAATCTTACTCTTACTTTCGTAGTCTTTGAACTTCCAAAGTTTGAGCGCACAGTGCAGTTTTTCGGGGAAAATTCATTCTGCACAGTGCAGTCGAAATTTTAGCCTATTTTTTCGAATGCACTGTGCATTTTTCAAAATTCGTTTTTTTCGCACTGTGCAGGCAGAATTTTAGCCTAGTTTCGCCACTGCACTGTGCAAAAATCTTTTTTTTCACCGCACAGTGCAGACAAGATCATTTTCGGTGACGTGCACTGCTTTCAAAACGCATTTTTTGCGCATTGCAGTCTATTTTTTCAATGCGCTGTGCGGCCAAATTTACTTTTTGCACAGTGCAAGAAGGCTTCCGAATGGCTCCTGTGCACGGTGCAAAAAATTTTTTCGCGACACTTTTTCATTTGATCCAATGCGCCGTGCAAACCAGCAAACGACGAAAGAGGATTTCCTTGTTGCAGCGTGCGGAAAATGCGACAGCTTTTGAGCTTTTTGCGACAATGCACAGTGCAAAGATTTCTTTGTTTTTGCGGCTGCGCTTTTGCACAGTGCAAACGAAACTTTTAAACTTTGCACCGTGCAAGTGAATCTTTTTAGGGCTTGCACTGTGCAGAAGAAAATTTTTTTGTTTTCGCACCGCGCAGAATTGAATTTTTTTTGCATTTTTTGGATTTTCGGGGAGGAATTTGAATATTTTTTGGTGCTATGTTAGTTTTTATGATGTTTCACTTCGTAATATTTCTAATTTTATTGCAAATCACATCATTCCCAGTGTTTTTCACGCTATTTTTGGCCAAAATGTTTGTCAAAATTAATCCAACTTGTTTTGAATTCCCCAAAAATCCCCCGGAATGTCTCAGCTGCGAGGGGTGGGACTTGACTACATGACCAACAACTCGTTTCAGCCCTATAAAACCGCCTCCATTCGCAATATGACGCTAATAATGTCGCTTTCCATTGTCATTTAATGGGCTGCGTTAATTTGCATAATATTTGCGGAGGGCTTTTTGAGGAGGTTTCGCGGCAAAGAATGGGGTCGGCGCCGCAGGGGAAATGCGGAAAAAACAGCAGTAATTTATATTGTGTTTATATTGTAACCGGGGAAAGGCGGGGAAGTGCGCGGAATTTGAAGGTTGCGCAAAAAAACGCAGGTTTTTATGAGATTTTAACGTCGTATTTTAGAAGATGTCTAGTTCAAAAAAAAATTTTTTGGCTTAATTTTTTATGACTTTTTATACAAAATTTTTTTGTTTCATAGCGAAAAATCGTATTTTAGGGACATTCCAAATGAAAAAAATAATCGTATTTTTCTTAATTTTTCATAATTTTTTAACGTTAATTCTTTATTTTATTTTTTTCTTGTGTTTTAACTCCCTTTTTTACAGCTAATTTATGCCTATTTGTTAACGATTCTAGTCAAAGATCTCCCATCAAAATGATGTATTCGATACATTTTATTATCGCATTCATCTACGCGGTCGATGGAATCCCCCAATATTTTTTTGGTAAGTCAATTCTTACTTTAATTCTCGTATTTTACAAAAAAAATATTTTTGATTATGCAAATCCAATCTCAGATGCATTCAAAAAAGCGGAGCAAGATGTGGCGACCATCTACAATTACACCGAACCGAGGCTTTTCAATCATTATGGTGGGTGAAATATGCATTTTCATTTCAAAAAATATTTGAATATGCAAATTTCTGAGTTTTGAAAAATTTGAATATTTAAATTTTTCAGAGTCAGCCTCGTCTTTACCACTTTCTCACGCCCGAAATGATTGGCTACACTTCACGTATTCGACGCCTGAGGCGAAAAGAAAGGCCTTCCTTGGCTACACGATGCTTCGGACAGCCGAACTCATGAAAACGTAAGAAAAAAATTGTAAAATACGCGTAAACAATCATCGTCTTTATTAACAGGGGAAGTACTCAAGTGCGGCGCTCAGATTTTGATGAAGCCTGTTGCAAATTTAGAACAATTTTTTAAGAAATAAGCGTGACTCCTTGGCTCACGCTTTGCAGAAACGACCGGCATTACTACTAGTCGTTTCATAAAGTGCGTAGACTTTTCGTCGCAAATTTTCCACACTGTTGCATTTGATTTTTTTTTTTTATTTCTATAATTCCGTATTTTACCAAACACCGTTTTATTATTTCTGTTTCCATTTACTTTATTTTCAGCCCCGTCTCCGCTCTAAGACACATCAGAGGCGATGAAATGGTGGCAGATGAGCAGTGCGACCAAAACAAATTCACATGTAGTAATTACAATTACCGTGCCTATGATGGGAGTTGTAATAACATCAAAAGACCCGACTGGGGAGCGACTTACACTCCATTCCAGCGAGAAATCGATGCTGATTACTCGGACGGTACGCAGATTTCAAAAGAAAAATACATTAAAAATTTAGTATTGTAGAAACGTATTTTACCCTTTTCCAGGACTGACAAGCTTCCGGAAATCAGAAAACGGTGATGACTTGCCAAACCCGAGAGCTTTGTCTAGGATATTTTTCAACGAAAGACAATCGGATGAGAGGATAAAGGAAGTGAGTGCGATGTTTCCCTCGTGGGGACTGTTCGTTCTTACGGATATGGTTCAGATTGGGAGTTATCAGCTAATCCAAGGTAAAAATTTTTATTTTTATTATTTTTTTTGACTGTGAGAGTATTAGTGATGAGATCTATGGCATTAATTTGAAAAATTTATATTTTTTCCTGCCTGAAAACATGTGTAAATTGCGACTTTCAAATTTTCATTAAAATTGGCAAAGACTTATTTGTAATGCGTTTTTCAATTTTTAACGAAAGAGTCTTAGCTTACAGTCTACAGAAGCAACAAGATTTTTAAGTCAATAAGAGTCAAAATTAAAGATTTTTACGGATTCCGTTTTTTCATTGTCAAGAACTGCCCCTTTTTTCTTGAAACCAAAATATTTTTTGCTTTGAGGCACAACGTTTAAAACCAAATCATTGCTTTCAATCCACTTATTTCCCCCTCTTTTGGTCATCTTTTCCTCCTTCAGACGACATCCACATTCCTCTACCCTGTTGCGAAAACAATTCCCATCCCGAATGCAAGCCCATCCCGGTCCCAGAGAACGATCGATTTTACAATAGGACCATTGACTGTATCGACTACTCAAGAACCATGATCGCCCCAAGAAATTGTGCCTTCGGTCCTCGAGAGCAGCAGAATCAAGCGACGGGATATTTGGATGGGAGTGCCATTTATGGAAGCACCGAAGAAAAGGCCCGGGAATTGAGGGAACTCAAAAATGGTCGGCATTTTTTGGTTCAAAGTTTTGCGACTAGCAAAATTTTTAATTTGTCAAAAATTTTTATTTCGTATTTTAGGACGGCTTCGAGTCTCCGAAAGCGCCGAATTCGCGAATCAAATGCCAATCTTGACTGGGATTTCGGAGAATAAAAAATGTCCCGGAGCCCAATCGGAGTGCTTTGTCAGTGGATCAAATCACATCAATTTGTTGCCTACGTTGCTGGGAATCCATACATTGTGGATCCGACAGCACAACACAGTCGCTGGAGTGTTACAGGTAACTTTTTAAAAGGTTTTGTAGAACCGATATTTTTTTTTGGAGTCCCGGATTTAAAAGGAATTTTCAAGACGTCCTTGTTGTCCCAATTTTTCTTTTTTTTCAGTCCTTCAATCCCAAATGGTCCGACGAACAGTTGTATCAAGAATCCCGTCGCTTTGTTGCCGCTCAAATCCAGCACATCACTTACAATGAGTATCTGCCATTGCTGATTGGCCGAGAGACTTGGCATGGGTATAGACTGAACCCCCATCGAAGTGATTTACAGGTGGACCCGTATGACATGAGTGTTGATGGATCGGTGATCAACAGCTACGCCACGGTCGCTGGACAGGTATGATTTGAAAATTTTACAGAGGTTTGCGGGGTTGCTTTGAAAGCTTGGTATTTTTAAGACTTGTCGTTTGGCATAATAATTAATTACTATGAAAAAATTAATCACTTTTAAATAAGCAATGTCCGTAATTTAGGTGGTTTTCACAATGCTGGCCGATTCCATGGCTCAGCTGGAGCGAAGTGGCTACAGAAGAATGGAAAAGCCCCTTGGAGAGTACATAAATCGGATAAAAACTTTGCTGGTTGATCAGGACATCGAGTCAATTCTGCGGTAAGTCAACCACAATTTTCATCAAATTTAGCACTAAAAGTTAGGTTTCTGCAAAACAAAAAATCAAAAAAATTAACGAAAATATCTCTAGCTATCTTCTGAGAGACCACTCCGACGCCTACGGTCTCCATCTTCCCCATGACCTTCGAAACAACCTTTTCAAAAGCACTGCTGGTCTTGGCCTAGACTTGGCCACCATGTGGATTCAGATGGGCCGAGATCATGGCATCCCGCCATACACAAAATGGCGAGAACATTGTGGAGGATCTCGCATCGATTCTTTCGATGATCCAGATTTCCGTAGAGACATTACGAATGCTGAAGATGTAATCCCGGCATTGAAGAGAATGTTCAATTCTGTTCACGACGTGGATTTGATCATCCTTGGGTTGGCTGAGAAACCGGTGAGAGGCGCAATTGTTGGGCCAACTTTGGGATGCATCGTGGGAAAACAGTTCAAGAAGACCAAATTTGGAGATCGATTTTGGTACGAGAACACAATTGCTCCATGGGGATTCACGAAAGCCCAGTTGAATGAGATCAGAAAGACAACTCTGGCACAAGTGCTTTGCGAAAACTCGCAACTGCCTCTGATTCAGCCACAGGTCTTCAAATACGTTGACAAGAAAGAGTAAGACAGCATCTTATATGTATAGTCGTCCAAAAAGTTTGGCTACGTATTCTGTGGCAAAAGCCTTGATCAATAACGGAATATAAAGCCCGGAATTACAAAGTTTTTATTTTTAGCAACTTTCCTCTTCTCTGCAACACCAGCGACATTGTCCAGCAGAGTTTTGAGCCATGGCGGGACAGCGAAAACGTCGTCCAAATGCCTGTCACAATGGCAACTGTTGAAAAAGCCATCGAGATCGGGTTGAAAGTTGTGAAGGAAAGAAGGAAACGAGAGACCGAAAACATCAAGAAATGTGGGTTTAAAATAGATTTTATTTATGTTTGTATTGGTAGATCAAGGAGTATATAAACGAGGGGATCCTTTGCTGGCTTACGGTCAAATGATGAGGGCGAAGAAAGAAGCCCTACACACTTCTACTGTGTCATCGGTGCTTCTGGAAGCTACAAGGTTTTTGGTGAATAAGTAAGTTGAAGGAGCCTAGAAGTGCTCCCATAAATTCTACCAATAACTAAATAAATTCTTGCAATTTTTTCAGCGGATCCCTCAGCCGAGATGGAGGCATTTCTGAAGTGAAGCTGGACTCCGAGACGCTTCAGAGGCTCCTTCCAGATCTGGATGTCTCCGAGTTTGTGGGAAATATCGTCCCATTCCTCGGTACCGACGGATCCATCGAGAAATGTCTACCCAAAGATCTACCTTGCGATCACACTTCTCCTTACCGGACGTTTAGTGGATGGTGTAATAATCTTCGGTTCCCCCATTATGGCAATTCTTTCGGCCCTCTGCGACACATTTTTCCCCCAGATTATGAAGATGCTATTGATGCGCCAAGAGCTTTCAGCGTCACCGGACATAGGTTGCCGCTTGCTAGAGCAATCTCCAATGCAATCCATGTGGATTCCAACGCTTCGGATGAGAAGTTCACGCATATGGTAATGCAGTTTGGGCAGTTGCTGGATCATGAGATCACACATTCGCCCGTGGAAAGAGGTGGGAGTTTTACAGCAATCTTGGGGCGATTTTTTTTATTTTGAAGATTCACTTGTTATAAATTCTTGAAAATCTTAACTAGCCCTCTGAATCTTCACTGGAGATACTCAGCCATCTTTATTTAGGTCCAAACAACGAGATCCTCAACTGCACCCGTTGTGACTCGCCTCAAACCCTGAGCGTCCATTGTATGCCCATCCCAGTCCCAGATGATGACGACACTCTCCACCAAGATTTGGATGGGAACAAACAAGAATGTTTCCCCATGGCCAGATCTTTGCTAGGCCAGTTGAGCTTGGGATATCGTAACCAACTGAATCAACTGACGGCTTTCATCGATGGAAGTGCCATTTATGGTTCAACAAAATGTGAGGCGGCGGTTTTACGGAAGTTCCATGCGGGCTTGATGAACTTCACGTACCTCGGAGCGCATAATACGTGAGTTTGCAGGAGTAATTTGCTTTAAAATCAGGAAAATTCAAGAAGAAAATATACAATTCTAGCGAAGCGCTTCCTCAAGGAGACCAAGAGCAAGATTGTCGATCGAAGCCGCGATTTCCTTGCTTCGAGGCCGGCGATGAGCGAAACAGTCATCAGCCCGGTCTTACCGCCATGCACAACATTTTCCTCCGCCAACACAACGCGATTGCCCGTGATTTGGCCAGAATAAATCCGCATTGGGACGACGAAGCACTGTATCAGGAGAGTCGGAAGATTGTTGGCGCCATTTTCCAACACATCGTTTACGACGAATACCTCCCAAAACTCTTGGGACGTCGTTATATGGAGAAGTACGAGCTTTCCACCAAAAAATCCGGGTATTTCCGGAAATACGATGACTCTTGCGACGCCAGTATTTCTCATCCATTTGCCACGGCAGCGTTTAGATTTGGTCACACGTTGATTCGGAGGTTCTTCCCCCGCTTAAACCAGTATTACAAAAATTTCACGGCTCCCGTCGATCTCCAGGAGCATTTTAATAACGTGGAGCCGGTCTATGACCATGAGAAAGGAGGAATTGATTCGATTATTGTGGGATTGTTAGGGACAAGATGCATGGCATTTGATCGGCATATCACGGATGCGGTGAGGAATCATCTCTTCCAACAAAAAGGATTTCCACACTCGGGATTCGATCTGATTGCGTTGAATATTATGAGGGCCAGAGATCATGGAGTCCAACCGTATAATCGATTCAGGTAAGAGGAGGAGATTTAAGGGGGAGCAGAACATCTTGGCCCTTTAAAACACGAATTTGATTCAACATTGACCCTAAGTTACCTGACAAAATTTTCAGAGAATTCTGCGGTTTGAAACGCGCAAACAATTTCTACGATCTCCACGACGTGATGGCCGCAGAGTCAGTGAAGGCATTGGAGTCGATTTATGAGGATGTGGATGACATTGACCTCTTCCCTGGCCTCTTCTCTGAACGCCCGTTGGGCGGAGCCTTGATGCCACCAACTATGGCGTGCTTACTTGGCGAACAATTCCAACGACTGAAGAATTGTGACAGGTTTTATTATGAAAATGATATCCCTGAAACAAGATTTACCCCAGGTGAGAAGTGCATGACCTTTTGAGACAAAAATCCAGTAATTTTTTTTTATTTTTATGATGTAATCTTATACCGTATTTGCAGAGCAACTCCAAGAGATTCGAAGCGTTAAATTGGCCACTGTCTTGTGCAATAACAGTCTGAATCTAACGCGAATTCAGCCAGATGTATTTAGTATCCCGAACAGCTTGAGGTAGAGTTTATATCGGTAAAGGAAAGTAACGTTCTTCTTTTTAGTAACGCCCAAATTCCGTGTACCAATTTTCCCAGGATCAATCTGAAAGCTTGGGAGGACACTTGTAAGTTTTTTTCAACAAATAAAACAGTAGTGGTAGAAAAAGGCTAAAATTTAGTTTTTGGGAAAATCTAGCGTTTTGAAGTTCAGAGATGACAAATTGCTTCTGCAATGCCTGCGTTAACATGGGCACAAAACTTTTCAGGCAAAAATTTGTGGAAAAGTGTGACATTTTAGTAAAATTTCGCCAAAAAATCTCGGTCGTTTCTGCAAAGCGCGAGCCTGGACTCTTGCATAGTATAGCTTTGAAAATTTTAATCAAAATTAGTGCCAAGTTTTTCCTACATGTCAAATAAAACTTTTCTGGTCTCGCCTCCTAATATTCACCCGACTTTTGTTCAGCGGTCTGTCGAATCGGCAACAGTGCTGTGCCCCGAGGCTCGAGTAAACAGCGTTCACCTTGCGTGAATTGTATGTGCACAGCAACGGGTCTTGAATGCCGATCAATCCGTGTTCCCGATTGCCGCGCATTAATTCGGAACAACATCCTGACAGAGATCAAAGCGGACGTTACTTGTATGGTTCAGTGTGCGGGAGTGCTGAGAAAACTTTAGATCTTTATTTGAAATATCTCCAAAGAAACTACGGTAATATATAATAGATGTATTTGTATAGTTTATTTGTCATATCAATTTGTACAAAAGTTTTCTAATTCTTAATATTTTTGATGATGAGAATAAAGCATGGTAATATTCGAATATTTTGAAGGTAAAAAGACTATTTTTAAAGAAATTAATCTTACTTTTTTCCTTCAAAAAACCGTTTAGATTCAATTTATTCCAATAAGACAACAGCTTGTCAAATCTACCCTTCCGGCTTCCCCTTACGAGCTCCTCCACCTTCGACTTTGGGATTGTCCTTGACCAGCTTCTTTCGTCCGCTCAACTTGTAATCAAAATTGCATCGATGATCTTCCGGATTCTTATGGCGTTCGCAGAAAGTGAGCTGGCATTTGCAGATGGCAGTCTGCTGGCTGATCGGCAGCCTCCTTCTGCATAGTCCACAAGTTGTTTTTCTTCTTTTTTCCACTTCCTTTTTGATCGCCGCCAACTCTTCTCTGTTTCTTGGGGGATCGTAGAGGTCCTGATGGACCACAATCAAATCGCGGGCAGTTTCGGCGGGATCGAAGAATATCTGAAGATAAAACAGGTCCAACTAGGCGGCATTAACTCAATTTTCCTCCAAAATAACTCCAAAAAACCTTACTTTAGCCTCCTTTTCGGTCACTGGCTTTTCCATTGGTTCAACTACAGAAGTGCCTGAGGCAGTGCTCTTTGGAGTCAAATTGCTGAGATCGCTGAGACTTGAAGACTTTGACAGTTCATTCCTTGGAGTACCAGGCTCGGATGCCAACGGAGACCTAAAAATTTTTACATTATACTAGGCATTACAATCTTACACTTGACAAAAAAATTACACTTACATTCCAACCGAGCTGCAGAGCGACCCAGTATCCCTAAAGTTTTCCGGAGTCCTGGCACTGACTTTTTTCCGACGTTTCAGAAGATCTCGCATCCTACTTCTGGTGATCTAAATCAATGTTTGCATCAAAAGTCATCAAAATTTACTTGATGTTCCATTTGTTTCTCCGGCGTCCATAGGCCTTCTCCTTTCTTGGCGAGGTCCGGGGGCTTGTCTATACTCGACTGGTTTGGAATATTGGTCATATTTTTGATCGCATCTCTGATACTGGCCATCTGACTCAAGGCCTCCACGTTCTGCGGAATGAGAATATCGGCGGCAAAAAAGAGGCCTGGACTGGGTGGTGGGGTCCGTTCTATTAGGCCCGACTCGACGCGAGTGCTCACATAGACACTGCAGTTGGTGGTCATTCCAAATCCTTCCAGCGTTTCGTCGTCGTTACTAAATTTGTCCAGTCTAGTCAAATTTTGGCGACTTACGAAAGTTCTCGGCCATTGTAAGTGAATCTGACCATGTCCGCGGGACAACCGCTCTTGGCTTGATAGATAAACTTGAGATCTCGGACGGTGGCATCACGGCGGACCTCAGATTTACACTAAAAAAATTTTTTCAAAAAATTCTGGGGATTTCAAGTGTAACATAAGTCAAAATGACTATAACTCGAAGGAATTTTATCGGACTGGCACCAAACTTGGCAAAAACGAAGATGAACAGGCGTGCGTGACACGGAAATTTGCTTTGAGGCCTTACCGGTTCCGAGCCAGCCATGATCGATTGAAAAGTGACAGTGATCACCATGTCCCGAAGCGGATCTTTGGTCGTTTGGGCAGACATTTCGAAGAGCTTGTTACAACGCCAATGAAAACTAAATGGAAGGGTAAACTACGGAATAAAAGAATTTTTACACAAAAGCGCTTACAGTATCAGCTCGAATCCAGCTACAGTATTCTTGACGTGGGTGAGAATTACAAGTCCGCAATGGGAATGATCGACAACCGTCCGCCGATCAGAATGAACACAACAACAATGAAGACGAGGAAGGGAAATTTCAAAAAGAATATTCAAATTTAATAAAATTTTGCAAATTTCGTCAGAAAATCAAAAAAAATCATTTTCAAATTCAAAAAAACTGCTAGCAATTCAACAAAAAACAATTTATGATTCAAAAATAACATGAATAACAAGTAATGAGTAAAATTTAACAAGTTCTCAACAATTTGTGGACATTTTTATATTATCCATGATCAAACCTTGGATTTTTTCGGCTTTTTGGCCGCCTTTTTGGTAACCTTACTGTCGGCTTTCCTCTTCAAAGCTTTCTTTACAGTCTTGGCTCCAGCCAGCTGAATTCCTTTGGCATTTGTGATCGATTTTACAATACCTTGCCCAATAATTTGGAGATCTTCAGCTAATGCTTGCAAGTTAACTTCATTTTTAGGGCCGGTCCTCTTTCTGAGTGAGCAATTCGTCAACTAGAATAAGAAACAATCAAACTTGAGACTTTTAAACACAAAATTTCACCACAATTTATGAAAACATATTACACAAGATAAAAATCAACTTCAAACCAAAAAATTCGTCTCTTCTTACCGTCAAATCCACATTCGGAACTTTGAAATTGGGTCTCAGCGCTCCATAGATCATTTCTGTTTCAAATTCATCGTAGAAAAACATCAACTTCGAACCAAAATGCTTTTCAAATTCCGAGACCAACCTCTTGGATAAATCAAAGTCCACCACCGGTATAACAAACGCGCATTTCTTGGAGATCTTATCCCTGGTTTGTGTGGACTTGACTGGCTTTGGAAAATGAGTTGCTTTGTTCTGATCCAGTTGAATTTTCAGGTCGTAAATCGAAGAATTTGTTGTGCATAGCCGGCTTAAATCCACATGTTTTCCCTCCTCCAATCGTCCCTTCAAATCGTTCCACTTTTCCTTCGCTAAATCAATCAGCCTTTTCGCGGCAAATGGTTCCGTTTTCTTGGCCATTAATCGAATTCCACTCTTGTCTTCAGGCGTAATTAGGACGATTGGCGGGAGGACTGGCCGTCGCTTAATGAAAAGTTCACGGAGTTCCTGCTTCGATTCTTCATTGAAATTTTCATTTATATCGACAAAAAGGGGCTCTTGAACAAAGTTGAAAGTGGCCAAGGTCTTCAGGAATTGGAGGAATCCAGACAACGAGGTCCTGAAAATTGATGACATAAGTTATGCTCTAAAGTAATATAAGTCGATAGTAATTCATGAAATTCCAGAAAAATTTCAGCAAACATTTTATAAACTCTTATTGACATCTGTAACAAGTTTAACAGAAACCCGAAACCAATTAACCAAGATCTTATACTTTTTATCCAATTTCACCTACTACAACATAAAACCTTCCTCAAATTTTCATAAAAAATCAACTCACAAAGGTCCATTACCACTGTTCCTTCCTGCAGCGTTCAAAAATCCATATGCAACTAGCAATTCGATGACTAGTGGATCAAAATGGTTACTCAATTGAGCTCCGGCAACAAATCTTTTGGCCAAATGAACGGACTCTGCAAACGCGCTGAATTTCGTTCCAATCGAGTGTAATTTCTGTGTCAATATCGCAAGATGAGCGTGTTTTGTGAAAGGATCTGCCAGTTTCTGCGGCTGTTCATTCTCCGCTTGATGTCTTTCCAACTCTTCATCATGCACAATATAAACCGAGAAGATGATTCGATCCAATTTAATGAGAATCCTATCCTTCTGTGGGACTGCAACGGCTTTGTATTGCTTTGCAAATTCCTTGGCCAACACATCGTAGTATAGCGTTTTGTAGGCAGCAATTTGAACCGGGACTTTACCCCATTTTCCACTCCTTTCCAAAGAAATGTAAACTAAAAATAAAATAAAAAACAGTAAGACACTTACCATCAACAGTAGGCTGCAGTGGAGGGACCGGAGAATCAACGCTCAGCTTTTTCATCAGGAGTTTCTTGGCATTACCCACAATTTTTGGTGCAGGAACGTAAGCAATTGGCTAAAACAAGGAATAAATTATAAAAAAAAGTCGCTCTAACCTCAGTATTACGATAATAACCAGACACACAGTTAACTCCAACAATTTGCAACGGAACTTCTTTGATTTCTCTGAACATTTTCCCTAGTTTGGCAAAGGCATTATGAACAACTGATGGTGGAAGTTGATTTCTTGGGATAAGCGATGTCCAGTGGGCCGGTGCTTTCGCAATGTGTTGCAGAGATCCTTCTGGGAGCATGAGCTTTCTAAAAATTGAACAATAACAAAAGAATTTAGGGAAATCGACATTATCCATGAACCAAGACTCACTTATAAACGATAAATTCGAGCCACCTTTGTGGAATACTCTTCTTGAAATCCTCACTCTCATCTGGATGAGCATTCTTGTTCATTTTCACCCATTCAACGGTCTCGCACAATGAGTTATCGGCATATTTTCGGATTTCCGCCAAGTCCACAAAATCATTTCGGAATTCTTTGCCCTCAGGGGTATTGCTTGGAGGTCCCCGGAAGATTGGTTCGGCCCAATCTTCTCCCAACGCCAGGGCTAACACGTACTTTCGACTTTCATCTTCAGATTCGTAGGATTCCTCCTAAAATCCAAGAATTTTATATTAACCAAGCAGACTGATAAAATTTTATCAACAAGGGATTAAACTTACATCTTTCGTCAGGAACACTTCAAGCTCTGATATTCTATTTTCTGCAAACAGCTTTCCGGTGATCTCCTTCAAAGTTTGAACGAAAAGTTTTTCCAAATCCTTCTTATTTTTCGCCTTCTTCTTCGATTTGGCAATGAGGGTCCCAAATTGAGAGAAGTAGTCAGAAGTAACGTCCAGACTAAAAAAGAATACAATAAAAAGCAAGCACATACCTGTAGAAATCGTCGAATCGCAGAAGTGCGTCTGGTGAAGCTGCCAAAGACGAAATTTGATCTGCAGACGTCATTTTGATATCTAAAAAAATATTTTAAATATTACGTCAAAAAACGGAGATAATGGACAAAAATTGTACAACAAAGAAGCACCTTGATCAAATTTTTGAGATCACAAACCGCCTAAAACAAAAATAATTTTCGGAGCACATTCCATCGTATAAAATGTCAATTCTTGGACGTTTTATACGCTGAAAGCTGTCTTAGTTGTTTGTCATTTTATTTTTCAGAGAGTTGAGAAACTTGAGAAATCTCATTAGAATTGTTCTCAACAATGAGCTTGCTGTAAGTTCTCACATTTTGCTCGTTTTACATTCAGTTTTGAGGCTTTTGGTACTAATAATTTGCATGTTAATATTGTAGTAGTTGATTGATGCTGATCTTGCTGCGAAACCTCTGATATTTGTCGAATAACAGTTTTGACGTTTGTATCACAAATTGGTGGGACCAAAATACAAGAGATGTGCAATCCCCATCGATGACAATCATATTACCCGTGTCTACGTCACCAAAAATTTTTCGAACTTTAATCTGTGTTTCCTTACTACAACTTTTGAATCCCAATTTCCCATTCTTTGGAACCTCAGCATTTTTTATGATTCGTTCCCTCTTCGCTTTTCGTTGTGGTCTGAGTCCTGGAGTTTGTAGTTTCTGGGCGTGGCGAAGGCCGGGATTATAAAACGAAACGTTTCCCCTCCCAATTCAGTTGTTGTTGAGGGTGTTTGGGACTTTTATGGCCTTGTAAGCACAACGTTTCATTGAGAAATCGGGTATCTTCTCCTGAGAGGCCAAAAACCAAAAACTCTCCCCATTTTGCGAATGTTTTGATGTTTACTTGTTTTTTCGGCCGTTTCGAAAGGGGTTGTTGGGAAATTCGCGTGCAAAGCAAAACAGTTGAGCACATCAACCGCTCGGCTCGCTTATATGGGCTGGCGGAGGCATTTCCCTACTCAATTTTCAACCTTATTTTAGGGTACAAAAAATTTATTTGAATGTGAAGGAGTAAATGGCAGAAATAATGTAAGCCGAAGTGCAGCATGCCGTTTTCGGGTAGTTTGTGGGATTTACTAACATTTTGTTTTTACCTAGTACGTTATTTTCACCTGTCCCGAGAACCTGGTATAATATCTGATGTTTTGTCAATTTTAAGATTTTTTTGTTTCAGATTGAAGACAAATCGTTTTCTGGTAAACTCAATAAGAAGAATGTCGAACACTATCTATGGATTCAAGGCCAAGGATTCTGATGGAGCCGAGGTTTCATTGGAGAAATACAAGTAAGTCTTGTGCAATATAAGTTTTATCGATTTTAGATTTATTTTTGTCAGATTTGTCTAAAACAAGGTGTTAAATCGTTGCATAATCTCATTAGTAATCTTTTTTTCAGGGGAAAGGTTGTAATCATCGTGAACACTGCCAGCCAATGTGGTCTAACCAACTCCAATTACACTCAACTGAATGAGATTCTCGACAAGTACAAGAAGGACGGCCTCGAGATTGCTGCGTTCCCATGCAACCAGTTTGGTGGCCAAGTAAGTTTATATGTGTCTTTTGTGTTTAGGCCGAATATAAAACCTTGTATTATACGAGGCGTTGGCACGGAAAAGGTCTTCGGTTTCTTAGGGTACATTTACGAACAAACGTGAGTTGTATGCGGTTTGGTCCCTCTTCTCACGGCATGGGCCAAATACAGGCGAGAAAACTTAGCGTGGGAAAAATTAGAGGTAGTAATCTAACCTTCAAAATGGTTAATATAATCCAACTAGAAATTAAACAGCGTTTTCAACGGAAATAAGATATCAAAAAGAAAATGTAGTAGTTTATTTTCGAGTCTGCAGACGTTTGCTTTTAGGAGCCGGGCTGTGATGCTGACATCAAGAGCTTCGTCCACGAAAAGTTCAAGTTTGATCCCGATCTCTACTCAAAAATCGATGTGAACGGCGACAACGCCCATCCATTGTGGAAGTTCTTGAAGGAGAAGCAAGGCGGAACCCTCTTCGATGCCATCAAGTGGAATTTCACCAAGTTTTTGGTGAACAGAAAGGGCGAAGTCATCAATCGGTATGGCCCTCAAACCGAGCCCAAATCCATGATCAAGGACATCGAAAAAGCTCTCGCCGAGAGCCCATAAATGTATTTATTGAAAATATACCATGTTCACTACTTTATGAAAATCCCGTTTAAATGTGATTAGTTGTAAATGAAAAACTTTCTGTCCTATTTTTTAAACTTGTATTACACTTGGTTAGTATGTGAAATACGGTGAAATAAATAATTAAAAACGGTAATTTTTTGTTTCTTTATAGTGTGTGATGTTTGGGGACCCAAGCTCTTGAGACAAACGGTAGTTAGTTTGTTAAAAATTACTCAAACTAGGGGCAATTTACTTTAAAAGAACATGAGTAATTGAAATTGTTTTTTGAAGAAGAATACGTGCAGAAAGCAACAACAGGTTATCGTCTATAACGCGGAGCAGAATTCTGTAGAACCTTGTCTTCTCTTCGAAGTTCGAACGACTTTTTTGCCGCAATTTGTCGGGCGCAGCTTGCCGACCATCATCTTTTTATTTTTTGTTATTCTTTTTTGGAAATGTTACTGATTAGTTACTTCTACTTCTTATCATGGCGTCTTCTTGCTCAAAAGCGTTTTAGATCCAACCGGAATGCTATAGCCTTTGATATTCATTAGCATGATCTACATTAATCATGTTTCCGTCCTCTCAACTCTCCAGAAGCCTGCTCAAATGCCAAAGAGCTGTTTCAGTAGCTCTCAGTACGTTTTCTTTTGTTTTCACTTGTGTTGTGTTTTTAGAACCACGAATATTTGCGTTTCTGTCATTTCAAATTAGGGCAATATCAAATCTTTTCAGTAAACAGTGAGATCCGCAATGTCTTGCTCCTGCAACGTCCAAAAGAGCATGAGCTGCTTCCAGGTGCCATGGTTTTCCCAGGAGGAAAGTTTGAGATCACGGTGGATTCGGAATTCCCAAGAAAGAAGACAAATTGGAATTTAGTGGAAGAACAACCTCTCCGGCCGATGGAGCTAGCCGAAGATTATGTGTTCAGAGTAGCGGCTTTGAGGGAGCTCTTCATCCAGACGGGCACTTTGTTACTCTACTCGGTGAATTGCAGAGAATCCAGCATTGTTACATCAAAAGACGATAAAGCTTTGATCGAATGGAAGGATAAGGTGAGATTTTTAAATTTTTCTTTGACATTTAGGCAGAAATTTAGACGAAATACGACTCTGTTTGGTGTCAGTTGACATTGTTTTGTCAGTTCAGTCCTGACAAAGTTTATAATGCATTTGAGTATCAGCTGCTAAAAATCCATTTAATTTTCATGTTTTTAGGTGAAGAATGAACCCACCAAGTTTGAAGAGCTTTTCAACAAGACGGATAAACTAGATGTTAACTTGTTGATTCCTTGGTCAAACTGGCTCACGCCTATGGGATCTCTGAATCGTTTGGATAAACTCTTCTTCTTGGCTCCATTTGATAACCTGAATGAGACCTTTTGGGACTTGGAAGAGGGGAATATGTTCTTTGGACATCCTTCAGATATAATCGAGAAGAATGCAACTAGTGAGTGGAAGATTTGATAATTTATATTATATTAGGTATAGTTAATTTCGGAAGTTGTAATTTTGAATTATCTTTTTGATTATATTGATGTTGCTTTATATAAAACGTCTAGTATAATATAAATAACCTTTGTGACTTTTTCAGGTGGACTTTCTGTTCCGATTCCTCAATTCTACGAGCTTTTGCGGATCCGTCTCTCCCATCACGACCATTTACACAGTCAAATCAGCGCTCGGTTAGTCCTTCCTCAACTAATCCATACCGAAGATCAGAAGCTTGGAGCCTTTTTGTTCCCAGAAGATCAGCTTTATCTCTCCGATGAATCCGAATTTGTTTCGGCAAGGACTTTGAAGGAGTCGGAGATTGTGCCTAATAAGGAAATTGATCAGCTGAGGACCATTCATCGGATCGTTTTTCAAAAAGGATTTGTTGAAAACGAACTTTTCCTCCAGAATGTTCCAAAAATGCCCTTCAAACCGCATTTATTTCACTGTAACGGGAATATTTACAACGATTTCCCTTAGGGCATAGAGGGTTTTTTAGATGTTCTGGGTAGTTTAGACCTTACACTGGCCTTTATATTACTGTAATTGTACATAATTATCAGTTTTTTAAGCGTTATCTTGTTGTTTTTTCATTTTTTATCAGATTTTCCATGGTTTTGCAGTCTTTGTAAAAATTTTTGAGTTTTTTTGTCTGATTTTTTAATAAACTAACGATTTTTATCAATATTTTTTTGTTGTAAACTGTTATTTACGAAGAATACTGATTTTTGTTACATCTTTTCTCTACTTTGTTTCTTTGGCAGCAGTTTTTGACAATGGTTTATATCATGATGACTAAAAATTTTATCGTGTGATCTTTAATATAAAGAATGGCAGGTTCCTTCGGCGAAATCTTGTTTTGGGCCTAAAAATGCGTCAAGAAAATTCAGACTACGACTTTTAGAGGGAGTCGAGAATGTAAACCAACACGTAGATAAGAATAAAATCCGTAGACAGGTCATTCGAATGCACTTTTTTTTTTGTTTCTTCATTGCGTTATTACCGCGAAAGGGGTTCCAAAGTTTATTTTAAGACTGTTTCCGATCATGTTTGATCTGATTTTTATATTATACTAGCTGGAAATTTCAAACTTTTAATGATTTTTGTTTCAAAAATAATGTTTTTATTGGTGGAGATGGATCGTTGAATTGAAGGAGAGCCTTGTGCTTTTATTTCCACTTTATTTTTAGTTCTAAAATTCTTTTTAAAACCTTACTTTACCCAAAGAAAGTACCTCTAAACTTTCAGAATTACTTTCTTAAATTTTTTTTCAACCAACGCAACATCTTTTTTTAGCTGTAATTATCCTTCAACAGTATAAAGTTCACAGCGAACGCGACCAATGCTCTCAATTTCATATTCTTTTGGGTGGACATTGGACTTTCCCCCGTCTGTTCTTCTCTTTTTTCTTGATTTCTCTGACCATTGAACGCTTATCGCTTCGAAAAAGACTCCCTTTTTTATCGCAGAACGGTGTTTTAGGTTTTGTTTTTAATAGTTTGTTTACTTCTTCGATGATTTTCAATATTTTATTTTGGGAGTTTTGAACAATTTTTATATTAATTTAGGTTACAAATAGCGATTTTTTGCTTGATTTAGGCAAGAACTGATTGTAAAATGAAATGAGGAGGGTTGAAAAACTTGGTTGAGGGATTTTTCTGTGATAAAAACAGAGTTTGCTATAAGAAAATAGCATTTGATGACATTAATGTCTAGTGTAAGATAATCAGGTGTAAATTTTGATGTTAGATACAGACATGATAGACAAAATGAACGTGTTTTGAATTAAGGCTATCTATTCTTTTATTTTCAATGCTTTACCGACCCTCATTGTCGTATTTTACTTTTCAAATCATCAAAAAATTACGCCAATGTCTGATATTCCCATTTTTTCCATGTTCATGTTTTTTTCAGCCCCTAATTTCATTCCGAGCGGAATGAGAATATCGGTGGTGCGGCTCCTTAATCGCACAATACAACGAAATCATGTCGTAAATGGGAAATGGACAACCACACACTACACTCGGAAGCCTAGAGACAAAGACGAGAGATGGAAGGACGTGGAGATTGAACGGTTCAGCGATGAGTATGATGTCTTGATTGTTGGTGGAGGTCCTGGTGGATTGTCGGCTGCAATCCGATTGAAACAATTGGCCAGCGAACAGAATAAAGGTAATTTTTGTGCTTTTGATGATGATTTAGACGAAATTTTTTGGTTTCTTGTTAAATTTTGTGGTGGTTTGTTACAAGGGCACTTCAAAATATATTGTCAGTCTTTAAGAAGGATTTATCTTAAGTTTGCTTTTTGTTTCGAATAAAATTTTTGCTGTTATTTTGCAAAATTTTCTCGTAAGAGCTTGCGTTTTCAGAAGTCAAAGTCTGTGTGATCGAAAAGGCCCCCGAACTCGGAGCCCACACACTTTCTGGCGCGGTTATTGAGACTTCCGGATTAGCCAAACTCTTCCCGGATTGGCAAGAAAATTGTTCCGCGGTCCATCAAAAGGTTACGGTAAGTCATCATGGATAACATAATTTTGGATCCGATATTTTTTATATTTTGATATTTTTTTATTATTTTGTGTTGTCTAATATATGAAAAATTACTTTTCAGGACGAAGCAGTCTATATTTTGACGAAAAATGGCAAAATTAACGTCCCGATGATCCCCGGAGTCCCTCTGGCCAATCATGGAAATTATGTGGTCCGACTGGGCCATGTCGTCAAATGGCTCGGCGAGAAGGCCGAGGAGCTCGGCGTGGATGTGTATACGAGTATTGCCGGCCAAGAAGTCCTCTACAACGAAGATGGATCGGTTAAAGGAATCGCCACCGGAGATGTGGGCATCGCCAAGGACGGATCCCCGAAAGAGAGCTTCGAACCGGGCATGGAGTTGCACGCAAAATGCACGATTTTTGCCGAAGGATGCCGCGGGCATTTGTCCAAAAGTGTGATTAAAAATTTCGATCTGGCCAAGGAATCGGGCCCCATGAGCTATGGAATTGGATTGAAGGAATTGTGGGAGGTTGAGCCCTCGAAACATCGCCCGGGATTCGTAGAGCATTCGGTGGGATGGCCGCTGGAGAAGACACAATACGGAGGCTCCTTCCTGTATCATATTGAAGATGGAGGTCAACCATTGGTCGCGACTGGATTTGTGGTCGCTTTGGATTACAGTAATCCGTATATGAACCCGTTTAAGGTGAGAATTAAGCGTTTAAAGCTATCTTTATTCATTCTAATGGGGATTTAAGACCTTTTAAAGGTGCTTTGTTCCATTGTTAGGCCGAAATTTATATTTTTTGGCAAGATTTAGACCTTATTTTAAGTAATTTATGTCATTTTCAGGAGTTCCAAAGGTACAAAACCCATCCAGTAATCGCCAAAACGTTAGAAGGAGGAACCAGAATTGGCTATGGAGCCAGAGCTCTCAACGAAGGAGGATTCCAAACAATCCCCAAGCTAATTTTCCCCGGCGGATGCCTTATTGGATGTTCGGCTGGACTTTTGAATGTATCCAAGCTGAAGGGAACTCATACGGCAATGTGGAGTGGAATCTACGCGGCTGAAGGCATCTTTGAACAACTGGAGGAAAAAAGTAAGGCGGGTTGGGGGATTTCGAGAAGTTATGGGGATTTTTTTGGGATGTATAAGGTTTTCTTTGGTGAAAATTGAGGATTTTTGATGGTAGAATTGCAATATATCTAGAAGACAATCTTTAATTGCTTTTTCTGACGTCAGTGGAGTCTTATCTATGGGCACACAGAGTTTCAAAAAGAAATTGGGTTAGTACTTATCTATCTTTTCGGACAAGCAGTAATTGTCACCCTTTCCAGCGATTACTCCCACAAAATACGATGAGAAACTCAAGTCCTCGGAGGTGTGGAAGGAGCTGAAAAAGAGTCGAAATGTCCGCCCATCGTTCAACACCAAATACGGCTGGTGGGGCGGAATGGCCTACACGGGACTTTTCTTTGTCATCGGCCGAGGAATCGAGCCCTGGACTCTGCATCATGGCAAGCCCGATCATGAAAAGCTACTGCCCAAAGAACAAGCCAAGCCTATTGAGTATCCAAAACCGGACAATAAGTTGTCGTTTGACTTACTCTCGTCGGTGGCTTTGACCGGAACCAACCATGAAGAAAATCAACCAGCCCATCTGACTTTGTTGAATGATGACGTCCCGGAAGAGATCAATTTGAAGAAGTTTGATGGACCAGAACAAAGATTCTGCCCTGCGGGTGAGTTTGGACGAAATTTCAGGGGCTTGAGGTCAGAGTAAAAAAATTATTCGATTTTCAAAGATGCCTAGTATAATGTCAGAAACAAGGTAGTCAAAGTAGTTTTTATGAGATGCAATGTTTTTAAAAGTAACTGTCATTAATTTTAGGTGTCTACGAATTCGTTCCTCGATCTGAATCCGACGAATCCCTCCGACTGCAGATCAATTCTCAAAATTGTATCCATTGTAAAACCTGCGACATCAAAGATCCAACCCAAAACATCAACTGGGTGGCTCCAGAAGGCGGCGGCGGCCCAAAATACGATGGATTATAGATTTAGCTCGTTTTGAAGTCTGTTTTCTTATAAAATAAGTAAATAAATGGTCATGTATAATATCCTTTTTCATTTTTTTTGAATTTTTTTTTTTTTTTTTTTTTTTTTTGATGGCCTTGGGATTTCTGATCATAGAAGAACCATAAAAGATCATAAGTGACTCATTGCGGCCTATTCCGGCGAACGCCGAGCAAAACAGGCGTCAGATTGGAGATCTCTCGGATAATTTACATAAAGGACGATTTTTTGAATGAAAGAGATGTTAACAAGATTTTGCGTTGCTAGCATGTATAATTACGACATGTGTGACCTCAACAGAGCAGTATACCATAACTTACCGTATAAATTTAGCTTTGTTTTTTTCTGCAGGCTGCAGCAAGCAGTTTCGGCGAGATGCGCCCAGTTTATTCGCTTGCAAATTCTTTCGCAGATTTTTCCTACGTACGAACGATCGTTTCCCGCGCTAAATTGAGTTTTTTTTTATGTAACATGAGTTCACAATCTTTGTTTTTATTGTTCTTTTTAACTTATATTCTTTTTCTTGTCGGACCTGCGAATATTTTTTATATTGCACTTCATATTATTCACGGTCGATATTTAGGTAGTATCTACCTTAATTATGGTCATAGAAGTGTTAATAACGGACCTAGAAGACAGAAGGAGGTTGACAAGCCAATCAGAAGCCGGTCCATTGATCATCGATGTTATTTGCGACGTGGTTTCACGACATTTCCCTATTGGAATCAGTCCAGACCAAATTGTATCCATTTTTGCTGCTAACGATAAATTTTGCGATAGTGTTTGTCCTGCTGATCCAGTCCCAGAGAATTGCGATTCCATTCAGATTGCGATCAACTTTGATAAAGTATGTTTTTTATTTTTTTTTCAATTTTAGTGTCTTCAAGTGTAACATTGAAATAATTTCTTCAGGACAAGCAGTTTTTTGTCTTTGATCAACACAATTCATTGCTGACGAGTGCCGAGTTTTCCAAAGACGTTAGTTTGGCCCAGGCTATTCGAGTTTTGTCTTCGCAATGCAATTTGGACTTCAGAAGAATCATTCATATCGAATTTTCCGATGGAACCGACATCAAGACCCTTTGTGGACAGGATATTGCCACAGAAAGGGGGACATTCCTCATCACTTTCGATACTGGGAAGGATGAATTGGCTCCGTTTTTTAATGATCTCGAAGAATTACCGGAGAAGCTGAAGAAGATGAATTTGGACAATATTTTGGCCCAAGACGACTTCGGAATGCGAGGTTTTGTTTTGAGAAAGTTGAAAAATGGCAAGCCCTTGGAAGACGAGGATATAAAATTTATTGTGGCTTGTGTAAGGACGGCCTTGAGGTCGTTTTTTACCTAGTAAGTCGTAGTGTAAATTTTACTTATTCTTTGAAAAATTTTTATAGTTTCTCTTCTAAATTGTAAATTTTTAGCCGACACGCCCGAAGGAGTGAGATCGAACTGTTCTTGGACCACATTTTTGGAGAAGATACTCCTTTTGATAAGGTAAGATTTTTTTATTTTCTTATGATTTTTAGGACCAAATGCAATTCGCTGATCATTAATTTCCAGCAAAAGTTTGTGACCGATGTGAACGACGCCAAGTTCTACTACTGCAAAGTGGACTCTAGAGTTAACGCTCTAAAAAAAGTCATCTATAACGGAAAGATCCAATCTCAGGCCTTTGGCAGAAAAGCTACAGTCCTGTTCGTTAACACAGCTGGTCAATTGCGAGAGGTTGTGAATTTGTCAAGCACAACTGTACGGACAATTGCCGATGTTATCGCGCTGGCAGCGCAAGAGGTCGATAAATTTAGACCGGAAGAAGTTTTGACGATCAAATCGTTGACTGAAGAGAAAAGAGTTGTCCTGGACGATTTAAACGGTTATCATGAGAACATGGCATGCTATGAGGTCACAATTGGATATAAAAAAGTTAGTTTTGTCTCCTTTTTGATTAATTTTCGTATTATTTTAGGTCAAGTGTTATATTGTGGATGAGAAGAACAAAGAAGTCGGCCAATGCACGATTGACATTTATAAAACAGCAGAACAATTGAAGCAGTATGTCGTGGAGACGTTTGCAATCCCAAATCATCACATCTTGAGGGTGGATACTTATGATTTCGATAATCATCGATTCTGGGATGAAGAAGAAGTTAAAGGACCGAATTCGATCTTCGTTCAGGTCTACAAAGGAGAGGTATGTGGTGAAATTAATAGTGTATATTTCGGTAGTCAATTTGAATTTGAAAAGCATAAAAAAGATTATTTTAGATGTTAAATTTGAGATTTTTCGAGCTGTCTAGTAAATTTTCACTTTTGGTATGATTTTTCAAAATTTTTGCTTTGAAACGGCCCAAAATTACATATAATAACACTTATTATGTTTTACACGTCTGGCTATTGCCCTTTTTTATCACCATAAAGTTATTTTTTACGTCATAAAATGACAAATTTTTCAGGAGCCACTCGTGGGTGGCTTTACCAGACTTCCCGACTCCCTGCAAAGGCTCAATCTCGAAGATATCCTGGGCTCCATGAATAACGGCATGAAGATTCTCCACCGAATCAAAGGAGGGTCGATTCCATTGGATGAGAGAGATGTGGAGAAAACGGCATCGGCAATTGCGACGGAACTGCATAATGTTATCCTCAAGAGATGTCCGAACTTATTGGAGACCAAACTCTTCTTGGATCATTTATTTGGGCCGTTTCCGGGGTCTTATAAGGTAAGACAGAGGCTGATTTTGAAGCTGGAAATGATTGTGGGGCTGGGGACAGTGATATTTTTAGCGAGGGGAAGAGTTGACACATGGGTCAAATGTTATCGTCTTGGCGGAATTTGGTTGGTAAAGGGATATCTTGAGCAAATGTCAGGTTAAATAAGAATAAAAGGGGAATTTTTTTTCAAAATTTGAAGGAGCCAACGAAGATCGTAAAATTTAATTACAAGAAGGCTTGACCCAAGGGCCACGTTTCGTTTTTATGATGAAATATTTGTCTTTGAAACTCCCAAAAGCAAGGTAGCCAATTTCAAAGTGCCAGATTCAGCCCGAAATTTGAATTTTGTCGTCTAAAAACACGATTTTTTTCGATTTTTATATTACTCATGACATTTTTGATTATTCCAGAAAGTCTTCACTGGCGAATCGACAAAACAAGGCCATTTAACTCCGATTGAGTATGCCGCGATGTGCGTCTACGACAGATCTCAAAGGAATTACCTGAAGATTGTCAGGAAAGTCGTTATGGAAGATCTGGCCAAAGTGTCGCCGCTGGCAACCAATGGGGAATTGCTGGATTATGATGCGCACAATGAAAGTGACATCTCCGATGTAAGTTGGGGGGTTTGACGGGTAGCTTTATAATACGGATATTATTGAAGGCAAGTAATTTTCATTGGTGTAAAATGCGCAACTTTTAAGGGTGTGTTCCAGATTTTGAAACTTAATTTTTTTTTGAACTTTCCTAGGTTTTGATATTTAAAATGACGTCACATCTTTTCAGGAGCACGTAGAATCTTTTATGCACACCCAACAAACCCCCAGCAAGGCCAAGGATGTCCCTCAAACCGACACTTGCATCGTTTTCGACACAAATTTCAACCTCCTCCGCACTTTCCGCTACAAAATCCACCTAACCTGCGAGGATCTTGTGGAGAAGGCGGCCGCCATGTTGGAAGTCCGTCCAGAGAATTGTGTGGCCATCCTGAAATACAAACTCGAGGCCTTTACCACCGTCTCGGCGGATACCCCATTGATTGACGAGGACCCGATATTTGTCCAATTTTACTTGGGGAAGGACTTTATCAATGGAAGAACAAGGTTGATGACCAAGTTACCCGACTTTTTGGCCGATATTTCCATCGATGACATGATTGGGGACATCCCGGAAAGGGGAGAAATCTTGCGAAAATTGACCGAATCAGAGGATTTGAATGAAGAAGAGACCGAAATCTTGAATGACATCATCTCCGAGCCGTTGATAAATTATATCCCGAAGAGGCAGAACACCGAAGAAGAGAGGAAATTGTATTTGGAACAGGTCTTCAAGGAGTACAGGAATGTCACCGAGGTAAATGTTGATTTTTTGTTTAATTTTTGGAGGTTTTTTGGGAAATTATGAAAAAATTTTTTTTTATTTGGGAAATCTTTTTATTGGGAACAGGGGCCTTTGAATTCTCAGGGGTTAGAAGAGTCCATTTGAGTTTTTTTTTGGAATTTTCAACGGTTTTTTGGACGAAAAATTATACTTTTTACGCATTGAGCTTAAATCGTTTTCTCTACCATCAGGGTATGAAATTTTTGATCGAAAAATTGAAATTATTATGGTCTAAAGATTCCCCTTTCGCTTGATTAATGGATTGTTTGATTTTAGAACGCCCAACTCATGCACCAATTATCCGAAGCGATCGTTGATAACTACCGCAAGCGCCTAAAGAAACGACATTTCTTTGGCCGAAGAGTCATGAAATATGGCCTTTCTTCGGTCGAAGGAAACGCTTTTGAACGCGCCTGGAAAGCGATCTTGGCCAGAGAAGGGGAAGCTCAAAGAATCCCCACCCCAGAAGAGCCAGCGACCCCGGAAAATGAAGATCTAATTCATCAAGAACAACCAGGTCCAAGTGGAATCCAGGCCCGGAAAAACGATGGAAAATCGATCCGAGAACAGCTGCAGGATTTGGAAATTGGGAAGGAAAACCGGACCGACATCTCCAGAAGGAATGGCCCACCAGGAGCGAGGAAGAGCTCCGCGATCAGAAGATTGGACCTCAGAGATAAGGTAGGGAAAAGAGAGCCGGATGAATCCATCCTGGGACGGCTGAGACGTCGCCAGCCCTTGGCAAAAATCCACGAAATGTTTCAGCGAATGCGGTGGAATTAAAAAATGAACCTGGTTTTTTGTGCAATTTAATATGGCATAAGTTAATTAGTTGTAATTAAGTTGTTTTGGAATAAAAATTTCACTAACCTTTGGTTGTAGATTTTTGAGGAACAAGTTTAAACTAGAATAAAAGAAAAAGGTTAGGCGAGAGAGCAAAATTCTGAATTTAGAAATTGAAAAAATAGGCTTTGGGGGAAAAATTAGGCATGATCTATTTTTGGGGCCTAAAAAATTGCAGTTTTACTTGCGTATAAAGTATAATAATATACAAGTAATTTCAGACCTCTTCCGGTCCCAATTTACCATCAGAATCGACTCCGAACCCCTCTGGAGCCGCCCAAGTCTCGAGAAAGCGTCAACACGAAGAGAACAAGGAGAATCGACTCTTTGAAGAAGTCGGGAAAGTCAATGTTTGCGTGTATGACCATTTCCTTCAACCCAAAGGAATTCTTCAATATCCAGTGAACCTGGGGTTTCAAGATATAATTGAGACAATCATTGATTGTTATCAGCTCAAAACTCGATCCTATCTTATTGGAATTCATCAAGTGCAGCATGGAGAAGTCCGAGAAATCACCGAATTTACATTTAACCCTGATTCTGTATTGTACGTTCAAGTTTACACTGGACAGGTAAGATTTTTTAGTCATGGATAATTTATATTTGATTTTTTTGGTGATTTTTATTTTTCAGACTCAAATTCCATGCAAAAATGAGCTCTCTGAGATCCCGGAGCCCCTGAAACCGATGGATCTTCAATTTATTTTTGATAAAACGACGAATCCATCAAGAGTCGCTGAGAAGTTGAAGAATGGAGAGGAGTACACTGAAGACGAGCTGTTCCAAATCTCGGCCTTGATTGGAGAACTGGTCCATAATCAGATTGTTAGTAGGAGATCGACAATTTCAGAGAGGAAGTTGATTTTCGACCATCTTCTTCAAGGATATGCAGAGAGAAATGGAGTGGGAAATGAGGAGGTCGCCAAGTTTAAGGTGGGTTTGGAAGATTCGTTGGGGTAAAAGAAGGGCTTAGGGGATGTATTGGAAGAATGAGGGACACTTTTTCTTTTTTTTGGCACTCAGATTTTTGTAAAATTTTGCTAATGGGATCAGAATTTTCCGAGAATTAATGCTTCGCTGAAAGAAGATTCAAATTCATTCAATTTTTTTTGCTTTTTTTGCAGTCTCATGCCTTAAAATCTCTGTTTCAGTCCCAAATTGAAGAAACAAGGCCCGATGGAGAGTTCAAGGAGGAATCTCCCCTCGAATTTATGGATCGGATCTACTTCCTCTCGGATACCGCCAGAAAAGAGTTGATCAAAAAATTGGACCTTGGCTACAGATACGGCGAATTTCAAGCTGAAAAACCAACGAAAAGAAGGGCGGAAGAGAACAGAGTACTTGTAAATGAGGCAGTCCAAACAGAACCCATTCAGCCAGCCGTGGAACAGGTCACTCAAGCGTTGGATAACATCGAAATGGACGAAGTTACACCCGAAAGAGCCGCTGAACTTTTATGCGGGTTATTTGGAACTGGACCAGTCGGAGGTAACAGTTCGAATGTTGGCGATAAAGTGAGTTTAAGACGTGATATTTAATTAATTTGGATGGTTGTACTAATCATCGCGGTTTCAGAATCTGCAGCGGTTTAAAGATGAGGTTATTGTTGTTCTACTCGATGAAAATTTTGCCCTAATCGATGTGGAGCACCGATCTGTCGAAGTCCCTGTCTACACGCAGATGGAACGCATGCTGCTCAAGAATCGTGTGAAGAATTATCACCTCTTAGCCATTGAGAAACTGGAAGGACCGAAGGATTTGAAGAAGATCAAGTCCACCTCGGAATGCCTCTATGCCCCATGTGTGTTCCAGGTGCATACAAGACCGTGGGATCTGGTTACGGATGAACTGATTAAACAAGTGCCGAGTCAACTGGCCGATAGAAGCATTGATGATTTGCTGAATTCACGTCAGATTGATAGGAAGGTAAAGGAGAGGATTCTGAAGGCGTTTGGGAAGAAAGACGGGCAGTTGAGCGAAGATGATCAAAGAGTGATCGCAAAATGGTGCTGCGAAACTTGGATGCCGGTGTTTTCGTAAGTTATTATCTGTTTTTGGCATTTTTTGGAAGTGTGAGAGAACTCTTGAATGTTGGAGAAGTAGGTGTGACCTTCAGATTTTTCCTAACTTTGCTCCCAAATTGTCCCTAGGGCTCTTCTTAACCGCTGAGAATTGTAGCTCACGGTTTGCAGAAGGCGCTAAGAATCCGCCAGTCTTTGCCGAGAGGTCAAAATGATGACTGTCTTCGGCAAATATCGTTACGTATCTAGACCGTCCTTGCAGAGCTCGATCTAAAATTTTCGGGAATTGTTATATAATTATATATATGTCCTACAGTGACGGACCTGATCCAGTGGCAAAAAACGTACCATTTTACCTATGGGAAGTGCCAAAAAATGTAGCAAAATGCCTCCCTCTCCGACTAAAAAAACTCCGTTTTGAACGGCGAGCCTTTGAAATCGGAGTTTTTTACTTGTATAGGGAGGTATTTTGCTACATTTTTGGTACTTCCCAGATGCAAAATGATACGTTTTTTGCCACTGAATCAGGTCCGCCACTGTATACTAATGTCTGGGGAAATATTTGAAGTTAGTCGCGTCAAACTTCCAGCAATTTACAATTTAAATAATACTCAAATTCTTTTACAATTTTTGTATGATTTTAGTCGAGTTCCCCAAAGTGCGGAAAGAGAGTTGATGTTTACGCATTTCCTCCGCCCCTACCCTGAATTTGATGCCGCAAGATTGTTCCGACTGACCGCCGATGCTCTCGCTAGTGGATCAAGAATCAGCTATAATTCTCGGCAAAGAAGACGTCTCAAAGTTTTGAACCAGATTATTAATGGGAAATTCGAAGGGAAGATGAGCCGGCTGAGTGGCAACCAACTCGGCGATGCTAAACCGACCGATTTGACAACAAATCCGGAAGATGTGGACCAGATGCAAATGGAAATCTCCCCGGTGGAACCGTCTATGTTCAACTTTTTGGTCCCGCCAATGCAAGGGCATAACCGCATCTTGATCTACACGGAAGAAAAGAAGTTTTTGAATTGCATTTGCACACAAAGCCCCAATACAAAAGAGGAAATTGAACAACTTGTGGCCAAGAAAATGGGGATTCCAATTGACCATGTGCTGGATGTGGACTGTCTGAGATATGCGGATAATTTCGTCGATGACACGTTTTATAACACCCTTGTTTTTGTCGAGGTTTATACGGGAGAGGTTGGTTTCGTTTTTGGAGAAATTTTTTCTCGGAATTTGTGCCAATTTAATATAAAATACCAATTTTAGGACCCCATCTGCACTATGGAGGAAGACCGAGTGGTTCCAGAAGTTTTGAGATCTGTAACCTTTGCTGATGTCATCAACTCGTCAGGAATTCGGAATTATAATGGCGACCGAGAGCTCTCGATTGAGGAGTATAGAAGATTGGCGGCGAAGTTGGCCGAACATCTTGGTTGTTATTATAAAAAACGGAGGCCAACGAAAAATGAAGTTGATTTATTTTTGATGACGGTTTTCCAGGCCAAACCGGAGATTGCGGTAAGACAAAATCGCGGTTTTTGAGAGTGATTTTGATTTTAGTTTGACCGTTTTTTTTTTTTGATCTATACAAGGTCTGCTGAACCCTAAAATAAAGTAATTAAATTTCAGTATGAGCTCTCCCGACAACGTGAAGGCAGTATATACCATCGAAGAGCCTTGATCAGTGTCCAACTCAGCATAAGACAGAAGTCTGTTCGAAAAAAACGACTAGCTTATATGACACAGTATCGAGACGAAGAAGTGGCCAATGAAAGGCTCATTGAGGAAGCTATTACGAATTCAGAACAACCCTTGAATCAACAAGAGCTCATTGAGAACGATTCGGATGATTCAGATATTGTGGAGATCACACCAGCCCAGCGAGAGCCGAATATCCAGCCGAATCGACCTTGCACTAGCCGAAGAAGTGATGGAAATTTGGAAAGAAATGAGGTCAGAGCAAATATTACTGATCAGCCAAGTACCTCGGCTGCCAGCAGTGGTAATGTTAATGCATCTTCACGCCCGGGATTAAGAGAGAATTTGGAACGTCTTGCGTCCACAAGAAGAAGTGTTCCATCGAATCCCAGGCCCGCAAGAAAAGTTCCATTCCAGCCAGGACCTCAAACGCTAGAACTGCAAAGCGTCAAGGACCTCTTCAATAAGAAGCTCCACGACGAAAATAGAGGCTCGCCCAATTTTTATGCGGTCATTGGGATTGATTTAAGTTTGATTGCCCGCTTCTGCATGGAGCACAATATCGAAGAGGCCAGCCGGATTGCGGTGCACAAAGTCCACGAAAAATTCGCACGGCCAATGCCGGTGGTCCCAAGAATCCAGCCAAGAGTGGTTTGTACGAGCCAACTGGAGAGCACGAGGGCCGAGAACAAACATAAAATAATCTGCATTGTGCTGGACATTTATGGGGTGAGTTGATATTGTATTTTTGGTGTAGAGATTTTGTTATTTGAATAGAAATTGATTTCAATTCAACGATTTTTAGGCTTATACCCACAACGAATCCTTCTCCACTCGATTTGAATTCACCTACAAACAGCAGATCCGGGAGATTGCGGTGAATGAATGGCGAAGGGTCGTTGCCAACGGGATGGCCGTGGTAATGACCACATCACTTCGTAAAGTATTCTTCAACCAAAATTTTACTCTTTATCCTCCCAATATCAACCCATTCCCAGAACCGACCTCGGTGGACGATGAAGATGATATTCAGATTCTGGATGTGGTCAAATCAACTCCCGGTCAAGTTGGCAGGAAGTCAGTGATGGCAGCAAGGGCAAACGAGGCTAGAACAGAGCCGGCCAGGCTGTCAGTGGAGCCCAGAAGAAGAGCGGAAAATGTGAGAAGAACATCTGATGTTTCGACGCTTTCTGAGATGGTCAGAAGATCAACAGACCCACCAAATCAGGCATTTACAGTCAGAAATACCCCAGTGGGGAGTCTTCCATCATCTTCAAAATCCAGCGTTGGGAACCAACATCAGCAGGTTAGTTGAAATAGTGGTCATGTATAATATAAAAAGCCCTTTAATTTGTCGATTTTTTGAATGTTTTGGTATTTTTTGAAATAAAATTTATCTCCAGGGCTCATCAGGAGTAACTGCACGAACTGCGGGCCAATCAACGCCCACAAGCCTTACGCCTGTAGTTCAAGCTTATCGGCCTCATCTTCTAGCTTCTGCTCGACGCCAAGCAGACGCTCAGTCAAACCAATTCGCCCCGGTTGGACCTCCAAGACATCCACAGCAAGCCCAGTACGTCCAGGTTGGATCTCAATTTGTGCCGATCCCTCAGTTCCGCCCAAATCAGTACGGATATCCCTATTATCGCCCTCAATTCATGGGTCCTCCTCCGCCATGTCTTCCGGGAAACCCCTCGGACTACAATTCAAGAATTGTTATGCGGCCTCTGGTACCCGGAATTTCTCAAGAAGATCTTGTGCCACTTAATGTTTATATGCAACATCCAGCACCCGCCCAGATAATAAGACCGATGGTACCGCCACAAAATCTCCCCACATCCACGCAGGTTCCGGCGATGGTTGCACAGCAACAACCTCAGATCCAGCAGCCTCCAAGAGTCTACGAACCGAGGGTTTTGAGTGAAGGGACTCTGCCGGAAAAATTGGATGGAAGCGATATGAATCCCCCAGTTTTGGTCAATCAAAATATGGCTGAACAGAGAGCGGAGGATGGGCAAAGCGACGAGGATGACATTGAATTTGTGGAGGAAGTGACTAAAAAGGTATGATTGATGATTTTTGTATTGTAATAGAGGTTGGAAATAAATTTTTATCCCAAATTTAATTGATTCTAGTACCTCTCCACCAATGTGATGGTGGTTATCAACGAAAACTCCGAGCTTCTCTGCCATTGCTCCATAAATTTCTCCCCGGACCAAGACAACTTGATCACCGCCGCCAGCGGCCATTTTAAAATCCCAAGAATGGACGTCCTCCTCGTTGTGATGTTCGCCATTTCAAAGGACTATGTCTGCCGCTTCTCCTCCTACAGCCCGATCTTTGTCCCATCGCAGATGTTTTTGGTGGGAATCAAACAGAACATTGAGCAGATTGGACTGGCTGAACTGAAGGAAGGCGACCAACTTCAAGACATTTACAAAAAGTATGATTTGGCTGAGATGGTCGATAAGATTTATCCCAAAATTGGTCAAAAGTTGAGGAGTGGAGAGATTGTGAAACTGACAGCCATCCAAGCGGTAAAAGTATCGCTGGAAATTGCAAGAATTTCGTTCTTGCACTGTGCGTTGTGAGTTTTTGATGGCTTGATTTTTTTTGCAAAATTTTAATTTTACAAGGTACTTTTAGTATCCAAACTGAATTAATTTTGACGTTATAAAGTATCTTTTATAATTTAGAGGCCTCATTGACATTAATGTTTTATTTTAAGCCGGAAATTTGGAGATTTCGAGAAGGTGATCTTCTTCAATTATTTGATCAGCAAATACCCCAATTTGGATACGGTAAGTTAGTTTTATATTTAAAAATGAGAACTGAGGAGAGTTTCTAGCATAAAAAGCATTTTCGGACGGATTGGCTTTATGATTTTCGGTCGATATTAATTTTTTGGGATATTATCTATGATGCCAAAAACAGTCTAAAAAATGGCTTACAAGGGAAGTCACTTTTTTCGCAGAGGGACTTTGGAACGGGACCTAGTAGGTTTCAAACGTGAAGCGTCTGCAATCATAAAACTGATTTCCAAAAGTGTTTACGGGCCTTCTCCGCCGAGAAAATCGACCGCAAAGTTTAGTCGAAATGGGCGAAAAGCCTCCTCAAAAGAAACAGCTTATTTCATCTGCAGTGGTGGCCGAGTGGTCAGTGCGCTCGCTTTTTGCGCCAGAAGAGGCGGGTTCGATCCTCTGCGCAGTTTATTTTCTTTTTTGGTTCGTAAATATTGATTTAGTATGTAAACATAAAATGTATACACTTTTTAAATTTTTTTACAGTAATTTAGACATAAATTCAAAGCTGAATGTTCATGAATATTGTAAAGTCAAAACAGGCCTGGGTTAATGAAGATATAGTTTTTAAATTCGTGTTTTGTTAAAAATTGCTAATAGTTAGCACATGCGGTGTTAACGGCATTTCGCTATTTATTTCAATGGCCAAAAGAAATGCATCCGCAGACGGCCGAAGTCGAACTCACGTCTTCTGGCGCAAAAAGCGAGCGCACTGACCACTCGGCCACCACTGCAGATGAAATAAGCTGTTTCTTTTGGGGAGGCTATTCGCCCATTTCGTCTAAACTTTGCGGTCGATTTTCTCGGCCGAGAAGTCCCGTAAACACTTTTGGAAATCAGTTTTATGGTCGCAGGCGCTTCACGTTTGAAACCTACTAGGTCTCGTTCCAAAGTCCGTCTGCGAAAAAAGTGACTTCCCTTGTTAGAAACTATCTATCAGAAACTTTGGACTGATATGTAGGCAATAACAATGTATCTTTTGGGTAGATACATAGGCAATGACATTTGAGAGGTGTGGTTGTCTAATAACAAGGTTATTTTAAATGCCGTATCTCGTATTTTAGACAATCTTCTCCATGAGAGTCTATGAAGCATTGGTCCCTCTGGAAGTCGCCTTCAAATTGGTCGGAAATCATCGATTCATGACGAGAGCAAAGCTGGTCCGTAAAGTGTTTATGGACTATCTAAAGTCTGATCCAGGGCCTGATGCCGCCCTCCTGACGCAGCCGATAACCCTCCCAGCGAATGTGGAAGCAGAAACGAAGGAAGTAGAAGAATGGCTGAAGAAAATGGAGGCTGAAGAAGCGCGATTAGAAAGCTCAGAAGGAAATGACCGGCCAAATGATGGATCGGACGGTGGAAATCAAGGATGGGGAGATTCGGATGTTGCACATGGGAGAAGTGAGCCTGGACATGATTCAAATGACATTTTGCGGCTGTATGGGAGTGATGTTGATGAAAATGTTGGTCCGCAAGATCAAGGGAGAGGTGATGGCCAAATTGAAGGGGCAAATGAAAGAGAAGATGAGGAAATGGTGGCTACTGGAACAACAGAAACTCGGCCAGAAGGAGATGTAGATGAAGATAATGTTTCTCAGGATGATTCGAATAACCAAGGGACAACTACATCGCTATTTGAGGATACTGACGATATTGCTATAGTTCGAGTATCCCTTCCCAGTACAAAATCCGAACCCTCTTCCCAGCAAATCGACTCTCAGGCACCTCCAAAGCCATGTTCGCCCAGCCGATTCCCAAAAGAAGCGGATCTTCATGGCCGAGGGGCATACGACAAAACAATGCAAACTCTGTACGGCAAGTTTGGGATCAGAGAACCGCAAGACGAAGAGAGATCACCAGGAGAATCTGGAGAGAAAGGAAAAACGAATGATGGGAATGATGAGAGAGGTAGAAGTGCCGGTGAAATTGAGGAAAATGAGAGGCCGGAAGAGCCGAGCAGCTCGAGATCAAGAAGCTTGGTGTCGAGCGCCTCGTTTGATCGAATGGTCCAGCGATGTGGAGTAGGAAGACACGTCAAAAGAATGGAAAATATTTACAAAGATTGGAGGGAGGATGAAGATGCCGAAGAGACGGATCAAGGAGAAGATTCAGGACAAAAGAAGACTGAAAAAGATGGCCGAGAGAGTCAAGAAGACGGTACAACTACACCAATGTCAGTGGGGTCTTTGGGAGATCTTCAAATCGATGAAGGAAGGGGTGATGATGAGATTTGCGAGAAGAATATTGATGATCAAGTTGCTATGGAGTTTGAGGAGGCTCAAGCACAGCCGGGAAATGATGAGGTAGCAGATCAGGAAGATAAACAAGCAGATGATGAAATTTGTGAAGCGTATCAAGTGGGCTCCCAAGATCTTGGAAGTAGTAGAAAATCATCTGAAGCCAGTGAGATCTTGCTTCACAGAGCGGAAGAACAAATCGAACTTGATCTGCTCCAAGCGGCCGATGAACTCGCCGAAAGTGATGGACTCGAAGATTTGGTGATTGATGAGAGCATATTGGATTCCCAGGAAGATGAGGACCGAGTGGAATCTCAAAATGATGAGAGGATCATTGAACAAGAAGTCGCGGGACCAGTTGAACAAGAAGAGGATCGGATACTGGAGGAAAATAGTCTAGATGGAGAGCTGGTGATTGATGAGGAAACAGTGGAGAAGATGAACAATACGAGGGAAATGGAGAAGAGAGATAAGGAGAAAAGAGAGGCGGAAGGGGAGGAAATTGAGAGAAAAGTGGAAGAACATGGGCAAGGAGAAGGTCAGAGGATAGAAAAGGATGGTAATAAGGAGAAAGGAGAAGAAGATAAACATGCAGTGGTCCTTCAAGGTAATATTAAATCTTTAATTGCTGTTTTTTTCATTTTTTGAGTCTTTTTATTTTATCTTGAATTAATTTTAGACGAGACAAGTCTGAATGCCCGTCAAAGTGTCTCAGGAACAGGCACAACTTCGGATAGTCCAACTGCGGCCCCATCGAACCCTCCCGTAACCAAAACGCTTATGAATAAAGATGATTACATAGTCATCAGCGATGATGAAGCTGGTCCTTCAAATTCAACAGCTCAAATCCCCGAAGATTTGGTGGAGATCGACTCGATTGGCCCGGACGATCAGCCAAACACCCTGAGGGTGTACGTGATCAACGAAAACCATCGACTTCGAGCGAAAGTCAACGTCCAAATTGATCCGGGAACAGCGACGGTGAAGAGCGTGGTGCAGAAAGTGGCCGAGGAGATTAAAATAGATCCGACCAAGGTGAAGATTGTCGAGAAAATCGCCCATAATGAGCAAGTGGTCGAAGCCTCGAGCTGGTCCAAGATTTTGGTAACGGAGCGGCCGTATATCATGACTATTTACCAAAATGAGGTGAGTTTTTTGGGGATTGTGATCGAATTTTTTGAGACAATAAGAAATGGGCCTCGAAAATTACTTTGGATCGATTTTTTCGCGGAAAATTTTTTAAATTTGCTGGACTTTTTGATGGAAACTCGAGCTTTGGGCCTTTTAACAAGGTTTTTTTTGGCAAAATTAAACATCTAAATGGCAAATATCTCATCTAAAGAGGATAGTATTCGGTGATTTTTTTACCAATTTTTACACGGAGAAATTGAAAAATTTTTAATTTTGTAAAAAAGACGACATTTTTTGTAATATTCGTGAAAATGATGACTATTTTTAGTCAAACTAAATTTTTTTAACCTGAAATTTTCTTTTTCAGCCTGCTGATTCTTCTGGATTCACCCGTCTACCTTTGGGATTAAAGCGATACAAGTGGCAGGATATCTTGGATAAATGTCCGAATGCCCCGGAGATTACGGACAAGGTAAACTTGGTCAAGCCGTTTTCTGATTCCGAAAAAAGAGAATTGTCCAGAGCCATTGTCATTCCGATGATCCGATATTTGATTGGGTAAGGAGATTTGGACATTATTTTGAGCACTAAACTTTATGTTATTATAGGTATTTTTGATGATTTCTCGTTCTAAAATGGTTTTAATTTTAGAAGAACTCCGAATCGAGGTGAAATCAACGCCTTTATCCAACATCTGAACCTCCCACGGCATGGTTTTCTTACGGTAAGATTGATTTTGATATTTTTTTATCGGTTTTTGGCAAGTATAATATAATTTTTTTAATTTTTTTGTGATTTTTAGCGAGAATTGTTTGCCAAAGTGAGCCGCTGCTCGAGTATCGACTATCTCACAGACGCCAAGGATATCGTTTCCAAGGAATTCAAAGTCACCAGAGTCGAAGCCATTAAGAAAATCATCGCTCTTCAAAAATGGGCAAGCGAAAAGAATTGAGCTGATCTTTGTTGAAAAAATTGGATGGGAGAACTTACTAATGTTATTATTTTATTTTTGTGTGATCTTTTTAGAATTATGAATTGGTAATTGTTTAATAAAGTTATGCCGAAATATTGTCATCTTCGATTTTTTTGCATTTTTTCAGTGGAAAGTCCTTGAAAAAGATCATGATGAATGTAGGGCACAATTGAATACTATAATATGTAGGAACGGCACCTTTGATACTGCAAAGACAACGGAGATTTTTTAGAGAGGTTATGGAAAATAATTTTTCTCAGTGTTCATCTTTAGTCAGAAATTTCTCATAATTTTACATGTACTATAATTACAGTAATATAGGGATTTTATTTTATTTCTGAACGTGTTCGTCTCAATTTTTCAGCGACACCCGAGATATACTCATATTACAGTCTTCTTCGCGAGAAAAACTTGTAATGAAGAACGCAGCGGCGCACCCTGTCTATGACAAACAACTTCAGAGCCCTCTGTTCACTTTGGTCAATTTGAATCTATGCACAAAACCCCCTCCTATAACGAATAAATTCTCTGCTCTTTCTTGTACAGAGGTTTTGACAGTAATTACCTCATTGTGCTTGTGTACCTACTGCAAACTGCACCTGCGTTCTTTGACCTTCTAACATTCAATTTCAAAATTCTTTTTTATGACATCATTCCACCTCTCATTGACCGAATTTCCTCAAACAATAAATTTCCGATTTCCCTTTCCAGTTAGGAAAACGGTTTGATAAACAAACCCAATATGATTATAAATCCAATTACAGGTTGTGCCTCCAAGATCCTAGGACCCGCTAAGTACGCTAAGACTTTGTTTATTTTGGGTTTTTGAGTCCATTACCTTATGATATTGCTTTAAGCGTGACTCTTTTTTATTATCAATTGGGTCATTGAGATTACGACAAGAGGATATGAAAACACTCTGTATTTAATGGTTCATTGTACTCGGAAAATCAAGCAGGGAATTATTTGTAATACATTTATAGATTTTACAGCAACAAAAAACAATGTGCTTTTCGACAATTAAGAGGTCATAGTGAACCTATTATAGGTTTCGTGGCATAAGATTTTGAAGAATTTTTTGTAGGAAACCCATCCGAAAAGAAGCAGATTTTAATTTAAGCCTCTTTAGTGGCGCCAAAATCGCTCTTTTGAGGGCCTTCAAGCTTGGGGTCATCTTCTAAAACGTTTTTGGCGGAAGAAATTGACGTCATTCAGAATGGGATGGGACGAAATCTGCATAACTTGATTTGTGACTTGAAATACATTGTTTTGCAGAAATTAGCAATATCTTTATGACTGAATATTGCCGGGTAATAGACTTTTACTCGCTGAGGGACACGGGCTACAATCCTTGCTTTCATTTTTTCCGACGTATGCAATAAAGGAAGATCGCTTTTCGGTGCATCAAACAACCACTATATTCTTTTCAAATTGTAGTTGTAGCACCCGCAGATTTCCTTTTATACTTCCCTTTAGTATAATATATATAACTTTATTCTATGCCCAATTTAGAAAACCTTTTTGAACCTTGCATTTGCAAAATTGTCAGCAGGCAAAGATGTTTCGCATAGAAACACTTGCAAGGCTTTTTTAAGTATTGATGATTACCATAGTGAATGAATATATCCTGCAGAGTTATTCAGGATGTCCTCAGACCAGGTAGGCTTATGCTATAGCTAAAATATTGTCGTAGAATAGACTCACTTTTCTCCCTGACTCGCTGACCTAGACATGGCTTCCGAGCCGGGCCACTACTTTCTGCTCGGACCGGCCGACGAGCCATGTTTACTCTGACCGTATACTATACAAAGTGATTAGTAAGGACCCGGAAGTATGAGCAGCTTTTTCTCCAACTCCCCCAAAGTAAACATCGTACTTGCTCTCTGTAAATGAGCACATCAGACCAAGATGATTTGTTGTCCACATAGTACCCAAATTTAGCCATTGATTTTGTTTAAATTTGACGTTCTTGCTCTAAACAGACTGCATTCCAATGCTTGAAGATCTTAACTGACGCTTTTCTGATGCACACTAGAGGTTAATCTTGATGATTCAACCCCTTAAAGTTTTTTCGTTGGAAAAATGGAATTCAGATTTGTCCTAAACTTTATTAAATTCTTCACACAAACTTCTTCTGTGACAATTTGCTGCTCTTTGTTTCAAAATGTTACACCATATGCCGGTTGCGTAGCCTCGCTTAACTTCCCTCTTTTCAATTCTCTTTGTTCTTTTCACTTCCTTTTTTTACAACTTTAGAACATATATAAGCAGTGTAATCGTGAAACCATCTACAAATCTTGCAATTGTAATACGAATATTAAAGATTACCATCTGAAATGAGCGTTCTTTTTCACTTTCACCAGCTGCCCCATCAAGTGTAATGGGAATGACACCGACCTGGGCATTCGTTGCGTATTATTTTTATGGAATCCCATTAATTATTGCATATGTCATGGTGATTATTGTGCTGATCAAAGAGCGAGGAAGATTTCCATCCGTTTTCTATCGACTGGTCGCAATTTTTGGAGTTCAAGTAGGTTGGTATGACGATAACTGGGTTTGTAATTCGTTCTATTATACATGTATTATAATTGATTGTATTTGTAATAAAAGGTTTAGGGAAAAATTTGATTAGGGCAAAGTTAAAAGGTGGCTATAGCTTCTTTTCTGAACTCAGTTTTACAAAATGGATTACTATCTTTGGAACAATTAGCACTTGTAAACACACTTCGGTCCCCTGAGGGTAAAAATATGGATAAGAGAACCACTATGCCCTCATTTTCTGTGTAGACCAGCTCTATCGGACAATTTTTCAATCTTTTTTCAAGTCTGCTGGAACATTTCAACCACAGTTATGACTTTTTTGAACTGATTATAACTTTTATGAATTTTAAACAAACATTTTTCAAAAGACCATTATTCAAAATGTTTTTCAATTTTTCAAAAACTTTTAGGAAGTGATTTGCTACCTTTTCAACCAATATATTCAACGATGGCCGACCAGCGAGTTCGTTTACATTCATTATTTTTATCAACTACAAATCCCCACGAAGATACAAGTGGTTTGGTACTTTGTTTACTTTTACACTCAACTTCAAGGAGTTTTAGCTGCAACAATACTCGCGTTTAATCGCGTTTCCTGTATTCTATTCCCTATGCACCATGATACTGTAAGTAAAATACAATTTTTTGAGTGAAGGGGAGACTTGATCCATAATGAAAATTTTGGGTCAAGTCTTTTCCTCAGAGCTGAAGTTTGTAACTCGTCCCTAAATATGATTTTAAATATTTTCAGATGTGGCGAAAGAACTTACCTCTAGTCTTAGCTATATATTACGTGGCTCCATTTGGCTGTTATTGGACTTTATTATTCAACAAAGGAGTAGTTGAATGCGACAATGGAACGGGAATGGATAAGCAGTGCTACTTCACGTATGACCATTCAAATACTTTTGGGGTAGGCTTATATCTTGCTGCGTAAAGAAAGCAAAAAGTTTTTTTTTAATTTTTTGATAAAATTTGCAATTTTTAAAAATGAAATTTTTTTCAGCTTTTCAATTTTTCTACAATTTCTACATTTCAATTTCAGATCTCAGTTGGCAACAATAGCAAATACGCCTTTATTTCGCTCTCAGTAATTTCGGGTGTTTGTAACTTTACTACTTTGTTTTTGCTCTGCCTTCGAAAGAAATCGCTGAGAATTCGAAGGAATTGGAAACAAGAAATCAACCTCTTTATTACCTCATTCGTTATTTTCTTGGCCCACTTTGCATACGGGCTTGTTGAAGTGAGCAATTTTTATTTTTAACCTTTGCCTGGTGATCTATTCTGAGGAAAAGGGAGACTTGACACTTTGGGTCAACTTTTTCTCTAGAACTGGCTATGCAGAAATTGCATTTCTGGGAATTTTTAGAAAGATTACTTTATAATTTCACAGGTAAATCAGCATATTCCAAGTGAGAGAGAGAGAGAGAGAGAGATATGACACCATTGGGTCGAGTCTTTCTTCCGAAATAAAAAGCCTGTCATAGCAAAAATGAAGGATCCTAAAACTTTCTTTTACTAATTTTTTCCTCTTTCAGCAAACAGTCCCGGCCTTTTACAGGACCAGTAAAACCGCCTCAACTTTAATTTTCGGAGTCATTCTCCCTTTACTATACGACGTTGTCCTCGCTTCCACAGTGCTTTCCTTAATCATCGCCTCGCCAAAAATCCGTCAAGAGATTCTCTACATCTTCGGAGAACCCTTCGGATTGAATGTGACACGACAAACAAAGACTGTTACAATGTCACCGAGCAAGTTTTAATAGAAAATAAATTGAAAATGACAAAACAAAACTTGGCATTACCATAGAAGTTGATGAGAGTGCGAATCCGATCTTCGGAGGAACTGAATATTCGAGTAGAAGACAGTAATGTTGAATAAAATTGTCGCCAAAGACGATGTAGTTGTCGGGAATCGACGGGTCGTACTTGGGGCGGATTTTGAGCTCATAGCCGTAGGGGGTAAGCTGAAAAGGTAAGCTTATTGTGAAATGAGAGAGTTTTGAGAATTGTGAAGGAAAAAATTTTGGACTTGGCAGCTAAATAAGAAGATTTATGAAAAAATTTTTGGCAAAACTTGCTCATAACATTGAACTTTAGTATTTGAAAGAATATGTAAATTTCCGAATTCATTTAATTTTTTTTTACTCAAACTAGGTTTATCACATATAGATTGAAGATTTCAGTTCACGTTTTTCAACCACAGCGAAACAATGACTAAAAAGTTTTATGGAAAAACACACTGAAACCCTTCAATAACACATTTTTTTGGACCTTTCCTATTCATAGTGTAAAAGCTCTTACATTACAGACCACATCATCAAAATCAACCCACCTTTCCCAGATAGTCCTTCGGCCTCATGGTTAATATAATTCCATTCGTTTCGAAGCCCATAATCGGGAATCCGATTCCATTGTAACGTACATAGTAGGTAGCTTGCTGTGAATTGGATTGTCGTGCGCCTAATTCGTTTACAATTTTCGTGAACAATTCGTCTGGGAACAATGTGAATTCCTGGCCTAATGCGAAAGTCACCGGGATCTCGGAGGTTACTGTAACTTCGCCGAAAATAAACCTAAAAAAATTGTGTTACACTTGAGATTTTAGAGGGCTGCCAAGGCTTGTCTGGCCGGATTCTACACTGTTTATAATTTTTTTTACCTTTTTACATCAAATATCCAGCCATCGTATTTTTGTGTGTTAATATCCACAAATTCGTAAATTCCTTGACACAATTTTGACCCTCCTCCAAGGATTAGCTCCCCATTATACGGATAGGCCTCGGAAACACCGACAAGCAACCCAATTCCAATGACGGGATACCTGTAGTCCCTGAGCAGCTGGTTTATGTGATTGTTGTTCTCTCGCGACCATTTCAAACCGAAAACTCCGTTGCCTTGAATAAGATAACGAGCTTTCTCAACTAGACCGAATCGAAGCTTTTGCGAGAATGTGGAGACCTGAAAAAAGTATAAAATCTCTTTACAACAAACTCTGTGCGACAAAATCTATCGATAACGAGCAATTACAGAATCTCAAAAATGCATTTTACCCTAAAATGAAGGTAAAATGAGAAGAGTCAAAGGACAGGAACAAGAAACTAGACCACAACTTTTCCAATGCCCTTCCGAGAAATTGTCCTGCTGCTAATTTTGTGTGTTTTTTGCTTATCGCCACATACCTGAACAACATCTTCAGCCCACGTCCCAATCGCATGAGGTCGGGTTGTTTCGAATATTTTCATTTGAGTGGAGAATGTAGTTGATTGGCTAAAAAATATACGCAAATAAAAAGTTTTAATTAAACTTTCCTGCCTTTTATTTTACTGCCATTTTAATGTGACTTGTATCATATTATCTCCAATAAATTTCTACTCTCTGTTATTGCAAAAATTTGCAATAGCAGAGATTTGAATTTTTGTATTTTAGTCATCATAAGACAAAGTTTAATATTTTTTCCATTTCCATGCCAATCATTGTAAATTTACTATGACTCGTCACAGTTATATTATACATACGATGCACTAAATATTATTAATATAGACCATGTCTAGTCTATTCTAGTCTAGTCTTGTTTTCCTCCTACTTGTAGACTACATTTTTTTAAAATTATCGAAAAAATAATGACTCACCTTGGCACAAAATAATTCACCGTGTCGTTGACATAACAAAGATTTTTCCGTACACATTCTTGAGTAATTAGGTAAATATATTCGTCGTCTAACCGGGTTTGAAGGTAAATTTCTTGGGCTGAAATCATTTTTTTCGATTTTGAAAATTGTTCCGATTACACTGAAATCTCTGTAAGGAGTCGCAAGTGACAAAAAAATAAAGTTTCTGTAGAAAGGCTTTGCTGTATAGAGGGTCTTTTTGACCTAAAATTGACGCTCGGTATCTTTAAAATTTTTCATTATGTATGGGAGTTTGATGTCCAAAAGTTGTATAAAATTGTCAACGACTTTTACTGTTATTAGTTTTGCTTGAGACTCGTTCCATGCACTTTTAATTTTCAAAGATTAGGTTTGCCCAAAAACCGCGTGTTTCTTGTGTTTCCTTCTCTGAAACTTTACCACATCATACGTGCTTGAACTTTTACTTTTTACCCAAACTCTTGGAATTTTTCGGATATTATTTCTAAAGTGCAATGTCTAATTTTAAGACGACAAAATGTAATTTTTAGTCTTTCATGGGCGTTTCTGCGCGCCGTTACGAAAGCGTCTCTACTCTGCATGATTTCTCGATTCCTAGATTTTGGCGAGCGCTACGTAAAAATGGATACTACTGTTTGAAAAAGCTTGTGACAAAGCCTAATAGGGCAGGAGGTTCAAAAATCTAACCTTAGTCGACCGGTCAATATAGGTCAAAGAAATTTTTTGCCGTTGCAAAAGTTTGTACATCCCTGACGTTTCTTGGCCAATTTGGATCGGATTTTGAATTAGCCTAGGCTTGTATTTTCTTCCATCGTGTTCCTTGTAGTACTGTGTAAAACGGGTGCTTTAATATATTTATTTCCATTGCACATTACCCATGCACTTTTTTTCCGAGTCATTTCAGATTTGGTCTTATTTCAACCTTCCCCTCTTGAACTTTGTCTAATCACACCCAATGAATAATTTATATTTGTGTCTTTGTTCTATTCCAAACTTACTTACCTGGTGTCCCAAACATGACCTTTGTTTTTGCTCCATCTAAAAATACTTCCAATTAGACCAAGATAACTACTTCATACATATATCATTGTATAATTATTTCTTTACAAAAACATATTCTTTTCATTGGAATAATCAAATACGTTTACTTACATCCAAAGAACATTTCGTTATATTGTTTCTGCCCATTAATGGTCCGTATTAATAACAAGAAACAAGTAATAATACGTATATAGAATATACAAGAGTACATGACGGGTCACAAATGGTGTTTCTTCCCGCGAGGGAAAAACGAATCTCGGATTATTTCTTGAGTCATCACTGTATAAATATTTAAATTCCGCTCTTGTTTGATGAGCTGGTTCATTGAGGGTCGGATATTTTTGGATTTTATGAAAGAAGGACACTGTAGTTTTCAAGACACCGTATGAACTTTAAAACATCACTTTTCGTAGATTGCCAGAACTCCTTTGTAGTCTTCCTGAAACCCACTAAAACCACCTTGAGATATGATATAATGCTTGGTCTGCTCGCTTACAGGTGGCTATTTACGTAGATTTCTGCTGACAAAGGGAAATTCAATTTCAATTAGTGCGGGTTTTTGTAGGTTAGAAAGGAGTAAAATTGTCTTTAAATGTACGTATCATGTCATATGGATTTTACGGCAATATAATTTTATTATCCCAAATATTTTCAGTGTTTTTGTTAAGAAAGGAGCACTTGAAGCACTTGAAAAGTGTTGTTGGTCATACAAATGCTTAAATTTACCGTTGAATTAATTTTAAACTTTTTTGAAACGAAATTTCGTAAAATTAATTTCCGCGAAACACTTGGCTCAGCTTGAGTCAAGACTTTCCCTCTGTGATGGAGAAGTAGTATTTGTTTCACAAGGAAAGTATTTCTATGGAGTGTGGAGTTACAGGTCGAGATATATATCAAAAAATTCGCAAAAATTTTCTGATTCAGAATATATAAAACTTAGTTGTGTTTTCGGCCATGGAAGTGGGCGTTTTTTTAAAACTGGCACTTGTTGCACTAAAAGTACCGGGAAAAAAGATACGACTATGTCCGAAATGACATGGAGATTCCGAATATGTAACTTTTAGACCAATTCTTGAAGTCTTAAATTTTTGTTTTATTTTTTTTCGCCAGGGAAACACTTGACCCATCTAAGTCATGTCTTCCCCTCAAACTCAAAATAGCACGAAATGATATAAAAATCTTAAAATTGTTAAACAGTGATAGAAATTGATTATTTTTTCAGATTCCCATGTTTTATGGCCTCCACTTCCCTCTTTATTATCTACTACTTATACGGCGTCCCATTAGTAATATGCTACTCAACCTTAATCTCAATCTTGTTCACAAAACGAAAGACTTTCCCCTCAGCATTCTTTCGACTGGTCAGTTTATTCGGTGTTCAAGATATCATCGGATATGTATTGAATCAGTACATTCAACGAGGGCCAACTCTTCCACTGCTGTATCCATTCTACAGTAACCTTGATGATAAATATAAAATACACATATTCCTTTATTTTCTGTATTTTTACACCGAATTTCAAGGAGTCATGGCGGGGACAATTTTATCGGTGAATCGCTTTACTTGCGTTATGTTCCCTTTACATCATCAGAAGGTAACTTTTCAGATTTTGCAGTAATTTATGATTGATCTTGGAATTGCAGCTATGGAAAAAGTATTTCTACGTGGTTGTCGTAATCTACTATGTATCGCCGGTCCCATTTTACGGGTTTATTTTGCTAAATAACTATAAATTATCATGTGAAGACGAGAAAAAGGGAAAATGGTGCTTTGTGACATACGATCATTCAGTCACTTTTGGGGTAAGTAGTTATGTGTAAAATACGATACAGGGTGACCCAAAATAACGGAGACAAATTTTTGAAGGCTCCCACCGCGAAAACCGGGCGTTAGAGAAACACAAGCGACAGTGGGTTATATTGTATAACACCCTCTCTATAACCCACAAAAATGTGGTGGAATCATCATGTCGCAGTAAAAAGTTACAGCTTAACAACTCGAGCAAATTCAGATGAAAAAAAAGTTAGCCTGTGGTTTGAAGAAGGCACTGATAGGGGAGAGTAAACATTTTTTTGGTATTTGTGGACCTTATTTTTTCCATATTCAAGCGCCTAACGCCAGAAAAAATCGCTGAGTATCTCAACTCTTCTTGTATAGGCATAAAGTTAAAATTTTCAGCAATTAATCTGTGCACGTCTAAGATTATCGCTTCGAAATTCAAGAAAATTTAGAGTGTTGCGACACAAAAAACTCTTATTTTTTATTATATTTTAAAAACGCATTAAATTTTACAAATCATGTTTCAGATGTCCTCGGGCCGTAATTCCGAAATCGCCTTCATCTCGCTCTCCTCAATCTCAGGGATTTTCAATACTCTTTCAATATTCCTGCTCTACTACCGGCGGAGATCATTGAACATCCGGAACATCCGGAACCGGGAGATCAACCTCTTCATTACCTCTTTTATCATCTTTTCGGTTCATCTGTTCTACGGGATGATCTACGTGAGTTCAGAAGCTTACATCCTTCTCATGAGTACCCCATGTACTACCTCGTATTTTACCCTCTAAATTTTAGATCTCAGTTCTCAACTACCACAAAATCTCGCACTACGGGAATTTATCGATGATTTTCGGGGTAATCATGCCTTTTCTCTACGACGTTTGTCTATTTGGAACCGCTATATCGCTGTTAATTTCGTCTAGAGGGCTTCGATCTGAGTTCGAACGACTTCTACGGCTCTCAGCTAGCTGGGGAAAGAGCTCTCGACAAGTCAAGAGCATCTACACCAACAAGATGTGAAACGGGTGGAAAATTGAAAAATCAATAATTACTGTATTTAAAACAGATCTCAAAAATGTAAAGCCAGGCTGAATACATGTTTCACGCCAATTTATTTTCTTCTATAAAAAATCAAAAAAATAATTCGTGCCAAGTGTCTCCCTGGCCCGTTTGGTCAAGTGTTTCCCTCAGTAAAACACCTACCGTATCTTGGCAGAAAAAAAGTCAATCATCGCAAAAATTGCACAAAGTAAAGAAGAATAACAGACAAATCGAAAAATGTACACTCAAGACAGATACAAAATAAATCTCTGCCATATTTGGCGGCATCTTTAATGTTTACCCCTGGAGTAAGGTAATTTATTTCGTTCATAACTTTTTTTGAGGCTCGGTACCTTAACTTCTGAGTCTATAGAATTGTAGATTTTTTCATGCTCTATCAGATGGGCATAATTTTTTAAAACTTTCAGAGAAGCCGCGGGTGTTACAAGTCAAAAATTGTGAAATTTTAAATTTTTCCAGATGAGTTTTGACTTATTCTCGCAATCTGAGAGCGGAATCAACGCCTTCAGGAATGTCAACCTAGACAGGAAGAGACAGCGGGATCTGAGGCTCCAGAAGATGCGTGAATCCAAGGCGCTTGAAGCAATTGACCGCCGACCAGGACGATTCTACAGTAACCCAAAATAATGGAAATTTCACCTTTTCCACCAATGAGGTATGCTTTTTCTCTGAGATTGGTTCCGTTTTTAGATATTACATAGAATCTAACGTGCGCTTTCAAATGCCGTTGAAAATTCGGAAATCGGCAGCGTACTTTTTGATAAAAATGGATTCAAAATAAGGGTCCTAAGGGCAAAAAAATGGAAATTTTGAGTTTTTTTGGTGTTTTCGCTTGCAGAACGCTCTAAATGACATCATAAATGCTTCGTTGACTCCTAGAAGGACTCCTACTGCCTCGATGAATGGTCAGCGTGAACGGGCGGCCGTGGCAACTGCCTCAGGGAAAAAACTTCGGGAACTCACAGAAGAAGCGGAAAAATTGCAAAAAAAGATACGTGGCGAATTAAAGAGCTGACAAACGGGATCGACAGTTCTTCATGTGCCGGATTTTTTTAATCGCCATCAACAACACCAGTCAGTTTCAATCAAACCCTGATTCAAACCAGTCAAGACTAAGTCAATCCAGCAAATCCAGTCAAAAAATCTACGAGTCCAATGCCGAAGGTGATCAGGTGATCTTGATGTTACATCTTAATTATATTTTCCTAATTTATCTCATTTTTCTTGTTGATTTAAAGGATTCTCAATAAAACGGAAAAAATCTCAATTTTTACCCTTAATTATTGCGCAACAGTTGCCAAGATGCGGTAGTACAGTCCTTTTTTCTGAAAACACTTAAAATTCTGCACTAATTTCTCTTTTCACCGGTTGCTTTCACCAAAAACGGAATTTTTGCCTTCTTTGTATAAAATGGCAACCAACATTCTCACAAACTCGGGCGCAGCTCACAAAAATAGTTTTTGAAGAAAATAAATTGGCGTGCATGTTTTATAAAACGTTACAATCACAAAGTTAAAAAATATTTCTATTTGCGTCCAATTTTCTGCGGGCTGATCACTTTTTTCTTGGATTCATCAGCATTTTCCTTCTCAAACGCGTCGTAATAGCTGCAGATCACGTTGACTGTCATCAGAATACTAGCCCCGGAGCCGATCACACCTTAAATTAATGGATTTACATACAGTACCAAGATATGCAAATGTAAAAAAATTATCGGCTTTTGGTATAAGTAATATAATATTCTTCTATACGAAGAAATTTCAAAAAAAGCCTACCCAAAATTTCAGCCAATATTGACAGCACTCCAATTCCAATTCCTCCAAGAGCAGCGGCCGTTTGAATGTATTGATTTAGGTATTTGGTCTGAAAAAGATGATGGAATTGCAATTGTGTAGCGCGAGCTGTTATACTCGAATTTTTTATGAAACTCCTGTTCCATTAAAAAATATAGAAGCTATTTTAAAATTATCAATCAATCATCTCACGATATTCACCAGTTTCGGCCATTTTTTGACCGAGGGGAAGAGTTGACACACTTGGGTCAAGTGTTCCTCTTTAACTAAAACAACGAAAAAATAAAAAATTTCCGATTTGATGCAACTTAAAATTGATTTGTGACATGCCCTTATCAATATAATGCAGTTTACAACCTTTTTTGAGCCGCTATCACAAAGTGTAACATAAAAATTCTCCGAAAAATGGTTCAACCATCTCCAAAATAGTCGTATTTTTGCTCCCCAACCATCTCTTTTCCTCTGATACTTTTTACTTACCATGCTACTATGTCTATGCCCACCAACCATCAACTTCTCCCTCTTCATTTTCTCCACGATATCCTTTGCCGACTTGCCCGAGAACCTCAGCCAAATGACCGAAAAGTAGGTGCACGACAACAATGTGAATGTGACATTGACCACTGCTCGAAATGGGTCCTTTTGGAACTCTTCTAGCGTATTCACGGACGTCAAATAGTAGGATATTCCCCACGTGGGTTCATTGCGTCCGCTCTCCATAGTCTCCCAAACGCCGATGAAATCGACGATGAAATAGCCGGAAAAGTTAACAGAAAGGAGTTTGGAGATGGTGAGGATATTAGACACAAGGGCGTTTTGAATGAAGACGCCCATGTTGGAAGTGTGGGCCAATCTTATCGGGAAAACGCCGGTTTGGCCGCGAGAATTGGCCGAAACGAGGGGAATTTCGAGTTGAAAGGCCTGAAAATAAAATTTGGAGATGGTAAGATCAAAGATCCGAGCTTAATTTCATCCCCATCCATCCCATTTTTACCTGTAAATACGCAATCAGAAAGAACAAAACCATCGTCCATCCTAAGCTCATCAAATTCGGTAATCCCTTCCTTAACAGCACCTCTTCAAAGGCTTGGAACTTCTCCTCCTTGTCGATCAACAGCTTGACCAGCTCCAACACCGCTCCCTCAAACTTTTTTCCATTTCCGGCACTGATTACCAGCGGACTAAATGCCTTCCAAACAATCATTTCGCAGAGATTTGTAGCAATGAAAAGATTGGTTCCACTTCCAAGACCATAGCCGGATTGCATCATATCGTCCAGCAGCATCATGATCAGCCCGGACATGGCCAGTTGCAGGACGATCAGACTGCAGTTGACCAGGCCCAGCTCGAATGGAGAACCGTAGATTCCAGAGAAGACGTAGAGAGTGGCTTGGCCCCAGAGAAAAAGCAAGGCAACGACTGGAAAACGAATGTTACAGTAAGTCCAAAGAATAAAAAATTCATTTGGAGAAAGGATTCTAGCTGAGAGGAACAGTTGACACGTTTTGGTCAAGTCTTTCCCGCGGTGCAGGAAAAATAAAAATTTAGGTATTGCATCTAAAAGCCTCTATTTCGTATTTCCTTGAATTTCTGCCACTTGATTCTATCAGTAAAACACTTGACCCAAATGTGTCAAGTCTTCCCCTCGAATCAAAAACTTACGTCTTTGTGCACGGCTCAAGAGGATCAAGTCTTTACGTGTTCCATCCACTTGAATAATCCCAGTCGAGGCCATCAACTGCATAATCATCGAGGATGTCAACGTTGGAGTGATCCCCAACTCCATCAGGGTGCCGTGATTCGAAGCCATCATAAGCCGAAGAAAATACAAAGGATCCTCGGAGTCTCCATGCTCAATTCCTGCAAGAAATAAGATTGAAGTGTGATAAAAAAAATATTTTTTTACATACCATATAATGGGACTTGACAGTAGACCAAATACACGAACAATGACAACAATGTCCAAATCAATTTCTCCCCAAATTTGACCTCCCTTTGCGGAATCGCAATGCTCGGCACCAACTTGCAAAATGGCGCGACAAAGTCGAGAAAACGGACTGAAACATAAAAATAAGGTAAGAAGGTATCAAGTGTAACATGAATAATATAAATTTGACAGGCTTGAAGGCAACTCACGTTTACTGAAGCCCAGCATTTGCAAAAGACAGTTTCCGAACAACCAATTTGTAGAAATGAGACAAAATTTTCTTTGTGCTTACTTGAATAAAATTTGAATTTTTTTGTTTTTTATTTTGAAAAATTTCAAAATAACTTAAAAAACGGAAATGAGGCTTGAAAAAGCAAAATTCCGGACTTTATGCCAACCTTCGCACAGAGGGAAAGACATGACACATTTTGAGTCAAGTGTTTCACAGATATAATATATGTTAGCAAAAGGAAATTTATGGGTTATTAATCGTTGGTAAAACACATCTGTGTAAGTTGCTGTAATAGATTGTTGCTTAGACAACCAGTTTTGTCATCGCAGGGAACACTTGACCCATACGTGTCAATTGTTCCTCTCGGTTTGAATCTTCGCCAAATAAAATTATTATAGAATTAGGATATTGAAACAATAAAATAATTTCATTTTAGCTATTTTTACTCTTCAATGTATACTACAACGTTATTTTTTATTGATTTTGTTGCTTTTTGCCTTTGGCCAAGCCACTCTTTACGCGTTCTCTGGAATGTACGGTTCTCCATACGATCTGACTTCGGTAATTTTAGTCGAATGGTCCTTCAACTGCTCATGCCTGGTCGGATTGCAATACCGTGGACAATCTAACGCCCAAAACTTGTAATGATGAAAAGAGAAACTTCCAGGATTTTCGACAAAAAAAATTAGTTCAAAAAATCTCATTTTTTTGAGTTTTCTTGTCAGAACGAATGCAGTTTCGGCAGAAGCGAGTCTTTTTACATATGAATGCGATCAACAAAATGTTAGAAAACCCCAAAAAAATTTTGACGGCAACTTAGCCATGAACAACATCATCAACTTTGACCGATGCCTGGGGGCTTATGCATAAAGCATAATAAAACAAGTGACGTTGATGTGTATTGGGATAGTTAAACTAGCTCAGTTGTCAGTTCAAAAACAAAGCAATTATCAAATATTGTTTATCAAAAAAATTAGTTGAGACAATCTCTTCCCTCTCCGCTCAACTTTCCATTCAAGTTTAAGGTTCCAATGTCGAAAATTTTGTCTGCGCGCTCCTTTCCATGTGTGATGTAGCTCTTGGGGATTTGGATGCTGAACTTCTTGGTGCACTTCTGGGTGATCTTGCCAGTGTCACCGCAATGATGATAAACATTCACTTTAGGGTCGATATTCGTAAACTCTTTGGCATGCCCGCGCACCAACAAACGCCCATCGGAATCGGTCTTTGTTTCGCCCATGAGGTCGTCCAAGGTGAAGGTGTCAGCATCATATAGCTTCACTTTCTAAACCAATTATAAATATATACTTTCAAAGCAAGAAAAACTGTAAATAATTTCCTTAAAAATACCCGGGATTTACTTACAACTGAACTAGCCGGTTTACCATCACAAATCAATCTTCCGGTCACGGCAACGCTTTGAACTTCACGATGCGGCAGCGATGACACTGCGACAAACCAACAAAAAGTCAAACAAACAAACAACTTCATCTCTAAATGCTTTGGTTTAATCATCGACGGCCGTCACTTATATAGAGCCGCGTCTTCTCGACGCTTTAAACTAGCGCTGAAAATTGTTTGACGGGAAATAAGGTTTCTTTTTTTTTAAACTTTTTATTACTTTTGTGTCAAGTCTTTCCGGTAAATTGCTTTCAAGTTAGTCATAATTTTAAAGCGGAATGGGTGGAAATGCCTTCGATATAACGTGGGGATTTTGTTGACAAAACAAATGACTCACCCGGTTGATGAATCTCGGCTTCTGAAATACTGTCTTTCCATTAGCAATCCGGCTTCTGGACGTCTCAGTCGAACAAATAAACGATATGATTTTGACTGTCATCAAGATATAATACCTTTCCTTACCAAGAAACGCCATTCCAACTCCATCTATCCGAGCATGGATGTAAATACTGACGATGGAGATCGTCACGGTTTGAGGAAATGGCTGCAGTAGACAACTGAATAAGTTTAACTATGCCAGTACACATCAATGTTAGTTTTTTTTACTTTAAGCGTAGGCCCTCAGGCATCGGTGACAGTTTCCATTCTCACCAAATGACCGTGGTCCTCACAATCAGCTTGCCAGTTGTTGCCTGTGCCATATATGTATTATATTAAAAAGAAAAATATACACAAATTCAGCCAATCTAATTTTAAGATTTATGACTGAATGTAAGTAAGCTTAAATCTTCTCTGCGCGAGTTGGCAGTTACGAATTTAAAAAAGGCTATGCGCTATTGAAAATCAATATGTGTTATTTAGAACAAAGGTTCACTTCAATTTGGCTCGGGTTGATGAGTGTGGCGAAAAGGGTCTCAAAAGCTACACAAAAAAGTCATTTTCACCTTTGTCGGTGAAAATTTGGCCACACTGATGGCTGTCTGATGCTGAAAACATTTTCCGGCAATTTTCATCAAATAACGCTGAGAGTTTTTCAAATTTTGTTGCGCTTAAAAGGGTCCGTTCGACAACAGTATTCGCCAAGGAGAACATCGGTTCAACTTTAAAAGGTGGTACGGTAAACACGCCTTTATCATGTACTGTTCTGCCACTTTCTTTGAAATTAAAAACAGCGTAGTTTATATAGTTGGAAATGCGCACTTGTCCCGCTTTTATCATTGTGAACTTTTCACTTAACCTGATATACATATAGGCATTTTTTGACGCAGCAAAATTGAAACATATGAAAGCGTTTTTTATTGATTTACAACATCCTGAACAATCGTGTGAGGTGTGTTTACGAGCCGGGAAAAAGTAGCCTAAAACTTGGACCGTTTTTGTAAATTATGTCCATTACGCTTCACTTGAAGCCTTGGGTATGTTTCTTTACGGTTTTCGTCACAACCGATCTCTCGAAAGGTCAGCTAAATACAAAAGAACTTCGCTTTTATTTGTCTCCCAAAAAATTTTCAAGCACCTGTTGCAGAGGGCATTAAGGCCCACAGACGTCTAACTGGTTACTTTGCATAATATATATATTAGTTTATTTATTTCTGCATTCCAGTTTTGGCTTCTGCGCATCTGCCGCATTAAAAGTGCTTTCCTGGCCTCTCACTTTACGTGGTATCTATATTTTTATGTCAAATCGTTAAACACTCACTATCCTCGCGTCCGATTAGATCATGTATTTTTTTCTTTGCCTGCTTATAAACTTCAATTTTTCCTTTTTGTTAAAAAGAACTGGTTGTTTTCTTTTCCTGATAAAGGTGTTCGACTTGTGTTTTTAAAAAAATGATGAAAGGATGGATCCATCTGGCCAGAAGAAATATTCAGTCTTGCAGTCGTTTAATGTGGTAAGTTTTTTTATTTCGATAGGAATTTGCATCCACTTTTAGGAAAAGCAAACCATAAAAAATTGGTTTAAAAAACTTGTTGCTTTTTATTTTCGGTAAAAGTTCCTTATTCTGGCCGCAACTTATAACCTTGCGGAAACTGGTCAGAATTGGCCCAAATTTAGCTTGCCGGCTCAATTCATCGTTGTCAATGCCCGGACAGTGGATTTAGTTAGTGAGGTACCTTCTTTTTTACGTACCAACTTACCCGTCAAAAACGGCTGCAGCCTGCGATTTTACACTTTATACGATGAGGCCTGTCCGGAACTAAACTTATTGCCTCCGGATAGAACTAAATGACTCGTCATAGCCTTCGTAGGTACCCTTAAAGCTGTAGAGCTATTATAATAATTCCGTGCTAGCTAGGTCGAAGCCTTTCTTCCTAGCTTTAGTTCCCAAGGTTGGGCGCAGTTCGAAGAGTAGCTTTGTTGCGGCCAGAATAAGGAACTTTCTCCTTATTTTCCCGTATTTTAAGTCCGCAAGCACCCGTAGCGACCGAGGGAGTAAGCAGGGCCTCCGAAGGCTCGTTATACCGCATCTATCTGGACCGTCCCACGGTGTTCAACGCCTTTCATATACCAATGTTCTACGAACTTGCATCGGCCTTGCGGGAAGCTGATCGGGATGGGGAGTCAAAAATCACCGTTCTTTCGGGAAAAGGCAAGCTTTTCACCGCCGGAAACGATCTCAACAACATGGGAGATGGCAAACAGACGGTGGAGGAAGCGGCAAAAAGCCTTTCCGATGCTGCAAAAGCTTGTTTTGCTGCTTTTATTGATCACGAAAAGCCTATCGTTGTGCTAGTCAACGGTCCGGCCTATGGAATAGGTGTTACTTGCTTGCCATTGTGCGATGTTGTCATAGCTTCCGACAATGTAAGTTGGGTCAAAAAAGAATAATTTTTTAAGGCTGTCTTCAACACTCCATTCACTCCATTGGGATATTCGCCCGAAGGATGCTCGACATATACATTCCCAAGGATATTTGGAACTTCCAGAGTAAGCCGCCTTCCTACTACAGTGGACCTGATCCGTTGGTAACACAATTTTTCATCCTGGAAGTATCAAAAATGTGGCAAAATGCTTCCCCCTCCAAGTGAGAAAACTTCGTTTTGAAGGGCGCGCCCTTTCTCCTCACAAAAAAAGTTTTTGAAATCTGAGTTTTTTCACTTGGAGGAGGAGGCATTTTGCCACGTTTTTTGATCCTTCCTGGATGAAAAATGCTACGTTTTTGCCACTGGTCCCCCACTCTATATGCACCTTTAATAAAACAATTTTAGGCCCAAGAGATGCTACTTTTTAACCGCACAATAACTGCTCAGGAAGCACTTGAATGGGGACTTGTCTCTAGAGTGATACCTCGAAAAGATTTCCCCCAAAAAACGGAAGAAATTTTAACCGAATGGGCTCGCCTGCCAAGAGATTCGTTGAGAATCAATAAGAGCGTTGTGCGCGGAGAAGAAAAGGCCTTGCTGCACTCAGTCAACGACCGTGAAATGGAAACGCTGAAAGTCAGATTTGCAAGCGAGGAGAGCCTGAAGGCCACAAAGGAATTCTTGGAGAGTCGAAAAAAGAAATGATTTGAAAGGATTTGACAGTATGATCGCAATAAAATAATTTTGTAAATATGTAACGCTATTATTGTTTTCCAGAAAAGTCACATACATCCATTCTCTCAGATATACCGGATGGCCGCAATAAAAAATGCGGCAAAATACCTCCCTCTGCAAGTGAAAAAGCTCCGATTACAAAAGCGCGCCCACTTTTTTGTGAGAGAAGGGGCGCGCAGTTCAAAGCAGATGTTTTTAGTTGGAGAGGGAAGCATTTCGCCACATTTTTGATACTTCCCGGATGCAAAATGATACGTTTCTTGCCACTGGATCAGGTCCCTGACTGTACCGCCTGGCTCATATCGCATGATAACCAAACATATTTATGAAATTCGTCGGTCCTATACAGACGCTATCTTCAGCAACTTTCCAGTCCATCGCCTCATCCCAGCATTAGAAATTTGCGGTCATGTCTGCTGCAACGTGGATTGAATGGAGGAGAATTCAAATTTAAACGCAACAGGTGGTTTTGAAACAAATATAAAAAGTTTAGATATTGCACGCATAGTGCTGGCCACTGAAGGTGTAAACTCTTGGAAACCCATTGGTTCAAAATTGAACGTAACCGAAGTGTAGTAAAGCAATTAAATTAAATTTTTAATCACGACTATACATATTTCACTAATAAATTAAGTTTATGAAATCAAAATAAATTAGTATTATATTTACTATTTTTATATGTGTAATCAATGCAATTTTTTATTCCTCCATTTCTTCTTACATCGTGCTCTATATTAAAAGGCCGATTGAGGCAAAGAAAGTTCGAACCCGGGAGCCGCCAGTTTCGGCCCTAGACCAATATCTACTCTGTATGAAAAACGTCACAATTATTTTATTTTTGAACCTACCTCTTAAACCTTAAATCTTAAATTAAATTTTTCTGTACCATACACATTCCCATGCACCGAGTTTTCCCATTTCCGAAAATACACAAGAAAAAGAACACGCCGCAAAAAATATTGGTTGAGTCAGATGTTTGTGGAAGGGTTTGGGCTTTTCTACCGGTCTCTCTCTTTTTAAAAATGTCTAATTTAATTCTTTCTCAATCGCTTTAAAAAGCGATCTTTTCATGAGATGCTTTTTTAACTTTGAAACATGTTTGAAACTCCAAATTTAGGAAATATATCCAATTTAACTCGTCATTTTCAATATATTTGCACAAGCCTGTGTCTTGACCTTATCTTCCCTGGTTGAAATGATGCTTTAGGTGCCTCGCTTATCTGGTTGATGCAGGGCGAGCCATTCTTTGTCGCTTTGTGTTGAAAGTGTTTTTGCGAATTGTTAGAACGATATTTCATGGAAATGGAGGCCACATCGTCGAGCGATTACCAGCATTTGATTGATGTAAGTGCATGTAATATGTAGCTTCTACATTCTTTTTGACAACGTCAAATTTTAATCGCCGAATTTCATTCTTTAAAAGGTTGATTTTATTTGTCCAATAAAAAAATCATCAGAAGCTCTTGGCCACGTTTTTTTGATTGTATGTCGATGGCGCTTTAAAGACGTACTTGTAAAAAATTAACCCTTTAAAAACGTATTGATTGTAAAAACTTTTTAATCAAACAAGGTCAACAGAGTCATGTAGTCTGTAACCTTCTTTTGCGACTGTTTTTTATGACGCGTTATGCCAAAAAAATCGAATGCTTTTTAGCGAGAACGTAAAAGTATTAGGCTCACATTGTTAATTAGTCAAATATTCCCAACAGACGGTTAATTCCCTACATTTCAGATATTTAAATACCTCGACAATGAATCTTTGCAACAGTTGCAACTTGCATCCAAACTTACCTACGACATCGTGAAAGAGCACTTTTATCAACTCAGCCGACCGAATTTAGAAATTGTCCAGATCCACAAAGCCGATGATAAAATTCAATGCCGATGTTTACATAAAAATGGGAAAGCAAGAACGTTTGAGACCCACAATATTCGCGTAAGCTTTTTGATGACGTTTGATGCAACAATCTTCCAATGTAATCATCAAAATTTGCATTGCAGGAAGCGTTCCGATGGCTGAACCCCTTGATCCACAACACAAATATCCGTTTGTTCGCAATGATTCAAATAAATCTCAGCGATTCCTGTCTCCACGAGCTTGCCGGCTGCCTTCCCTGCCACATTAAGCAACTCAGCATGAGTGGTGTGGATTTTTTGGAGATTTCACCAAGTGTTTTTGAAGATATGCTGTCGTTAACGCTACGCGCCGATCGCTATGCTTTCACATGCGTTACAAATGTGGCCAGCGGGCATTTTAATGGAAAATTGTTGGAGAGTGAGGCATTTATGGAAGCGGAACAGGTACAGGTTTCCACCATAATATGTACAGATTAATTCTTGTAGATTGATATCGACATTTTGAGCTTTCAACATCTCACATTGCCGTGCCTATCGTTCTATGAGAATTCCATAATCACTTGGTTTTTCCATGGTCGTCAAGAGATCCGAAGGACCTTAATTGGCAATCGACTCTGTTTGGGACCATTTTTCTTGGCTGTCCTTTTAAAGGTAAGATTTTAACTCACAGTATAAGGTCTCAAGTGCGACGCATAGATCTTTTAAACTTTTCACAGTCGTTGGGCGCAGGGAAGATGCCAGTTTACACAAAGTTGGCTAGCGCTTTCAAGGGCCATATAACTTAAACTTGTGCCAATAAAATCTCGAGCGGCCCACCGCACGTGGGCCGCTCCCCTGGCCGTAAATAAAATCAAAATGCTTAGTTTTCAGACATTCATGGAGGAAACAACTTCAAGGCCGGCTCAGATGGTCCTCTGCGGCCGGATCACTCAATGCACCGAATCGTATAAACATCTCATGCACCTGAAAAGAGGAAAAACAGTGCTGACCGTGAGGAATGAGAGAACCGCCGAGGAACTTATCATCTCAATGCTGGCGTCCGAGGATAAGGTCGAGGTGTGCAGAAGTGAACTTAGCAATAACAACCATGTAAAGCGATTAAGGCCGGTTGGTCAAGCTGTTCGTTAACAACAAATCCGTTGCAATAAATTATTTGAATTTTATTGTTTGAAAACTTTCTTTATAGGCGATCAAAACTGTTTGTGATGCAGACAAAAGTCGGCCGAAAACATCTTCTAGTCGAGTGAAAGTTTTTGCTTAAATTTTTCATCAATCTGCTACTGACAGGCTGCACAGATTTGCAGCATATGAGGAAGCGTTGAGATCACATTAGTGCAGTGAGCCGGTTCCGATTCGACCCTTTGAGAAACAAATTTTTTGTATCAACATCGCCTATCTGCTTAATAAATCGCCCTAATTCTCACCCTCATTTACTTGACCTACCTCAATAAGACAACCTACCAAAAAACGCTCACGTCGATAACCAATCTTTTGCTCATTCACCCGCCTTTCACCTGAATTTCTGGCATCTTTTCTCCTCGAAAAGAGGCGCAGTGTACAGGGCGAAGAATGATTAAAATCTCCGACCTTTGTTCGACGCTTTCAGCTTTCAGCGGCTTCGTATTCTTCCCTATAAAGCGTAGTCTTATGGTCTAGTAAAAATTTTGTGGAGATAAAATCAGTTCCTGTGAAAGCCGAAGGGCCAAGGGACGACTTCCCACTTTTTTCTGTTGTTTTCCACCTTCAGCCCGCTGTTTGAATATACATTTTGGAGAGTATAAAAGCTCTATGTTTCATTGGTTAAAATTACGGCCTGAATTTGAATCGAATAGCTTTAGAAGTTCTCCTTTCACTTAGCTGTCGTTCAATGGTGTTTTCGCCAATATAATTGTGTTTTCTTAATAGACCAGCTCCCTCCAAAATACCGTCAAGTGGCATTTAATTTCACCCCCGACAACCCATCCTTCCTTGTTATGAGTTCGGTTTCCTATGTATCTCTTTTCCAGATTTCTGTAGTAAATATGAAGACGAAGATCTCTAGAAATTAATATCTAACCATAATAACGTGCCATATACGAATCCTTGAGTGTTATGCAAAAATTTATGGTGACATGTGTTCTAATGAACTCAAAGGTTTGCAGAAATTAGCATGGAAGAGCCAATACTAGAGGAGTCAACAGAAATAGTGGACCGAAAAATTGGGTATCAACGTTATGGCCATGGGAACGAGTACATTCTTGGAATCTGTGGAGCCGTAGGTAGGATTTTAACTCCTGACCAAAGCAAGGAAAATCTTACTTTGGTCAGGATAGACTCTTCTTCGAAAAAACGGGCAAAAATTTCAGGAACCTATAAGAAAGATTGGCCGTAGCCAGTGCTTCGTGCCTTCGACCCAACCAAATACACAATCGTGTGTTTAGACCCGCCCGGATATGGTACTAGTCGACCGCCCGATCGTGTTCAGGAAGTAAATCGATGCAAGAAGGACGCTAAATACTGCATTGAGTTGATGAAGGTAGGCATGCACATGATCTCCAGAAAAATCACCCATCTTCTGCAGAAGCTAAATTTAGTTCCGTTTTGCGCAATGGGATGGAGCGAAGGTGCGCGGACATCCATACACGTGGCCCATCAAGGCCAAACACTTGTAAATCGTCTCGTTCTCATGGCCGCAAGCACTCGCGCTGACGCTCGGGGAGACCAAGGATTTCAGGGTAGCTCAAATCGAACTTACCGTATCTTCCCGCGACCTTTATTTTAGGCATTCGAAATACTGATCTGTGGTTGCCGGATATGCGAGAAAAGTATTTGAAATTTTGCACAGATGAGTTTCTGAAAGTTCAGTGGGCGGCGTTATGCGATGTTATCCATGAGTAAGTGACCGCTTTCGAAAAATCTGAAGACCTATTTTTCCGCATCTGAAACGTAGGCGATAAAAAAATTTCTTGTCATTTTTATAAAATCTGTATAACTTATAAAAGCTTTAGAGTCTTTCTAAACTATGGAGGTCGTTTTCCGTCTGATATGATCCTGCATAAAATAAAACAGCCGGTCCTGCTGACCTACGGCGGCGCGGACAAGTTCATCATGGACCAGAAATACTTTAAAGAAAAAATCCCGCATCTCAAGTGAGTTGCCTGTGCAATTAATCCTTTCTCGATAATCTAGCGTCAAAGACATCGTTTCAGAGAAGCGGTCCACATGACCGGAGGGCACGAATTTTATGTTGCCTATCCTCGATGGCTTGCCCTTCGTGTTAACGAATTCTTCAGACAAACTGGAGGACAGCACTGATTAACTGCCCCTACTTTCGCTTTCGAAGCTTTCAGTAGTTCTAATAAAGTCCATTCATTCCTTGTATTTCCTTGCTTATCTGCTTCTACATACGCATCAAATGTTCGCGCTTTAGCTCACAGTATTGCTTTCCCATTTTACTGGCACTTTTTGCTCTTGATATGGGTATTTATGGTTGAATTATGGGTTTTTGAGCGGGTTTTACACATGATTTATCATTTTATCTCCGTTTGCAACATTAACCGCGACAATTTCAACCACATTTCACGAGTTGTTTGCCGACCGTAGCACAAAACCTGCACTTGCAAATTTAGGTTGAAAAATGTCGATTGAAGCCATGCACGAGCGTATCATCGAAGACTACGCCAACATCGAGGACGTGCAAATCGCGTATCAACGGTACGGGCACGGACCCAACTTCTTGCTGGGGATTTGCGGGGGCGTCGGCTGTTACAAAAAGGACTTTCCGGAGCATGTCTTGCGGTCTTTCGACCCGAATTATTACACGATCGTGTCGTTGGACCCGCCGGGGTATGGGAACAGCCGACCGCCGGCCAGGAACCAAGAGGTAAACCGATGCAAGAAGGACGCCAAATACTGCGTGGGGTTGATGCAGGTAAGTTGTAACAAAACCTTTTGGATAGCCGCAAGAGGCTACCGGCCCAAAAAAAAACTACAAAAAACTTTTATTTAGCATCTCAACCTCACGCCCTTCTGTGTGATGGGATGGAGCGAAGGCGCACGAACGTCAATCCATGTGGCTCATCAAGGGAAACACCTGGTCGACCGCGTCATTCTCATGGCCGTCACAACCCGCGTGGATCCGCGAATTGACAGCGCATTCCTAGGGACCCGAAACACTGATCAATGGCTACCAGAGACCCTGGAACCCTACATCCGGCATTATCCAGAAGAATTTGTGCGTGAGGAATGGGCTGCAATTTGCGACGTGGTTCACAAGTATGCGAATATTTTGCGTAGCCTACTTTTTTTAGAGTATTTGAAAACTTTGGAGGACGTTTTCCGTCCGATCTCATCTTACACACGCTTAAGCAGCCAATCTTGAACATTTACGGCGGATTGGATCGGTTCATTATGGATCAAAAGTATTTGCAAGAAAAAGTTCCAACTATACGGTAAGTCGGGCAAGTGCAGAATAAAAAAAAATGCGCTAACCTAAACATTTTTCTCACTCTGACGCCCCTCTTTTTGCATGGTGTTGACGCTTTTTTTCAGCACCGCCGTTCACGCCCAAGGCGGCCACGACTTCTACGTCAAATATCCCCGATGGTTGGCGATGAAAGTGACTCAATTCTTCAAGGAAACGTCTCAACAATTCAAGCCGTCATTGTAAAAAAATACCATTTTTTCGAAAAAAGTAACGGTTCCCAACCACTGTAGAAAATCCATCTAGATGATCGGCTAGCGGATTTCTTTTTATTGAATCTTTAAATAAACCCATTTTAACTGAGAGAGTTACGATTCATCGTCGGAGTCGTTGATTTGATCCGGCAGAATGAGAGGGAGTTCTTCCAGTTTCTGAGGTCTCGAGGCCATACCCGCAGTCGGTTCTTGCTCTTCGTCCGAGTCTTCCGGCACGAAAACTCCAAGTTTTTGACCCATTTCTTGGAGACTTTGGTTCGTCACTGGTGCCTCGGGTATTTGGGACTCCGAGTTTTGAACTTCTTCAGCAGGAAGGAACCTGAAATACAAGAATTATGAGTTCAAACGGTAATGTACAGCCTTAACAGCATTTCCCTATAAAGCTTTCAAGGCAGTCGTGAGGCACTCACCGTTCTTCCAGCCATCTTGGATTGTCCCGAGTAAACTGAACATGCCCTCTGACGGCGCGTTCCAGGTCTCCAGTTTCGACTTGATATTCAAGGCTACTCAACGTGGCGTCTACGTTGTGCAAATGAGCAACCAGGAGTTTCAGCTCAACCGGAATGGTAAACGACTTGCATCGAGCCAAATTGAAGAAATCGGGGATCACCTCAGGAACCGAGTAGTCGAATTGGACAACGACGAACTTGGAAAGGGAGGTCAGAGTTGACGAGCAACCGTTCTGTGGTTGGGGCACCAGCATCGGTGCAGTGCTGGTTATGCGGCTGACGGCCTAAGATAAATAAATCTTTAAAACTTTTTAGTGATACTACTACGACAGTCATCTTCATTTAAATTATACAAGTAATCCTCGACTTCACCGCTTCATTTCATTAACTTCACATTGCAGTGAGAAACTTTTAAGTTTAAAATTTAAATATTATTTAAAAACCTTACCGTGATCACCAAGTGCAACGCCGCATTAAACATATCCGGATAAGGGCGTCGTTGGCGCATCTGCCTGCCCTTTGACAAATACTGAAAAGCATCCGAGAAGACAACAACCACATGACTACAATCTTCAATGTTCTGCTGAAGCCATACGGAAGGTCGAATATCTGTGTCGCACAGATCAAACTGGTCCAAATGAACTTCAGCATTTGCATATCGCGTCAAAAAGTGTGCCAACTGTGCCACCGCTTCGCTATGCGTCTCCGAATCATCCGAATAAACAATTAGGACCTTCGGCGTTGCTTGGAGTTCAAACTGCTGCGCAGGACGCCGGTTGAAGATCTTTGGCCGAACGAATTTTATGTACACAACAAGGGCCCCGGCTGTGATGCATAACAGAGCAAATATAACTGAAAATGGTCAAGTTCATACGCTTAATAAACGTTCCGATCAAATTTAATCAATATGGCTCACCAATAAATATTGCCATGGAACTTCTGGCCGCATTCACCAACGGACGAACTCTTCTCCATGCCGGCGTAAACTTGTCTTCCGTGAGCGTAAAATTCAGCATTGTGTGATGGCACACTTCACACCCGTCCTCTTTATTGCAATGAAGCTGACAATTGTGTCGTTTCACATACCCCACCACCAAATACTCGCCCTTCTCCAAGTTCTGGACCTTCAAACCCGTGGCCGACGCCTTGACGACCTCTCTTCGAACCAACTTCGTCTTATCGCCGTCTTTGCTATACAAGTTGAGGTTCATCTCGAGAACTTTGGCCTCTTCCGGCGGCTTTTGGTATCGAACCCAGACCCCGTCTTTCGGCATCGTGTCCACGAATAAAAAGGGTGACCATGAGTCGAACGAGAGTCCTTGAGGATCGTCCTTGTCGAAGACATGATGAATCCTGGGATCGTATCGATAATCAAGCGGCATAGTTAGAAAGACTTCACTCCGACATCTCTGCGGCAGTAGAACCACATTTACAACATATTCCGACAGTCCGTACACACGAAAACAGTTTACATCTGCGCGAAAAGTCGCCTGCAAAACGATTAGTGAACTACAACAAGTAGGGCGCCAAAAATGAAAACGGAAATTGATCTCACCGCAGTATCATTCAGCTGAAATCCTCGACAGGGCTCGACAATCTCTCCATAACGAGTCAACTGCATTTGATTGTCGTGACAGTAGTTATCACTCTGGTCTGGCGCATTTAAACATGTATAAAAAAAGAAGATGGCTTCCGTCGGCTCGAACAATGTCGCGCTCATATTGAGGACAATGTGCGGAAGGCTGGAAAGCAATTCTTTCAAAACTCTCCAAATTTTGTCATCAACAATATTAAAATTCGAAACCAAAATCCAACTCACAATCCAGTACCCGTTGGAAAAACAGTTTGTGTATACAATGACACAGCCACCAGTTTCTCACCACACCTTTGAAAGGAGCGCCACTCATTTTGCAAGATGTCCTTGCACAATTTCGAGCTCCGGACCACATTGTATCCCGCATCCTCTGACGAATCAAAATAAAATTGACATTTTGGAGCCGCCCCGACCAAATTAATGATGATTCCAAGGAAATAAAGAGAATACATTGTTGCTACAGAACGATAAAATCAACAAAGTTAGATTGTAAAAACTGCCTATGTGGTTGAGAACACTTCTAAGCTTGCTGCACTTGCTGTGATTCTTTTACAGGTTCAGTTGAAGCCGCATACTTTTTTCCCTCCTTGGCTCGGATATACGTCTTGGGATGGATTGGAAGCAACCCCGCGAGACCTGTAACATGAATATAAGCATACTAAGAAATTCAAAGCCAAACAATGCTATTTTTCCAGTACTTAACAATATTCAACGAGCCGAGCCCCTAAAAACCGAACAAAAAAAAAGAAAAGTCTTACCGAGAAGTTCGAGGACAGGGACGGAAACTCTGGCGTCCTTTTCTCCAAGCCAGTACTTGATACGGCCAATATTTAGCGACACTAACTTCTCGTTGTTGATGTTTGGGAGAGGATCAAAAGATCCCACCTGAAATATTAAAATTAAACAGTAAACTAATACATGTTACAAAACATGATCAAAAAGTCAATCTATCAATTAATTCGCCAAGCCTTCATCTTCCTATTCCATCTCAAAGCTTAAAAAGAAAGAAACGACTCACCTGTTCAATAATGCTGCCTTCGTATCTCCTACCGAGTTTGGGATCAGGAAAGACGCAGATCTGGTAAAACGGCCGATTCGTACACCCGAACAACGCCAGGCCAATGGAAGGACGGCCAAACGTATTAGGGTTTACCAATTGTCGCATTAAAACATCAACTGGATCGCCAAGGAACACGGAAAGTGCACTAAAATTATCAAATAAATCGGAAAGAAGAACAAAAAATGGGTGAATATAAGAAGCAAGGTTAATGACGGGTTTCAAATCCTAAAATCCAATTAACCGTGGAATCCTTCTCACTGTAAAACCAAACAAAAACAGCATCAACTTTTATCTACATATTCCGGAGAAAAATTAGGAAAATAACGCCGATCGATTGTGACACTCCGTCAAAAGACGAAATGACACAAATTTGCGCTGCTTGCAGAATTTATATCCGCGCTCTGTCGGCTTCCATACGAAGTAGCTGCGGTTGAGGTACGATCGCGATTGTTCTACCTTCTCACTTATTTTACAGTTTTATTTCTAACTGATAATCACAATGGAAGTCGAAGTTAATCGCGTTTCCCACCGAGAGGAGGATGTCATGAACATTGAGCCGTCGATGAGTGGCAAAAGCATTGTCGGACTGATCATTCCTCCGCCAGATATTCGCGGTAGGTGAATTTTTTCTGTTTTCTTCTGGTTTTTAGATTGTGGATGTTTAATGTGCTGTTTTAGCTATTGTGGAAAAGACAGCGCAATTTGTTGCCAAAAATGGAATTGATTTCGAGAACAGGATCAAGGAGAAGGAATCAGGAAACAGCAGGTTTGGATTTTTGGCCCCAAACGATCCATATCACGCGTTTTATCGTGCTAAGGTCGCGGAGGCGGAATCGGGAAAGTCGATTGAACCGACGAGGGCCCATTTGCCGGATGCTGTTCGGGAGCATGTCAAGAAGGTGGAGTTCATTCCAACACAGCCTCCTCCAGCCTACGAATACATGGCTGATCCAGCAACCATCAATGCCTTTGATTTGTAAGGTGTTATTCTGTTTTATTTTCACTTTTTAGGAGAAAAATTTAAAAAAGTTTTTTGAAACCCACATATTTTTAGGGACCTTATGCGGTTAACGGCATTGTTTGTGGCTCGAAATGGGAGGCAATTCTTGACAAGTTTGATGAACCGCGAAATCAGAAATTACCAATTCGACTTTTTGAAGCCTCAGCATTCAAACTTCCCCTACTTCAGCAAACTTATCGAACAGTATACAAAGGTAATCTGCCATTTGATGATTTTGAGCTTCTAATTTTAGATAATAATTCCTCCGAAGAGTATAATCGAAGATTTGTCGCGTCAAATGGAGTATGATGTTGTTTTGGGAGACGTCAAGTACAGAGTGGCATGGGAGAAGCACCAGAAGGCAATAAAAGATCGCGAAGACCGAGCGCTGGAAGAAGAGAGGATGGCGTTCAATTCGATTGATTGGCACGACTTCGTTGTGGTTCAAACGGTCGACTTCCAACCCAACGAAACGCAGAATCTCCCCCCATTGTGCACGCAGAAGGATGTCGGCGCCAGAATCCTCATGCAACAGCGAACGGAAGCGGCCAAAGCGGCTGCGGAATCGGTGGCGATGGAAATGGATTCGGACTCGGATGATGAGGACAAGGAGAAGGACCGTGACCAAACCCAACGGGCTGCTTATGAAGTCACACAGCCGGCGCCCGCACCTCCCACAATGGATTCAGCTGTGGTCAGAGATTATGACCCCAAGAAAGCAAGACAACAAAATCAGAAGAAGCTCAGTGAAAAGTATATTATTTCACCACTCACAAATGAACGAATATCTGCAAATCAACTACCACAGCATGTCAAGTACAACATTGTGGACCCCCAATTTAAAGAACAAAGAGATCGGTTGGTTTTTATTTTTTTATAGATAACATGGTCTTTAAACTTTGTTCGACAATGATAGTTTTATTTTTTGTAATTAATGTTTATTTTTTAGCGAGCAAATGGAACGCCAGTCCGATGACACATTGAACCTCACATCTGGAACGGAGATTAGTCGAAATATTCAGAAAATGGCAATGTACCGAACGGATATCTTTGGAAGCGGGGCTTTAGGCGCTGAACAAGCCGACATTGGCCAGAAATTGAATGATATGCCTCCTCCGCAGCACCCTCCAAAACGCGTTGGCGGAAGCGGACCGAATGACTCAAAACGGCCTAGAAATTGAAATTTTTCATATACATAAATTGTTGTTCTAAGTTGTTGAATTGCCCTATATTCGAAGGTAAATATATTACTGTGTCAAATGATGTGTAATATTATATGTTTGTGTTTTTAAGGGACCGGTTTGTTTTGATATCCGAAAATAAACACGTGCATTCCAAAGTCCATGCTGTTTCGGGAAAACAACGCGATCGCCATTCGGTTGTAATGTGCGACAGAGCAATCAATTTAGATGCCTCCGTTATCAGCACTGTCGTTTTGCACAAATAAAAATGTTGGGACCGAAAAAGTGATGCCTTCGACTTGACTTTTGATCCACACATTTTTTTTGACGTGACCATTAAAAATCGGGCGCTCTTACGACGACGTAATGCTTGGTCGACGGTGGTTCAGAGATTTTTCGACATTTCAATAATCATTGTAATCTATTATACTACGAGCGATGGCTGAAGGGTCAAAGTCAAAAGATAGACCTATCTCCATCCGTGTTTACTAAATCAAAGATCTCTGTTCAAGGTCCGGCTTTTTATTGCACATGGCAGAGAAACGAGCGGGGCTTGAAGCGAGCTCGAATCGTTACGATTTTTCATTCTGTTGAGCCAGATTCGAAGGTACCGTGTAAAATTTTTCTTGCCTTTCCTTTTACCTAAATGTAAGCATCATAATAATGCACTTGATTTGCAATTGGTTAGCCTTTCCAACATGACCTTTAAGCGCCTTATCGGCGTGTTTTGTACACTTGTTCGAGTAACCAAGACCATAATTGGTAAACATCGTTAATATTTTTATCATAGGTTCTCTTCTATCAGTGTGGTGTGGGAAATGTATCATGCCATTGATCGGTTTTCTTCATAAAGACGATAAGTTTTCTATAGTTTGTAAGAAATGACGGTCAAGTTTCCAATTTGTAGTACTATTAGTTACTTATATACCATACAATCGGGATTATTTGAATTTTCTTTTTTTCTTTCGTAATTTTAATTTTTTCATCGCGTTAGTACTACCATATAGCTTGGCAATAACATTCTAACGCCCACAACCTAGGCCAACAATGTCCGGAGCGTCGATCCCCAGGATTATTGAAGGCGTTCAATATTACACGCCCTATTTGATTCAAATGTTTGTGTACTTTTGGATCGACTTTTTTAAAGCCATTTCTCCGGTGTGGCCGAGGAAGTCCATCAAAGGCCAACTGATGCTGATCACCGGTGCTGGCTCCGGCATGGGAAGGGAGAGTGCGAAGCAGGTCAGCGCATTACATTTTACAATGAGGGACCTTATCCAGTGACAAAAAACTTACCATTTTGCATCCGGGAAGTATCAAAAATGTGGCAAAATGCTTCCCAGGTGAAAAAACTTCGTTTTGAAGGGCTTTTTTTTATACTTCCTGGATGCAAAATGGTACGTTTTTTGCCGCTGGATCAGCCCCCCCCCCCCACTGTACCTTTTACTTGCTCTTCAAAAATGAATATTAATGGCAGAGATACTGTTTAATAACGATTCCAGTTTGCTCATCAGGGCGTCCGCCTAATCCTGTGGGACGTCAATGAAGAGGGACTGAACGAAACGAAAGAAATCCTTTTGCAAAACGGCCATGAAAATGTTCAAATAATGCGCGTCAATTTGGGAGATCATGATGACGTGAAGCGGGCTGGAGCCGAAGTCCGTGACAAGTTCGGCGTCCCGGATTTGATCTTCAACAACGCCGGAATTAATGGCGCATTCTCGTTGACTGAGTGTGATATGGACAAATACGATAATACCATGAACATTAACAGTCGTGCTATTGTAACCGTCGTCAACGAGTTCTTGAACGACATGATCGAACGAAACTCTGGCCATCTGATCACACTGACCTCGATTGCCGGCTATCAGGGTGCTGGAGGCCTAATTGCGTACAGCATGAGCAAGTTTGCGGCGGTCGGATACATGGAGTCGGTGCGGAATGAGATGAAATCGAAGAAGGTCGATGTCAAATGCACTACAATTGCCCCGTACTACGTGAAGACTCCGTTGACCCGGGGCGTCGAATACGAGTATGTTTTTCAGAACATGCCGTGGATTACAAATTTGTTTCAGCAACTACTGGGCCCCCATGTGCGAGCCAGAATACGTCGTGTCGCAAATTGTGGAAGGTGTTCTCCGGGAATCTGAAGAAATTTTTATCCCAAAATGGTCTTGGGTATACGTCGTGCTGAAGGGGTAAGCCAAAAGAATATCGACCATTTTTTTGAAAAAAGCGTACCATTTTGCATCCGGGAAGTTTCAAAAATGTGGCCAAATGCTTCCCTCTCCAAGTGAAAACACTTCGTTTTGAAGGCCTTTCTCCTCACAAAAAAAGCGGGCACGCTTTTGAAATCGGAGTTTTTTCACTTGGAGGGGGAGGCATTTTGCCACATTTTTGATGCTTCCCGGATGCAAAATGGTACGTTTTTTGCCGTTGGATCAGATCCCCCACTGTAAATTGCGGTTCAATTTTAAAACACTTGTTATACAACAGTGACTTTGTTGAAGCAAGTCAGCTATATGCGTTCAATAATTGCAGAGTCCTATCCACCCGCGTGATGGACCTGTTCACCGAGGCCTTTGAAGTTCACACCCTGCCCATCGGATTTGAACGGTTCCGTCAGCAACAAGCAAAACTGAATGGAGAAAATGGCTTACCAACCAATGGCGCCAGTCATTAAAGATCATTGATAGCAACTTGCGAGATAAGATACACTAGTTTTAGTAGTGATTGCTTTTATACTCTTAACATAAACCATTTAACAGAACTGTACACGAGGTTTAACGGCGCTGATCGCGTTACAATTGATTCAACGAATCCCGTTGACAAGGCTCCGTAAACCCGGGGTCCCAATCCGGATGCAATCGCACATTGTCCAGTGCGCAAATGCCATGCTTAGAGCCGAGATTTTCGCATATGAAGATGATCTAAAATTGCGTCAAATAAAGCAGATGTTATTTCTGTAGCCTAGCGCACCTTCTCCGTTCCAGCAACACAAGCCATCATCCCTCCGCGCCACAAAATCTCGCCTTGAGCTCGCTCCGATTCGAACGGACATCGCAGTTGGGACTTTCCGTTGACTTTAAATTGACAGCACCCCATAAACCGTTCGCCTTCCGTCCATTCCAAGTAGTCAAACACAACAAAGAACGGCTCAGAAGCATTGGTTGGGGACTCGATGGATGCCACTTGGCCAGGTGTGACGCGGGTCTCAATGAAATTGGAGGTTCCCACTGAAAAATGGGAAGACTCGATTATTGTTTTACAGGCAAAAAATTTGCTTACCGGTCACTTTTCGAAAAACGGACGGGTTCATGTTTCGAAATGAGCAAAGGCCATTTTCGAAAAGACATCCGCCACTGATATCACAAGACTTTTCCTTGAATTCAGGGAGTACAACTTCTTCTATTTGCGTGTGCTCCGGTAAGTCTTCAGTCGTTGACCATACCGGTGGCGCTGTCGGTGGTTCTTGAGACAGGGGACGGATTGTCGCGGAGGATTGTGTTGTGACAATAGCCGGCGTCAATGTTGTCGTGGGCATCGTTGTTAAAATGTTGAAAGCGGGCGGAGTTGTTGTGATGATGGACGCTAAATGTGCTGGATGGATGTGTGGTGGTATGACGTCCACGAAATGATGGCTGAATGAAGGAAGATGGGAGTGCAGCTCCGCCGGAACCACTTTCAATGGATTCATCGAGCTCGCTGAAAATTGGGATTTGAAAATACAGGGTCTACTTCAAAAGGTCGCAGCGACCTCAGTTTGCATTTTAAAATCTTTTTGTTTCATAGGCAAAAATTAATGTCACTTAAAAATACATATTCCAAAAACGAAGACTCTGCGCCGCCTCTGCCAGAAGTTATAGCCTCCGGCTTTCTTTCACATTTCTTGAAAGACCCTGTATTCTGATTCCTTGATGCAAGACTACCTACAGACTTCTTGCTCCTTCAATGTATCCTCAGTACCATCAATTCTTTTGTTCAGCGGTTGAATTCGCAGCCGTGCTAATGTTGACGGATTTTCAGAAGTTGTAATTACTTTGCCTTGCAATTCCTCGACGGGACTCTCAGTCTCAAGGTTTTGGGAACCCGTCTGGGCACTCGGCTCTGTTGTGGTCATTCTGGGAGGGAACGCGGTAACCGGTAAATTCACTGTCGTGTTTATCGGATTCACCGTTGCTTCATCTTCAGGGTCCTCTTCTTTCTCGTATCTCGAGGAGTTGAATGTTGGTTCCAAGAACTCGGCAAAGTCTTTGCCAAACATTTCGCTTAATGCTAAAACAATGCACTCAAGAGTTTAAAAATTATCGGCAGGGCACTCGCAAGAGTCAAACTTACGATCTGGGAACTGTGTTGCCTTGGCTGTTGTGGAGGTTGTTCCTGCTGTCGAGCCTTTATTCAACACATCTTCTGAGCTCTCGGTCGTTGTTTTTAAGGCTTCATCGTTTTTGCGTTTGCTCCATCCCGATGTCAGTATTCTTTTCGGATTGCGAGCAGGTATTGCTGGCTTACTGCTAGTCGAACTTGTCGTTATTAAGCGGCTGATATTTCTGGGCTTGTCTCCAACCACAACCCTAGGGGCCGCCAGTTGATGAGACTTGAATTCCTTTCTCATAAGCTGTTTCTCCAGCAACTTATCGTAATAGCTTCGTTTTTTGCTTAACAGTTCTTGATAATGATCGGGCTCGCTGTTTCCCTGTCTTGATGTTGGTATTCTCTCTGCAGATAAACGAATAAATAAAGTTTCATTTGCGAAAACGCCAAGATAAAGCGTTTATGTTGCAAGTACTGAACACATACCGATGCGAGGAGCTATCCCAGCCTGCTTTTGTCTTGGGGCGCCTTCTTCATCCATACCATCTTCGTGCTCATAGAACCGTGGTTTTACATCCTTTCTAAGGGGCTTGATGTTCACATCACAGGGCTCAGTTTCAACGTCCAAAAAGTCGATCAACCCTGTTGGCGGGAGATGAACACTTCTACTGCGCAACACAATAATTATCTAGAAACATTTTATAAACGGAAAAAGTGCCTCGCGAGGTAAAAGACGTTAGATCTTCTTGAAAAGGTGCGAAAACTCTTGTGCTGACATGTGCGTCATCAAAGATCATTTACAGGGGAAGTACCCCAAGTGGGACGCTCAAATTTTCTTTTAATTTTGCACACATGTCGGTCATGAACTAAGTATAAATTCCTGAAAGTTTTAGCTCGCGCTTTATAAGCACCGCCGAGATATTGAACGATCGAGAGAGTACGCTAAATGCGGAGAATGGTCAGAAAAAAAACTTTTTGGCCATAACTCTGTTAGTTTTGTGCGGAAAAATTGGTTTTTTTGTGGAAACATTACACTTTACGGTAGAAATAGGTATGGAACTTTTCGTGCCAAAACTCGGCAAGAAGTTTAATTTTTTTTGCCGACTTTCTGTCTAAAAATCTCGGTAGTTTCTGCAAGGCGCGAGCTGGGATTCTCGCATAAATTTTAGAACAAAATATTCTAAATTTGTGGCAAGCGTCATCAAAATCTTAGCTTCGCACTTGGGGTACTTCCCATAGACTTTATGTAACTTAGAGGGCTGCAATATAAGTATATGCGGCGTTACTTACATTAACTGGATAGCCTTGTAGAACCCGTATAGTCTGCGTTTCAACAAGGCCATGTTTGTTCGAGTCCAACTCCTTGCATTGGGAGGTTTTTCGTTCCGGAGTGGTTTGCCGAAAACACAGCTGAAACGCCGATACCGGACTTGCCCAATGTCTGAAAGAAATAAAACCTATTAGCAATGGCTTCACTGCGTTAATCGAGAAGATCAAACGGATTACCTAATCGAAATCTTCAGGATTCCAGTTCTTGTGCAGTAATCGCAGCTCTCCAAGGCGCTGAGTTCGTGCGGATCACTTAAAACGCTGGAGTAGTAGCCGCTGGCTGAAGGCAAACAAATTTATGACAACAACGTTTTCTCACTCACCCGGAGGCGCTCTTAGCGTGCCCAGCCGGAACGTGCGCCGATAATAGGTCTGATCTATATGGTCGTGGAACTTCCACGGTCGTGAGCTGTTGTTTTCACGCCAACAGCAATCCGAGGACACATTTAAACAAGAATCTGAAGCAACAGAAGGTGGCTAAAGCCGTGTGAAAGATGAAAAAGTAATTTAGGCGGTAAACTCACGAACCATTGGCAAAAGTCGAATGGCACAAAAAGAAAAACGAGAGAAGTAACAACTGGGAGCTTTGATCATACCGGTGTCTCATTATGAGGAGATGGGTTAAGCGAAACAATTCCCAATCACATCCGTCTGGAACAATGATCGCTTAGAAGACAGCCCACGCAAAAGCTCTCGCTTTAACTTCAGCCTACCTGAGCTTGAGGCTTAAGCATCAAAGGAAGCTCGTTTCCACTCACTTAGTTCGTCAAGTTCGTATTTGTTGAGTGAAGATGCGCGAAAGATCTGTGGCGGACCTGGTGATGTTTAAATATTAAATGATCCGCCGGTTACAGAATCCTTCCTTTCCCTCCATTTACCCGCGATTTCCTCTCGCCGGTGTTTCAATGCCGCAGGCAATATCTATCGTTTTGTTTTGGCTGCGCTCTCTCGTTGGATCGAGTACCGAGCAAATACAAAGAAACGAAACACCCTGGGGGCTGGGAAGGGGGAAGAAGTCGAAATCGGAACGATGCCGGTTAATAGCGATGAAGAAAGGGCGAGGAGTTTTCAAAAGTGAAAACCCGATATGTTTAATGGGCCGCGACGACCCGCGCTGCCAACCGACGGGTTTAATTGCGGGGAAATTTATGTGTGAATATCGGCAAATATTGCCCTTCAAAGGCCTTCAAATTCCTTGTGCTTGACGGACTTGTTTGCTCAACAAGTTTCCCCAATTGCCCGTTTTTTCAAATTGCTTAATTAACTTTATTCTTTTTTTAGTGCCGCAATTTATCATTTAGTAATAAAGAGTAGGGTAATTTAGATAATCGAGCAGGCGGTTGTCTTTCCATGCAAGGCGACCGCACCGTAATCCACACCACTCAGTATCTTCTCCAATTCCGCGTAACCGTCAATGCTATTAACGTTTTCGTCTGAAATGGACGAATAAATGATTAGCAATTTAATTCCCTACCTCTGGGCCGATTAATAATCTCCCAGATACTCTTCTTGTACGATTTCTTAACGTAATATGTGGGCATAGGCTCAAAGTCAGCGATTTGCGTCATCCCACGCGATTCCAAGTCAAATCGCCCTGTGGTTTCGGCCGCTTGGCGTGTGGCTTCTGTGATGATAATGCGACCACCCGATGCATCTTGAGGCATACGCATGGCCACGTTCATGCAATCACCATAAACGGCATATCTTCAATGTAAAGATACGTTATTTGATGGGCATTGGATTCAAATAGAATAATATAATACGTATAATATAATACCACAAATTCAACAAAAAAATGTCATCCCCGAACCTCATATGCTTTTCGCCGACAACGCCAGCAATCACAGAGCCAGTATGAATCCCGCATCGAACTCTCAAGCTCTCTTCTTTCTTCGAGTCCATCACAGCTCTTGCCTTCCATTCCAGCCCCAAAGCCACATGGATCATGGTCTCGGCGTGGTCGAGGGTGGGCTCGGGAACACCGGACACACAAAAATAGGTTTCGCCGATCTAAACACAATTCTCGAGAAATGTTTCCAGCCTTACACCCGCAATGTTGTAAATGTCGTGCAGGTGAACCAAGCGATCGAACCGGCTGAACAAGTCGTCGATGATATTGATGACCTGGCTCGGCTTGTATGTACTCAAAAGGTCTTGGAATGTGGGAACGTCCACATACATTACAGTCACCATGTCAAAAACTCCTGAAATATTGGAACACTATATTTCAAGGGATATCCCTGAAGACTTATTATAATACAATCGTTCGGCAAGACATGAAGTCCTCCTTACTTGCTGGAACATGTTTCCCCTGTGATATTTGCGATGCGACTGCACCAGGCAAAATGTCATGCTTCAAGGCCTCCAGAAGCTGCTCCTTGCGCGCCAGCTCTTCTGCGAGCGCTTCTGCTTCTTGCGTTGACTGATCAAGTTTGAGGCTGAATTTCAATTACATTAAATGAGCGAAATGTCTGGCTACAGTGGGGGACCTGATCCAGTGGCAAAAAACGTACCATTCTGCATCCGCGAAGCATCAAAAATGTGGCAAAATGCCTCCCCTTCCAAGTGAAAAAACTTCGTTTTGAAGGGCGCGCTCTTTCCTTCACAAAAAGAGCGGCCGCGCTTTTGAAATCGGAGTTTTTTCGCTTGGAGAGGGAGGCATTTTGCCACATTTTTGATACTTCCCGGATGCAAAATGGTACGTTTTTGGATGTACGCTACTGGATCAGGTCCGTAGTATAAGTCTATCAAACCCTACTGGTCTTCAACATCGCTCATTCTTTGCTGATTTAGTAGGATAAGATCCCGAGTAGAGTCATGCAACGGGAATGATGACAGCTTCAAACCAAACCGATCCAACTCGCTGACAGTTCGCACGTAGGGAGAGCAAAGATAAATAAGATGGTCGTTGTCGATGAGAATCATTTGCCCCTTTAGTTTAAGATGCTGAGCGTTTATCATTGCCGGTTCAACGGGATCTGAGCTACACGAAAAAATTGGAATATCATTCATAGACTTACGAATGCTGTGAGTTTTTTGAGCCGTGCCCTTGACTCGCTTGCTGTTGATTCTGAACTAACAGCGGAATAGAACGGGATTGCAAAACAAACACTCCATTTATAAAGTTGCAAATGTTTTCGAATTCAAGAGTGATTTGGGGTCGATGGATTTCGAAGATACGTGAAATTGGCGTTCCTGGCTAGAACAATTCCTTTAGATTCGGTAGTCAAAAAAGCGTGTAAATATTACATAAGCATATGTACTTACCTGTAACATTTCCTCCGAAATATGCTCAACAAGTCTGCTTCCAACTTGTACCAATTTGCAGTCCCTGTCCACAACAAAATGATAAGGCATTAAATGTTGAAAATCATCGTGGTTTACATGGAGCTGCCATTCGCCAGTGTTATCATTTTGGATTATTGGCAGGTCGCGCAAAGAGTTTACGGACCCATCCTCTTGCTTTGTCTAAAAAAGTACTTTGTCTGACAACTTGTGAAACGCCGCGCATTTATGTGGTCCGTTACCATTTTTAAGGACCTCCAGAGGACTTACGGCAATATTGAATACAACATGCTCTTCCATGCGTTCACCGCTAGAAAACTGCACGACCTTCTGTGTGCGGCCTTGGATTGTTATTTCAATCTCGAGACCATACACTCGTTTTGCCAACTCTCTCAAAAGCCCTTTGACAATGGGGTACAATCCCGAGCGACTGCTAAGATAATGCAGTACGATTGTATTTCCGTCGCCTTCCTCGCACCGAAACGACGGTCCCTTCATGTTGGCCTTGTAGACAACATGATCAATAAAATAATGAAAGGAGTCCATATTGTTGAGGAATCCCTAAATGTTCATTTTTTGTTTTGACAAACACACTGCAAGCGTCAGTATATAAACCTTGGCCACAAAACTTGCCCGCAGATCTGGGCTTAAACTCCTCAACAACTCATCCCATCCGTTTTCCATTACGTATATGCAAAAGTACCTTCCATACTGTTCCCAGACTTCTTCTCGTGGGATGCCTGCAACAAAAGTGTGTCGCATGCTGCCGAAATTTTATTTTTCATCTAAACCATGCTTACGAGTCAACACACAAATGCTGGAGACCAATCCAAAAGTTGTTTGGTCATCATAATGCTGGTTTACGATTGCTTCTGTCCCAGCCTCAATCCCGACGTGCTCTCTAAAAACTGCCGCAATCTCCACACCGACTTACAGAATTTGCTTCCAAAAGTCCTCCCCGTGTGACTCCAGAATCATGCCCTTCAACGCGGCATGAATATAGCCATACTAAAGAGTTAATAAAGACGACGTTGACCTACCATTTCGAGAGCTTCTAGTAGTCAGCCGTACAAGCTCAATGAAATTTTTTTGGATGTTTTAATTGGCTTCAACAATAGTCTTCCATTGTTTAATCCGCCGCTGATATCGGATATATTATAAACACTTTTCGACTGCGTAAATGGCAGAATTTAACGACTTCTTTGCGTGCTTACGAATGCATAATCAACAGGCAAGGGTACGAGGCCGGAATTTATAACGAAACCCGGGAATCAAATGTTAAGGGTCTGAATTCTTTACCGAGTTAACAAGAGCAGATTTATTCCGATGGTCTGCATATAATACAAAATATGAATATTGAAGACTTCGATAATTCAAAATAATTTTGCTACATAATGCTGCATATCTTCGAAGTTTTGTCGAACGGTTTAGCGTCCGCCTCGATGCCCTCGTTTAGTTCGGCATATCCGTCGATGGAGTTGGAATTCTCATCCCGCTTTCTGTCAATTATTTCCCAGATGGACTTCTTCAGGCTCTGTTTCAGGAAGTAGGTCTCCATCATTCCTTTTCCCTTGACGGGAATGCTTCCACGGGAAACGAAAATGAATCGGCCCGTCGTCTCTGCGTACTCCTTTGCAATCGCGCTCATATGAATCCGTCCCTGAGGACTGTGACTTTCCATCCGTGAAGCTGTGTTTACCGTATCACCGAATAAACAATATCTAAAAATCGAAAAGGTTTTCGAGTAAAACCTCAATTTACCTCGGCATTTTCTGTCCCACAACACCGGCAACAATCGAGCCGGTGTGGATTCCGCATCGCACTTGAAACGCTTTGTTCAATATCGAGTCTTGGACAGTTCGTCCCTCGAAAAGCATCCCCAAAGCGACGTTGCAAATGCGTTCGGCGTGGTCCTCCATTTTTTCGGGAGCACCGCTCACCGTCATGTACGAATCTCCCACCGTCTCCACTTTGTAGGCCTTTAAAACAATGTTCTCGAATGTGTTTCTTGATTACCTCGTGCAATGTCACAAGCCTGTCGCACTTTGTAAACAAATCATTTAACATGGAGACAATTTGCGTAGGCTTGCACAACGCAACAACTTGTTGAAAACCGGGGACGTCTGTGAACATCACAGTGACCGCCTGGAATTCCTTCGGATCAACAGCTGATCCGTTCATTAGTTGTTCCGCCACTGAAACGGGAAGAACTTCTTTGAGAAGTTCGTCGGTTTTCTGCTTCTCCGATTCCAATTCCTTTGCCAGCACCTCCAGCTGTTCGTTGTTGGCTTCGAGTTGCAGGCTAAAACTCTAACAGTATGACGCACGCCAAACTGAGATAAGCTAAAACAGTCCGGTGTATGGATTGGTAATTTGCCAAAAAGAGACGCGAAAAAACGTTTTGTCGGGGAAGAAATGGGGAATTTTTGGGGCGAGAGAGTACGCCTTTGCGTGTCTTTTTTCTCTCTTTCTCTGCGAAATCAAGACCAAGTGTAAAAAACCGATGGCGAAGTGTCTATTCCGGTCACCGGACTCCTCAGTTTGACGTGTGACTCTGTGGTTTGTTTTCCTCTTAACAATCTAAAAATCAAACAACGTACTTTGCCTCAACATCACTGAGTCTTTGCTGGTTCAGCAAAATCAGATCCCTTGTCGCGTCATGCAGAGGCATTGCGCTGAGCCGCAATCCATACTGAAGCAGTTCAGGGATACTGGTGACATACGGCGAGCAAAGATAGATAATCTTGTCGTTCCCACTCATCACCATCATTTGGCCCTTTAGTTTCAAATGCTGGGCTTGAATTTGCTCATCGCCCTCTCTACAACAAACTGGTTATTCCTTTCCTTACTTCTCCTTTCTTCACATGCTAACAAAGAGCGCATCCCACACATTTGGATAGAGACAATTCGGGTAATGACAGTTTGGGTCAACGATACATCATTTATATGTAATAAATGATGCGCTTTTCGGAAATTGTATAAACTAAAAATTAAAATATCAAGACTACGGATACGACCTTCAAAATCAGCACCATCGATTAACTCAAACTGATGTATCATTGACCCGTTGATCTTATCTGGCGTTACCCGCTGCACGTCAATCCAAAATAAAAAAAAAAAAAATTTCCCGCCCCTTTTTGGTGATTCGTTCAAAACGAAATGTCACTATCCGATAAAAAGCATTTTCTTATCTTTCTTCTTCTTTTCGAGAGAAAGCAATTATTTCGGGCGAGAAAAAGTGCCGATAATTTCGCGACATTTCGTCTCTCTTTTAAATCAATGAAAACGATACGAAGTTTCGAAACGGTTCAGGAAATGCGCTGGATTGACGTGCGCTGGGCCATAAAACTCACTTCGCAGCATTATTCTGCACTTGAAGCGGCGAAGTTCTGACTTGCAAAACAAAAACCCCATTGATAAAATTGCAAATATTTTCAAAATCCAACGGAATTTGAGGACGATGGATTTCGAAAATCCGGACCACCGGAGTCAGATACTGAAGTAAGTCGGGGCTCACATGATGCCTGAAATTTTTGTTTCTGCATTTGCTTTTAACAGAGCCTACGCTTTCTGTACAAACTTACGCTAATGCTTTTCCGATCTGCAAAAGCCTACAGTCTCTATCCATGACAAAATGATAAGGCAGAAAGTTTACAAAGTCATTCTGCGTGATCCGCAGATCCCAGTCGTTGCTGATCTCAATCGTCGGTTGCAGAACAGCGTGGCCGGTCAACGAACGAGATGAGTTCAGCGATTCATCGGTTGAGTTGACTTGCTGAAATTTCGCGACAAAGTTGGATTGATTTGGGTCTTTGGAGAACAGCTAGTACCGCAACCAACCTTTATAATAAAAACCACATGCTCTTCGACGCGTTCGCCACTTGCTACCTGAACGCTGCGTTGGGTACGGCCACTGACTGTCATGCTAACCTCGATATTAAAGATCCTTCTCGCAACCTCCCTGATGACTCCTTTAACAATCGGATAGAGCCCAGCGCGGCCAGTAAAGTAGTGCAATGTAATGGTGTCGTCGTCATTTTCTTCGCATCGAAATGATGGGCCGCGAAGATTTGCCTTGTAGACGACATGATCAATAAAATAATGCAGAGAATCAAGGTTGTTGAGGAATGTCTAAAGAAACAAAAACGTGCACGCCATTAGGCTCGCCAAACCTTTAAGTCGGGACTTAAATATCGCATAAGCTCATCCCAACCCAATTCCATTGTGTATGCAATCAACTGAATTCCATACATTTCCCAGACATCTTCACGTGAGATCTCTGAATTGAAATAATTGTTATTCATCAGGCATGAAAAGAGGATTTGCAAGTTTAGTTGTTTTCGAAATATTTTCCAACCATAAATTTAACTTTTCCATATTTAATGACGATAGTTCAAGGGCCATCACAGCTACTCTTGCATCGCGCTTTTTTACGGCTCGGAAAACAAAATGTCAAAAGTTTTTTCGAAGTTCGATTCAAAAGTAGCTGTACTAGAGACGTTCGGATGTGGCCTTACTTGCTAACGAGCTGACTGCATCAACAATGGCATAGGTATCGGAATCAGGATAATAGTGATTCACAATGTTCTCCTTTCCCGATTCGAATCCTGCTTGGACCCTAAAACAATTTATCACTGAAGTTGTTCATAAGTTGACTCAATTCACAATGAGTCTCGAGGCAGAGTGCCTTTAAGCGCGCAAAAATTCCGTGGCGCCAAGCACAGTGGGAGACCTGATCCAGTGGCAAAAAACGTCCGATTTTGCATCTAGGAAGTATAAAAATGTATCAAAATACCTCCCTCTCCAAGCGAAAAACTCCGATTTCAAAAGCGCGGCCGCTCTTTTTGAGAGGGAAAGGGCGCGCCCCTCAAAACGAAGTTTTTTCACTTGGAGAGGGAGGCATTTTTCAACATTTTTTGATACTTCCCGGATGCAAAATGATACGTTTTTTGCTACTGGATCAGGTCCACCACTGTAGCACCTCTTTGACAGCTTGCGAAGCGTTCTCGTCGGCTTATGTCATGCCTACTGTATATCGAACTTACATCGCTTTCTTCCAAAATTCTTCCCCATAGGTCCTGATGAAGAGCTGGCGAATACTGTCGTGTATAAGACCAAACTGCAAAACGAATGAATAAATTTTTCTCACAACTGCTTCAAAGCGCTGAAAAAATAACGCAAGAACAAACCTACCATGCCGACTACACTGACCAGAGTGGAGATAACGTTGGATCGGCGGGCGTTAAGAGACGAATAATCAAGTGACTGCAAAATATTTTCCAAATAAATTGTTATTCCAGTCGCGAATCTCGAATTAATTATTGGCACGGAAGCTTCAGGGAATAGGAAATGATTTCACCCCACCTGCATTTCGTATGCCGGCTTTGCGGAAATAAGCGCGCCACTACGGCCATCCAAATAGCTAATCTCTTTTGCTTTAGCAATTGAAAGCCACGTGTGATCAAAACAATGTATAAGGAGTATTCAGCTGCTGCAAAAGTTCAGTGTCCATCCTTTCTGTTAGCGCCCATAGCAAGACTTGTAAGAGACGCCTACCTATTGGGTTACTGTCAGAAAATACAGGGTGTCCCAAAAAAAATGCGTGTTATTTTTATGGCTACATTTTATATATCAAACAAAATTTAGCCAAACTAACGATGGATATCAGTAACATAGAGGATTATTGATAACATATCAAGCCAGTTTCACAGTGGCTGCCCTTGGCGGCGATATATAGCTTCAAACGTAACTTAAAATTTTGGGCTCGGGGCCGCAGCTCTTTTCGGGGAAATCGGTCCCGTTCTTGGCGCAACGATTACTTTGTGACTCCAAACTTTTGTGGCGTGTAGTACAGGCATTGGCCTCCAATTTAAAAAAATATAGTCAATCGGATCCAGATCCGGCGAGCAGACGGCCATTTTGCGGACGAGGTGAAATCGGGAAAATCGGTCCCATTTCGGGTCCTGAGTCGATTTTGCCTTGTGAGCCGGCGCTGAGTCTAGCAGGAACGCCAGGTTTGCATTGCCGAGGTTCTGCTGAGTCAACACAAGTACGGGAAAATCAACATTAACGCGGCGCTAGAATTTTGCCCCCTTGATCCGAGAAAACCATGGAATTCTTGCCGCTGGGAGAAGTTCCGCCTTAGGCGATGACGGCCCGGATTTCGACGGGGTTCGACGTTAGCCGACGTGCCGAAGGCCTCATCTAGGAAGTTCCTATCGTTCTGGTGGCTGTGGATCCGCCAAATATTGAACCACGAACGAATGCGCTCACGTCTCTAAGCTGCGGCCCAGCCCTTGACTTTCCGACATTTTTCGCGCCGTACGCACTTGCCGTCTACTTTAAAGATCTGAGCTTTTTACAGCTTATACAGAGTAAGGCACAGCTCATCATAGACTATTCGGGTGACCGATCGGTCGCTGATGCCGATCTCACAGTCAATTTTTTCTTGAAAATAGCGTTTTGCTGTTGGTGATCTCCCGGTTGACAGAACCGCTGGCGGTGCGTTTTCTTTTACGTCCTGGACGCTTACTATCGTTATCAAGCTCCCTACATCGCGTGATTACTTTTGACACAACGTCCTTTCTATACTGGGCAGATTTACAACTTGAACGGCTCAAAAATAGTGACAAAATTGCAGTTCCTTTGTTTGACATTTTAAAAAACCACGTTAGTTAATCGATATGAACACGAAACTGAAATGTCTAGGACAGAAAAACACGGAGATTTTAGTAGTACAAAAATCTTTTGGCCTAACCTAAACATTTTCGCGTCAGGACCCATGGAAAAAAACATGCATTTTTTTTGGGACACCCTGTATACTAGCCGCAAGACATATTTTTCTGACTAAAAAAATCTTTTTGCTCAGTGAGATTGCAACACTGTTTTTCGATGAGAAGTGCCTCTAAAGAGGAAAATTACCACCGTACGGTACTATATATTTAAAAAAGAAACAATCAGAAAAAATGGATATGATTTTTGAAATCGAAGATACCGGTTACCTTTCCAAAGACATGCAAGAAAATCATCAATACATGTACACATACTACATACTACTCTTCTGAGTCCTTACGATTCCTTGCATGTTTAATTAAAAAATGTTAGAATACACTAGATAGCAGATTTACAAATTAGTGTTTAATTATTCGGAGGGGATATTGCAGATATCAACGATTACGCAAGTCAGATTTACCATAATTATTCACTGTTAGGAATATGCGGTGGCCGGTTTGAAGCAAATTAGGATTAATCCAGCAAAAATAGAAACTGCTCCATAAAATATGCTAACGTCCAGGCGAACCCGGAATATTTCAATCGTTGAGAAAATTGGCTAACCAAACGTAGTATACATCGCATACTGTATTTGTTAAGGTCAAAAATAAACAAACTAAAGCCAGCACGCTTCAAATTTTTCTCGGCCTTGTCGATAGAAGTGAATACCTAACGTGCAGTTGAAGTTAGGCCTGCAAATTGGTGTATTTTGCAAAAAATCTTCTCCCATTGAAAGTCGTTGTGTGTCCAGAACAGACAAATCAATCAATGGATTTTAAAGAGCTTTATTTAAAAATTGGTAAAAGAATAAGTTAAAAAATTTATTTGAAAAATTTTTTTGTTTGTTTGCAAATTCTACCTTCCGGGCCTACGGGCGAAGCGGTCAGGCCCGCAAAGGGTTTTTTCAAGTCGGCTCACCGGCCCGTTTGCGCAATGTCGTTGACCCAATCTGTCGTTGAACCGAGCTATCCCTGTCCCAAAATGTCGGGACGCGGAAAATTGCACAGTGCAAGAGATCTTTTGGTCACACAGCGCGGGTCGCCAAAAAACGAATTTGCGAAATCTGCCCAAACGAAGCGTTGCCGAAAAGTTTGTCGCGACAATCAATGTTGAAATTTCGTCATAAGAGCGATGGGAAAAAAATCTTTATAATTTTTTCTCCCCCCCCCCCGTTTTTCCTTTTTCTTGGGCAATGGTGGCCACCCGGGCCCGTTTAGGCCCGTTTCGATATCTCGTTGGAGAAGAGATATCAAAAATCTGATAACGTTTCTAAGGGTCAGCACCCTTCTAAACCGAGGGCTAGCCGAAGTTTCAAAGCCATCCGGTTACTCAGAAAAAAGCGCGGGATTTTGTTTTTCAAATAAAACGGGCCGATGCGGGCCTAAACGGGCCCTGTTCTTGGGGAAATGGGGTCTTAGCTAAGATGTTAGCCTTATAGGTCTTTAACATACTACATTCTCTTTTGGTTTATATCACATTTCTAATTTTTGTCGAAAATTCGCGAAAATTTTACATTCCTGTGTCGTTCGTTAGTCTGGTTTTTGCGTGCTCCGTTTTTTATACTTGGTATTCCAGATGGCTGCATACATTTATTTTTTGGATATGGGAGCCGTAATGGATCAAGTTTTCGTCTGCCGGATCCCTCCCGTGGTCTCGTCCTATTATGAGTTGGAGATGGAAGTGCGAAGACAACTCCAGCTGGAGCCGCATTTTCTGCTGCTCCATACGAAATGTAAGCTAGCGATGAATTGCTTTGCGGAGTTCTCGGATCCTCCGCCGTTCAAGAGCCATGGCGAGTTTCAATTGGCGTTTGGAACGAAGAAAATGCTTGAGACTGTAAGTTTTCGATTTGAAGTTTGAGTAATTTCTCTTTGCCGTTATGATTGGATGTATGGCGCGACTTAAAACTTTCAAAAAAAGGGCTTTTGCCTTGTGTTTCTTCTTGACCTTTTATTTGCAGTGCCCTGATCTTCCCCTGAAACCGGAAGTTGTTGCGCAGGCGCATGGCTTAATGGAGATCAAGAAAGAAATCCTCGAATCCGAAGAAGAAGTGGTCTGGCTACCTAATCCTCGCGAGCCGAAAGTGTTCAAGATCCCTCCGGGTCAAGATCAGCCAACGAACCAGCCGTCGACATCCGCCGCGGGTATTTCGAAGTTTGGCTCCCCGCCATTTTTAAACGAATACAATTTTGTGGATTCCAAGGTAGGAAGTTGAAGTTTTTTGTTTGACAAGGAAAGTACTTCTACGGGGTATGGAGTTACAGGTCTATATCAAAAAATTCGCAAAATTGTTCTGATTTAGAATATGGAAAAATAAGCTGCCTATTTTTGGTTTGTAAGGGTGAAAAAATCCTCTGAACTTTTCTCGCAACACCACGCAAATGCCTTTTTGACTAACAGGGGAAGTACCCCAAGTGCGACGCTCAGATTTTGATGAAACTTGGTACAAATTTAGAGTATTTTTTTCTAAAATATATGCGAGAAACCTAGCTCGCGGTTTGCAGAGACAACCGATATTTTTAGTTCGAAAGTTGGCGAAAATTTGACACTTTTTGCCGAATTTCGGCACGAAAAGTTTTATGCCTATTTCTACCATAGAGGGTAATGTTTCCACAAAAAATCAATTTTTTCCGCACGAAGGCGAAGTTATGAACAAAAATTGTTTTTCTCTCTGACCGCCCTCCGCGTTTCGCGTGCTCTCTGCGGCAAAGATCGTTCAATATCTCGGCTGCACATGCAAAGCGCGAGCTAAAACTTTCAGGAATTAATGCTTAGTCCATGACCGATGTGTGTGCAAAATTTGAAAAAAAAATCTGAGCGTCGCACTTGGGCTACTTCCCCTGTAAGTTTTTTCCAAGTCAAATGCGTGTTTTTGAGCTAAAGTAAACTGTTGTATCTTGACAAGCCTTAAAATATCAAATTTAATTTATACTACACCTTAATTAATAACCGCAATGTAAAAAAGGCGCATTTGCATGCTGTTGCGAGAAAAGTTCATACGATTTTTTCATCCTTACAAACCAAAATTAGGCGGCTAATTTTTACATATTCTGTATCAAAAAAATTTTGCGAATTTTTTGATATTAGACAGAGAGGTCCGCAAAACGAGCTTTATGTTGCTTTTTCATGGTCTTCAGATGGATCAAAGAACGATGGATGGAGAACGCGTGCCGCCAGCGTCGTCCACTGTCGAAATTCAAACAACCCCGATCTTCGCCCCACCATATACATCAACCCCGATTTCTGCACCGAGAGGAAACATACGGAGATTCACGGCAGAGGAACGTCGGATCCAAGAAGAGCTGAAGAAACATTCACTGATCAAGCTAATCATGGCGTCTCCGCGGCATGCTGGCCTACTTTATCAGCTTGAAGACAATCAACACCCGCCCATGTTCTATACCGCTTTGTCGGAAGTTTTGGCGTGGTATATTGTCCAGAATTCGTAAGTTTTTTCCTTGGCGGACTGGAGTTTGAATGGTTTGAAGTAATTCGCTACTATCATTCCGCCAATTCACGCATGATGATTAATTTTCAGCCCCTTCCACACCAAAGCAACGGCGTATCCGATTGTGGAACATCTTCTCCGTCCCCATCCCACCATTTTGATCAGTCATCTCTTTGGCCCCGATTCTTTTCGATTGGTGGCCCGTTTCAAATGGGTTCTGCGAAAACTGTCCAATGCTCACAATACAGTGTAGGTTTTGTGGAAAATTTATTGTATTAAAGATTGTGCTGGTATCATCATTCCCCTTTCTTGGCAATACCCGCAAAGTCGGTGGTGAACATTTCTGTTAGGGCGGCGAAGAAGCCAATGGGAGCGGGGTGGACACTGTTCTCGGATTTTTCTGCCTCAACGGCTTTGGGTTCTTCAGCGGGAACGTCTTGTACTTGGTCGTCCGTTTTTTCGGTCGAGTTTACTTTCGATAACATTGTGGCCAGTGCTTTTGTGGCCTAAAAAACAGTTTTTAAGTTTAAAAATTGGTGTTGAGTGTGATCGAATTTCAAGTCGGAAATATACCAAAGCTCGCCCTTTTTTTATCATACAGGATGGACCACCAGGACCTGGGATGTTTGTGTTGCTAATAACTTGGGAAATAATGGCCCAAAAATTTTTTTTTTAATTATGGAGTTCGAAAAACCCACGGGGGATGTTGCAATAAAAGGTTGCATCGCCAAAGGATCCCAAAAATAAAATTTTTTCGGCTTCGTGGAAGTTGGACTGAAATAAATTGGATGGAGTGTGGAAATTGCACAGATTTTTTTCACTGCAAAAAAATAGTTATCCAAACTTGTTCAATCTGAAAAGCCGGGCTCACAAACCCTTCGTATCCTTTTATATTTTACACTACCATGGGGACCCACTTTCGGCCCAACTCGTTGCCAGTAATCTTTATTAAAACTCACAGTTTCCTGATTTAAAACGGCATTTTCGTCCAAATTCCGGCGTTGCTTTAACCCAGACATTTGAGGTGACCAGAGACGAATTTAAGGAAGGAAAGGTAATTCCACCAAAGGTTTGCGCGATGAGGAACAAGTCAAGTGACAATGAAACAATAGGGGAGTTCGTTTTTCGAGGGTTCAACATTTTTTAACAAGATGTTTTTGGACAATAAAAAAAACTATGACAAGTTGAAAAGAATTCTGTTCGTCGCACTCGAAAACCTTCCCTTGTCAGTGTAGGCTTCTGACCAACAGTGTGGTATGTATAAAATGGCTTAACTCTCCTACAATGTTGGGTTGCACTTAACATGTTTGCCGTGTTTTTATGAAGTTGTTCGTATTCTAACCAACGGAACGAGCTTGAAACCAGTAATTGGTTTATTTTTGTCTTTCATCTAAAAATAGAGCGGAATTCCTCGCGGTTATAATCTTCAAAGGTTGCGTATTCTAGTTTTCGTCGGTGATCTTTGAAAAGTTTTTTATGAGGGAAACCGTTTTCTACTTAGCGGTTTGATTTATTGATGAGGTGCATTTTGAGATGGACTTATAGGTCTTGTGTCGGTCCGCTGAAGGGCCGGGCGACCACTTTTGGCACGCGGATCACGTTGATGCTGTCTAGTCGCTGAAGGAAAACTTGTAATACTTGAAAGGGAAGAAATGAATCTCTTATAAATGAACATACCGAATGGTTCTCCTACATATTAAAACTCAGTTAATTTTGCTGTCGTTTTTATAGTTTTTAAAAGCTTGAGTTAACGACCAAATTCCGTTAATGGAAGTTGGTCGGGATCTTCAGATTTTCTTAAAATTTTCCGTACATAAATTTAGCACGTTTTTGTCAGCTGCGCAGCGTGAATACAGGACTCTCTCGTCTTAAAATGACGATTGCAAATGTGTTTCTTTGCTCAATAGTCAAATTGAAAACTTTGCACATCTCAGAGAAAAGTGAATATGAACGTACGCAAAAGGTTGTCGAAACTTGGATTCACATCACGCTGACTTCCCTTGCACTTTAGGAAGACGCGCAATACCTTTCAAGTCGAAACTAATAAGTGGAGCCTCCTGGAGAGTAATTTATCATTGAATGATCAAACACAGAGTTAGTTTGAAGTTTACTCGGACGCTTCATCTTTTGTTGTTGATGGTGTATCTACAGTACGGCTTAGTGTAGCTTGCTCTACGCGGTCGAAGCTATTTGTCTTTGCGATTAACCATATCCCCATCACATGAACTACACGTTGTTTTTGGTATGCTGAGCTGTCGTGTCGGCGAAATATGAAAGAAAGTCGTTGATTTAACGACCGTTTTACACTTTGATCTTTGGCTTTCAGTTCTCTGAAATCGACTCTTACAGTATTTGGCCCGGTTTAATGCGAAGTTTAATCAAACAATACGGTTAATTGCGTCTTTATTAACAATTCGATTTTGTACAGTAATCAAGGTATAAACATGAGATTCTTTCTGAGGTCTTCCGTCTGTTAGCCGGTGCTTTGCAGTCTAGCCGAAGAATCCGTAGTTGTAGTAGGGCGAGTATCCTCGGTAGTAATTGTTGTAGCTGGTGTATCGAGGAGGGCCTTGGTAAGCCAGGTCTCCTCCAATAGGATCCAGTATGGTGCCCGAGCCTGTCCAATCCGATTGTGCGGAAGTTGAGTGCATACAAAAGATGGCGAGTACCAGAAGAATTAATAAAGTTTTCATCCCGAAGAACAAGAAATTAGAAGCGTCGCTGTGTGGCTTAATCTACTGACCATCGACGAGTTTATATCTTATCCGCGCTCGGGGCGTGTCCGTCCGCACGCTGAGCAGTTGTGGTTACAAGATTGATGGGAAGGTGGAGCAATCGATTTGTCCGAATGTACATTTGGTTTACCATAAGCCGTTGGCATTTGTCGGGTATTTTGGAAGCATCAAGCCTCCAAGCGGCTTACAGCTGCATTTGTTTGGCAGCCAAAAAGAAAAGCTGCTTAGCTGCCTGATAACAAAAACACATGATTCTTCATGAGACGCAATTTTATGCGATGATTTTTCCTTTTGCTTGAAAGCGTTACAAACGGAACGTTTTAATGATTCTTTTCCGGCGCATTAACTGGCAGAAATTTCCAGCGGTGTGCTAACAAGGGAATGGTTTGAACTGTCCGTGAGCTTTCAACATGAGACCCACAAATTCTGAAAGAGCGTAAAAATTTTAGTAGGAATCCGTTTTCCGTTTTTGCCGAATGGTCTTGGGACGGTCGATTTTTATCGACCAGTTTTAATATATTTATGTTACAGTAATCTTAGAAACTTAATTTTCAAAAAATTGAATGCTCAATCACCAAAAACGTATATATCCAGAATTTCGAGTCATTACCTCTTTTTATGACGCCGTGAGGCATAAAATTCTAAAAAGGACAAATTTACGCATATTTATACCTTCCCGGCAGAATTTGGGAAAAATATTTTGGGCGTTTGTTAAACACATGTCTACAGTCATTTTATACCAAAAAATTCAAAATCGACTTTTTCGTAAATATACACGCAGTCCACTATACGCTGACGCAGGGACCCAAAAATTGTCTTTTCAACTTTTTTTGCAAAATTTTAAGAAAAGGTGAAAATTTGACAATATTCTTTTCTGGAAACTCGAAAAAATCTGCAAGTTCCTGAAAAACCTTCTGGAATGGTCCAAAAAAATTGTTAACGTACCAGAAGATTGACAAATGGTATCATTGAAAACTCAACAATGTTGCCAAATTGTTAATTTTTTTTGAAATTTTGCAAAAAAATCTGTAAAACACTTGAATAAATTTAAAATTTTTTTTACATAGCTATAGAATACAGTAACGGACATGCACGTCCAAGCCGAGGATATCCGTTTCGGCTGGACTCGAACCTCCAAGACCTCCCTCGGCCAAAAGATTTGTGCGTGGAACTTTTTCCACTAGACTAATTGGTGACGCTTTTCTGAGCCTTTCGGTTCATCTTTTCTCTCTTTCGATTCTTTTTAGTCGGATCTTTCTGTCGATATTTCTCGTCTCCCAAGACCATTCGGCAAAAACGGAAAACGGATTCCTACTAAATTTTGTACGCTCTTTCAGAATTTTGGGGTCCTATGTTGAAAGCTCACGGACAGTTCAAACCATTCCCTTGTAAGACGTATGAAGTTGTTTTGAGAAAATATAATACAAGTTCCGTGTTGACATTTGTTGACAAGATTTGGATCGTAGTGAGACCAGCTAGCCAAATGGTCAGCTGAAACGCCTCCAGATGGTTTTCTTTGCGTCGGAAAACTCCACAATTACTCAGAAAGAAGTGTCGAATCTTCCGAGTTTACATCCTACTTATAACAAAGGCTTTTTTAAATTTTAATGTTACGTCTACCGTGACAAATCAGAGTTCTTACATTGCTTTACAATCCAGTAATTTGTTTTTCAAACATCTTTTTCGTTCTCATTGTAATCCTTGTAGACGGTTTTCTGTTTACTCACAAGGTTCGGAATCGACTTCTCCACCGGAAAATTGTATTCGATTTACTTTACACACGATGAAGGGAAATAATTGTAACTTGGTGGCGATCGTTGACCGAAAGTTCACGAAAATTCCTTAGGGATTCGGCGTTCGGGTGCAAACGCACTCAACGAGACATGGGTGTAAAAACAGGGTGATTAAGCGGGTGGTCATGGGAGTTGGTTCTATCCGTCGCCGCTTTCCAACGATTTCCACTGGGTTCATGGAATGCGATGACAAAAAACGACGGGAGAAAAATTTAACAAGGAGTTATGGGGATATAGAGTTTAATGTTCAACCCATTTTAATTTTAAACTTCCGACTTACTGCCGGTTAACAGCTAAATAATTTGAACTATTTGGGCGTCATCTTTTGAGCTCTTGCAGTTTCCAATGTCAACAATGTGATCGTTGATTCCAGCTAGCCCTAAAAGCAGGTAGAAATCACGAGGAATTCATTCAACGTTTCTGTTCCCAAAATCGGCTTACCAAACATGAATGCAAAGAAAATATTTTCGTAGATTCCAGGGCATGGAAATAAGTCAGTGTACCGGGCAAGAGTAAATAACTGAAAAGAAGAATTTGAAGTGTGGCAGGGCAAAAGATAAGTCTGAGTTCCTAAGAACTTACTGCTCCAAGACTGAGTAAAATCGTCGATTCCACGATTGCACGAAGATTACACTGAAATTGAGAAACTTCACTATATGCAGTCAGGCCCGCAAAATATATTGGCAGCTACTGTACATACATATAAGGCCTTTTTTTAATTCCGAAAGCTTACCAATTTCGAATTTTCATTTTCCACAATTTTTTCAAATTCATCAGCATTCTGCCCACTTTGACGATTACTGCAGGTATATGCAATTGTCACAGCTGTATGCACAGCGCCAAAGAACATCACAACGCACACTATTGGCAGAGTATCCATTCGCTTTGATTCTGCAACTCCTTGTAGCATAAAAACAAAAATTGAAAGTAGAATGACGGTGGCCATTAGCAGAATATCCTCGCGAGTGCAGAGGTGTTGCGAAGATTTTTTTACAGCCGTTTTTTTGGCTTCAATGTTGGCTGGCAGCAAAAGTGATCGAAGAGTGGCAACCACCGACACAAAGACATAATCGACCAGGAGCACTGAAATGCCAAAACATTTATTTTTGACTCTAAAGAGTGTGTCCAATTTTTGGCACTGAAACGCTGTACTTTTTGCACAAATATCTTCAAAAATAAAGCTTAAAATGACTCACCGATTCTGAAGAATCCACTTTTTTGAAGGTTGCATCTTACGTCCTCAATTATTACAGCCGATAACGCTAGAAGAACAAGGAACGCTACAACAAAACGTTGGTTTTAAGTGAAGATACATCGTAAACTTTTCTTTTGCTACAACTTACTTTTGAGAAACCAAATTACACCTTTGTTCTTCGAAAACAGCGAGCATATTACGAAAACTATCTAAAAAAATTTTATTATCACACATGCATGACATGACTTACGGCAAATATAAAAGTAAAACAAAAAAGGAAAGCGTTGAGAGTGTGGGTATGATCAAGAATTAACATCGAATTCATGCCGTCAAACACCGACCAAACAGTCTTGTGCAATAAGACCGCTAGACATCTATTACTTGAAGAAGAGACATAGCTTACGGTAATGTTTATATCGTGGGGTGTCATCCCGACCGACACTAATCCCCCCAAATCTTCCTCTTTCTTCGGCTAATTGCGGCGTCTTGCACAGGCATTGGTTCTTTCGGGCAATGCGAAGAAGAAGATTCGGTAATTGCTTTCATTACATATCAGGTCCCGGCTTCGACCTACGATCATACTGTGGATGATTGGTCTTGGCCTTTTTGTGCAGGACGTAAACAAATTGGGGCGTTTTGAATTTGGCGAAGCTTTCCGTTAATGTTTTTTTTGAGATTGTTATAGCTTACAAGCGAAGTACCCCAAGTGCGACGCTCAGATTTTCTTTAAATTTTGCACACACGTCGGGTATGGACTAAATATCAATTCCTAAAAGCTTTTTTTGCTTATCGAACAATTTTTGCCGCCGAGAAAGCACGCTAAACGTGGAGAGCGGTCAGAGAGAAAATGGCTTTTTTGGCCACAACTTTGCCAGTTTCGTGCGGAAAAAATTGATTCTTTGTGGAAACATTACCCTCTATGGTAGAAATAGGCATGAAACTTTTCGTGCCGAAATTCAGCAAAAAAATGTTAAAATTTCGCCAACTTTCGATCAAAAAAACTCGGTTGTTTTTGCAAAGCGCGAGCTAGGATTCTCGCATATTTTTTAAAAAAAAATATTCTAAATTTGTGCCAAGTTTCATCAAAATCTGAGAGTCGCACTTGGAGTACTTCCCCTGTGAGCTAACATAAGAAGTGGAAACCAAAAATCAAATGTAATATTTGGTTTGCTAATCTGTGACATTCCACGACTTGAGTTTACTTTGATCACCTACAAACGTCTCGCTTGCATATCTTTCGATTACATCATAACATCATTTTATCAGAAGTGTGTACTGCTAAATGAGGCTTGATTCTTTGTTTTTGTCGTTATCATCTGCGATGCCACCCAGTGTGTTAGTCCTTATAAGATGTTTGTCTTTATATAGGGATTTTTTCTAAATCCCCTATACAAACATGGACGGCTTTAAGAACGGCGAAAACCACAGTGTTTTTCACATTCCGCGATACCATTTTGCATGATGAAGTTTGAAGGAAAAGTTGTAATTGTGACCGGTAAATTTTAAGGGCAACTCATTTTTATCTGCATGTATTACGGTAGTCATGTAACATTTAGGATCAAACTCTGGAATTGGAAAGCAAACAGCCTTTGAGTTGCTTCGAAAAGGAGCAAAAGTTACAATTCACGGCCAAAACGAGCAAAAAATTTCGGTATGTTATTTATGCCTCGTTTCCACTATAGAAGAGAAAAATATGCTTCATAAACAATTTCCAATTTACAAGGCTTTCACTTTAGGACGCCATATCTGATTTCAAGGCCAATGGAATATGTGAGGATAGTATTCATTACGTCATTGGCCCAGTTCAAGACCCACAAACACAGAAGCGGCTGATCGCTGAGACCGTAGAAAAGTTTGGCAAACTCGATGTTCTCATAAATAACGCCGGCATATCGCATGATAAGAGCTTGGGAGAACATTCCGCCGAGCAATTTCACAAAGTCATGGGTATAAATGTGGAAAGGTAAGCGTTAAGTTGATGAGTGGCCGCAGAAGTTGAGAGAGGCTTTATAGACGGTAAAAGATAAGAGATTTTGCAGAGATTTTTGGACAGACTGATATTATATTACTTTACTATGGGTGATTTTTTGTTTGACATGGGGATTTCAGCGTTCTCTCATTGAGCCGCCAAGCTCTGCCTCACCTCGAAAAGACCCATGGGAATATTGTCAACATAAGCTCTGTGAGTGGCCAGCGCGCTGCCCTTTTCTGGCAGTTCTACCGTATCTCCAAAGCCGCTTTGGACCATGCGACAAAAATCATGGCTTACGATTTCGCTCGAAGCGGGGTTCGGGTGAATGCGGTTAGCCCGGGCGTTATAAAGACCAATTTCATCGCAAGAAACACGACGCTTGAAGAGTCGGATGCGCAATTCAAAAACTACGAGTCATATGTCCCAATGAATCGACTGGGGACGTTGCAGGAAATTTCCAACGTAATTTTATTCATGGCTTCGGAGTTGGCCTCGTTTATGACTGGAGCAATTGTGGTGGTCGACGGAGGAATGCTGCTTGGCCCCGCGATCAAGAAGGACTGATTTCTGGGGAATCAGCCGTAAATGTTTTCGCAGTTTTTAGGAGCTACCTTTCGAAAACTTTCTAGTCATTTTTTGGTTTCAATTTATTGCTCAGAGAACGATGAACCGATTGATCAAATCAAGAATTTTAATTGCGTTTATATACTTGAGAAGGTTTCTTTCTACTCGAATAAAATTAAGATTAAAGGCGAGTTTGGCGTTTCTAGAGGTGCGCGCGTTGACCGTTGACGCATCGGCCTGAGTTCTTCCAGATATCCTGAAAAAAGTTGATGATCTTAGCAAAAAAAATTCATGTTTTAAAAGGCGAAGGGAAAAACTTGCAATAAAGGTCAGATTTGATTCGAGTCCCATTCGCTTGGCGCGCTTCTTATTCATGTCAACAACCTCTTTGGCCAGCTCTTCGGCAGGAGTGCCGGCTACATCAAAGTAATGGCATCTCGAACCGTTCGCATAATGGCAAGAAATCGCTCTCCTACTTCCCTGCGATCGATTCGCGCCAGAGCCGTGCAAAAGAAGGGGATGGAAGAAGACCGTATCTCCCGCCTCCATTTCTACATGAACTCGAGCCTGACTTGGATCGTAGTCGTGCACGCCGTAGTAGGCTTTGTTCACACCGCCCTCCCAATCCGGATATTTGTGGGGAAGCAGTTTTCCGGTCGTTTTGTGGGTTCCTGGGACCACAACTAGGCATCCATTTTCTTTGGTGACCTTCTCCATGGCTGTCCAGCCACAGCAGATAAAGTTTTCTGGACCGAATGGGAAATACAGCTGGTCTTGGTGCATTGGGTGACGAGACTTCAGCGAGCCGGTGTCTGGTGGCTTGTTGATCAGCATCGTATGCATTGCCATGATCCTGTCATTATCTCCGCCAATCAAATCTTCGACCACTTCCACCACCTAAAATATTGTCCATTTTAAACGGCTCAGAATCACAATGTCAAGTTCGCTTGTAAACTTACATGTGGGTGCTTGCAATAATCAAACAAGACCGGGTCAACGTTGAAATCCTGAAGCTTTTCGACGACAAATTCAATGTTACCCTTGTCCTTCCAATCTCCTTTCATGACAGTGATTTGGGGATGGACGTTCTTTCCCTCAGAGATCTCCAGGAAACGCTTACTATAAAATGCAAATTTTAGGCATACAATTCTTCTCAAATCTGCTTACTTGAACCGTTTCAGATCGGCTTGCGGGACGCAGTTTTTGATTAAAATAAAGCCGTTTTTATCGTAGAACTCGAGCTGCTCGCGAGTGAGGACTCTGCCATCTTTGAAGCGCGGATTCTAAAAGGGTTACACATTATTTTAAAAAGGCCATAAGCTTTGGGTCCGCATAAAATTGGCTTGAAAAACATACGGTTAATTCCAATCCTGACATTTTATAAAAGTTGCAATCACGGAAAAAGCACAGGGACTTTCGGGGCTACCGTGTTGAAGCAGTCTGTTAAATTGCTTAAATACCCGCAATTAACGTGCCTCCTTCTCAAGTTACCCGCAATAACATGGGCCGACTACGGAAAGTGTAGCAGGTCAAGTTGCGATGTTACGCAGTGTGACGCGGACCAGCGACTAAATTAATTCGAAGCTCCGCTGAATGTCATGTTTCATCAATGTATGCTGATACTGTTGTTGTGGTGGAGAACATTCTAGACGATCCTTCCTTGTTTTTGTCTTGTAAATCGAAACGCCTTTTCAGAGATATCATGTCTAAAGTTTCATCTTAAGACTGTCAATGGTCGCCTGAAAACCGAAACTTTTTCTGTATATTTTCGATAACTTTTACTGTTTTAGAGCTTCGGACAGCTCTGGGACTACTGCGTAGTGTGTATCACAAGTAAGTTGCGGAGTTTGTGTTTCCACACGACTTGAAAAAAAAAATATTAAACGCTTTATTTTTTCCGATTTACAACGAATAACAGAGGACCGATATGCAAACAAATCACGTTGAGCAGGAGCATATTCTGTTCACAGAGTTATGGAATATCAAACTATACAACACGACAACTGGGGTTTGAAAGGAGGAGGTCAAAAAAGGGGAAAGACTCAGAATTCCGAAAAATTTCAACCTTTCAATTGAAGATTAATTTATGATACGTTAAAGTTGGCCTCTTCTTCAATTTCCTCATCATCAAACCCCATAGTCTGGTCTCTCAAAGTGCTGAGAGCCCTATACACGACAAGCTTCTTAAGCATACTGGCAACTTGGAGAGATTTTGAGGATTAATTACAACTTCAGTTAAAGACCGAGTATAAAGAGCGTGGAATTGAGGCTTCAGAGCCGATGCTTCACCGGCTCAATCTCTATCCTAACGTTGGAATCGGTGGACGATGCCGCACTGGAGGTGCTCTCTTCAAACTTGGTTCTATCCACATGATCCAGTGAATTGAAGAACTTGGCTTCCGACATCTGAAACCATGAAGATATTTGGACAACTCGTAAAAATTAATAGGCAATTTAAGCAAGCAACTTTTAGGGCAAATTAGGTTCCTATTAGCAATTGGATTGGCCACAACGTTAAAGTCCGACTTTCTTTTTAAATGCGCGCAAACGAGGTTGTTTTCGCTGCGGGACTAACGATAAGAAAACAATTTCTACAGTGGAAGAAATAGTTTTTCGAAAAATCTGGTTTTTTACAAATACGTGCGTAAACAATTGATAACTCAACATAATATTCAAGAAACCCGGACTCAACGAACTAAAGATAAGCGGAAGTGGAAGGGAGGCTCACATTGGAAGCGAGGAAAGTCACCTGAGTTGGTGTTGCCTCTAGAGTCGGTGCGACTTCGCCGCGCGTGCACATCGCCTGCACAAAGCCCACGCCAAATCCATCTCCTGTGACGTTGACACAAGTTCGCAGTCTGTCTCTAAAACACAACAGATTATTCGGTTCATACTCTTCTCCTGTATAACGGCCCATTATTCTTCGACAAAGCAGGGTAACTTACAAAAACCAATCAACCGCAAAGATCAACGAAATGTCCTCGACTGGAAGGCCAACAGCGGTCAGCACAATAAGCATTGTCACCAAGCCGGCGCTCGGAATCGACGCCGCTCCAATTGAGGCCAACGTGGCGGTGAGAGAAACCGTTAAGACTTGGCCAATGCTCAGCGAGATGTCATTCAATTGAGCGATGAAGATTGAAGCGACGGCTTCATAAAGAGCTGTTCCATCCTGAAATTGAAAAACAGTAAGGAAAAGGAGCCTCAGTTAGTTTGTTAAAAGGTAATTTGTTACCATATTAATCATGGCTCCAACGGGCAAAACGAACTTGGTAAACCTGGGCTCGCATTTGTTATTCTGCTCCAAACATCTAAACGTTGCCGGCAGAGAGGCAGCACTAAAAACTTTCAGCTATAATAACGTCGTCACTACGAATCGCAGGAAAAACATTATGAAATTACCTTGACCCCGTTCCCAAAGCCGTGGCCATGGCTTGTCCTAGACCTCTCATATAAACGAACGGATTCTTCCTTGATGCCAAGAAGTAAATTGTAGGAATGGTGACAAACAAATGAATCGCCAAACCCGCAATCACCGTGATCATGTACATAGCCAAGGTTTTGACGGTTTTAAAAATGTCATCAATTTCAAGGATCTTTTCGGCGATCAGTGAAGCAATCCCGACCGGAGAGTACCTGAAATATCAATTAGACTTGATTCCCAATTCATTTACTGAAACAGGTTTTCCAAAACTTACCACATAATAAGGCCAACCATGGTTGTGATGACAATATCCAATGCTACGAAGAAGTCGGCCAGAGGCTTGGCTTTCTCTCCAACAAAACTGATGATCAGACCGGTCGCAATGCAGAACACAATGATGCCAAGAACATTCATTCCCATGTGATACTCCACCACAAGTTTTTGCCGGTCATTTCCGTTGTGGTCGGTAAAGTATTCGTGATGAGTGTCTATCGTATTGAAAGACGACTGGACAATGTTGTCCGGGAACATATTCCTGATCAGATCCAAGATCTTGTCGAGCGCCGTCACGTTGGTGTGCTCGATGGGCTTTGGTGTCAAGTTGCCGGATCTGATGGTTGGGTCGCCCGGGTGAATGATCAGAACCAGCGCAATGCCAGTGGCAACTGCTAGAGTTGTCGTCATGCCGTAGTAGCAGAATGCAAAGCCCCCGATCCGACCGGATTGCTTGGCATCAAGTTGGGACAACCCTAGAAACGTTAAATTTAAAGAAGGACATGAGGACATCAACGTTTTTTGCAACGAAACTCACCAGAGATTAAGCTGGCCGCAACCAACGGCAAAATCGTCATTTTCAACATATTCATAAGGACAACGCCCGGAAATCCAATGTATTCGATCGTCTGGTCCGACGGATGGGCCAGTCGGCTCAAAAACCCAATCGCACAACCAATTACCACACCCGCCAAGGTGAGTGCCAGAAGCATATGCTCCTTGTTGTCGCGCAAACCCATCTTTGATGCCCTAGAACAATGCAATGAGAAACTGTTACAATTTCACCAAGCAGCCAGTAGATGGTCGTTCAAAGCTCAATTAATCGATAAAACGTAGTCTAAAAACAATCAGCGTTAATAAAAACAAAGGTAATAAAACCCTCCAACGAAGCAATGGATCTTAACCACAAACAAAGTCCTTTTATAAAACATTAAAAACCCCGTCGAGATTTACGCGGGGGTTTCGATTGGGGACAGCGGTGTGAAATCAGAGTAATTTTTAAAAATCAAAGCGGAACCGGACAATCCATCAAAACGTCCATTGACGTTTGTGTCTCAAGCATGTTTTGACTTGATTCCCGATGTAATAAATGTAGTCTGGCATAGAAGTAGGGATACCGCAAGGTTTGCCAATTTCAAAAAACTTTTTGGCAAACTGCAGAGAAGACTCTTGGAGTCCGAAAACAAAAGCCAATTCAGATGATGTACAGATATATACATATTATTTGATCAGAGTAGCTTTACAGATAGATACAATGTATTTTATCAGAGTAGCAGTTAAAAAAACCGTCCCTGCGTTTGTCCCAGTAAGCCAATAAACATTGTGTGTGTATTTTTGCGTGATAACAAAAGCAACAATAAAGTGAACAGGGATCCCGGTTAATCCGCGCAATTGACAAAAAATAGTCACATGAACCAGCAGTTTGAGTGTATTGGGAAATAAATTTAAACTTTCACCATGAATGGAATTTAGGAATTTGGGTGTTTTTAATAACAAAAATAGGGGCTAAGCTTGAAATTGTAATACGAAAACAAAAAAACATTTTTACAATACAGTCTGAGCGACGAATCGCAAGGGACAAAAAGAAAGTTTTCTTCTTGTTCATTTGGTCTAAAAAAGCTCATGCGCCTTCGAGAAATGGCTCGTTTTAGACACGTTTCGCTGTACAGGAGCTTATCGTACGGTCTCACTGCACTTTTCAAGAAGCCCTTAATCTCTCCCCATACCGTACTCAGCCCCCTCAGACACAAATCAGAGGCTAAAAGGAGGCAAATCGATAAGCCTGTAAATTATTTTTCAATGTTATCAGCCTCGGGAGAATCACAGCTTGTTCCGGACGTTTTGATTCGAAGCAATAAAAAAACATGAGAAACGGACAATAAAATTTAAAATGGAAAATAAGGCGAACACATCCGAAGGAGGGTTTAAATAGCAACGACATGAACAGGATAAAAGAATAACCCATAGGATGCCAATGGGTTATGTACATCACTGTGATACGGTAGCAAATCGCATCATAGCGCCACGCAAATATTTTATGCGAATTCTTACGGCGATGAGGATTAAAACCCAATTTGATCATCGCCGTTCGAAAAAATTGAGGACTGTTGGAATGCCCGCTGCGAGAAGAGGTTCAAAATTCCAAAATATTCGGCGACGTATTCGATAGCCGACATACATAGACGTTGGGCCTTAGATGATTGTTCTGATAGAATGTTTATGTTTTGGAAGGTTCAAACATCTGAATCACACAATATAAACAAAGTGTTAATTATATTCTTGGCACAACTTGCTCTTTTAAAATCCGAGAATCAAGAAAATTTATGTATCCATGAGGAATCTAATCGCATTAGAGTGCATGCTGGGTTCACCTTGCACTTGAGACCCTCTTAAAAAATCAACATGAGCGTTCGGAGGGAACCTAACCCAGACCATACTGCTTTTCGATCCTTCCGAGAAAAAGCTCTCCCTCTTTCTCTCTAACAAGTTATTGTAGTAAATAAATGCATCCAAAAAAACATTTGGCGAGCTTGTCGCGGCTTAAAGACCGTGACGTTAAAAGACTAAAATTGGATAAAAACCAAACCCTCAGGCAGGCAATTAAAAGTTGAGGGCATAATTTGATAAGGTCTAAACCAGACTGCGCTTCGTTTGGACAAAGACATTTGACGGAGAAAGGTTGAACTTTCATCGAAAGAGCAGTCATAAATCAATCCATGATTTGATCGGGTTCACGGAAAAACGATCTCTGTGAAGTAAGACGTAGGTGAGTTTGAAACACTGATCAAACTAATAAGTTCAACGTCTATTCAACATGCCCCCTCAGTTTTTGATTCAATGACTTGTGATCTCGGGGGCTGCAAAAACACAAAAGGGAAAATTTTCCATCCTGCACGCCCTTTAACGTCATGATCGTTGCACTCAACTTATCAAAAATTCCTCGAGCACATGGTTACGTCGCACCTAGGAAGGTGAGTTCGGGTCAGAATAATTCATAAAACCGCAACATACATTGATTGAGAATATGGTAGGGAGGTAAATTTTCTTTATTTTTTCACTTTCCTCTTTCAAAGGGGCCGGATTCAAACAAGATTGTAAAGACGCGGTGAAAAGAAAATACGGACAAGTTATAAGAGCTAATGTCCTTTTATTCAATGTTCTAATCAGTGGCTGCATGTCGCTGAGCATTAATAAATTACTTTTTGGGAATTGATAAGCAATGGGAAAAAGTTAAGCCGCTAATCAGTCCCCACAAGAAAGACTTCCAGGAATCTGAAAAATTCAAATCTGAAGAATTTCAGCATCGGTTTTTACAAAGTCAAAGATCAAAAGGTATAAATTTAGAATCTCCAAACTTTCTGAATTTTAGAAAGTTCATAAGAGAGTACTCAAAAATGCGGTGCAGTTGCTATATGTACCGTTTTTCGAAGCAGTGAAGCAAAGCAACTATATAATGAAAAGATTTTTTACACAACTTTACATTTTTCGGAAAGCTGCTGAAAAACGCATTCTAATTTAAACAAAAAACAATATTAAAGTCGACTTACTGAACAATTGTGGCAAGCATTCCCTTGTCTGACATTTTTCTCAATTTGAAGGAAATACGGCGGGTTTCAGCTTTTGATCAGCCGTTTCACCGCCGATATATGGAGCAAAATTCCCGATTTTATTCAAATGCAAATCCCCGGCCCGCGTTCTGTCCCCGACAACAAAATTTTAAACCAAAAGAGGTCAATGCACGGTACAAAAAACGGCGGCTTTTTTGCACAGTGCGCCCCGCGGCAAATGTCCAGGAAGTTGGTGAAAAGGCTAATGACAAGAAAAGCGTCCTACAGCCACGATTTGTATTCGTAAAATTATTGAAAAAATCCGCATGTCCTTATCAAAAATAGCAATCGGTGTTCCTGTTTACATACTGGTCCTTCCGGAAAGTCGGCGGACTGATTTTTGGTGTTTGCACTGTGCGAAAAAAGTCAGGATGCGAGCGACAGCTCAAACAAGCCCATTGCACGGTGCAAAAAAGAAGAAATTGCACAGTGCAAGGAAAACTTTTGTTTTCGCACACCCGATTTTAGTCGGGCGACTTTCCGGAGGGACTAGTATTATCACATTTTTTTATTGTTTGATGGTGTAAAAAACATGATCAAGATAATACTATTCAATCGGTTTGAAAAACAAGCGGCTTGCCCTTGGGTTTCGCAAACTGATTGAGCGAATTCAAGTTTTTATTGGTAAACGGGTAACTTGCGAGGGAAGTGCCCCAAGTGCGAGGCGCAGAGTTCTTTAAATTTTGCACTTACTTTGGGTACAATAGACCACACACGGAGAATTGGAGCAGTTTGAGAAGTGGTTGGAAAAAGGAAACGGTGGAGCTATATAATCTCGGGATATGTACTGTTCAGTTCTGGTAGTGATGCTATTGGAATGGCACCTCCCACACACCCGTTCGGATGCCCCAGGATAAAAGGAACCTCCTATAGCCGGCGATGCAAGGATGTTGCATTTACTGGACAATAGAAACCATACTGATTCACTCCATGATTTTTACATGTGATTAGTGGAATAAATTGAAAATGAAATTGAGACCACACACAGTGGCAGCCAAAAAAGGAACACTAGACCGTCCCAGACTTTGCTAGTAGAAAATATTCTAGGTGACTGTTAACACGTGACCTTATATCCGAGAGTGTAACATGAGATGTGGCAGCCGCCGCAAATGATGGGCGATTCCCATAATTTGCGACGACCCGCCATTATTTTTCCGACAGAAGCCCCAATATCATGAGGATCCCTCCTCAACCCTCAGCACATCCATCGTCTGGGTACTATTCTTCGAACCCGATCGCAGGACTTTTTTAACCCGCTATCAACAAAATATCAATTCCTGGAATGGCTGATTATTTTTTGAAGGGAAAAAGTGGTCTCGCCACCATTATCAGTAATCAGCCGTAATTTACCGCAATTTCCGGACTTCCGAACCCTGGCTTTAATTCGGAAGTCCCTGTGCAGGATTTATGCTGTTCCTCTTATTGATTCACATTCTGGGAATGGAGATGTTCCCATAAAAATACAACATAAAAAGGAACGTTTTTTTTCACCGCTGCAATTCAAAAGAATCAGCAAAGGTTTTGAATTTTCAATCAGCAAATCCTTTAGGTTTTTTATCAGCATTGTTACTCATGTCGCCCTTTCCGAACAACAATTCCACGTTATATTTCACGTAAGAAAAAAGGTTTGAGCAGAAAAAAAACGTTATCAGCATGCAAAAAAAATTGTGATTCACACAAACCACGGAGTTGCACCGAATCCGTCCTGAAGAGCCGCTCTTGAACACGAATTTGAATAAACTGTGGTTTCTGTCTGGTTTTTTGGCGTAAGGATCGGAGAATGGTCAAGTGATTTGTTGGTTTGAAGCGGGGTAGATTTTGGCAAGCAATGGCTTGACATTTTTTGGTAGGATATATGTATTTGATGTTTTGAGACTACCCGATAGAGACTCTGAAATAGAAAAATAAATCCATGTGCCCATGGTCTGAATTTTTTTGCGTTTCAAGCACAGCTGAGATCCTGACAAACTTTTTTTTTCACAAAGCATATGATCGCACCAATAACATTAAAACAGAAAGGCAACATAATTTTCGATGGTTGGAGTGCTGAACTACACTTTATTTGGTAAAGGTTCGTTTCGCAATCATCCCTTCCCGTAGTTGGTCTCGTTTTAACCGCAATGATGAAGGAACCCGTCTCAAAGATCGAGTTGGCTGAATTCCCTTTTGGTAAAGACAGAAGGTAATAGTTACTTAAAACAATCAACACAACGTGTTTCTAGCATTATGAGATACCGTTTTTTGCAGTTCTTTCGTTATATTTTATCGAATTCATTTTTCTTGGGTTAGTTTTTAAGATTGTGACTTGAAAATTGTTACGTACGTCTGAATGATATTTTTTGTGTTACACATGATTATTTATTCTTGCTTTTTTTATTAAAATTTTAAAAAATTTTAAAAAATAACCAAAAATAATAAAATGTACGTTATTGAACGTACTATGGCGTAATAATGTGTGGCTTAAATCCGGATTCTCTCCCATTTTTTGTTATGTAAAAATAAGTTGTCACGTAAACCATTTATTAGGTAAATCTGGGTAAGAGATTTAAAGGGTGTAATTACACCTGTCCTGCAAACGTTAACAAGATTCCAAACAAAAAAATGTCCTTTTTTAATAGCAGGTTCCCCTGAATTGCCGTGGCAACAAACCCTTCCATTAGTGAAATATCTAGAACATAATTTATGCCGGTGTTCAAGATTAATGTATGAGCATGAAGCGCGATATGACTTATGACCCGCCGACGGTTTCATTTACGTCTGTCTGACTATACGTAAATTGGTTTCTTTTCCAGAGATGAAGTTGTTCTGTTGCTTTTGTAGAAGTGGAAAAGATTCGGATGCTTACGAGGTGCTGGAAGGGCCTTATGGCGCTTTGGAAGCGCAAATCACGTCCCTCGTATTGGACGAGCATTATTACTATCTCGGACTGTCTGGGTCAACGCTAGATGTACGAAAACCTTCATTACTTTCGCTGTCGCTGGAAATTTTATTTTCTAATCAAGACGCAATTTTAGGGACTGGTTCTTGAACGCCAAGCGCTGAAGCACAAGGTTTACGTCGAGCTGATGGAAGGAAAGTTGGAAGAAGAACTTCTCACACTTAAATATCGCCCCGAATTTTACTTGTTCTGCGTTGATGTTATGTATCAGAATGGTCTACCGGTCAACAAACAGATAGTTGAAAATCTTCGGAAAACGTGCAAGAAAATACCCAGTGAACAGATCGAACAAATTCTAAGTTGCCTGGATCGAGTAGAAGGAAAGTCAGAGAAGGACAAGGCGGAAGAGATCGGAATCGAGTTTATCAGTTGTGACCGCTAATGAGAACTCAAGATTCCTCCTCTATTTTAATTAAATTAAAATCATAAGTATATTCATGTTTGTAAATACAGGTATAATAAATAAAAGTGTTGGGAAAAAGCCGTTTACGATTATCTACACGAACGAAGTCTGATATCCATAAACTTACGTCAGCACAAGTAAACCATGAACATTGTCAACTGACAACTATTATATCAAAATAAACTCTGCTCAGCAAGCGACCCTTCCGTGAACAGTGCTCCAGGTGCACAATTCGCGATCTTCAACGTTCTATCGACTTCAGAAGCCAACAAGAACGAACTTCACGCTCTGGAAGGGCCACCACACCTCGATCATCACAGAGTCAGGTGGTGAAACCTAGACGTTAGACGAGAGTATGCTTACTACAGAAATGATCCTGTGAAGCATGATCTCGATTGATTGCAACTTCATTCCGACCTACTGTTGAGAAACCGTTCGTTTTTAGACTGGGTAACTGCGACGCACAGAGACATCATTTTGCGTGCTTTTTCTCGCTGTCTCTTTTTCTCTAACGTTTTTCTGTCGGTCTCTTCTACGACACTTTCTCTCTCTTGAAAAAAAAGCTTTCGAAAGAAAAGGGAAACACCTGGCACAATTTCTTCTCTGCGTCAAGTGTTTCTCCAGCTTTCTTCTACATTGTTTTGTTTCTTCTGTCGACGCGACGTGCTCTGTTTACACCTCTTGATTCGCATTATCCCACCACTTGTTGGAATTGGTTACCGGTGAAGGACGGTGCTGTCGTCGTTATTTTTCTTTTGTTGTTTTTGTTTGAGTCTTACCGATGTTAGGACGAGATCCAAAGTATTTTTCGACAATTGCCTCGTCTGAAGGTGAAGCAAGCTCAGAAGATGAGAAAGAGGTCGCCGGAAAGGACCAGAAGGTAAGACTTTTTGTTATTTTTATTTTTTGAATGTTTCAACATTACATTGTCGCAATTTCCAGGAACTTATTGCCGATCTCGAAGAACGCGAACGTCAACATCGGGAATCGTTGCTGAAGAAACTGCAGAAAAAAGAAAAGGGCCACAAGCACCATCGACATCATTCGGTAAGCTATTTCGAAGTCCATACCTCTTAACTTTGAGCATTTTTAATCGAAACTTTTTTAGTCGGCTTTAACAGGACGATGTCTTTGTAAAGTCGGACAGTTTCTCTGAGTAAGTCACATGTTTGGGTCGGTTTTTCAGCATAAGTCGAAGAAGAATCGAAGTCGGAGCCGAAGTCCGCTTGAAAGAAGCTCCGGAACAGACGAAACGCGATCTCAAAATGGAGTTGACGATAAGGGGGAAAATGAGGATGTTGAGATGGAAGGTACGTGTGCTTTATTTCTTTTTGTTTTGATGTTTAGGTATCAAACGGGTCAGAAGATAGACATTGTCGAAAATTACTCATACTGTTACCTTAATTTACTCTTGGTTTAGAACCCCAGCCAGAAAGCTCCAATGAACAGCCAAAAAGGTCCAGATTCGACAGTTCCCCCGAAAGCGTGGTCTCCAAGTCGCCAGAGCCGTATCGAGAAAGCCCGATGATTTCCGAGGATGAAGTGGAAGAAATACTGGTGGAAGAGGAGGACGAAGTGGAGATAATTACAAGGAAGAACTTTGAAGATCTCCTTGACGAGGAAAAGGAAAAGGTAAAATCCAATTTTTATTAATTTTTTTTGTTTTTAGTTATCAGAAGATCAACTCAAAGAAATGGAAGAGAGCTACCAAAAACGATTGATTTCTCGACTCCCCGTATTTTATCCAGGAATCAGAGGATGCCGGAGTGTTAATGAGTTCAAAATACTCAACAAAATCAGTGAAGGTACCTATGGGGTGGTATATCGGGCTCGCGAACTGAGGACGGACGAAGTGGTTGCGCTGAAAGGTCTGAAAATGGAAAAGGAGAAGGAAGGGTTCCCGATAACTTCGTTGAGAGAGATTAACATGCTGATGAAATGCCGACACCATCAGAATATCGTCGGGTTGAGGGTAAGTTCTTTTTTTTCTGTGTCTTCCCATTTTAGGTAACAATTTTCCAACCTCCCGCAAGGTTTTCCATTATTTTATTACCCATTGAGTTTCAGGAAATTGTGGTCGGCGATACCATGGACAGTATTTTCTTGGTGATGGAATTTGTCGAGCATGATGTCAAAGCACTCATGGAGCAGTTACAAGCCAAGAAGAAGACCTTTACATTGCCACAGATCAAGACCTTAATGAAGCAACTTCTCGATGGTATAGCCTACATGCACTCGGAATGGGTAATACATCGTGATTTGAAGACCTCAAATTTGTTGTTATCGCATGGAAACGTTTTGAAGGTATGTTTCATTTCACTGTGGTCGTATTTTCAGATATTGTAAACACGATTTGTTAATTTTTGAGCTGTTTCATGTATATGATTTTATTTGGAAGGCTAAAATTGTTTTATTTACTTTCAGATTGGCGACTTTGGACTAGCAAGAGAATACGGAGATCCGCTGAAGCCATATACAAGCGTTGTTGTTACTCTTTGGTACCGATCTCCAGAACTCCTCCTGGGAACCAAATATTACTCCACTCCGATTGATGTCTGGTCAGTGGGCTGTATTTTTGGTGAATTCCTGACACTCAAACCAATGTTCCCAGGGCATTCTGAGGCGGATCAATTGAAGAAAATTTTCGCCGATACCGGAGCACCGAACGAAGGAGTTTGGCCGGGGTATTCGGAGCTGCCACATGCAAAACATGAATGGCCCGAGTACAAATTTAATCAATTGAAATCGAAGTATCTCAAAGAATTGAAGACTGTGGCTGGAGTTGATCTCATGAATCAGTAAGTTTTAAATTTTTTAGCTGCATTTAGTTAGGCTAGTTCAGTTGACCTATTATTGTCTTTATTTTTTCAGCTTGCTTACTCTTTGCCCGGAACGACGAATTACCGCCGAAGACGCGCTAAAACACGAATTCTTCACCGAAGATCCCCCTCCAGCCACACTAGATTCGTTCCCATCCTGGCCGGCCAAATCAGAAGGGCACAAAGCGCCGCCGAAGAAACCCGTCGCCATAGAAACCGTCCCATCCAAACCGTTAGACCCAAATCAGCGCAAGCTCCTCAATGAATTCAAAGTTGATGTCAAACAGGTCAAAGGATTCTCGTTAAAGTTTTGAAATCTAATATAACGTTGTGAAATAAATTTAAAATTCCATTTTTAACACGTAAAAATTGGTGGAAGGCCTGAGTTGTATTTTTGGAAATTACCAGGGTGAACATGGTTTTATCAGTTTATTTAGACCGAAATGGTTTAAAGTTGATATTACTGCTCCTTAAGGTCGAATCAAATGCTTGTGTCGGTCTCTAAATGCTAGAATACAGAGACATAACCATCCTTGGAAGAATAGAAGATTCCCTAAAAAACGCAACATTTTAGTCAGAAAAATTCGCAGTTTTTTTATTTTTTACAACTTCTAATAAATACCGAGTGAAAGAAGGCCCTAACAAAGACGTTTTGGAAACCTTATAGATCGATAACTTGCTACAATTTTAATATTATTACTAATTTAAGCAGAATTGGCCAATGGTTCTGTTTCATCGCCGTTTTTCTGCAGAGAAATTTTCTTGACCTCCTGAACGCTGTCTGGAGCATGCGCGCCGATGAATAGGTGGTACAAGAAGGCGCCCAAAGGACCACCGATCAACGGCGCAACAATCGGAATCCAGAAGTAGTAGTCGTGATAGGAGAACACCTCCCATCCGTAGCCGGCGAACACCGCGAAAAGTCGAGGCCCGAAGTCTCTGGCTGGATTCACAGGGTACCCCAGATTCATTCCATACGTAAAGCCGATCAACATCAGCGCGAATCCGAAACAAAGTGGGTGCAGGAAGGCGGGGACATTGTTGCGTTTGTCGGTGAAAACACAGACGAAAAAGAGGAGAAGCGCCGTCCCGGCAACCTGATCCACAAAAGCGCCGCAGTTCGAGATGTGGGCAGCGGGGAAGGAGCAAAAAATGCCGGCGGTGGCGTTAGGGCCAGTGATTGTGCGCAGTGTACCGGCGTAGTGATGAAGGGCATCTGGAACGGAAATTTTGAGACTTATGAAGCGAAGAAACATGCATCCGGGAGGTGGTTAGGAAACCAAAACGTTGATGGAATTTGGCGCAAATTCAGATCAAGATTTTTCAAAAATGACGCAAGCTCAAAACGTTGAAGAAAGGCATTGCACTTCAAACTGACAATTTGAAATTTGTGAGGAGTCCGGTGACCGGAATAGACTCTTCGCTATCGGTTTGTTACATTTCGTCTTGATTTCACAGAGAAGTCAGAGAAAAAGACACGCAAAAACGTACTCTCTCGCCCTAAAAATTCCCCATTTCTTCTCCGACAAAAAGTTTTTTCGCGTTTTTTTTGGCCAATTCGTTCACCGGACCGTTTTAGCTCATCTCGGTTTGACGTGCATTGGTCCCCAACAAAAATCCGAATTTTACCTTGATAAACTGCGAATCCGGCGGCAGCTCCGAAAAATGCTCCAACCGTCTGTACTGCGACGTAAGCGAAGAATTGCGGAACAGTGATATGCCCCAAGAAGACCAAAGTAATCGAGACGGCTGGGTTCAATTGACCGCCGGACGTCGTATAGGTAGCATACACACAGAGGGCAACAATAAAACCAACGCCAATGTTGATCGAAAGGAAACTGACAAGCTTCGAGTCGGTGAGAACATGTTGGCACGAGATACCAACAACAAGGAACTGAAATACAGGTGGTTTATATTGGAGAACGGTATGATTTTAAGGCAATAAAAATAAGTCTTACCACAAGTAAAAAGGTGCCAAACAGTTCCGCGACCAGCGCAGCATGAAATTTGTTTCGCAAATTTATCCGTCCCCTTAGGCGCTCGGCCGGCAACAAGCCTTCCTTCGACATGATTCCGGACTCTCCAGTCGTCTGAAAAATGACTTTGGGATAAAAAAAATACTGCTGAGATTAAAAACACGAACGTAAAAATCCACATAAACATTCGTAATTCGCCAGTAGAATGTCGCGAAATGTTGTAAAGCGCAAATATTGTGACCCCACAAATCTCTCGCCTCGTTTCGTTTTGATTAGCAGACCATTATCAGTCGAAATGATGCCTTCGGACAAGCGCATTAACTGGTTCGTATCTGCGATACTTATCAATACAAATGCTCTTACACAAAAACGGCCAACGAGTCGGAAAGAGTGGAAACTGTTCCAATGAAAGACACCTACTCTACACTTGTCAAAACATGATAGTTGTAGGGGAAACACTGAAAACAGAAAAGTATAAAAATAACCATACTTCCGGTTTCCTTACAAGGGAAGTCACTTAAATCACGGATCGATTTTGTAAAACGACTGTTACAGCGATAGGGAGGGTAGGAAGGAGATATCAAATCTGAAAACCGCTACCTCCACCGGCCTCTGGGAGCCGAGATAATCGACCAAAAAGTTTGCCCAAATTCCTCCGAACATTTCTTCCTTCCGAAAGAAGAAAAGGCAGCGAACCGAATGGTCCGGTGGTCTGGAAGCGCGCTTCCGGGCCTTCTCCTTTTCAGGTTCGAATCCGCACGGGTCTCGAACTTGCGAAAAATTTATGTTGCTGTGATCCAGTAAATTTACTAGCAATTTATTTTTATATGTTATGCCTATTTTACGGTAAATTTTCAACCTTGAAAATCCAAATCGTTTGGAACTCGCATTCACATTATTACTCTGAATTTAATCGTAAAATACGCAAAAAATCAAAAATTTTACCTTACCGGTAAATTTACTGGATTGCAGGAAAAGTTTAATAAATCATTTGACCCATGCGGATTCGAACCTGAAAAGGTCAAGGCCCGGAAGCGCGCTTCCAGACCACCGGACTATTCGGTTCTCTTCCCTATTTCTTTCGGAAGAGAGGACTATTCGGAGCAACTTTTTTTAGGTCAAACCTTTTTGGTCGATTATCTCGGCTCCCAGAGGCCGGTGGAGGTAGCGGTTTTCAGATTTAATATCTCCGTCCTACCCTCCCCATCGCTGTAACAGTCGTTTTTAAAAATCGATCCGTGACTTAAGTGACTTCCCTTGTTAGGCAGAATTAAATGTGCAAATAAGCTGCTTTTGAGTAAAAATGGCGTGATGAAATGAAAAATTAGATAATGTAATAATATTGGGTAAGTTAATAAACGAGCGTTTTCATGCGCTTTATGGCGAAATTTGAAATTTTTATCAAGAGTCCAGGCTCCAACACAAGAGAATTTTTGATGGCCGCTCGTCATCGGACATTTGAGGAACCAAATTTTAAGTCAATAAAGTCTTCAGAGACCACATTTCACATCCTGATTAAGGCGTCAATAACCAAACAAGTCGTGCCAAGCCAAAACTTTTTAAATCCCCGCAATGCACCTGAATCCATGGCCAGAGCGACCCCCATTCCGTCCCACTTTTCACCCGTTCGCTGGACACGCCCCGATGTCCACAATGATGCAATCCTCCCCTAAAGTGGCCTGGTCCCGTTTCGTAACGGCGATTGGCACGTAAACGCCAGATGCCAACGCAGTGTCTTCCCATTTCGAAATCCTCTGGTTCCCCGGAGCCACTATATCTTGGGTGTAGCGGGGGGAGAAAGGATCTCCCAGACCTTCCAAATTCCCCCCAAACGCGTTCCTTTTTTTCAATTGTTTGGCCGTTTTATAGTTACGGATAGCAAGGGAATTTTCGAAATTTTAAAATATTTAGTGCGACAAAACTCCAGACGAAATGCAGGTGCATCAGAATTGGATTGAATATAACGAAATAAACCCTTCGTACCGTGTTTATTTCCCAAAATAAAGTCATTAATGTTCTCGCGAGTAAAGATAACCTTTTGAAAAAAATAAAGTACAGGAACGTGTTAGAACAGTGGCTCCAAAAAATGAACGCCATGTGTCCAAAATGTTTGGCCTTTGAGCTTGTAAACAAATCAAAGAATCCGTCCATCAATAACCCAAAGTTTGTTCAATATACTCGACGAGCTCTTGTCGGATAATAGGATGATAAAAAAAATAAGAATCTTGATTTCCCCCAAGCAGAATTCCGGAAAAAGTTCAAACAACGATAATTCCACATCTTTCGCTTTTTTTTGGCTCACGGAAATGACTCTTTCTGGAAAAAGCCGAAAACGAAAAAACGCTCTTTCCGACTTCGGATGAAAATTCAAAAGGTTTGGTCTCAAGGCCCAATTAAGATTTTTTCTTGCGAAAAAACGCCGATTTTCGAAGTCAATGTTGGACAAATAAGGAATGAAAATCAGCTGGAAAAAGAAGGTTTGTTCCAAGGGTAAATGCCCACAGAAGACTCAAGGTTCTTGAACTCGTTTTATTTAAAACGAGTTTTATTCCACCTGTGCTTTCATAACAGCTGTCCCGGTGTGTTATTCAATGGATGTACGTGTATTCATACATGATGACAAACGTTTTGCCAAGCCTATTTTGAACATGGTGGTAGATGACAAATGTTCGGATTTTATTTGTGCACAAATCTCCTAGTTACACTTGAAAATGCATAAATCTGTTTACAATATTGACGCCTGCGGTTTACCAGGACCTATCCAGGAGTCTGTTCCTTCAATAAAATACGTAAAGTGAGGAGTTTTGGACAGGCAAAAAAACATTCGATCGAAAAATCTAAAAAATTCGAATCCTGGAAGTTTATCAAGAGTGTAGTAACTTTTTTAGCAATGAGACGCTGATTCGTAACATACAATACATGTTGACAATAATTATACTTTTTGCCCACTGCAAAAAAGTATAATTATTGTCAACATATTGTATTGTCATCACCAATTCCATTCCATGTATCGAATCTAAGCCCCAGCTCAAGTTAATCCCCCGTTTAACTCCTCTATCAACACCATACTCAATCCTACTCATCTAAGCCCTCCTTCCATTGAAGGAGGGGTCGGTTAATCCTCACGCCTCCTTATAAATTTCAACAAGTACGAGCAACGAGAGCGTGTCTTTTTGACTCGCAATTCTGAATGCCTCTCATTTTGCGTGCGTTTTGCCATAAAACGCGCCCACTCCGAACGTTCCTTGTTAACGTTGGGGGGCGTTCCCGCCTTTTTGGATAATACTCTTTTTGTGCGTCCAGTCTAACCTTAGTACAGGATGGATGTAAAAATAACGCAAAAAAAACAGCGCCGGCACAAGGAAGTAGGCACCCAAAAACACCAAAACAAGCGGGTTTGAGGCCCAGAATCATAACCCTCTCGTCACCCTGCTAACAGGGACCATTCAGATCAGTAAAAGTGAAGAGAAGGGGTGTCTAATTTCTAATTTTTATGTGACGTTCCCTTCCTACGAACCGTAACAGCACCCCCGAGGGAAAAGTCGAACTATGCAAACACATGGTTCAAAGATCAGTCCATATTTTGGGATTAATTTAGAGGTAGTGATCAGGCCAAATCGATCAGGCTCTGCATTCTTCAGCATGTCCTGGAAAACCGACGCGCTTGAGCGTTATATTCTATTAATACACTGTGGGAAACATTTTTTTAAATGTTTGTACATGTCTTACAGCTTCAAAACAACAATTCCATTGAACAACAACATTTCAACAAAAATAAAGCTTTTCGCAGACAAACCCAAATTTTTTTATCCTTTCCCACCGGACCAATTTGTGGGTGGCAGGCCGGGCCATAAAAATCGGCACGGTTGCTATAATATATTTATATGAGAGCCTGTTCGCCATGCACTAGCCGGGCCAAGACCAAAGATTGCCACGGTCAAAATCTCGGCTCCGGTTCTTAGCTCCCAGAGCCGGAGCCGGGCCAAATTTGCAGTTCCGGCTCCCGTGTAAAATTTAAAAAGATCTCCGGCTCCTGCACCGGCTCCCGTGCAAAAATTTTTTAAAAAAATATTTTTCCAAAAATAAAAGTTATTGGTGCCGGAGGTGACACACCCAACGTTTTTGAAGTCGCAAGTACGCAACACATCCTTCTCAGTATTTTTTCAAGCAATTGCTTTAACAAGATCACGAAATTTTTACTTTTCTGAACGCTGTGAAGCCTGGCTCCGACTTTGGGCTCGGGAGCCGCTCAGAGCCGGAGCCATGAGCCGGCTCCGGAGCCGTGGCAATCTCTGGCCAAGAGATTGCCAATGCAAAAATTCCGACTTTTTGGCCCGCCTAGTACTCCCTTGTCCGCACCGGTCGCTGAATCTTGGCTACTGGAAATCGCAAGCCATTTTCGGGATTTGGCCGGACCAAAAACATGCGCAAAATTCCACGAAAATTCGAGCCATGAACAAGGTTGATAACGAGATCCAAAAGAGTCAAAACAAAACTCTTTTTTGGAGGCTTATACAAATGGCCACAGGGTAAGTTATCGTCTACAGAAGAGAGCGGACCAGGGGGGAAAACAAATTTGTCAAAACGAAAGAAACAATTAACAACTTCATTCGTTCGTTTTTGAAGGGATCTCAGCTGCGGCCGTCCACGCCCTCGGCCCTTTTGCTTTGTACTGAAAAAACGCACTTTTCCGGGTTAAAATTGACTCGGAAGGAACACCAAATCTCGAACGAAAAATTGCGTAGTTTACGTGAGAAACGTGTGGGGACGGGTTGAGTGACGCGAACTCGATATGACAAGAGTTCGAGGTCAGGGTAATTTGCCTTTCATGTTGAGTAAATTTCACAGACAATGGACTTGTTCTTTGGTCATTTTAAATGCAACATCCGGAAAGTGTTGGAAAAAAGTATTTAATACTGGTCCTTCCGGAAAGTCGCCGGACTGAAATCGGTGACATGCACTCTGCGAAATCGAAAGTTCACTTTGCACTGTGCAATTTTTGGCTTTTTGCACTGTGCAATAAGCTTTTTCGAGCTGTCGCTCGCACCCTGAGTTTTTTCTCACAGTGTATGTCGCCGATTTCCGTCCGGCGACTTTCCGGAAGGACTACAGGGTCTTTCAAGAAATGTGCAGGAAAGTAGGAGGCTATAACTTTCGGCGGAGGCGGCGCAGAGAGTTCGTTTTTGGAATATGTATTTTTCAGTGACATTATTTTTTGCCTACGAAATAACAAGCTTTTAGAGTGCAAACTGAGGTCGCTACGACCTTCTGAAGTAGAGGCATCTCTACCCCGAAAACCAGGTTTTTTCGGTTGAAAATGATCGAGAAATTTCGGTCTTTTTCGGTTGAAAATCACCAAGAAATGGCGGATTTTTTCAGGGGTTCCGATAGAGTTGACGTTGAAAAAAGGGAAGGATGTTGCCAACACGTTGGAAATTTAGCAAATATTCGGCTAGCCTCAACTTGGGGCAGATTTCGAGTTTATTTTTCGGTACTTCCGCGAAGAAGCGTGACATCATTTAGAGTTTGAGGAACCTGGAATCGGCTAGCCAAGGCACCAGAATGGCTGTGAAGTCTTATAAAAACTAGTCAAAGGGTGTAATGGGCGTCAAAGGACAGGAATGGCAACCAAACTTTTAAACTGCTAACAAAAACTGGTTGGCTAGCCAAAGTGTCAGAATGAAGAGCAGCCGAATATTTGCTTAATTTTCAACGTGTCGGCAATTCCCTTCCCTGTTTTCAACGTCAGCTCTATCGAAACCCCCCAAAAAACCCGACATTTCTCGGTGATTTTCGACCGAAAAACTCTGAAATTTCTCGATCATTTTCAACCGAAAAACCCTGGTTTTCGGGGTAGAGATGCCTTTACTTCAGAAGGTCGTAGCGACCTCAGTTTGCACTCGAAAAGCTTGTTATTTCGTAGGCAAAAAATAATGTCACTGAAAAATACATATTCCAAAAACGAACTCTCTGCGCCGCCTCCGCCGAAAGTTATAGCCTCCTACTTTCCTGCACATTTCTTGAAAGACCCTGTAGTAATGTCACTTTTCCATGTAAAAGCTTGGTTTTCTATTAAAAACCGGAAATCTGTAATTCTCCGCACATTATACACTTAAAATTTATTTATTCAAATAAATCTCAAATCAATTAAAAATAATTAAAGCCCTCAGTCACCAGTATTATGACATGTGATATGGTAAAAGACGTATGATAAAGCATAACCTGCCACTACCAAATTCGATATGTTCTATGTACATTAAGGAGAACACTGACTATTCAAATAAAGCAAGACGTTTTTATAAATTCGGTTATTTACTCGAACTCTGCACAATAAATTCCTATGTTTACAAGTGTAAATTACAGATCCAAGAATCGATCTTAAAGACTAAAAATTACGAGATCAATACAATAGACGTCCTAAGCAGAGGAGGAACACGTTTAACGTGACGCTCTGGGTAGATTTGGAGGAATCGCTATGGAAGACAAACGCTTCTGCTTTAGGATGGTAGGCGATTTTTCGATGCTTCCCTTCGAAGATTCGAGAGCCAAGGGAAGTTATCAGGTCCAACGCAACGCCATTCGACCATCCAAAGCCAGCCTGGAAAAAGATTATTCAGCGTTCGAAGGCACATTTAAATCCATCTCACAAGGAAAGTACTTCTATGGGTATGGAGTTACAGGTCGAGACATACATCAAAAAATTCGCAAAATTTTTCTGATTCAGAATATGTTAAAATTAGCTGCCTAATTTTGGTGTGTAAGGGCGAAAAACCCCTCAGAATTTTTCTCTCAACACCACGCAAATGCCCTTTTGACCAAGTTTTTACGAATTAAAAGGCTTGTTTTGAGCTAAAGTAAACCCTGGTATCTTGACAAGCCTTAAAATACCAAATTTGATTTATACTACACCTTCATTAGTAGTTCCAATGTAAATCAGGGGCATTTACATGCTGTTGCGAGAAAAGTTCTGAGGATTTGTTTTACCCTGACAAACCAAAATTAGGCAGCTAAATTTTGCATATTCTGAATCAGAAAAATTTTACGATTTTTTTGATACATGACTCGACCTGTAACTCCATACCCCATAGAAGTATGTTCCTTCTCAAAAAAATGTCTACCCACCTGAACCTCGTATTCTCCACCATCACCAGCTCCTTCTTTGCCCGTCACATCGTACTTTTCCCACATTACATTTGCCTTCGAAAAAGTGTGGAAGTTATTGTGAAGCCATTTTTTGGCCAATTCGATTCCTGCTTTTTGCACATTCGATGACTCCGCGTTCACAAAGGCCTGGATGACCATGTGGTTTAGTGGAGCCCATCCATTTGGGAAGTCCCACTGCTGGTTGGTGTTCTTTTTGAGGCTGAAAGAAGCAAAATAAAGTTTCAAAGTAGGATCATTCAGTTTTGTAAATTTTAGCGAATTCAAAATTTCCTCAGAATCAGCCTTCTTTCCGTCATTTGCGTAAATTTCAGCCGTATCGAGCGGTCGGTTGACCAAAAAATGGGTGTTGTCCACTTTCAAGAAGGAGATATAATCGACAACAAGATCACCATTGTAGAAAAACTTGGCGAAGGTGAGTTGTTTGTAATAGACCGGCTAGAGCAATACGGCTAGGAAGGGTTCTATTAACTTTGCCTCAATATTTCCCAAATTATTGGCCAAAGAAATCTTCAACGGTGGCAACTTTTCAGGGGGATTTGGCGCTGTGTACAAGGTCACATTGGAAGGCCATGGAAATCAAGTGTTCGCGATGAAGAGCGAGCAGCGCAATACTGGCAACGTCCTCAAAATGGAAGTCATGATTCTGCGCAAGGTCGCTGCCAAAGGGTGCAAGCATTTTTGCCGATGCATCGAGGCTGGAGTTGCGTCAAACAAGCTGTACTTGGTTATGACCTTGCTGGGCAAGAGTCTGATGGACCTTCGGATGACCATGCCCGACAACAAATTTACAATGGGATGTGCGTTGGGGGTTGGAAAGCAGTGTGTTGATGCAGTTCGGGAATTGCACATTTCCGGATTTCTTCACAGGTACTATTATTTTTCTTTTGCTCGAATAAAGCAAACACAGCTTCCAATTGAATGATCGAACGCTTTCAGAGATATAAAACCCTCCAACTACGCAACCGGTCCCGAGAAAAACTCCAGAAACATCTTTCTGTTCGACTTTGGGCTGGCCCGAAGATTCCTCGAAGAAGACGGCACGGTGCGAAAACCAAGACCGTACAGTGGGTTTCGAGGCACATGCCGATATGCGCCTCTTTCCTGTCATGTGTCACGGGAAGAGTCGAGGAAGTGCGACTTGGAGTCCTGGTTGTATCAACAAGTGGAACTGACCAAAGGCGCGCTACCTTGGCGAAGTTTCGACAACAAAGAATTGGTCGGCATTTACAAGGAGAGAAGCCGATTCGATGTTGGACTAAAGGAATTTCTAGGTGGATGTCCGCGCGAATACATCGAAATGCTCCGATATATTGATAGATTGAGGTACGGGAATAGAAAATTTGCTATCCAAAATTATTTTCAGATACTTTGATGAGCCGAATTACAAATACATTATAAAATTGCTTGACCACGCACTCAAAACCCTCCGTCTAAACGAATTTCCGTATGATTGGGAGGAAACTAGCACAGTCTACGCTGCCCACCAAGCCCTACTCGCAGAGGACGCCCAAAGCGAAAAGAAATAAACAAATCAAAAACTGATATCGAGAACTCAGACCAACAACCCACGGCTCATCATGCTTTCGAATTTGGAAATAAACTATGCGAAGACTAAAAAGCGATTCTATTTCTAGGCTTTTTGCGAAGTCTAAGAAGACATCATTTAAGATACCTAAAACAGCAAAACAAAATAAAAACCCCACCTTGTTGGAACACCTCCATCTTCGCTAAAAGCCCCCTTCAACTTCATGTTGTTGTAGATTTTCTCTTCCATCTCGGCCCCAAGATTTTCGACCACTTTTGTGAACAACGGAGTTACGGAACTGGGGTAGAATTCAAAATTGTGCACCTCCGACCTCAGATTGTAGTCAAACCATCCTGTTTGATTCTCGTTGTCAACGAAGAAGACAGCTTGAAGAGCGCTGCGGTGAGCATCAAGCAATTTTCCAAATTGGTCAACCTTCTCCTTGTTCCCTAAAAAGATTTTATGAGGATACACATTATGAATACCATGAAAAAATAGACGAATGCACGTCAAAATAAAAAGGGAATTTCGTCAAAGCCGTGGCGATCCGCGAAACAACGATTTCCCCGCTTTTCTCTGTTTTGATTTCGAAAAGAAACCGGGCTCTCTTCCCTTCTCGTTCTATTTTCGTCGAGTGGCGAGAGGAAGGGGGCGCACACACAAAAAAGGAAGAGAGCGGGCAGAGAAAGAAGAAAAAAATCGGTTGTTGCTTTTCGCTCTCACGAAATTTCCTTTTTCTTCGACAAAAAAATCAACGATGCAAAAGAATTACCTGAAATCTCATCGTGAAATTGTCGCAAGATCTTCAGATTCCAACAGATGTACGCGTTCAAGTCGACTGGCACAACATTCGTTGTCTCGATGGTTGCCAAACTCAGCTTGTCTGCGAACCAACGACTGCTGAAATCCCAGCCAGATTCAGCGGCAGAAGCCAGATCCTTCCAGACCGTCTTCTTCTTCGAATCGGAGGTGAGTTGTTTGATAATCTCGACGTCCTCTCTGAAGGATTCTGGTCTTGGGGCATCTGAATCGGCGCGATATTGGAAGACGGAGTGGGTTTCCCCGGATTTTAGTTTGACATCAACTCTACGAGAGCTGTTCCAGAATTGAAATTCCTGAAGAATTCATGTTAACTCTTGCTTCACGAGCTATCCAGGCTAAGGATTTGTTGTTTTACTCTGGAAAAAGGACAAGACCTACCTTTTCCAAGACTGGCAAGTATTTCTCAACGAATTTTTTGTTTCCGCTCGCTTTATAGTATTCCAAAAACATTCCAGCGAGAAGTGGAGGTTGTGAACGCGTCAAATAGTAGACTCTCCCTCCGTTCGGAATCATGCCATATTGTTCTACCATGCTAGCAAAGTTCATAAGCATGTGTTCTACAGTTTTGTACATTCCTAAAACCCGGAGATTACACTCATTCTCGTTAATCTTTGCCTACCTGACACTAGCAATCCCTTGATGGTCCAATAAGAGTCCCAATAGTAGAACTCTCGGAATCGCCCGCCTGGAACGACGAACGGATGTTCCACGTAGATCAGTGAGTAGCGTTCCGGCGCATTCTTGATCTCGGGGTTCATTTTACGGCACAATTTCTTCCAGATATCGTTCAAACCCGTGGCCCATTTGAAGTAGTCTTGATTGGCAATGTCTTTGAAGCTTGGTGGGTTCGGATTCCAATCTTCTAATTCACAGCTAAAATAGAGGGATTAAAAGTGTTCATGTGTGGTTTTTAAAATTCGGCCAGAATTTTTTTTTGAGCTGCATTACAAATTTTGTTTGTTTCTCTTTTTGACCATCCAAAAAAACGACTCGATATCACGGGTTGTCCCAAAAAAAACGCCATCTAAAGTAGGGGACCTGATCCAGTGGCAAAAAACGTACCATTTTGCATCCGGGAAGGATCAAAATGTGGCAAAATCCTTCCCTCTCCGAGTGAAAAAACTCCGATTTCAAAAACGCGCCCGCTCTTTTTGTAAGGGAAAGTGTGCGGCCTTAAAAACGAAGTTCTTTCACTTGCAGGAAGCATTTTGCCACATTTTTGATGCTTCCCGGATGCAAAATGGTACGTTTTTTGCCACTGGATCAGGTCCCCCACTGTAATATTGTCTTAATTTACTTACTCAGCTAATTCGTGGCACGTCCCTTCAAAGTTCTCATCGACGAATTCTTGAAGAGCCTCCTTTGTTATGTTCTCATCCTCTGGAAATCGCTCCTCAAACTTTTGCAAAACTTCTAATGGGCTGTATTTCATAGGTTTGTCGACGAAAGTCTTGGAGTCCTCAAAGAGTTTGAAGGCTTGCACGGCTTGAAGGATGCGCCCCGAACAGTAGATGAAGTGGTTTTGGGGTGCGGTGGTGTTGTCACAAGCATAGTGAAGGCCTTCGATTTGGTCGACTTTGAAACTGGCGGGAATGTGATCTTCCGCAGTGGTGGAATTTGCTGAAAATCTCCACATATTATTAAATCATATGGTATAAAATTTGAAATTTTGTGCTCTTCGGTCGATCTAGGCGAATGTGTTTGTAATTCTATAGGTATAGAGTTATACCTATAGGTATAATAGGTATAGATTTTTGCCATCATTACCTTTCCGGCTGTTATAGCGCTCCCGGCTTATAAGTTGAAGAGGCTGTTCAAAGTAAGTGTTCGGCTGAATATATATCACATAGCCTGATGTGAGGAGATTATATGAGTTATATGACATATGAGGACACAAAAAGGATAGAGATAGGCGTTTTAAAGCTGGGACAGCAAACAGTTTTTAAACTTAAAAATACTCCTTTACTTTAGGCTACATCGCAGACGCTACTTGAAAGGAAATCGCTTTTTTTCAGTATCTAATGTGCACATTGTGAAGCCACGATAGGGAAACAACAATTATGGCAGTAAACTTACCGAAAAGTAGTAATAGCACTACCGTAACACCAATTTTGTCCAACGTCATGGCAAGGATGTGTAGGTGGTCTGCGGGCTTCCCAAGCGGATTGATCTGATCTTTTTTGATCGACTAAAAGTATTCAGGATCAAAAACAACGAGAGGGAAAGTATACGGCACGTAATGACGCGAAAAAAGAAAAAAGTTACAGTAATAAAAAAATATGGCAAATTTTAAACCGTGCAACCCACAGTATCCTCCCCTTTTTTGAGGATACCCTCTTTATAAACGAAAAAAAGCGTTCGCTCCGCCTCTGAATTATCGCAGCTGCTGAGAGCGTTATGTTTATCCGGTTAAGTCATGATCTACAAAAACGTAATTTTCTAAAATTAGCGCAGATGATGCTACTCACTTCCTCAATAGATGCTTTATAGTTTAGAGTTGGACAACAATAATCGCATCAAAAAAATCATCCCTTTTTTGAGTTAGCTAGCCTAAACTCACCAAGATTCCAAAAGAGAAATATTGATCACCGACCACTCACAAGAAGGCACCGAAGGATTTTGACGTGGGTGTGACTTCATAATCCACGTTTTGGTCGAATAATTTGATTTTCAAGGTCAAAATTTGAATTTACGTGGCAAGTCGAATTTTGAAATTCGTATTTTGGAGCAAAAATTTGCATATCCCCGCCAATCTTTTCATATAAATTTTGGGAAATTTTGCACTATTTTCAAAGCGCTCGGATAATTTTTATGCAAATTTTTCACTAGACGCATACGAAGATCGGAATGCCAAATTGTTCCAAGGAGAACAAAAACAGAAAATGATTACGTGGTTAGAAGTTACGGACCTATCGATTATCCATTTTCAAAAAAAAAATGCCGTTTGGAAGTCCTTTTGGTTAGGCCCAGAAAATCGGTTCACAATCAAAAAAATCTAGAATAAAACGATCAGGATACCCTAAGGAACTTTAAATTGGAAAATCAAATAGTGATTACTCTTAAAAATTGAGACGACTCCCACGTGACGTGAGACCCCGACTAAACGTCACCATAGAGATTTTTCACGTTAACTGCTCAAATAATTGTTTATCATTTAAGAACCGTAACTGTAGCGTAAATTCCGCTAATTTTCGTCAACGAAAGGTTGATCATTAAACTAAAATCCTACATTTATTCTAAACTCGAATTGTAGGGAGAATGATCAACGAAAAATCATCAATCAAACTTCTACAGTACCACCGGCTGAAACGAAATGCAGTCCAGGTTTAAGAGCGATCGGAGAAGGACAATTGTATATTTCGTCGATTCTGCGAATGTCGGAATTATTTCGTAAATTCCCCGTCGTCAATACGCATGACTTTTTTCGGACCCCTTTTTCAAGTGCTGCTCTTAAAATTGCACCCAGCACGTGAGCTACTACTAGAACCCTCCAAAATCGAAACAATCGTTCAAAAGACAGCTGAAGTGCGATTTGAATGGCTAAATACGCGGACAAATAAGCAAAATCATGGCAGTTTTGTTGATGAAAGGTTTCAAGGGGCTTTTTCGAAGAAATTATATCATTTGAGCAGGTACAGTTTTCATTTTATAGGAACATTTTAATAAAAATCACAGCGAAAATTCATTGAATTTGGTTGGGTATGCATTTCAATAAACTTATGGAAACTTTCCAGGGTGAGGCTAGAGAAAAACTTTTGGACTAAATTGGCCAAGTAAAATTGAAGTAAAAATAAACAAATTTTTGCGCGATTAAATTGACGTAATTGCTATAAAAGAGGAGGTAAAACTCATAGTGCAACAAGCAACGTTTGCTGAAAATGGTCAAAATCTTTTTTGCTATTTGACAACCTTCACTTTAATCTGTTGTTTTTGTCAATTTCCAAATGTCGCTTCAGTTTTTTTTTGCCACGCGGGATGGCTTAATCCGTGGAAACCGTGACTCAAACAGGAGTGAGTGTATGTGGCTCAAATAGGGGTGAGTTAAACCAGCCGTCAGATTAAACTTTACCGTTGTTAGTAAATATGTATACAATTAAACTTTTCATGCAAGAGTACTCGCTAAATCACATCAGTTTAATCTACAGTACAGAACTTGGTTATAGCGTTTACATTGGTCACAGCTAAGCCTACTTTATACAAAAAACGTCTTTATGCTATATCTCTTCGGAATGCGTTTAGGAAAAGGTGATTTTTTTGCCGGGATTTTACTCCTCAATTTTAAAAGCCCACAGGCTACGGTCAAGCCCGATATTTTAAAAATGAGCGCTCTCTCTCTTAAACACCGGTAGCCTTTGTAAGGAGCAAAACACACGATCAAATCTGCGCTAGGAAACATCAATCTAAATTCGCGCCGGGTTTCTGTGGGAGTGTGAAAAATTGTGTGTACTCAGGGTACTTAAACTGTTGGGGGAAAGCGGATTGAAATTAACAAACGCCTCACAAAAAGAAGAGAAACCAGAAAACGTTAGACAAAAGCAAGTTGATCGGAGTGCTCTAATATGTTGTCTCTTGAACCTATTTTTTTTATTTATGTAACCGATCGGCGTTCGCTACCCCCGCGACTCATCGAGAACGGTAGTTTTGTCTACGCTTTGTTCCATCGGACTATTACAACGCTGTCAATTTTAATGTTTAAAACAGACGTGAACAACATTACGCTGAAACAACATCTCCTTACATAGTGCGCGCCAAAATGATAGAGCCACTCAATTTTTTTGGATTTATTATTTTATTATGGGGCCGAGTTGGCATGATGAATTTGGCGACGGCATGATGGACCTGTACAGTCCCAATCCAAAAAAAAAATCAAAAATTCGGGGCTTTCCGATAGTACTATCGCACATGAGCCATAGATACATAAAACAGAACTGAATTTAACAATACCTTTATTAAAATTTCTAACGGTATTATGAATTATACCAAAGTGATATCTGAAAAACTTTCGGAAAAAAAACTCCCAAAGCAGATTACATACATGGCTCAAGCCCGTTAAATAAAAAATATAAGTATGCGCAAATGTGTTGGTAGTGTTTGTCAACGAGTCAAGTGACACTCATAAAACCGTACAGCCACGCTGCATTTGTAAGACACCTTGAGGGCATTGTTAAAACACGTTGGGTGCGGGGTAAATAAAGGCTGCGACAATTGGAGACCACGTTCGGAACGGCGGGGGTTTCTTTTTAGATTTGAAAAGAAACGAATGACTAATGTAAAATTTATCAAGAACGATTGTTTGCCTTTTATAGAGTAAATTTAAAACCTTTCGGAGCCAACTAATCGAAGAATTCGCATAAAACGGCTCTTCATTATTGATTGCCCCAAAAATGTGAAGTAAAGGGGGCCGCAAAATTAGTGGAAAAAACATCCGGGAACACAGTGTGCTCTCGAAAACAAGGAAGATAATATAATAACAGTACAGTGTTATAAAGGAGCCTTCGCAAAACAAAAGCGCATTGGAAGGGGGAGATCCAAAAAATTGGCAAGGAAAATTGGTTGTCTTCAGGGACTTTTGAGCGCTTCTATACTCCTTTGCTTGGTAAAAAATAGCGTTTTCACAAGCTAGAAAATTAACCCAAGTGGGTTAATTTTCTTTTTCTTTAAACTTGGTGCACGATACTAACCCATATGGGATTTTCCTATTTTTCTTTAAACTTGGTACACTCTAAATAAGCTACACTTGGTTTGGTCTAATTTTACACCCAGTTTCATGAAAAGCAAAGCGTCGCATTTGAAGCACTTTTCTTCAACAAAATTTCAAAATCATCCCGACCATTTGTGCCGCCTTTTATAGGTGTTTTCCCTCCATAAAAGTGTACCATTCAACTTTTTGTCTGGTCTATTTTTGGAGAATTTTTGTAATCGCGGTTTAAAAACCCTGCAATGCAAACAGAACGACTCGATTTCCACGAGACTTGCGACAATGAACGACTATAAAAGTTTAGCCCTGCTATTCAATATCACTACAGATAAAGTTCAATTCTTTCTACTATAAGACCGAAACGTTCCGATTAAAATAGTGTAAATTTATTTCAATATATATTCTGACAAGAAGTCAAGCATATAAGCATTGATAAAACACGTTGGAGGTACCCGTAAAAATTTCAAAAATTCTGGAATAGAAATCAACGAAAGAAGCTTCTTTAAAGAAGCGGCTGACGGAGGCCTAAATTTAATATGGCTAATTGTAAGCTGAAGGTCCGGAGGTGCCAAAAATTCATGCCCCTTTAGTCATGGCTGTACAGAAAATCGTACAAGTCGGTCACAATCTTCGGCTTCAGAGATAAAACATATAGTCACCGAACTGCGCATAAACCTACATGTATGATTTATAATAATTACATAGTCTGGGAGATTACGAAATGCCGATCGGGGGGAATCCCGCCCCTCTGAGATTGGGCATTTGACCTTTGATCCCGGGTTTCAAAATACGCAAATTACTCTAGGTAAGCGATGGGATTGTGGGCTGTGGGGTCAAAGTTCGTCTGCTTAGGAACAAGCAGGCTGAGGAAATAACGCTTTATGAGTAAAATAGCGATCACAGTAATCAAGCTAAACAGAAAGCTTTTTCATAAAACAGAAAAAATGTAAAGAGGTAAGACTATGCACAAGAAAAACAAAATGACAAATAGATAAACCGTTTGGCTTAAGGCAAATTATCCTCAAAATCCCCATCCTCGGCTTCGCTGGCCTGCGACGAAGCCGGGTCGATCTTGATGATCGGCCGGTTCGCATACAACGAATTGTTCACAATCACACTGTTCTTGACGCCCGTCGGAACCGGCTGCAACGACGGTCGACGGAACCACGGAAAGCGGGCCGCCCTCTTCAGCTGACGTTGTTGGAAGTTTCGGAACAGATTGCGTTCGGACGAAACGGTGCCGTTCCGTCGGCTTTGATCGATGTACGCCTTCATCTGTAAGAAAAGTAAAAGTGTAACTGCTCAACTTTTGAAACGTTTTAAAGACAAAACAGCTTTTTTAAAAGCTTCTAAAAAAGCTGTTTTGTCTTGTGACATGAAACTTCTTGTTTGCGGATAGTTGCGTCTATGGCGATCTAGGTTTGTTCTAAATTTGTCTCGGTTACAACGCGGCTTCCATTTTTAGCAACCATCGATCACTACGCGTAGACTCATAAAAGGGAAGAAGAATCTCATTCTTTTGAATCTATACTCTGGGTGTTGAAGGGAAAAGTCAGGATTTCCATCGAAAAAGAATGAGAAAACGGGAAATTTAGGCGGCGATTTTACAACGGAACGCGCTGTTACGATCTTTAAAAGTCAGTCAATAGAAATGATATATTTGGAGCTATTTTTTGCCGCTTTTAAATGACCTTAGAAATTGCTTACCTTTGTGCCTTCATTGAAGACAATTTGCCGAAAAATGATGGCATGAACAATAATGATCAAGAAGAACAGCCACATCACGCCAACCACATGCAATGCTCGCTTCACCGAGAAGACGAGCACCATTAAGGCGAGTATGACGGCCGCTCCAATAAACCGGTAGACCATGTCGAACTTAAGCCAAAGGTTGTAAGGCCGCGGAGATTTGAATGCAGTACCCCTTATTATTCGACAGATTTGGAAGTAGAGGCTGATGTTTCCAATAAAGAGGGATGTAACGATCAATGCGACCCAGAGAATCCCCTGAAAACGGGCGAAAATATAACTTGGAGGGACTACTGAATCAATCGAACTTTATTAATTAAGTAAGGGCGAAACTTGGCGGGTTTATCTCCAATCTGACCGATGTAACCGTTCGGTTATTTCGCGTGATCTAGCCGGTCAAACTGGACCCCATTTTGTCTGATGCATATTAAACAGGCCTAGACTTACATATTCCTGTGTAGTCCCCTCGTTCATCCATTTCATGGCCAAATAGCCCGAGGCAAAAAGCCCCACAATAATCCAAAAGATGGTCACCAATATAAAAAAGGTCGTCAGGAGACTGTAGTTGGTGCTGCAGCGTTTAATCTTCGCGGAAGCGCGATGAGAATCTGCTCGATGCAACATTCTGCAATTTTGGTGATAAAAACATTCCAACAATGGCAAAAATCTCGTAAACGCGAAGTAATAAAAATTCTAAAATCGCAGACTTTCAGCTCTTAAGGCTCCATTCCTCCGCACTTTCGGCGAAAGCGTTCATTTTGAGCTCTATTCAAAAAACAAACGAAGTAAGGCGGTGGATACATAGACACATCGAAAGTCAAACTCAATTTGCCTCAAGATGTCGAGAGGAGAGGGAAATACATGTTGTTAATTTCGAGGAGGTGCAACGAAAATAGGATGGATATTTTGGAAACATTGGAAAGAGCTACCGCAAACGTACGAGTGAAACATCATAGTTATCAAAGTGTCATCGTTATTTCTCCGACCAGTTCTCCTTGTTTTGCGTATTAATCTTCAAATCTGTCTGCTCAATATAGCTGATTGATTGTCATATAACTTTTTTCAATAATCATGGCTTAAGCTTGCACTTTTCAGAAATTATGAGGCATTAGTTAACAAGGAAAGTTCAATGCAAATCTAGACAAATTTGGTACAAATTTAGCAAATTTTTTCGAAAACTTTTCCGACATGAAAACTTTCGTTACTATTTTTACTGTAGTGGTTAATGTTTCATCACAAAATCAATTTTTTCGCACGAATCAGGCAAGCATGTAGCCGAAAAAGCGTTTTTCAGAAAATTTTCTCTCTCTGCCCGTGCTTTGCTTTCGCGTGCTCTCTCGGTCGCAGAGATCATTGAATATCTCGGCCGCCCCTGGGGGGCGCGAGCAGAAACTTTGAAGAATTGATATGTGTCCTATGTCCTTTGTGTGTGCAAAAGTTAAAGATAAAATGAACGCCGCATTTGGGGTACCTGCCTTCTTAGTTTGCCTGATCACGCCTTAAAAACTGTTTAACTTTGTGAGCTCTCACCTAGCACAAATCGTATCCAGAACCCTTCCTTATACGGTCTTAAAGCAAAGTACGCCTTGAGTTTCTCCAAATATACGGCAGAGGCATTCCAATTTGGCCCCAACAAATTTGAGTCACCGGAAACTTTTGAGAAAAGGAAGAGGATTCCCAAGCCAAGGAAAAAAATCCGAATGTCCGTAGCCCTTGAAATATATATAGTCCAGGACATAAAAAAAGACGGGACCGCAGATTTTTGGAGGCAATTAATGACGTCTGCAAGGCCGAGAAATTCCTTCAACGGAAAAAGCAAATACTTCAAATGGGGTCCAGACAAATTACTCGTGTTTTCGGAATCCTCAAGATTTTTGGCCACTTGATCTTGGCCAGGACTTGTTAGATAAACAATTTTTAACAAGGCTCTTGTTTCTTTCGGGCCGACTGGTTGTTTAGGGTAGATGAAAATTCCGGTAATGCACAGGAAACGAGTAAGAAATGATGATAAACTGGGCCGTTCGAAGTCGCAAAACTGATAAACGCAAACTCCGCATGCAAAATTGGCATGTCTCCGGGTGAGGCGATTAATTTTGCAGCCATTACTTTTTAGGCCCGGCCCGGTTTTAAAGTAAGTTCGGATTTTACAAGAACTAAAAAAGTTTTTCTGAAAATTATCGTAGAACTTCGCTTTCCGACCGCGTTGATGACATGGGCGGCACAGCCGAAGTCTCAAAAGATTGTTGAAATTCTCATTGCGCCACTGGCTGTTGATTCTTGGTCGTTTATATGAAAAATCGGCGTGATAAAGTCGTCCGGCAAGGCCGCAAAATCACTCTACGGCTCTATTATAATAGTTTAGAAAAAGAAATTCAAAAATCGCCTTGAAACAAAGGAAAATAAATAGAATGCCAAAGAACGTTTTCTCACGGAACAAAAATTTCCAAAATCAATAAATTAGGCTAGAAATTTTACCCCGGCCGACCGGGCAGGCTTTCCAAATTTTCGAGGGACGGCCCGATTTGCAGCCATGCTTAGTATAGACGTAAGTTTTACGGGTGTTAGTCCTAGTGTTTCGCAAGTCCATCGGAACCAAATTCCGAACAGCCCTCTCCACCGAGAATGTAAGCGGTTTGGCGCCATCTCAAGACGGTGTAATCGGGTTTCGGGTGCTATGAATTATTAATAATTCGAAGTGTCTGGGAATCGCTGAAAATTGTTTTCTGTGGAGGCAATATCTTTTAGAATTACCGAAATAGAGGAATAAAAATAGATACATTATATTATCCGAAGTCCTGAAAGACGTAAAAATCAAGAGAATATTCATGTCAAGGCTTGTACTTACTAACCACTATATATCCAGCCTCGTCCAATATTTTAGGGCTCAAGGCGAATACAATCCAGAGAACCGTTCAAAAACGTTTCCTTTCCCTTTCGGCAACCATATCCGGCGTACCAAACGCTTACGCAAACCGTTGAAACTCACACTTCCTTCGCGGGGCCGTTCATTTTCACACCCCTACAGGTGTGTGGCCAAACATAGTGGAATGTAAACACCGTTTTGGGCGTGTTCCGGCCCCACTGAAACCGGTTGCATTTATTCTGCTAAACTGAACTTTTGGAAGTTTTCCTTTCGCCGAAATCCTTCTAAAAGTTGTTTTGTTTTAGGCCCAACAAAAGATTAAGAATTTGCAAAATCCGGGGACAATGGTGTGACAAGAGTCCACGCATAAAAAATTCGAGCTCATCTGGCACGTCCAAAAACTTTTTTTTATAATGATAAAGGTCAGAGTAACATGATAAAAAAAAATCAGCGAACTTAGTCACTTTTTTAGTCACAGCAAAAATCAATTCAAAAATTTAAGGATCTACCGATTTCGGGCTTCAAAACCTGCAATGAAAATGCCTAGTACGAGGCTCTCCGTAAATGTAGAATTGCCAATTTTGTGTACAAAGAAAGGGGTGACCTTAGATTGCATTAAAAAACTTTGGGTTTTCCATACTTTCGAAGCTGAAAATTTCTACGATTCTTGAAAAAATGCAAATTAAAAATCTCTAACGTATATTAGAAGATCTTGGCCTGATGCCCTGGCCAAGTTCCGCCACAATCTGAACGCCTAAAATTGAGCATTGCTCGGTTAGCAAAAAGTGGAGTATAATATTTGTTACCCCGTATTTTTCCTCAACATCACGAGTCAAACACTGGGTTCGAGTTCAACTTTCAAAAAAAAGCCAAAGTTTTGCGTAAATAGTGGCCAACTGCTAAGCGTATAAAGGTAGTATTCAGAGGGCCGCCCTTTGATTCTTTCAAGAGATAATTGGCCAATTTGAGGTTATTTCTATAAAAAAGTTAGGAACTCCCACATACATATTTTCGGCGCCTAATTCCAAATGATTTTTGAAAATTGAAAAAGGTATGTTTTTCGACAACCCCAAATAAATAAAGAGAAATAGCCTAGAAATCTTTGAGTTATAAATACAACCTGTAAAGACTGGTTTTTTGAGAGAAAGTTAATAAAATGAAAAAGAAATGTCACAGAGCCTTGCCACAGAGCCAGGGCAGACCAATAAACAAGTAAAGCCGGGAAACATTGATAATAATCCCACGTAAACAAAACCAGGATAGCGCTTGCTTGAGCTCTCAGCCCTAAAGCTTTTTACATCGTGGCTTTTGCAGCATAACTCTGCTCCAAAGTTATAAAATGAAGTTGAGTCTTTTTGAAGCTCATAAATATAGTAAAGTTGGCACAAAGGCTGCAGTAAATTTGGCACAGAATAACTGTCCAAACAATTATTATATGCAAATACCATGCAAGCGGATGTATTCAAAGGTAAGAGGAGTTCACAACAGGTGTAAAAAGGAAACCTAAGAGCAGAGAAACATGCAGCTCGTCTAAAAATTGGAGCTGCATTATCAACTCAACAAAAAAGCTGGATTTCAATTTCTGAAAATTTTAGCTGGCGCTTTGCCGATACATCCAAGATACAACGGGCTGCAAATCTCTTATTCTTCGTTACCCTAAGTTTCCACAAATCCTGCACGTCCTGCCCGGCCACAGATGAATAGAGAAATAGCGGAGTAAGAGTTAAAGGAAAACAATTTGAAGAAAAGGAAATCTTCCAAATTGGGCGCTTAAACGGCGTCATGACCCAAACCCACATCCACCCTCATTAGGCCAAGTGGGTGCTGGATTTTTTTCAATAGGGGAAACAAAAGCGGATTAAACAAGAAACTACACCACGCCACTTTCGCTGAAAGCATCTGGAGAGAGTGTGAAAGTTGTGTGGTGGCATTTCGGTAGCGGTACTATTTTACTAACAATGTGCGCGTCTGGTTCGGCCGCTGGTGTAATCAGAGTTAATACATTCATTTATTCGGTCTACGAGCTAACGTCACCCTTTCTCTCTCTCTCCCTCGCGCTCTCAATAAACTAAAAACCTGCCGCGACAAAATGATGCTACATTGGAGGACCTGATCCAGTGGCAAAAAACGTACCATTTTGCTTCCGGGAAGTATCAAAATTGTGGCAAAATGCTTCCCTCTCCAAGTGAAAAAACTTCGTTTTGAAGGGCGCGACCTTTCCCTCACAAAAAAGCGGGCGCACTTTTGAAATCGGAGTTTTTTCACTTGGAAAGAGAAGCATTTTGCCACATTTTTGATACTTCCCGGGTGCAAAATGGTACTTCTTTTGTCACTGGAGCAGATCCCCCACTGTATATATATATTATAACAGTTTGATTTTTCCATACGACCGCGCTGGAGACCCAAACAACAAACCAGAATTTGAGATAAAAGTAATTTAAAGCCAGCTTGCACTATGATTACGGCCTAACAACTGCGCTTAAACCTTCAATTACTGTGGCACGTATGGCCGGAAACATAATAGCACTTCTTAATTTGGAATTTAATCCAACATACATAAACGCTTTACTCTACGAGATTCCGCTGATTTTGACGAATAATTCATACGGAGATATCCGTAGAGGACAAGGATTATGACTGGAAGGGATGACGGTACTTGAACGATCTTGTTTACCCATCACATCTTGTCCATTAGGGTTTCGGCGGACGGAAACAAATAACATAAATTTCGGACAAACGGCCTTCGAAAAAGACCGACAAACGCAATACTATTTACACAAATAATAAATAATTGGATTGATGACGATTATCCGAGTCTTAACGTGTCTTGTAACGTCTGGACAATGGCTTTGTGTTTTACGAATTTTGCTTTCACCGTGAGATCTTCTAAATCTTCAAAGAAAGGCTGAGTTTAGTCCCTTGATTGCTTTATTTAGTGTGTTAATTGAAAATTTACCCGTATTAAAAATCACAATAATCTATGAACCAAAAAATTTGAAAAATATAAATTAATGAGTCTTTGCCAATTTCCTTCTCGCCATATCGCGCACGGTCAGTGACAAGTTGTCCCAATATAAATCGAACAGCATTTCTGGCATCAATTGGAAGAGTCCGTAGGCCTGCAATTCGTGGCTTTGATAGCCGGTGGTTTCGTGGATATGGCCGATGGAATCGACTGCCTGCTTCGCGTACTCCGCCGCAGACGGACAGAAGTAGGTTGGTTTGCGGACCTTGCTCATGTTGGTGGATACCATCATCGGGGAGACGCATTGGACCGTGATTCCGTATCTGGAGTATTCTTTGCGAAGGATTGTGGTCAACTGAACAACGTATTTCTGAAAAGAAATGTATTAGAATTGAGCCTGAAGCCGTTGGCTTTGAAAATCGGTAGTTATGTATGTCTATAAAACATCCGAAGATTCCTTACCTTAGACGCGGAGTAGACTCCCCAATAAGCGGCGTTGGCGAAGCAGATTGACGAGCTCAAGTTTACCACGACGCCAGAGCGACGTTGCTTCATTTGCTTCAGAATTCTGTGGCATAGAAGAGTCACGGGCAAAGTATTGACATTGAGGACATCGCGATGACGCTCTTCTCCGCCATACATCTCGGTAAACTCGTCCGGGAAATGATGAGAAAGCCCTACGTTGTTCACAAGGACACCAATTGGCAAACCTTCGATCTGACTGAACAGTTTGCTCTCGTATTCGGCCAAATTGGTGCTGGTGAAGTCGAAGGAGACGCACTTGACTTCAACTCCGGTCTCAGAGCGGATTTCCTCTGCAACCGCTTCCAATTTTTGCGGGTTTCTTGAAACCAGAACAATCTTGAAACCTCTTCGAGCCAGTTCCACGGCGTAGCCTTTGCCAATTCCGTCGGTTGAGCCGGTTACTACGGCCCATTCAGCACCAGCCATCTTTTTGAGATTCTTTGGAACAGCCAAGCTGTAAACGTAGATTACAGCGTATAGAAATTGTAGGAGCTTGAGTAGGAGGACGGCAAGAGCACCATAGCCGAACGCGACGAGGAGAAATGGAGCAGCCATGTTTCTTATTGGTAGATAATAATAGATCTGGTAGATACTCTTAAACTTGAAGTAATTGCTTATTTTTAACGAGAGAGAGGTTGATACGTAAAAGGAAATGAATTTTCCCTTATATACAAAGCTCCTCAAGTCGAACAGTCTTATCAGTAGGGTCACGAAATTCATTCTTTTTATGGGGTAAATGTGTAAAAAATTGTGGGCTGATTAAGATAGTTGATAACCGGGCGGAGCTGTTGGACTTGTCATGATTAAACTTGGACTCGGGAACAGAAGGAAGCGGAAGCAGGTGCTAAAATTTTGCTATCGGACAATATGTACGTAAATAAGCCTTGAATCGTACAGCTTAAACTTACAAGGGAAGTACTGCAGGTTTGACGCACAGATTTCGATAAAACTTGGCACAAAAATAGAACAATTTTTTCTAACAACTGTAAGACATACTCGAGCGAGACTTCTAGCTCGCGCTTTGCAGAAACAACCGGAATTTTTAGATTGAAAAATGCTGCACTCTTTGTGGAATGATCACTCAATATCTTCGCGGGGCCTTCAAAGCGCAAGCTAAGGTTTTCTGGAATTGATATGTGGTCAAAGTATGTGCAAAATTAGAGAAAATCTAAGCGTTGCACTTGAAGTACTTCACATGTGAGTTTGCTTTTTTTTGCTTTTATATGGAAACATAAGGTAGATACAGTCCGAAGTAAAATGGGACTTTGGACAGTCTCTTTGAGGGCGATACTCCCTTTCGCAGACCAGACATCGTCTTTTTTGAAATGCAGCAATATTTTTGTTTTTCTTGGTTCAATCAAGACGCTGCACCGAGAGTGAGCTGATCAGAGAACGCTGTGAGCCAAATCTTTGATCTTATTACCCAATCATGCCATTATAATGCGAGAATTGATAAAAAACATGAAAGTGTTCCTCAAAAAATAACAATACAACTTCAAACTCCGGCATCCATGCCAGTTGCATGACAAACGGATGAGCAAATACACTTTACAACTCAGATATTCGATGTTCTGTTATGCTATGATATGGGATTTCACGGATTTCTAGACTTTTTTGAGACACCTTCTGGCTCCTTCTCGTTCCTGATTTCTAACGTGATTTTCTTACGGTTCCGTCTTTTTTTATCATATCTCTGAGTCGAGTTACATATTGAAAATATTTTGCTTGTAAACCTGTCAATTCGTAATCACTTCAAGTCATACAGTCTTGATTTTTTTCGTTGTATTGAGAGCGACAAGGAAGTTAGTTTACGACCGACAGTTTTATGAAAGCAGTTTCTATTTCCATCTAATTTTGGATGTAAAAAAGTTGATTCTTTGATGCTATGAGAAAAAAAGAGAGTGCTCAAGGATCAACCTTTCAAAACCTTGCAAAGGCGTTAGAAAAAATTTCTCTCATTTTTCAATTAGATCAAAATTAACTAGTCTAAATTTACTGTCTCTAATGGCAGGAAAGAAAAATATGGCTAGTTCTGAAATGTCTCATACACCCTTATCATAACAATACGACCAAGTCATCGACGTAATCGGCAAACACGGAAGAAGCCAAAGCGGCTTATAGATTCTCAGGTCTTTGCTATATAAATTCACAATTTTTGAGGAAGTAAACAGACATAATTCGTACTGTATTACAAAAAAAAAACTGTTCAACTGAATACAGCTCTTATTCCGGCCAGGGCTGTGATGGTGACAATCGAAAATAGCCACGAGATATATCTGTTCCGTAACTTGATTGTGGCTTTCGGCTATGGTGCTTTTGCGGTTCTACTTTACAAAATGTTGAACTTTTTCTACTCAGTAATCTACATATTTTACTTAACTGATCCACTTGACCTAAAACCAATGGCCGGCGCTGACTGGGCACTGATCACCGGCTCAACCGACGGAATTGGCAAAGGCTATGCCGTGGAAATGGCTCGAAGAGGCTTTAAAATTGTTCTGGTTTCTAGAAACGCACAAAAATTGGAAGCGGTCGCTGAGGAAATCCGCTCCGAGACCGGAGTTGAGGTCAAATGCGTCTCCTTCGATTTCACCAGCACCAATTTGTCCGAATACGAGAGCAAACTCTTCGGTCAGATCGAAGGTTTGCCAATTGGTATCCTTGTAAACAACGTAGGACTTTCTCATCATTTCCCGGACGAGTTTACCGAGATGTATGGCGGAGAAGAGCGTCATCGCGATGTCCTCAATGTCAATACTTTGCCCGTGACTCTTCTATGCCACAGAATTCTGAAGCAAATGAAGCAACGTCGCTCTGGGGTCGTGGTAAACTTGAGCTCGTCAATCTGCTTCGCCAACGCCGCTTATTGGGGAGTTTACTCCACGTCTAAGGTAAGAAGTCTTCAGAAAGTTTTTATAGGCATACATAACTACCGATTTTCAAAACCAACGGCTTCTGGCTCAATTCTAATACGTTTCTTTTCAGAAATACGTTGTTCAGTTGACCACAATCCTTCGCAAGGAATACTCCAGATACGGAATCACGGTTCAATGCGTCTCCCCGATGATGGTATCCACCAACATGAGCATGGTCCGCAAGCCAACTTATTTCGTTCCAAGCGTCGACGACTACGTTCGGCAAGCAGTCAGCACGATTGGTCGCGCCGCAGAGACCACCGGATGTCAAAGCCATCAATTGCAAGCTTTCTGGTTTTTTCAAATCCTTCCAGAGTTCTTCTTTGATATTTTCTGGGACAATTACTCGAATTCCGTGAGAAAGATTGCCAGAGAAAGATTGTTTAGGTGTCAACAAACAAGTGGAGAGTAGTTTAGTTATGGGTATTTTAATATGTGCGTAATATGTATGATATTTGAATATATTTAAATAATTTTGTTTATTATCGGTCTACGGGTTGTGTTTGTTATAATAAAGAAAGATTGTAAAGGGCACTGAACGTCGAACTTTAGAAATTTCTCTTGTGAGCGTCGTCGCACTTCTGTATTGAACTCCAAACGTCCTTACAGCGTAGTTGAAGTGAATAAAATAAAAAATATATTCCGAACAAACATGGTTATATAAAACCTTTCTGTCAATCGGTTGTTTGAGGTCGAAAAGTCATCAATGGCTTCATGATGATAAAAGTTAAATTCCGTTGCGTTTGAAAACTTGTAGAATTTTTTCCCTTTCAACATAACCTCTGAAGAAGCCGTCTTTGGGATGAACCCTGCTCATCCCTTCAACGACTGGATAATTGCATATAATGCGCTTTCTCTTTCGGTTTACATCCACAAACCCCACTTCGAACGCGATGGTTCCACTTTTACGCCATCTCAATTACGGAGAAAGTAGCGCACGTTTTGGTATTCTCGACCTGTTCATATAATTATGGATTCTTAATTTTGACGATTGTTTGTTCAAGGAAGTCTCAGTTATGTCCACAGAATGTTAAGGAATAAAAGCGACACTTCGGCGGCGACAAAAAGGTTCGTTTTTGGGGAGATTAAGGCTCTTTTTTTTAAGTTTTCAGTTATTTATTTAGCTACTTTAAAGTGCAAAATTATTTATGTCTGCCATAAGCGGATTGTTTTTGATTTTTTTGCAAAAATCTGCTGATTAGAGACTTATTTTTGGCGGTGGGAGGATTTTGTCGTCGGGAGAGAAAGACGAGCTCGCAAAATGCGGAGAGCGGTCAGAGATCAAAGCACTTTGACGCCGTATATTTGTCAGTGTAACTGTCAAATTTTGCCGACTTTCAATCTACATATCCGCTCCGCAAAACGCCAACTAGGAGCCTGGCAGAGCTGAAAGTATCGCATATAAAGCTAACCTAAATTTGTACCAAGTTTCATCAAAACCTAACATAAGCGTTGCACTTGTAGAACTTCGATGATAAAAGATTGATAAAGGATACCATTTTTAAACAGTGTACAATTAGTGCTGTGGTGGCTAGACTACATAAAGCTGTATTTTTTCAGTACCGACTCTGAATCGACCTCAACCTTGTCACGTGAAGAGCTGACGGTAATATGCTACGAGACCCGGCTTTTCGCCCGATTTTGCGTATTTCTGGCTACAGTATGCGCAATCTCGGCCGTCCTCCTGGTGCCTTTGGTCTATTCGCATATGGTGTATACGGAAGACATTGTCGAGGAGGATTTGTCATTTTGTCAGCATCGGATTCGCTACGTAAAAGATCGATTGTACGAGCTGACAGACGGGTTTATCACAAGGCACAAACGGGCATCATTCCTCGACCAGAAGGCGGTCAAGAAGTTAAGGAAAAGGCCGCGTCGACGAAAGGCTGGGCAAAGAATTAATCCGCAAGGTGCGCAGAAGGACGACTATACTGGAGAGCTGGACGAATACGACGATGAGGACAGGTATCGTGAAAAAGGTAGGAACTTTTTGTAAGAATATTTTGAGCTTTCACCTGAATAGTAACGGTAAGTTTTAGATTACGTTGAAGAGCCGCTAAAAGTCGCCCCTTCCGGCTACCGTTCGCCATTCGACTTTTCGTCGATTCAAAAGAAAGCACCGCTCGATGACGGTGGCACTGCTGGCCAGCCGGTTCCAGCTGCTTATCAGCCATCAGTGAGTCCCTCAGCCGCTCCGTCGCGCTACACAGAGGAGCCGGATCAATGCTGCAGCTGTGGCATGGGCCCGGCCGGGCCGGCGGGCCCCACAGGTCCGGACGGCCCCAATGGCCGTGACGGAAGGCCTGGAAAGAATGGGCCAAATGGCCAGGACGCCGAGCCCGATCAAGTCCCCACAATCGATGATTTTTGCTTCGAATGTCCGAGAGGGCCGGCTGGACAACGAGGATTGCCCGGATCGAAAGGAGTCACTGGAGAACCTGGCCCGCCCGGAAGGAACGGAGAATCTCCGCCACGAGGGCCGGCGGGACGTTCAGGCCCACGTGGGCCACGCGGGAGTCCAGGAAAGCCCGGTTCAAAGGGCCCCACCGGCCGCCCAGGAATTCTACAGACAGTCGAAGCGCCAGCTGGGGAACCAGGAGCACCTGGAGAGGACGGTCCGCCCGGTCCTCCTGGGTCGCCCGGTCAGCCGGGAGAGGCGCAACCAGGACCCCCTGGGCCTGTGGGGCCTCCTGGGATGCCCGGACAGGATGGAGAGCCTGGTCCGCCCGGAGATCCGGGTCGAAAAGGTCCTCGGGGAAAAGCGGGCGATTGCTCACATTGCCCGAGGCCGCGGCTTCCGCCAGGGTATTAAGTTCTCATACTTATTATTTCATTTTTATGCGTGTATAACTCAGAAATTGTTTAATGTACATAAAGCAGTTTTGTTGCTAAAAAATTATTTGTTTTCTTTCACAAAAGTCCATCGGGCAGTTTGTGGCGGCAAGATTTGGCCAAAATCGCGTCAGTGATATTGATGACGGTTCCTTGGAAACGGACCTCCAGAAAGATGGAATCAGTCGAGTCTGGGCACACCAGTCGTCGGCCCACGGGTTGACCTTGCTCGATATGTTTGCGGCCAAATCCCAGCTCTTCGCGATAGCGAACGTTGAAGATTTTGACGTCGTAGTCTGAAAAGTCATAGCTTATCTATTTAGACTCCTACCAGTCCAGGTTCCAGTCCCTTGAATAAAGAGAGCCTCGTTGCTGCATCCCGCATAGACGTTGTTTTTGAAGTTTAGCCTCATTCGACCCAAGATTTCCCCTTCAATCGGGCTGAAAGTTAATTCAATCTAGAGTCGCTCGGCTTTCTTACCTGTAGATGGTTGGAGCAAGTGGTGCATCTTCATACGAGGCATCGGCAATTTCTTCGGAGTTCTCTTCCCTAAGGGGACATGCAATTTCCCAGCCGCGAATGCCATTGAATAAGCTGAAGGATTAGGAAATAATTAACAGATAACGAAAGAATTAGCTGTTTTTTTGGTTGGTCTAGTGACGAACATCTTGAAGCTTGCGTTTGTGGGAAGTTATGACAGACATTATATATGGTCGGAATCTAAAACCGCGTCTAAAAAGTCTCACCTTTTAGACGCGAATGGTTGTCCCACGATCCTGTTATTATGATTTGTCTCGCAAATCTGTCCCGTACACATGCCTAAACTCAAACTTCCTTATACTACTTTCTGCTCCGACCTACAATCAGTCAAATGATGAGTAATATCCACGGGCTGTCCGTCCCTAAACAGCTCCACGCGCACATAATTTTGCGGATTCTGCGCCTTCTGACTCAAAATGCATTCGTATTGTCCGGCGGTGCCCAACTTCTCGCCTGCAACCACATCACCACCATACCGAAAAGGTACTACTGAGTAAATTAGGACGTGGTAGCCTCTCCATTGCCCGGTTCCATCGATTCTGACGCCTTGATCGGCACACTGGTAATCAGACTCCCCTCCGAATGGCTGGTAGTAAGAAAGTTTTCCGTCGAATGGCGCATAAATAGCCTCCTCTAACGGGCAGACGATATCGGAAGCGGGGAGGATGATGTGGTCGTGTCTAAACAATATTTGAAATCGTTTTATAAGGATGTTTGATTGCGAAAAAATCAATGAATTCTATTAAATATTTAACGTTTGCCTGAGGTTTATAGAAATTTGTATCAACTTTATTACACCTTAAAAATTTCCCCCTCCTTTCAAAGCAACCCCTGCAAACCTCCTCTGATTGAAGCCACCGCAATCACTGCCATCTGGCCGACACGGTCTCACATCGCTCTTCGGATTCCCACCACATATGGATCGCATACAACCCATCGATGCGCCATATCCGAAAAGACAAAATAGCCAGCCGAACAATAAGCGCATAATGGAATAAGAAGCTATTCAAAAAAGACGAAAAAAGTGGGCTTGAGCCAGTTTGACAACCGAGAGTTGATAAGATAAAAGGTCGGCTCTTCTAGCGTTTTATTCAAACATGTGTCGGAGTCGAAAGACTTGCGGACAGCTCGAGAAAGGCATAAAGAATGTCATAATAAATGCATACGAAAAGAAGCAATGAAATGAGCTGAATTTTTAAACAGTCAAGTAGGTTGTAAAATATAATCAACGGGTTAGCATGAACCTGCGGTCACACCTTTGTTTCCACACATCTTTATCCGCTTTATGGGATAAACTAATTACACAATATGTAATCAGAATTCCGTGCAACGATTAGCCATTCATTTGGAGGGAGATTTACTTGGGATTAGAAGCGGCGTCCCCATTATTTGAAGATTAATATTTCTCTTGGCCGCCGAAAGGGTGATGATTTCTGCGTGCGGTTTCAGGCCATTGTGAACCGTTTTAAGCCGTCGGTTTCATCGCACAACCATTTTCATTCTCCAGGGGTTTGAAGTCAGAGAGAGAGAGAGAGAGAGAGAGAGAGAGAGAGAGAGAGAGAGAGAGAGAGAGAGAGAGAGAGAGAGAAGCTTTTTCGGAAGGTTGCAATTAGTACTTTTTGAAGGTACTAATTACCGAATTTGTCAACAATTATTTTCTCGGGCTCTCAGTGAATATCGAAACAATGCCTAAAACTTTCAGATCTGTTGGAGTGAATACTGATTGCAGTTTAATTATTCTAATGACGAGGAGGCCGGAGATCACACCAATCGGGCAAGTTGTGTTGAAAAAGATTGAGCAGCTCCTGGAAACAAATTCAGATCACGTGGCTGTGGTAGGCCTTTCGATTTTATACGATGCAATTCAAATTGGGCCACAGCTCTCTTACTTCTCAATTTTAAGATTTACGAAGACGTCCCAGATCATCCCGCCGTCCCGTACGATCATATCAACCAGTGCACCTTGAGCTTGTTGCATTTCCTGAAACGCGAAGGGTTTCTGGTCGAAAGAGGTGTGATTGGAATATGCCTTGGGAACACCCATCATTTCGTGATTTCCTTTACAGCGGTGACGGCAAGTCGCACGATTGCAGCATTATTTGGTCCCGATAGTCCGCCAAGTAAGTACATACAGTGACGGACTTGATCCAGTGGCAAAAAACGTACCATTTTGCATCCGGGAAGCATCCAAAATGTGGCAAAATGCTTCCCAAGCGAAAAAACTTCGTTTTGAAGGGCGCGCCCTTTCCCTCACAAAAAAAGCGGGCGCCCTTTTGAAATCGGAGTTCTTTCACTTGGGGAGGGAAGCATTTTGCCACATTTTGTACACTTCCCAGATGGAAAATGGTACTTTTTTTGTCACTGGATCAGGTTCCCCACTGTAATTCAAGGAGGTTTTCCCGCTCTTCCGACCCCATGCAAATGGCTATTTTGGGTTTTTTTACTACGTTCCCTTGCAAGCGTGAAAATTATTTCAGTTATATTACTAAAAACTACCCGAACGCTTTAATAATTAAGGTTATTTTCAGTGGATCTGCTCAATCAACTCAACGATTCACGAGCCGAAACCTTGATAACAACGGCCGAGATATACCTTCAACTTCTGGAGCAAAGCCGGCATTGGGCGCACTTGAAGAATGTCGTATTGGTCAACAGGTTCGGAAAGCCTCTGGACGTCAAAGGCTTCAATGTTTACACATGGACCCAAGTTATTGCGCATAAGCCGAAATTCCATTTTCAGTAAGAATTTTTGAGCTCGTTTATTACAAAATTGCAAATTCCAGTTCAATGGATAGAGCCTACACCTTGTTGCCAAGGGAAGTACTCCGAGTGCGACGCTCAGATTTCGATGACTTGAACAATTTAAACTCATTTTTCAAAAAATATAGTGGGGGATTGATCCAGTAGCAAAAAACGTGCCATTTTGTATCCAGGAAGCAAAATTTGGCAAAATACCTCCCTCTCCAAGTGAAAAAACTCAGATTTCAAAAGCTTTTTTTGTGAGGAAAAAGGGCGCGCCCTTCAAAACGAAGTTTTCTCACTTGGAGAGGGAAGCATTTTGCCCCATTTTTGATACTTCCCGGATGCAAAATGCTACGTTTTTTGCCATTGGATCAGGTCCCCCACTGTAAGCATTGATATCTGGATGCTTTACGAACGGGAAAAATCAAAAAGAAAAAATCGGCGCGCGTCGCACTTGGAAGCCTTCATTTTTGAATAACGAATTTCAGTCAGCATTCGACGGGTCCAAATGATCCGGCATTATTAATTTATCCGGAGAAGCCTCGACGCAATCACAACGCTATCCTGCTCAGCCATTCTGCACTCTTGACAAAGGCAAAAACAATGGCCAGCATCATTTCCAAGCGTCTGTCATCAACACAATCTCAATTTGAAATCATCACCGCTCCTTCGCATGTAATGGAAGGCGTCGTGCATATTCTGAACGCTGTCCTCGCCCAGCGCACGCTCGTCGCCTGCGAAGACAAAGCCGACATAATTTGTGACACATTGACAAAGTACCAGCCGAATTACTTGACTGTTACCATCAACACAGCGCTTGAGATGGTGAAATTCCCGCTTCCGCCGTTAACTGATGTCCGCTCAGTACAAGTCCTTGGGATTATTTCGCACTGTATTGGGAGAGATGTAGCCGAAGAATTGGTCCGTAAATTCAATAATGTCAAACACTTTGTGCAGACTTTGCGGATACCGGAGCTGCTCAATTACAGTTGTTTGAGCGCAGGAATCAAAGACGTTGGAAATTGCGGCACAGTGCTTGATGATGTTGAGTGTAAGGTAAAGATTAATCAGTATAATGTTTCAACGGAAAGCCTAGCGTTTTAGATAATTGACACGGAAACTGGGAAGAGTGTTCTTGCCCATGAAGTCGGTGAACTTTGGGTAAAATCCCCAACACTTATGTGCGGATATTGGGGGGACCCACAAGCAAAAGCCAACGTTATTACACACGATGGATGGTACCTAACTGGTAGGTTTAATTTCTGTCAATAACCCACTTATATTATATATCAAATGTGGGTAGAAATGATGGGAAAACCTTTCGAACCTAGAACTTAGATCGCATCTGCACGTCAAACTGAGATAGGCTAAAACGGTCCGGTGAATATAGCAGGTTGTCAATCCGCCAAAAAAGACCCGAAAAAACTTTTAGTCGGGGAAGAAATGGGGATTTTTTGTGGCGAGAGAGTGCGTTTTTGCGCGTCTTTTTCTCTGACTTCTCTGTGAAATCAAGACGAAGTGTAAAAAACCGATAACGAAGAGTCTATTCCGGTCACCGGACCCCTCAATTTGACGTGCGCTGCCGTTCGGTGGCGTAGCTACCAATTTCTCAGCTACGCCCCTGCCGCCGTTGAAAGCTTGAGCTTTCCTTGCGGCACGCAAGAACCATAATTCGCAATCGTATGTAAATCGCGTTTCCAGGCAAGCTCGCGAAATTCGACGAACATGGAAACCTTCACTACGTTGCTGAATCAAATGAAGTTATCTTTGTTCAATCAAGCCCAGTGTATCCACCGCTGTTGGAGGAGAAAATACTCGAACATCCGAAGGTTGCGGACTGCGCTGTTGTTGGAGTTTCGCATAAGAAGTATGGAAAGGTGCCGCGAGCGTTCATTGTGAAACTTAGCATGGACTTAACCGAGGGGGAAATCCACGAGCACGTTAAGCACTGCTGTTTGGCCGAAGAAGAGTTGCTTGGAGGGCTGTATTTTGTGAGCAAGATCCCGAGAAACGCGAGTGGCGGAGTTGATAAGCAATTGCTTGTTAAGCTATTTGTACTTCGAAAATAAAGCCACCTGAACCTTAGCAGTAAATATAAAAGAAGTAAAGAGCTTTATTCCAATAGATCCAGGGTATTGCAGAACTGCTCCAATAAGAAACAGGAAGTATTATACATATTATTAAAGGCGGACTCGTAAGACTAGGAAATGTGTAAAAATGACTGTACAAGTTTCGAAAATTAATATATTTCAATGCGTATCATGCAAGGTTTTCGGTTGTCAAAGCGTTGTCAAAGATGAGATATTGTGCGGCATAATAGGTAAAGAGGATGAATTCGTGAGCATGCGGGAACGTATACTGCAGCTCGCTCAGTAGAATGACAGTATCCGAGACGAAGAACAGACAATAGCCAACAATTAGTGCCATGTAACCCTGAAATTAGAAGATAAATATTATAGGTTTGGAGTTCAAATTGTAAGAAAAAAAAGTTGATGAGAAAATAACAAACCCTGCCCTTCCTCCCATCTTTAGAGCCATGATGGAACAAAGATCCCGCAACGATCACCGCAGCGCTGATCACAAAACTGTACGCAATGATAAGGACCATCCGGAGGGGGTCGTGCCAGAGTTTCGGAATCACCAAGAAATGATTCACCATAAAGGCGTACAGAAGCGAAAAAATAGTGACCGGCGTGCTGAATTCGGCCAGTTTGGAGCCGAAATAAGCCTGCAAATAGAATTGATAGGCAAGTAGACCGGGGAGGTTTGGGCCGGTGAGGTTTGGTCAAATTGTTCGGGGATTTATAACCAAGGCGACCTGTTAGGATTGGTCAAATTGGCCTGTCAGATTTTGCGACCCTGTCAACTTTACAAGGGAAGTACCCCAACGCTCAGACTTTGATGAAACTTGGCACAAATTTAGAATAATTTTTCCTAAAATATACGCGAGGATCCAAGCTCGCGCTTTGCAGAGACAACCGATATTTTTAGTTCGAAAGTTGGCGAAAATTTGACACTTTTTGCCGAATTTTGGCACGAAAAGTTTCGTGCCTATTTCGACCATAGAGGGTAATGTTTCCACAAAAAATCAATGTTTTCCGCACGAAACTATCCAAGTTATGGCCAAATAGTGTTTTTTTTTCTCTGACCACTCTCCGCGTTTAGCATACTCTCTCGGCGGCAAAGATCGTTCAATATCTCGGCGGCGCTCGCAAAGCGCGAGCTAAAACTTTCAGGAATTGATAATTAGTTCATGACCGACGTGTATGCAAAATTTAAAGAAAATCTGAGCGTCGCGCTTGGGGTACTTCCCTAGCCAAAAAAAGAAAGAAACGACTCACAATGTAAAATATATGACACAGGCCAAACGCAATAATTCCCAATTCAAATCCAGCATCGTTGGTGGACAACAAAAAATCGCCGACGCCGCCGAAAAGCAGGCCCAATGCTAGTCTCGTCCTCGTCGAATCCTTTCCTTTCGGGTCCGAGTAGTGGGCTATAGCCGCCAGAAACCAGATCGGTGTGGCTTTACTGAAACACCGAAATTTTTTTCGAATTAAAGGCCTTTTTGGAGCAGGTCGAAAATGCAACTTACAGTGTACAATATTTTATAATATCCTTTTGTACGAATCCATCGGTGGACTGATAAAAGTAAGCGATCAACGATGAGAAGGCAATCAACGGAGCTTTAAAGTCCATCAGCTCCTGAAAAAAACCCATTACAAAAAAGTCGGATGTCGTAATAGAGTTTAAAAACGAACCGAATCAAACACCGAATTCTCACCCACGTGTGTGGAATAGCATGACACGAGAGAAAAGAAACCGAGCGGTGTGTTGCAAAACATGTTATGGATCCCAGCTGACTAGACTAGACGTCCGATAAGACTGACATGGAGGCTTTTCGAGGTGACCGTGTTAGAGGCTTTTCTGGTCTTGTGGTTGTACTTTGACAAGATAGTTTATCATTTGCTTGAATTTCCAGCCCGCGCCAAACAAAGTTGAACTTTCGAAAAAAGAGCTTTGGTTTTTTAAACCAAAAAACAAGGGGATGTAAAGGAACGGTCGCGGAAATGCCGGCTTTCGTAATTAAGAAGAAAGTAGAGGTTTTTCGATTTTGCTGACATCTGACGCAAATTTAGCGTATAGGGAATGCACCAAGTGCGACGGATTTTGATGAAACTTGGCACAATTTTAGAATATTTTTTCTGAAAATATGTGCGAGAATCTAGCTCGCGCTTTGCAGAAGGAACCGAGATTTTTAGATCGAAAGTTGGCGAAAATTCGACACTTTTTGCCGAATTTCGGCATGAAAAGTTTCGGCCTATTTCTACCGTAGAGGCTATTTTTTCTCTCTAACCACTCTCCACGTTTAGCGTGCTCTCTCAACGGCAAAGATCGTTCGTTATACGGGTGAAGCTTGCAAAGCGCGAACTAAAACTTTCAGGAATTAATATTTAGTCTATGCCCGACGCAAAATTTAAATAAAATCCGAGCGTCGCATTCGGGGTACTTCCGTTGTTAATTTACAACTTCCCAGTTGATATTTAAAAGTTATACAACAGCTTGCACTTTGCAAAAGACCCTTCTATAGAAGTTCGGTTCCTCAAAAAAGTTCTGGCAAAACTAGCAAAGTTTTTTTTGCTGTACGCTTAGATATCAAACAATAATTTTCCGTAAAAATTACCATCAAAGCACGAAGGACAGGCTTAAATTCCGAAAAAAGATTTGCACTTTGAACATTGTAAATCAATGTCACACCGATTCAAATACAACGGCTCCACATGGCGAGGCCTGACGGAACACTTTCGTCAACGCATCCATTTCCCCCACAACTCTCGCCTGTTCTGTCGCCGACACAAGTTGTTAACTCGCGGAGAGCTCGAAAGGTTCGCTCTGTTGTCTAGTTGAGTTGGTTCGGAATAGACTACATGCCCCCGTAGATAAGTACGGGAATTGGGCTTGCCGATCTTTTTGTGCGTTTTTTGATGATTCAAAGGATTTTGCGAGCGGAAGAAGGAAGATTGTTTTTGAACGGTAAAATAACTGAAGAGGAAAGTCTTGATTGCAGACACGCCCTGAGGAAATTACATATACATATATGTATTTATAAAGGTCACATGAGCGAAAAAAGACACCAAAAAGTTATTGAATCGTAATGCCAAAAGTTTCGCATGTTTCCCCACTTTCGGCCTAAAAATCTCGGTCTTTTCTGCAAAGCGCAAGCTAGGATACAAGTATAAATCATAGGAAAATTAATCTAAATTTTCGCCCGTTTCCATCAAAATTTGATCATCGGATACCTCTCTTGTAAGCTGAAATATGCAACGTATGTAAAGCGACTAAATTGCCACTTCCATACATTCCTGGAGCTGCGGTTTAAGCTGCTTACTTCTTTGACATTCCTCATTTTTCATCAAATCGAACGGAGCAAAAATCAGTAGTAAATAAGTTAGAAGCACCAAAATAAACAACAACAACCGCTCTAAAAACAAAAAATAAAAAGGGGGGACGAAATTCCCGAGTTTGATATCAGAAGTTCGTTCTAAAAACGGTTGGACTATAAACGAACACATTTCAAAAAAAGATGTAAATTGAATTTATGCCTACATCAAATGACGCCAAACGCCAAAGAACTCTAAGCAAGTGTTCTCAGGAGGGAAATTTCCATTATATAAATATGTAGACAAACAGATAGAAGTTCTGGAAAATAAGCAAAAAACGTCGATCGTCTGGATGGCTCTTCTCACCTTGGCGCTACGGCTTTTCGGATCAACGATACTATGAATCGTTTTTGTTCGTCGTTGTATGCATAGGGGAGGTTAGGAGAAGACTTAGCTTGTAGAGACAATAAGATTGATCGGGTCCTAGGATAGCCTATTTATTTTGCGGTATTTTACATGTACTCACATCAATAGTGTCTAGATAAACGCTACGGATCTTCTTTTTTTGCAGCAAGTTTCGATCTTTTATTTGTTACAATAATTCAGGGTAGAGAAAACTAACGTTAGAAATAGCTAAAATAAGAAAGAGAAGACATATTTTGAGTCTTCGCTAAGACTCCGCTGAGCGTTCGCCGAGCGTCCGCCGATAATCCAACGGCTTTGAGAAGTTTCAAAGGCCCTTCCTACATCTTATTTGTAGCTTACACAGAGTACGAAAGTGAATTTTGAATTGCTTTTTTTTGCCTTGCCGGCTCTCCCCATTTTGCCTTCTCTCGCAAAAATGCCACTGAATTTTTTCGCTGCGGAATGAAAACATAATAGAATAAAAGCAACTGGTACCTGGAAACATGCGAAGGTTGCATGCAAAATTTGAGGACTATTCGGCAGCCGACCAATTTTCTTTTCCCACCAAATACAACCAAATAGAAAAACTACAAAACTCGTCTTCTCCTTACAAGAGAAATCCAATCCGAAGGATTAAAAAAAATGTCAAAAACCCCTAAAGAAGACGTCGGAACAAAAGTTTCATTTGGAAAACCCACGTACAAACTTTTTTCACTCGACCTCGGAATGGACAATGAAAGTCTCGGTCTCAGTTGCGGAATATAACCTAGTCTCGAAAACAACTTGTTTCACTCACTCTGCGCGACTTTTTACCCGCTGATTTGGAACACAAAGGATTTTCGAAGCATTTTTTGTCAACCTTACCTTAACAGAGGGAAGCCGCATCTTCTTTACAAAACTTTTCAGCGACTCTATACGGCCCGCATCATCCGACATTTTGCAAGTGAATGTAAAGGAATACAAGACAAATTTCAGGGTCAAATGCTGCAGGAAATGAATTATTCAATACGGCAAATAAATTGGAGTCTTAAAAACGAATATTAATCGAGAAGCACCGGTTGAAAGGAACGTTTATCTAACGGAAGAAACCTTCTTAGACTTTGACGCAAATTGCCATGCGAAGCCTTGCCATGCAAATTTTGAGGCAAAGCAGATTTTAGCGAAATTCAACTATCTAAAATTGGCGCTACAACTTTTCAGGTCAGGACCAGTTCGGGTCAACAATGCTATGGATTGCGTCGGTTTGTCGTTGTATGCATGGGTAAGCGTATGCATACAACGACGAGGAGAAGGCTTTGTAACAGTGGCGGACCTGATTCATTGGCAAAAAACGTATCACTTTGCATCTGGGAAGTGCCAATAAAAGTGGCAAAATGGCTCCCTCTCCAACTAAGAAAACAGTTGGAGAGGTCTCCGCCGAGCCTTCGCCGGGCGTCCGCCGACCATCACAGGCTTCGGCAGGAAAATTTAAAGCCAACCTGAGCGTCGAGTTTAGAATACTTCCATTGTTAACGAAATTCGAATGTCGCCGGTTCAAAACGCGTGCGCAAAAAATTGAACAGCCTTTTGAAACCCTTTTTCATATTAGAGATACGATGTATATATTACCTCTATGGTCTTTACCGATAAAAATCGTGAAATTCCTTAGCGTTTTCCATAGACCGCGGGCTAAAATTTTCAAAGACAGATGTGTAGGATGTATAAAATACATACATGTCCAAAATCACAGGGAAATATGGACGCAAATGTCAAAAAACCCCTTCAATATAACAGATTACAGCCTAAAATCTTCAAGCTCTTCGAATAAAACCCCTCGCAGCGCGCCACCATTCTTCCTCCGGCCCATCGGGACAATTTGCCCACACCGGGGGAACAATTGTAAACACCGGCGTGTGTTTTTGAATAATGCCTGTCCTCGTTCGTTCTCTTGTTTTCCGCTTAAACAAATTTCGCCGGGGGTCGGGCGTAGTCTAGCCCACCTGATCGAGGCGGAACAAAACAGGCGAAAGCAGGGATTTTCGTGTGTTGGGGACTGGCCATTTTTACGTCACAGACTTGAACCCGGAGTACTTGTCAAAGGGCCGTTGAGAATGGTTGAAAATATTTTCTACGTAAGAAATGATGGATGAAAAAAATGCTGGACATTGAGGGGTATGAGGTGCAAAAAAGTTGAATTTGCAAAATTTAGTCTCTCGATTTGCCTTAAATTTGGCTTGGTGTTTCAACATAATCTACTTAACAATCTCACAAAATTTTAGTTCACTTTTTGCAAGTGTGGCCAAGTTTTCAGCGGCCTTTTTCCAAAAGGACACGTCAAATTAAAAGCCGTGGCAAGATAAAAATTGATTCTTTCCTTGACCTTTGCACACTCCGCTCAATAGCTTTACAAAACACAGTGTTTTAAATATTTTATTATCAGCAAAACGTCTATATACAGGTTTGAAAAACTGATTTTGCAAAAAACACGAAAAAATGAGATCATAGACACGCGTAGTGAAATACCATTGTGCAACGCTTTGAAATGACAAATCGTCAACGAAGATAATGTACAATTAAGAGGCCTAGTTGGTGTTCATTGGTAGTCGACCGCCCCGCTTCAGGAACAACATTCCGCGAGCCACGACGTATATCATGTAAATGTAGATTGTGGACTTGAAGATCAGCAGAACACCGAAGACTAGCCGATGGACGTCTTCGATGTTGCCCACGGACTTGAACATGACAACTAAGTCGGCTTTCAGCGGTAGTCGATCCGTTTCGTCAATGAAGTCGTAGAACATGAGGTAGAAGGCGTAGGTCAGCCAGGAACATACGTCGACTGTCTGAAATTGGAGGATGACAAAATTCATAGAAAATATGGACAATTTCAAAGCACTAATTGTAAGAAAAAAGCTGTTATTAGGGTGAACCAAAAATGTTTTCCGATTTTAGCATATCTTTTTGTCCGCTTCAAGAAGCTTCAAAAAATGTCTAAAAGTCTCCATTGTGCCTGATAAACGAGAGCTAAGAATTTCAGCAATGGATATGCGGTGGATAAAAGATATGTCGGAAAATTTGCCACGGCAATAAACATGGCACCTCAACCACTTCATTTCAATAATTTTAGCGCCCAAAACTTACAAAGAACAATAGGAACGGAATGTAGTAAAGCCATAGATTCCGCCGGTTTCCCGTCAGCAATATGATAGTTGCCACCATGCCAAACACCCCTTCGAAGCAAGTTAACAGCTGAGAGGTTGCGGCGAAACTGCGGACACTTGATGCCAAGCACCAGAGAAGGGTAATCATTCCAATGAGTTGGGTGCCCGTCTGGAAAATCAGCGATTTCATTACTTATAGAAAGTCCGTAGTAATGACTGCCAAAAAACTAACATGAACATGGCTCATGCACATGCAGTAGTCGGCCGGGTCATCGTCAAATTTCTTCTGTATCACCGGGAGTTTTTGTGGCAAGGGAAGGGCATAGCCAAATTCCTTGACGGCAGGGAGTCTCGACTCGAACTTCTTTTCCGGGCGGATTCCCTTTTCAACATCTGGCTCCATTTTGATTTGAAAGCTGAAAATTGGAAATGAATCTGTACTTTAAATGCTTAGCACATACCGAAAACCGCGCAATAAATTCGACAAAAAATAGCGACTAAAGTCTTCGTTCACAACGGTGGCTCATCAAACAGCCATCGAAAATCGTGACAAAACCTTCAGTTTAGTGCATGTCAAACATTGACCCGCCAATTACTTCGATGAAAACGCAAAATCTCTGGACAAAAACCATTCAAAAACGAATTTAACAGTCCTGCGAAGGCCCATTAATAACCCTCCGATCCAATAAGAGCATTCAACAGAAAGGCCTTTAGATTGTAAACAGCGAAATCATCAGTTGGTTGGTGGGATTGTTTTGCCCTCACGTCATAGGTCAGCTGCACTGTTGGTATAATACCGATTTCGGATGCCGCGCGATCGCGGTAAAGCGAGCAGTTAGGAAATTCGGCGGTTATCTTAATCTGGCAAAGACGGTGTCTTTTGTCATCACCAAAGTAATACCATGTAAGCGGCGTATCCACACTTTGCGGGCAGCCGAAATTTTCCGATTAGGATAGCCATCTAGACAAGGTGGTTTTCATCAGACCTCGTTTAGTCCGGACAATCGGAAGATCATTTTTCCCACAGGCAAAAATCTGGAGTTTCTGCAACGAGGCCCGCAAAGAAGTTGGACGCATGCGCCTTTTACAACATATTATACTTCAAAGCAAAAATCGGACTTCAAAATTTTCGAAAACTGTCGAATCATGCGATGTGCGAATTGTGATGTGTAATAAAAAGTATAAGGTCTTCCCCTTCTTGTTCCCCTTCTCCAGTTACCAAGGTTATGAAAAGGTCGGCTAGTCGGGGGAAAGGGCATAATCAAATTACCCTTACAGTACCTGATCCATGAGAGCGAAAACTTCCACAGAGGCAAAATACGGTCATTTATTGACCAAAATATACTCCAATTGTAAAGAAGAGGGTATTTTCTGCGGCTTTAGCACGTTTTTTGGACATGTTGTAAAGATTTTGACGCTGAAAGAGAAGGGTTTGATCTCTTAGAGTTCAGATTATGAAGTACAAAAAAATCGTTGATAATTTTAATGGCCTTGACTGTAAATGCAAGAAAAATGGGTTCAAAATAGTCGAGAAATCAAGCTCAAAGGTTTGCGGTAATAAATGATGTCTTATAAATATTACATTGAAAATATCGGAGAATTGGAAAGCCCAAGACTCGTCAATCCAGCGCATTTCCTGAACCGTTTAGACGTTTCGTCCACACACTATCGATTAACCAAAACATTTTATGATAGCAAAATTTTTTCGGACGCATTTTTGCAAGAAAAAATTAGTCCTAAAAATCAAAAAAAATTTAGAAAGTCATTTTGGGAACAAAAAAGCAAGGCTTTTCCTCGGAAGGCCAAGAAAAGACAGCCAAAAATTTTCTCCAAAATTCTATTTGTGACAAAACGCCACATCGATTAAGCCTTGATCAGTAAATAGCTTCAGCAAGGCTGCGTTGACGTGTAACCTGAAATTTTTAAGGTTTGACGCGGAACCTGCTTAAATGGCGTGTGCAAAGTCTTAAGGCAGCCTAACAAGCGCTCAAAGCCCTAGATCACTTTGTTTGCAGGCAGCTCCAGGACCTACTACGAAAAAGGCTGACCCCATCAAGCAAGTAAAGAAAAATTTACGTGAAGTAACAAAAACCAAATTCCCACAAACTCAAAAAAATCACACTCACACCATCTTCTCAAACAAACGTTTCTTGCTGTAAATCGACGTGCGCGTTTTTTAAAGATGACAAATTTCATCATCGGGAAGGCCCTATCCCATGATTCCCAAACCGATCAATCCACCATGTGTAACGCCTATTTATAACCGCGTTTCGATCAGCCAACCTCCGAAATTTCAACGGTCAACGCTGAATACGGTTGGGCAATCTATCGATGACAACCGGAGATCGGAGACTAATGAGAATGTTTTCCAAACGCCCGGCAAAAATATGGCGAAATACGGAGCTCTGTGCTCATTGAATTTCGTATTTTGACTTCAAAAAACACAAAAAATTGGCTTAAGACGATAGGATGACACATTTTCACAGCTTTAAAGTCCCCCGAAATTACCCTATAATTTGAAATTTGGAATTTCTTTGGTATTTGAACAGACCCGCCCATTCGTAGACCGCAAATTTGAAAAACTAATCGCTCTGACCTTTCCAGGAACGGCCGATTCACTCGCTGTAAACTTTGCACTTACTCTCTGAACCTGCAACGCAAGCCGCATTTCCGATTTGATTACATACCGAAATATAGTGATGCGAGAATTTACAAATTAATCGACGCGCAAAAACCCAAGGTGTGGAAACAAATTAGGGTTAATGTAATCGCAATTGGCCAATGATATGATATATAGAACTTACAATTAAAAAAAGAGTAATGCACAAAAAATCAAGAGTTTGAACTTTTTTATACTTGTAAGTTTAAAAACGTTCCAAGACGGAGATTCTGGATTCAGAATGGCGTCAAAGACACCCAGTGTTATAGCTGAAAACATCGCATAAACTCTTCGTCAAAACAGAGTAACCGTCCCTTGATAACAGCATGTGCTCGAGAATGTATCAAAGCACAACTCCGGAAATCGAACACACCTTCTTTGGGCTGCGGTAAACTGTCAATTGGCTTCGCAAAGCACACGGAGTACAGTTACCTTCCACTCGGGTCGAGAAAATACTAAAACGCTCGTAACTTTGATCGATGAAAGACCGTTTTTTCCCCAATCAGCCAAGAAAGGAAAACAGAAGACTTGATTGTCGCAGCTATCAATCAAAGGCTTCTCCGGAGGCTTTACCTTTTGCAAGAATCAGGAGAAATGTGCAGACAAGAAAACATGTCTTGCCCAGTCACCGCAAACTTCATAGAAAAATGCTTTCGCCTTCCCTTCCAAACATCACTCTTTCATAAACCGCAGATAAATAACGTCTACCAACAATAAAGCCGTGTTCTCTTATGACGTATGACAGATACTTCCCCACTGCTACAGTTTGTTCGAAATCTTATCCAAAAAATAAAAAATAACACCGTTCCGTGGCGACCCACATTTCCTCTGTCCCCCCTTTCTTTTGATTCATTTTATACATCCAAACTGTTGTTTACGTTGCGCAATACGCCTGTTCACCACCTCTGGACAAGCTAAGTTCACAATAGGCACCTGGGAAACAAAGCGCTGCCCTCACGCTGGCACCGTGATCCGAAGTTCGTAAAGGGCTTGCAAAAAGAGCTGGAAATGCAGGCTCGTGACAACCGAAAGGGCTCTCAAAGTTCACGTGAAAACGATGCATGTACAGCATTTGATTTCGAGACGTCACTAGTGTAAAGGTTACCCGATTCCTTCCTACAATAAGAAGGGCCTTTGGTAAAGAAATTACGGTACCTTTCCGAGCAATCCACGGGGTTGAAAAGGGGTCTCTAGTTCTTGATCTGTGGATTTTAAACAAAGAGGTCAATGAACTTTCAACTCCGCTTACAGTTGGGCAATTCCAACACGTCGAAGCCTTCTAAAACCAAGGAGGAAAAAAATTGGCTTTTGGTTACCAAACGCATTCTGCTTTCTGACATCGGAAGCGTCAGGAATACGACGTTCATATTGTCGAAATTTTGCAATTACGTTCCGTTTTTGCCTGTTGAAAACACTAAAAAATTTACTCATTCCCCAATGCATTGCATTCTTTTAAGCACCTACATAGCACTTGTCGAGGATTGAAGTATGGTGCTAGAACGTTAGCGATTAAGACTGCCTTCCGAGAACAGATATTTCCCAGAGGCCAAGACAGTATATATCTACGCGTCGCGACTTTTCGGGTCGACAGCAAAATGAGGAGAGCCGGCAAGGCAGAAAAACAATTCAAAATTAACTTTCGTACTCTACGTAAGCTGCAAATAAATCCCTGAAGATTTGAGCTCACTTATTCCATCCGCAAAGCTACGGGCGTACATTTGCGCTCGTTCCGAATTTTCAGGTCGACGACAGTTCGGGTCAACACAAAATCGATCGATATGGAGTGTAGAGCAGGTGGATGCCCAAAAAAAGGTTCTAGGAACTGCCTAGGAGGCATCTCAAAGCCGTTAGATGGTCGGCGGACGCTTCGCGAAGGCTCGGCGGAGACTTTGCGAAGACTCAAAATATGTCCGTATTTGCTGATTTTATCTGTTACTAACTTTAGTTTTCTTTATCCTGAGTTATTGTAACATTTTAAAGATCAAAATTTGCGGGCAAAAAACGACGATCCGTAGCATTTATCTAGGCATTATTGATGTGAGTATATGTAAAATACCCCAACATTGATGATAAGATATCCTAGCACTCAATCAATCTTATTTTCTCTTCTAACTAACCCCTTCTCCTAGCCTGCATACAATGACGAACCGACGCGATCCATAGTATCGCTAACCCGAACTGTCGCTGACCCAAAAAGGAGTAACGCCTTTCTTTATATATATACTACAAGTAATAAACGCCGTTAGGAAATGACACAATTCCGCTCAAGCTAGTACACTACTTTTTCGAAGTTTAGTGATCTGTGACACACGTTCCTCCTTATAATTGATTGCGTTTTATTGACGTCAGGGTTTGCGGCTGACCAACTTTTTGTTGAAAACCGCAGTTATTTTTTAACCCTTTCCGGACGAGTCGGCACCTCCATGCAGAAATGAAAGAGGGTACCCTACTGAGTAACGGCATAATAGTGGTTCAGCCCATCGAAGCGTTATTTGGGACTTATGACAAAAAATGTCCTAAAAAGTACCCCCAGTTGACATAACCCTTATAAAATTTTGCTAACGACCTGTATATTAGAAACTACACCTAAGTTAAAGTCTAAGACTCCTACTACTGTTACATCCAAGAACTGTCCAAATCGGACCACTACAGGATTAGTTATCGACTTTTGGAAATTGAATTTTAAATTTCGACCAATTTTTGGCCCAAAATTGAGTATATCTTCCGCCGAAATCAACCATTTCAGTCTAAATGGGGTTTTTCTGAATCTAGAGTGACGCTAGCTTCTTCCCAGAGTGTTTCCAGAAAAAACCTATAAGGCACGTTTCTGTAAAACGCGAAAAGGTTGAAAGCGTAAAGGTTTCACCGTATAAAATGTCGCCGCAAGCCGAGAAGGGTCGGGCGCAGCCCGAAAGGCGAAAATATTATATATTTTTTTGAGAAATACTATTTTAGTGTGAAACTAAAGCAAAATCCAATGAAATTGCCTGAAAACGCATTAAAAATATTAAAATGACATTGAGTTAATGTTTGCATGCTCTGTCTGTCTGTATTTCATCTGAATTCAGCTTGTCGACACTAAAATAATATTTTTCGAAGAAAAAATATTATTTTCGCCTTTCGAGCTGCGCCCGACCCTTCGCGGCTTGTGGCGACATTTTATACGGTGAAACCTTTACGTTTTCAACCTTTTCGCGTTTTACAGAAACGTGCCCTATAGGTTTTTTCTGGAAACACTCTGGGAAGAAGCTAGCGTCACTCTAGATTCAGGAAAACCCCATTTAGACTGAAATGGTTGATTTCGGCGGAAGATATACTCAATTTTGGGCCAAAAATTGGTCGAAATTTAAAATTCAATTTCCAAAAGTCGATAACTAATCCTGTAGTGGTCCGATTTGGACAGTTCTTGGATGTAACAGTAGTAGGAGTCTTAGACTTTAACTTAGGGGTGGTTTCTAATTTACAGGTCGTTAGCAAAATTTTATAAGGGTTATGTCAACTGGGGGTACTTTTTAGGACATTTTTTGTTATAAGTCCCAAATAACGCTTCGATGGGCTGAACCACTATTATATTATTACTCACTAGAGTACCCTCTTTCATTTCTGCATGGAGGTGCCGACTCGTCCGGAAAGGGTTAACATTATAAAGCACCTCCTTAACAAGGCATATATACAAGGCAATGCGCGAACATTTCTTGTTCAAGCAAAGATCTGTCACAACGGGATCTTGCGGTTAGCTCGCTACAGAGTTCATGTAAATACATAGAAGAGTAAAAACAGAAAACGGACAAACAGATACAGGTAGAGAGAAAGATGAACGCCTGTGCTTCCCTTACAGGAGAAGTTCCCCAAGTGCGACGCTCAGATTTTGATGTAACTTGGCACAAATTTAGGAAATTTTTTTCTAAGATATATGCGAGAATCCTAGCTCGCGCTTTGCAGAAACAACCGAGATTTTTAGATCGAAATTCGGCGAAAATTTGACACTTTTTGCCGGATTTTGGCACCAAAAGTTTCGCGCCTATTTCTACCATAGAGGGTAATGTTTCCACAAAGAATAATTTTTTTCCGCATGAAACAAGTAAAGTTATGGCCAAAAAGTGCTTTTCTCTCTGGCCGCCTTCCGCGTTTACCGTACTCTTTCGGTGGAAAAAGTCATTCAATATCTCGGCGGCGCCGGGAAAGCGCGAGCTAAAACTTTCAGGAATTGATATCTGGTTCATGTCCGACGTGTGTACAAAATTTATAGAAAATCTGAGCATCGCGCTTATGGTACTTCCCTTGTTAGTTTAACAAGTTGGACTAAGTAAGTTGTTTACATCAAATTCTAACAATAAGCCTTCTTCCTGCAGTTTTAAGAAGCTGTAGTTGTATCGATGATGACAGATTCCTAAAGTCAATTTCCACTCCCAACCCACTTTCGAATTACTTTTTTTACAAATACAAAAAAGAAAATAAAATTTTGAATCGTCCCGGGTCTAGAAAGTAAAAGTGGCGCAGTAAACTGACAATTCGATTAAACAGTTTGATGGGTCGTTGGACCTATTCATCACGTTGTTATTCCCCCAAAGAAACCCTGTATTAGAAAAGGTGTGAAACAACAAAGAAATCGACGGAAATTAATAAAACGCTTTTAGAAATCAGTAAGACTCTTGTTATTTGCTGCTTGAACCCATTCAACTAACTTCAGGCGGAACTGCGAAGATATGTGAAAGAAAGACAAAAAATGAAAGAATTACACAATGATGAGCTAGTTCAGCGTCACATCCCTGCGATGAGAACGCAGCGGAAAAAATAATAAAATCGCGGAAAAGAGAGCTTCCGAATGGCACGGCAAGATGCATTCATCGTTCCGTCATGCGGATGGGGTGGGGAAGATTCAAGCCGGGGTTTGAGTTTACATGGGAAGTGCTTGCATGGAAATACCTCTATTTTAGGCCAATTACATTTTTTCACAACGAAATGCATGATTTTTAAGCCGCGCTACGCAGAAACCCCAAGAGTTTTTTTAGGTTGAAAGCTGGTGACAGCTGGAAACTCTGGCAACAAATTTTTGCTCCGAGCGCATAACAATTTTCAAAGAATATAACTTTTTCGCCAAATGAAAAGCGTTTTCGTTCGCTAATGAAAAGGGGATCGACCTTGATGATTGAAGACCTAGATACTCAATGATTCAGCGACTTGAAAACAGAACTTTTTTTTGGCTGAGAGAAACAAGCCAACAGAGTTACCGATAAAAAAAGATTTTCAGTGTAATTGAATGGTCATGTTGAGAAAAGTTGACGATGGGGAGAGTTCGAGTGAACAAGGGTCGACGGGTGATCTATGAAAAGCATTTGGGAGACTTCTAGCGAAATTAGGACCGTTTCAATAACAAGAGTGATGTTTAGTATTAATAATTTGGTGACGCTCTTCATTGTAATCACTTGTCTTCCAACAATTAGGTATAAAGAAATTTTTGGAAACAAATATTGTTGAATATACATATGTACTATTTGCGGCCTCAGAATACCAAGTATTGTTTATATAATTACAAATAAATACACGTAGTTAAGTTATACACCAAGAAAAATCCAAGTGAAAAGGCTTGCTGCTGTCAAACCGGATGTTTGTTGACAAAAATCCGTCTGTCGTCGCAGTCGTATTTCAAGTACTTGTAGCCGAGGTAGATAAAATAATACGATGTCAACAGGAGAATATTGAAGATCAGTGTGCTGGCGCCGATGATAAGAAGGACCGCAAAGGTAACTTGTGAGGTATCCAGGATTGTTTTGGTGTCCACTTCCATTAATCGCCGAACAAAAACGACAGCGCAGGCTACCGTGTTTAATGGGACAACTACGCCCTGAAATTAATATTTAATTAAATTACTGTATCATTTGAATAAAGATTTTGCTTTCTCGTGGTTATTCCGCTCTTTTTGTGAGGGAAAGGGCGCGCCCTTCAAAATGAATTTTTTCACTTGGAGAGGGAAGCATTCTGCCACATTTTTGATGCTTCCCGGATGTAAAATGGAAGGTTTTTGCCACTGGATCCGGTCCTTCACTGTTTTTCGAAAAGAAAATCTTTTCAAATTTTGTCGGAACGACGAGTTAAAGCTTCCATTCGCGATCCAAGACGTGCGAAAAAATGGAAAATTTTGGCAGCCTACGGCGAACACTTTTCTTATTAATCTAACGCCTAAAAGACTAAACCTTTGCTTACGTGATAAGCCAGATATGGATAATAATACTCAAAATTCTTTGTCAACGTGCCAAAAATCACCAACGCCGTTGTGAACCACGAGACAAAGACGATCCAGTAAACCCACGCCGGCTCAAATTTGATGTAGAATAGGTAGATCCAACAGGAAATCGTGAAAACGAACTGATTCACGGCGAAGAACACATTTATCGCCTAAAAATTGCAATTTTTTTATACGAACAGCCGCTTACGTGAATATGAAGTCCCCAGTCGGGATTCAAGTACAAATATTTGGGGTCCTGAATCAAGCCATAAGTACCGGTCCTTTTATTCGTCCTATGCTGTTCCGTCTCCATTCCGAACACCGCAAATAGCAAATGCTCTATATTTATAAGCGTCCGAGAATGCGGGACTTGTTTACGGGTCTCCTTCGCATAAGGCTAGTGGGCTGGTGTCTGGAAAGTGGTCTGAAGTTGGCCAACCACAATTTATAAATCCAATTCTCTGACCAGTAAGCGAGTGGGCTTAAACGGATATTTTAAAGAATAAAAATAGAGCGATGGAAGAGCACGAGGGCCATAAAAATATAATTTTTCAGACGGCAGAGTTCACTCGGGGATATAACAAAACGAAAATAAAAGAAAATAGGAAAAAAAGAGTTTAAAAACGTAATAAAGGCGAGGTCAACAAAACTGTAGGTTGAAACCAGAGTTTCGATAAATCGCAAAAGAATTCCGATGCTTTCCCAATTGGCGAAACTTAAAAATATTATCTTCTTCGATGTAACCGTCGAAATTAGGATAATCGATGGCGCCGATTTCGAAGATGACATTTTTTTTATCATTACTATTTGGCCTAATCAGTACTGTAAGCATTTTTTTTATTTTTTTACAAATACTCAATTTAGGGTTTTTGTGAAAATTCCCTATCAATTCCTCAGAGGTTTAGCTCGCGCTTTCAAGGCGAAGCCGAGATATTCAACGATCTTTGCGGCCGAGAGAGTACGCCAAACGCGGAGAGCGGTCAGATAGAAAAACGCTTTTTGGCCATAGCTTTGATAGCTTCGCGCGGAAAAAAATCATTTTTTGTGGAAACGTTAACTTTTCGTGCCGAAATTCGACAAAAAGTCTTAAATTTTCGCCGGTTTACGATCTAAAAATCTCGGTTGTTTCTGCAAAGCGCGAGCTAGGATTCTCGCATATTTTAGAAAAAATTATTCTAATTTTGTGCCAAGCTTCATCAAAATGTGAACGTCGCACTTGGGGTACTTCCCCTGTAAATTCAAGATAAAACACTCAGTTTTGCCGGAGTAATTTAATTGTAAGTAGAAAAACGAAACTAGACGTCAAAACCTGCCGTTTTTCACGAATTTACATATTATTTATACCGTCGACAATGCCCTACCCTTTAAACCACCGTTCTGCACAAAGAAATTTTAGGTTACAGGGAGGAATTCACGACGTCTAGAGCCATAAAATATGTGTTTAATGCTCCTTTTATTCGTTCCAGGAACGTTACGACTGGAGCGTCGGAAATTGGCTAGAATTGAGTTTCCGAGGTTAGCGCCTCGAACGCCGGAACATGCGACGGAATATGTTCAAAATGTGGACTATGAAAAATCGAAAACTCAAGATGACATTAGCTAAACGCATAAAGATCAAAATTTCCAAATACAAAAAACGAAAAAAACTTGGTCGACTTATCTATGAGAGCACGCTGAAATTATGCTGTACAGATAACAACCAGCCCACGTCTCACTTTAAAAAAAAGCATTTTATTGCTATGAAATACCCGACTTTTGACCCAAAAGTCAGTTTTGAGCCGGAAAACGGTGTAAACGAAGGGAAAGGGAATCCATGAAGGTTCTCCTAAACAAAGAAAAATTACTCGACTTTTATCGATTGTCAAGGTTCGATCACACGAGAAACCGAAGCTTTCCAGACACGAGGCTGACCGATAAACCTTTGCAGATGAATTACTTGTTTACCTTGGGGATATCAGATAACATGGAAGGAATCCAACACAAGTTTTGCGGAAAATGCAATTAAATTTTAGAGGTTACAACGCTAAATGTGTGAGGCATTCATTATAACAAACTTTGGCTCAAATTTAGAGTTTTAGCTTAAGATATTTATTGCTGAATACATATAAATTGCTTTAAAAAATTTTGAGCATTGTACCATCAGCACTTGGCTTCGACCTCAAAAATGAATAGAAAAAGACCTTATAATAATAGGCTTCATAAAAAAAACTATTGTTGTTTACAATCTTAAAGAGAAAGAGGAACTTTAAAGGGGTCTCCTCGAACAGACGGCAGACAAGACTCAAATCAAAAAAAGGCTGAATTTGTCATCGCAACACAGCGCGCGATATTTTAGTTATTGTTTTATAAAAAAAATCCGATCGTACGTAAGCCAAAAAAAGAGTGGTAAACATTGTGAACAAAAAAACTTGTCAAAGGCAATCCATCTATCCGCTGAAGTCGGATCGAACTCTCAAGACGAATGATATCAGAAAAACATGTCAAAAGGGAAAGCAAAGAGTCAAGCAGTACCTTTAAAAATAGCTTCAAAAGCAGCCTCGAGCCACCGAGAAAAAATGAAGTGACTCATGAAAACACGAGCGACTTGACATATGAGTGTTATTTTATGAATGAAACGATTTCCTCAGGTTTCAAATAATAAAGGGTGATATTTTCGTAATTCTCTCAAGGAAAGTTGAAAACTCTAAATATCATGTACCGGCCACGTCTTGTTGCCTTCTTACAACAAATAACACCCATAAGCGTACATACGTGGAATTTTTCAACTGAAAGTACTTCACGCCCTACCCGCGTCAAGAACCAGTCAAGCAAACAAAGGCCGTAGAAACCGGTGTTTTGATGGTGCGCAAAAAATTACGAATGGAATATTCCAAAATTTTCACTAACAGCAAAAGTCCACCAAGTTCGTTAGGCCAAGGTTTAAGCCATGGCTTGCTTCCAGAAAATTTTTTTCACGCTTTCGAGGAGAAACCAAGTTAATCAACAATCTACAGGGTGGGCCACTCGAACCTTCCGTCCTTTTTTTTAGATTTCTCCGCGGAGGCTCCGCCGATTTTCATGAAATTTAGATTTTTCTGAAGCTGAGATTCGCCATTTTCAACCGATTGAATTTCAGGAAAAAATATTCTGAATTAACTTTGCTATTCCTTCCCAAAGTTTTTGAAAATTATTTTCGAGCCGAACCCGCTAAAACTTAGAAAATTTCTGGAATAATTTTGAAAACTTGGTTAATGTCGCCGAGATAGCATGAGAAATGTGGAGGACGGTTACAGAGGAAAGCATTTCTTAGCCACATTTTTTCCGGTTTCGTGTGGAAAAAATAGATTTTTGTGAAATCATTACCCTCTATGGTAAAAACAGTTTTGAAAATTTTCTTGCCAAAAGCCGCGAAAATTGACCCAAAGATCTCGGTCATTTCTGCTAAGCGCGGAGTAATCCCGCATGTTGTTAAGGCTTTTTTGGAGTATCATATCGTGCCTACAAACATCGCTAAATTTACCATCTTACCCGCAAACCGGAAGCCAAAATATTGAGGTGCTGATATGCGTCGTTGATAGAAATCGAAAAAAAATTGAAATTTTTTTCCAGGACTTCCGCTATGTGTACGATTCAATAATTTTTATTTCTTTCTCTCATGGCAGGAATGTTAATCTTATCGTTGATTCGCAGTTCAACAGTGTACTTGTAGCACTTCCAAATGTTATCTCCAACAGCAACCACAACTGTTAAAACTGTCACCAATATCAGTCCTAATGAATACAAGACTTCGGAATAGTGCGAATTCTCATCGTATTCTATGATAGTCTGATCGTGAGCAGTGTTCTCCTGTCCTCGAAGAAACAATCGAACCGCCAATTGTGCAATCAGAAGAAGAGAAAAGCCGGTCACCAAACATAGAGCGGCAGTCTTAATTACGAGTTCTGCATGACGATAAAAGCAACTTACATGACATATCAGAAAAGGCACAAACAAAATCCACTTTTTTCTGTAGCACCCAAACAACGCCAGCAGCGTTGTTTGCACCGATACCAACAAGCCAATCTCTATGATTTTAACATCAACCGGCAAAGCATCCTGTTTTCTGGTCCAGAAAATGAAAGCGAACGATAAAACCGACTGAATCAATAGTAAAAATGGAATATCTCGCTGAAATAAGAGACAGTTGCCACCAATGTTGTAGAAAAATTTTTCCAAAAAAAGACAACCTTCAAAATGTCAAGGGTTGTCGCGAAAGATCGGCTGGAAAACTCACGTGGGTCTTATCAGACATCTTTTTCCGCGAGAAAACAAAATCGAACTTCTCCTCTAACAGTTACGATTCTTTCGTGTGATTAAACTCGGTCCAGAAAAAACGGAGAGAAAGCGGTAACCCCATGAATTTTTTACATGGTCCGATTACAGTTTATTACCTAAATCGAAAATGTTGGTTTCCTTTACAAAAACGAGTTCGCTTATTTACAAACGCATATAAATATTCTAAAGACAACATAGTAATATTAACAACGAAAAGGCTAGAGTTGCGACGGTCAGACTTCTTCAAATTTTGCACACACGTTTCGTTTAGCCTATATTTCCATATCTGGGGATTTTTGCTTGCACTGTGCAGGCCAACCCGGTATATCTATCGGACTTTGAAGATCAGAGAGGGCATAAAGGAGGTGAAAGAAAAGCGCCATATCCGCAAGACTAAGAAAACGATATGTCCTAGAAAGGTCTAAACTAAAATTGCGCATAGTGACATAAAAATCTGAAAGTCGCACATCCAGCACTTGCTAAAAGACTATATGTCGCACCACCGGTTTCTGGCTGCAAGTGAAGGCCAAAATTTAAAAAAAGTTGGATTAGAATGTCGGTTGGAAGGATTAGAAATTTTATAATCAAAGTGAGCAATAAGATGTGAGAACTGTAGGGAAATAATAGAAAACATTTACGACACCTTTTCATAGCATAAATTAAAATCTTCAGAACCGATAACACTGGAAGACATGGAACGCCGTAATATATTCATCCACAACAAAGAAATAAATACAAAATAGATTATGCACTTCAAATAGGTAGCATTGAAGAGGAAGAGGCCTGTCGTTTCATCGTGCCAGTGCAAATCGACGTGATGAATCTGAGTCCTCGTTCGCCTCCCGGAATATAGGTCAGGACATACCAAACCAAGGCGAGACCTTGGAATGTGGCGCACACAACCGTCAACAGAGTGTTTTGAAGCTGAAAACAGACAAATTAGGCTAATCCTGACAACCTCAAGAATTTAAAATTTCCACGACATAGCTTCTGGCGTTCAATTAATGTTTTTTCTTGGCTTGCTGGGACAGAACCTGGGGCCTGTCCCACTAAGAAAGCGTAGCGCGAATCACGAATTGGAAGCGCGAAAAATCATGCAAAGGCGAGAGAGTCGAGAGAAAAAGCGGGCTCTCTCGGAAATCCGCGCTACGGTTTTTTTGTGCTAAATACCGAATTTTTTTTACTTTTTTTGCCATAACTTCTTTCAAAGACGTTCGATTTACATGATTTTAAAAATCATGAACAGAGGAGACCAACAGCTTCCATAAAATGTAAATTTTGTTTGCTTTAACGCAGATTAAGGCTTCCCGCCTGGACGAATTACAATTTCCTCCACAAGAATCACGATTCCAAAATGTCGTATTTTCAAGTAAAACTTATCCTTAAACTACTCATCATAACCCCCAACGTTCATATTGTCATTTATCAGCCCGAACTGCCCCTCCCAAGCCCAAACTGCCCCTTCCAAGCCCAATTTTGACCTCCTCTTGCCATAATTTGTTTGGATCGCAAAAAAAATTATGTTTGATTTTTTTTAAAAACAGTACTCTATTCGTCATTCAGAGGGACTGGGTCGGTTTTATCAGCCCAAATTAGCCCTTCCAAGCCCAATTTTGATCTCCCCTTGCCATAATTTGTTTGATTGCACACGGAGACACTCCTGGAACGTCCCATTGAATAATTAATCGCGCTTGTCGTTGTTATTTGAAAACTTTGAAGAGGAGGTAAAAATTGGGCTTGGCAGGGCTAATTTGGGCTGATAAAACCGCCCCACACGTCAAAACAATTCTTTCAGAAAATTGAAAAAACAAGGAATCTCGGATCATTGATTTTTTTTGCGAAGTGCCACAGAATTATCGAGCTTGAAAAATTATTTTCCTCTTCGAAAAAACATTTTTCTCGAAATTCTCTGGGAAAGTTTTCTTTTGTGACTCGATAATTCAGCGACATTGCGTAAAAAATCAATGATCCGAGGTTCCTTGTTTTTTCACTTTTTCTTTGACGTGCCCCAGTCCCTCTGGGAGACGAATGGAATAACTTAAAAAAAAAAAAAATTTAAATGTAAATGTTTTTGTGATTCAAAGAAATTATGACTAGGGGAGATCAAAATTGGGCTTGGCAGGGTAAATTTGGGCTGATAAAACCGACCCAGTCCCTCTGAATGACGAATAGAGTACTTTTTTTTTAAAAAAATCAAACTTAAATTTTTTTGCGATCCAAACAAATTATGGCAAGAGGAGGTCAAAATTGCGCTTGGAAGGGGCAGTTAAGGCTTGGGAAGGGCAGTTTGGGCTGATAAATGACAATATGAACGTTGGGGGTTATGATGAGTAGTTTAAGGATTCGTTTTACTTGAAAATACGACATTTTGGAATCGTGATTCTTGAGGAGGAAAATGTAATTCGTCCAGGCGGGAAGCCTTAATCTGCGTTAAAGCAAACAAAATTTACATTTTATGGAAGCTGTTGGTCTCCTCTGTTCATGATTTTTAAAATCATGTAAATCGAACGTCTTTGAAAGAAATTATGGCAAAAAAAGTAAAAAAAATTCGGTATTTAGCACAAAAAAAACCGTAGCGCGCTATAGCGCGGATTTCCGAGAGAGCCCGCTTTTTCTCTCGACTCTCTCGCTTTTGCATGATTTTTCGCGCTTCCAATTCGTGATTCGCGCTACGCTTTCTTAGTGGGACAGGCCCCTGGCTTTCTGATCAGAAAATAGCGTTCTAAACTTTTATTGCTTTTTTAAAATCAATTTTATACAGATGAGTAGACCTCTTGATTAATCACAGACCTCAAAACCTCACTTTCTTGCCTTCTAAATGTAAACTCAGGAACGCATTGGCGACAATCATTTTTTTTGCAACGCCATTTTGCCCTTCACGTCTTTAATGACACAAGTTTGATTAATCTGATCAATCCAACTCAACAAACAATATCAAAGACCACGATCTCCAGACAAAATTCTTGGCCTCCATTTCCTCGCAATTCTCTACACCCACAACTCCATTATCGTCAGTCAAAAGATGTTGTTAATGATGCTCGCCCAAGATAAGCAATAAAACTTATTCAAGTGAAACTGCAGATTAGTCTTAAAGTAGCCTCTCTCTTTAATGTGACATCTGCTGCTGACGTAAGCGTCTGGATCAACAAAAACCACGGTCGTCATATAGTATCGACATTAGAATAGTATTGAGAGTTTCCATGTGTATCAGAAATTTTTTAACGACGCTATTCAATTCTCTATTTTTAATGGTTTCGTTTACATGAGTAATTAGATATTAAATTATCCAAAAGACGCGCAGCTGACTTCGTAAGAGAGACGCCGCCTGCCTGACTCATTAAAAACAATCTACTATCTTTATTCTACCCAGTAGAAATAAAAAAACAGCAATCATTTTAAATTTGCAAATACTTATCTATTGATTACATTTTCGACATGCTTTTAAGTAATTGGCACTAAAATGGTTGTTTGGTGAGAAAACTTAGAACGTCTCTAGCTAAAGCACTTTTAGCGAAAATTGCCCAAAATTACGTTAATAATAAATTTGAGCTTAAAACAAGACCATCATAAAAAGTGTTCATCGAAAACAGCCGCTGTTTACGGGGCACGACTGAAAGCCATTTGCTCAAATGTTTTTTTATCTGCCATCACTTTTAGTGACCACTGGCCATAAAGTGGCCAACAAAAATTGGAATCCTAGGGTTTATTCATCTTTCTGTCCTCCAGCCGTATGTTTACATTCGCATGCAACAAATGCGTCTATGAAAAAATCCATGTCCTAAAAACAACGTCCTGGACAGCAGATTTTTTCGTGATTCTTGCAAAGTTTATGAGAACAGAGTGGACTTTAAAAACTTCACTTTAAACTAACTGCACGTCCTCCCCCACTTCCACCCTCACACAGCCAATTTCCACCCTCCGAAGGTTTCAATCAAAGCTGCTGGCATGCAAACGAGCCTGTCGGAAATGAGAGCCGAAAGTGGACCAACGGAAGACCGATTGAAATATTAAACTGAGTTCGGAAAAACAAAGAGTATTTGAAACGCCGCGAATATAAAAACGCCATTGCAATCCATTTCATATGCCAATATGAACTCTGACAAGACAACACCACGGCCCAACAATCACATTCGTTGTTAAAGCAATGGAACGTCTTAATTATTTGATTGGTATTACATCCTTCATTTATTTTTCACCAAAAAATATCCTGTTTTATATCATTCGTATCGTTTTTCTGTATAAATTACTATAACCCTTTTCTCAAAAACACATATACTGTCTAATAGCCAAGATCGCCGCATAAAGGAAACCTGACAAATTTGTAGTTTGACAATTCCGTCGTTGTCGATACAATTTCGCCTTTATTCCTAAAGCAACACGGGTTAAACTGTTGACGTCACTGTCCGATTCACGCGTTCGATTTCCGAAAATTTTGTCAAAATTTGTTTAAAGAACCCTTTGTCCCTGTCAGCGCGGTGTTATATTACCCGTGGGCATGTCAGCCCTGTGTTCCTTTAGTATTACAAAAGACTTTTGAAGATGGTGAAGTAGAAAATCTACCTCTTAAATTAAATCAAGGTCACACGGTGTGGTTTGATCCACTTGTAAATTTACTGGTGTCTTATTCATTACTCCGATCTAATATCTCTTAGATCGGAGAACGGCAGTCGGTAAGTTATTTGTTCGTCAAATGATCGCCATATAGAGATACACTATGGAAACGTAGATTTCAAAATGTTTGCAACAGAGGCCCGCCTTTTAATTTATTCATAGCCCTTTGTTTTCCTTCGCGGGGTATCAATTACCGAGCTGACCCAAGGCTCCTTAGTTTAAGAAAGTTAGTAACAACAAATTTTTTTACAAGAACCAAGGCGTTCGTACCGTATCTTTGCTTTTCGCCAATGTTTTTCTTATGCCACCATCGTATTCTTTAGTGTCGTTATTCTAGACGCAAATGCAGTAAAAACTTTTATTGCCGTCTCAGCTGAGAACGTGAATCAATTTGAAACTAGTCGGTGCCCGGGCGAGCACGTTCGGTGCACTCTGTTCTGATTAAGAATCCACCAAGTGTTTTTGAACCAATGAAATTTTGTTCCAAGAAATTAAGTTTGGTATATGCGGTCCATGTTTTTCAAGCTTATAAAGAAAACCGATGGGTTAATCTGTATGTACGTCCCCATTTCATTCAAATGCTATTGAAAGCAGTTAGGGCATACAAGACCTGTTTCTGATAGGCAAACATGGCATTTAGTGAAGCCGGAAACAGTGCGGAAACGACCCAATTGCAGGCTGGCTCGTTTACATCGACGGCAAACATGCGTCCAATGGTCCGCAGACTTTAGCACGAAAATTCGTACTAAAAATATTGTACTAGATTCAAGAAGTAACCGAAAAAAAGAAGCCTTGTTTTTGACAAAAGGATCACTGCTAAATCTGTTTATAAAATTTTTGGCGTAGTATCATCGACTAGAATATTCAATTAGTTTCCAGTGGAGACCATTGAATTATTCCGTGTTTTTTGCGGACCAACTCGTGCACAATAGTTCGGAAATTTTAATAGGATGTCATTCCAATAGTACGTAAGTAATGTGGCGATTGCAACAGACCCCTGAATTTTTCGCTTCCATTAAGCATTGTTGTTGTGAAACTAATGAAGTGTGTTGCCCCCAATTTCTATTTCAATGCAGGTCCTTTTGAGCCGGCTGAATGTCGGAGGCAATAAATTATGTTTGAATATTAGTACAGAAAAGCGGAGACTACGGTGAAAACGAACCACCCCGCGAAACCGCACACACTCCGATTGAAAGTTTGTGGAACGGAAATTAAATATTTATCTGGTGGCGTGCCTTTTTCGGCCAAACAAATCCGCATCCCGAAATTAGAAATTCTCCGTCCATTATAAAACAAGGGATGGCATGGCTTTTGATGAATCCGCCTCTCTCCCGAAACATGGAATTTTAAATTTGCCTTTTAAAAACTATGGGGACAGCAGTTGACAAAACACCAAATACATAAAATGGCATTTTGTTAATTGTATTATCAGCGTATGTTGAAAAAAATGGCGAATCTTACAGCATAAATTCTTGTTTTTGCCAATAACAAAGCGACGCCTCCCTTCGCATCCTTCATCCATATTTTCTAAATCCGGGCACCCCCACGTCACCAGCAGAATCCGGCATCAAAAACTCAAAGGGCGGATAAAAATACTTGTTTTAAGCTGATTACGCAATAAATTAAGTTCTTTTCACCTTCCAAAAAATGAACTAAGGTAGTTAACCTCAACCCAAATATAATTCAATTCTCAGCAGAGGTCCAATTAGTTGCATTCACAAAAACACGTCGGCTCTTCTAAAACTCTAGGACAACATGCTACGGCGCCCAATTTTTACTTGCAGCCAAAAACAACACCTTCATTTTCAGGCTGAGAGTGAAAGTTCAGTTTAGACAAACCATAAAATTTATCTTAATAGGAGGGTGGCCAAGTATAATTTCGTGTTAGTAATAAATATAACATAAAAACATTCATGTGCTTGCCATAATCCCCGGATTTTCAGATTCGACGCATTCCACAGTTTTAAGTGCTTGAATAATTAGCTTGACTCCATTCTTAATCCTCATTTACACATTGTAAACCCGAACAAACATAACTGTTGGCTACAGTAACCATTGCGGAGGATTTCTCAATTGGACCTACCAAAAAAGAACACAGCAGGTTTTCCGCAGGACCGGTGGCTTCACTCATCACTCTACTCGATTATAGGCATCTTTTTCCTGCGAATAACAGGAAAAAGCTCGTTCGGGCGGCCAGTGGAGTCGGAGAGAGTAGTGTCGGCCGAAGAGACCGGCGCGGCCACGCCCATTTTGGTCCGCACCCCAACGAAAAAGGAGGAGGAAAAACGGCCCGGGAATGAAAATGCGCCTGAAACGCCATTTCCACTCCAATCACGACAACTCCAGCATGTCGACGCGAAAGCTGTCGCTGTTCAACCGCTGGAAGAACCAAGCGTTGAACGAGACCGAGCTCGATGGGATCAGCGAAGAGGAGATGATCGAGTACAAAGAAGCGTTCAGGTTATTTGACAAGGTGTGTTTGCCTATCGACCATTTGATTCGAGTATTTTATTTCTTTAAATTTATTTGAATGAGGCCCTTTGTTAGTCTTTTTGGGCCTACCTCGATATTCTATCCCGACATTGTATGTGATTTACTTTTGTTTGCGCAACAGGTTAAAGTTCAAGACAGGCAGATCTTTATTAGTAATTTAAGATTTTTTATCAAGCTTTCGTGCTCCGTGATCTAGGAATTCGCGAGTTTCATCGTCATCCTTAGTTTCACCAAACGGTAAATACTGCTATTACCGGATTAAGACAACAAAAAAAGGTGTATATCGCCACTTTCCTACCTCAGAAAAGGATTATAATCCTTTGAATTAAGCGAAAAAAGAAAAAAGTTTAGAATTGTGAAATCCTAAAATTACTACAGGGGATTCAACTGTCCGTAAAAGTTCAACTTTTTTGCGGGATTTAATTCTCTTGGTCAATTTTTAATTTTTGAGACTTGAACGCCAACCCACTTTGCATAGTCAATTCTTGACGGCGGGTCGGAGAAAACATTACGTGCTCCGATATCGCCATATCCCTTGAGGGTATCCCGTGATAACAACAAAATTTTTCAAAGTTCTGAAGAATTACCGCCCGATTGCTGGGTCTCCTCTGTTATACACTAATCCGAAGCCATACAGAATCCGTTTAAAAAATTAAAGCTATTTTGAGACTTAAAAAAGGGGAAATGTCTTCTTAACCTTAGATATAGAGCTTGGAAACCCGAAGGTCATGAGAAGAAAATTGGCTATTCGTTCTGATTTTTCGTCCGAACACCTGATTGTGCAAAACAAATCCCCCAACAGCCCGCATTGTTTTCTCAACTGCTCATAAAAGACTCCGGGTCAATCGAACATTAAAATTTGAAAACGCCCTTCATAGAAATCCGGTGAATTTTATTCCCAACCAACAAGAATCCTCTAAAAAGGAAGTCATCACGCGATTCAAGCACACTTTACATCTCCTTTATAAAATTTTCCAGAGTGCTGTTAGAGCTAATCAATCAAATTGCAAAAAATAGTTGATCTCTTAGACGATGCCCGCGGCATTAGACACGAACCTCACACCTAGGTTAGATGATCTATTATACTCAAATCCTCGACCAATATTCTTTGACTGTCCAGGCGCTATGCCCCATGATCCTGTCTGATATTTTTACTTATATTTATCACCCTCTTCCCATCGGTACGAGCTTTGATACTTTTCTGGCCTCACCCGCTAATTGATCTAGAATAACAGAGAGGAATTCTGACCCATGTGACTTTCTCGGATTCCGCCTAGGCAAAGGGGAAACTTGATTGAGGAGGCCTTGCCTCAAAGGTGGAAACGTGATTTTGGAGCGGACAGATTGACATGTTCTGTCAAATGGAAAACGCGGTGTGAAAATAGGAATTGCAAGCAGTGAAAAAAATCATACTGTAGAGCTCAAACAACTAGATCAATGCGCCCTGCAGCAATTCTATAAAATGTAAGCGAACGTGATGTTTGAAACCTCATCCCGCCAGGGTAATTGAGCACCCTTCAACCGGAACGTATGGGCCATTTCCAAAACGCTACCTTAAGTACCCTTGTCCGCTTCCGCATGAGACAAGACGCCTTAAACGGGGTTGTGATGCTCTTTCCGGTTAAACTTTAGGTTCACTATGAAGAAAACCTCAGTGCGTCATTCAATGCAAATTCTCTTCCTGCACAATGATTGCCGTGTCGTAATAAAAAATAAAAACGTTTTCTTCTTTCTATAAGATAACACCGGGTGTTCTCTGGCCAAAAAACAAAAGTTGAAACATTAGGGAAGGTGCCATGCGCCACTTGAGCAATTCTTCGAAACACGCGCTCCACTTTTGGAACTACAATAAACTCATTTCCATGCAGCGTATAGAGGAAGTGAAAGCATCTGAAACGTATGCTGTCAATCTCGTGGCTAGTTGAAAAAGTGACGGTAGAATCATCCATCTCAGGGCGAGATTTCCGTTTTGTTATATTACATTCATTCATTTCCTGTTCGTCCAAATTCCCATGAGAGTAAAATGAAGGAGTAAAATTGATTTCTGTTCCCGCCGTTATGCCTTTCACTCTTTTTAATATCCAATTTTTTGTCAGCCGACCCTTGGGCAAACGCATTATTTGGAGTTAAGACCACCCCTTGACAATCGCGCCTTCATTTAGGGTGGGGGTTTGAAACAAACCCCCCCAAGGAAACAACAAAAGGTGTTAAATCCGCGCTTTTTTACATTATACATAAAGAATGACGTTTTCGGCACCGACGGGAGTCGGGGAAAAAAATGGAATCGAAGCGCCGTAGGCTTCATACATTTGTTTTTTGGCTTCAAAAAAGCGAACGCAGAACACAAGACAGGAAACTCTCCCTACATGATAATAAGGAATGGCATGCCCTTTCCGGCGCCATTACAACTTCGGGACGTTATCGATGTCAATAACCTCTTTGCAAGGAAAAAACAAGTCAGAGTAAAAATAGCTAACAAAGACGATGTCGCTCTCCAAAACAAAATTATCATTGTGTTATTTCAGGATGGCAACGGATCCATTTCCTCAAAGGAATTGGGAGTTGCGATGCGCGCACTCGGTCAAAACCCTACCGAACAAGAATTGCTGGATATGGTCAACGAGGTGGATATTGACGGTTCCGGGACAATTGATTTCAACGAGTTTTGCCAGATGATGAAACGCATGAACAAAGTCAGTTCTGTCACCAAAATAGTTACAGTGGGGGACCTGATCCAGTGGCAAGAAACATACCATTTTGCATCCGTGAAGTATCAAAAATGTGGCAAAATGCTTCCCTCTTCAAGTGAAAAAACTTCGTTTTAAAGATCGCGCCCTTTCTCCTCACAAAAAGAGCGGGCACGCTTTTGAAATTGAAGTTTTTTTCACTTGGAGAGGGATGTATTTTGCCACATTTTTTGATGCTTCCTGGATGCAAAATGGCACGTTTTCTTGCTACTGGATCAGGCCCCCCACTATAAAATTACTAGCGTAATAGCGGCAGCTTGCCACACAGGTTTTAGTTCTCAAGTGTTTGATAAAAAAATTGAACCTTTATCCAATTTGCAACGTCACTTCGTCCTGGCAATACAAACCTCTTTATGATTATAGGAAAACGATAGCGAAATGATACGAGAAGCGTTTCGGGTATTTGACCGCGATGGAAACGGATACATTACGGCCGACGAATTCCGATATTTTATGACGCATATGGGAGAGCAATTTAGCGATAAGGAAGTTGACGAGATTATCGCTGAAGTGGATATTGATGGTGACGGACAAGTAAGTAGCGTTGCATAAAACCCAATTTGTCGCTCAAAAATATAATGGGATCAAACAATTCCAACAAAGTTTGGTCTTTTGTTCTTTGATGTAACCTCGTTGGGGCCGCATGGGACTTGTTAATCTGATTTTGAATGGAAAATTTAAACTTGTGAAATCTCTATCGCACCGATAGAAAAAGAAACACTGTAGTAAACAGTTATATAGACCAAAAGATTTTTCTTCATACAAATTTTTGATCTCAATGCAAGCCCTAATTTACTCTGCATCTCGTTTCCATGTGACTCTTAGCACGAAACGGACGCACTCTCCGGTTATTGGATTGTTTTTTTTGTTGCTAAACCCGTAAAATTAACGTTTGTACATTCTGAATTCAGTTTGTATAGGAAAAGGGAGCATCAATAACATTGGAATTATGATACTTGACTTTTGGTCAAAACGCATTTTTCTTCCAGTAATCCGTTATGTTCAAGTCTTCGGTGCAAAACTTTTTTCGTTACTGTCGATTTCTCAAACAGGTCTCCGGGGCAAAATTTTGCTCATCAAAAATTTCGTGTTCGAACCAAAACCCGGTCATAAGTTTTTCCACGATTAGACCTCTGGGGAACTATTAGGAACTGGAAAAGCGTATCTAAGTGCAACGGAGCTGTCAGAGATGGATAATAAACGACATTTGGCCCAGGCGAATACGAGGATTACGGCCGGACAGATAGTTTTTTTCCCCCAAAACAACTATTTTTAATTTTTTTCTCCAAGGTCATTAGGATCCCCGAATATTAGACTTTGAGGAAATTTCGAGCGGATTAATTGTATTAGGAGCATCGAAAATACATACTCATAATGCGTAGTGATAATGGCAAATAAGTCATCGCCGTCAAAACAATTTTATAACGGAGCTAAGCTTTCAAAATTTGAAATTAATCTCACTACGAGCATACTGTAACGTAACCTCCTTTCAGATTGACTACGAAGAGTTTGTCAAGATGATGGCCAGTTAGCCGATAAGGACCTGTTATCATACCCCAAGTTCGACCTCCTAGACAACACAAACTCGCTCACAACATATACCTTCAACCGCAATACCTGTTCTAGGTCTGTACAAATCACTTGCATGTCATTTACTACTCCGTTTTCATAGGCTTGACTTCGGGTATCGGAAAGTCTGATAAAGGGAAAATATTCCTTGAATTCACTTGTTTTTAGAGACGTTCCATAGCACCACAATTATTATGTAATAGTCTGTACTTTATCCCACTTCACGAATTGTATTTTCCGTCCAGTAATATTTATGAATAAGCATTATCAATAACTACTGAATACTTTAAAGTCAAGAACAAGTCTACACTTCTGCTAAATACATTGTAATGTCGGATTCATCTTTACGAGTAAACGTTCGAAACTAGTAACATACAAAAATTGCTCTCATCTGTCGGCGGACCGAATCAGCCAACACAGCAAAGAAAGGTTCCCAGGGCTTGCTTACAGGGGAGGTAACTCGACGCTCAGATTATGATGAAACTCGGCATAAATTTAGAATCATTTTTTCTAAACTATATGCGAGAATCCTACCTCGCGCTTTGCAGAAACATCCGAGATTTTTAGATCGAAAGTTGGCGAAAATTTGACACTTTTTGCCGAATTTCAGCACGTAAAATTTCATGTCTATTTCTATCGTAGAGGGTAATGTTTCCACAAAAACTCAAATTTTTCCGCACGAAACTAGCAAAGTTATGGCCAAAAAGTATATTTATGACGTCAAGGACTTAATAATTTGGGGATTCGATCAGACACAAAATTTACATTTTTCTACACTCAACCTATTACTTCAGCACCCTGAAGCAACCAGAGAGGTCAGCAAAACTTTGGTTCTGTCTCTGCCAGCTTTATATCACAATCAAACCCCAAACCAATAAAATTTGAACTTACCCATAATGAAGTGTATAAAGTCGCCAAAACCGAGCTCAGGTAGGCCGCAGTCACATACCGACGCTGTGGAGTGAACAAGAACTGGATGTATGGGATCGGACCCCATAAAAATCCGAAACTAAAACAAACTCCATGAACCCTCGTTTCGTAAAAAATATAGTATTATAATTATGCTTACCTGATAAGAAAGAAAACGGAACCCAAGGTGTTTAACGAAGCGAATTTCCTCGTATTTACAATAAGCATCGGAAGCAACAATACTGCCTAAAAATTGGAATGAGATTAGATGGAAAAAGAAGGAAAGAATTTAAAAATTAAGGCAATAATTACCGTTCCGAAACAAAAGGCAGCTCCGATAATGCACATGAAGAAGAATGCAATCCTCTGTAGTCTCGACAATCCGCAACATTGGGATTCATCGTTGCCAAAACTAAACCAGCCACCAAGGCGTCTAAAATAATGCCATAAATAATTTCTTGAGATGTATTTTAGGCAAAGAGAATGTTCACAACTGACGATAGGTCTTCTGCTTCTAGACCAACAATTTAAAAAAAGCTTTATTTCTTGTCGTATCGACAATAGTTGCCTCCTAAAGTCCAAAAAACAAGGCAAAATGACATACCGATTCCGACTTTGCGGCATTGAACCGCTTGTACTCGGAGTATCCGTCAACGCTTCTGTATCATCTGACAAATCGGTCCTCAAATATCCTTTGAAGGCATTTGCCACATTCGATCCCAAGTGGGCCACGTTGAAAGTTCTGGTCGAAGAGGTACCCGATTTTGTTCGATATTCATTCACAAAGTCCGACAAAGCCGACATGATGGAACTACTTTTGGAATACCTGAAGAAAACATATGAACATAATAAACCCTTCGATTATAAATTTCAAAGACATCTTTTCAATTCAATTATGATTCAAAATCCAGCCACGTTGCACAAAACTCGGCAAAACAAGTTTCTAAATCAAGAAAACACCAAATAAACTAATGACATAGTCTTTCGAACTCAAACAATTTGTAAATAAGCTATTTTAATCTGGGAGAAGCATTAATCTGCCCAAAAAAGACGTTGAAATCCAACTTACCACTTTCAAATCGCCAGATCCAGCGCAATAAAAAAATTCTTCAAAAAATAAAGAGCGTTTCCAGATATAACAGCCTGATTTGGTTCCGTTGTTCAACAAAATCGGCCGGCAAAACCAGATTCCTCGAATATTTCTCGTTAAAAAAACGAAATGTCACAAAATTATCGGAATGTAACGAAATGCCCACAGACCGAACGCTTTCATCGAGGAAGACACAAAGCCCAAAATTGGTGATTGACCGACTATTTTATTCAATGAAAAATGATCGGCCAAGGGTTAAAGCGGCTCTACAGTTCCTAGGAAAATATATTCCATCTATTCATCATCATCGTCTTGTATAACTTTCGGTATTTGAATGATTCCTGTGTGAAGGCCAAATAAGACTGTTGCTGTCAAGGAAAAGGCGATAAACACGGCAATGTTGGTGCTGTTGCTAGATTCCTGCTGCTCTTTCTCGCGTTCCCTCATTCTCTTTTCCATTTTCTAAAACAACATAAATCTCAACTGAACTACGTACCTCTTTTTCCACTCTTTTCTTCGCTTTCTCAACTTCGATGACTAAATTCTTGTATTCCTTGACGGCACCGAGGCCCTCATCGGCCACCGGACAGTAAATGGAACTAATCGACTCCAGAAAAACGGCAAGATTTGGGAGGGCTTTCAGCTGTAATTGAACCCGATCATTGGCCATGGGAAGTTTGAACAACGGAGCCAGATAACCAAATATCAGCGCGTCCAGACTAGAAGGTCTTGTTCCATTGAAGTATTTCGAGTTTCCGAGCTTCGCTGACAGAAGATTCAATGTCTAAAGAAATAAAACAATCAGAAATTGATAGACTTACTTTTATTGCGTCCAATTCTAATTGCTCGGGCTTCTTCCCAGTTCTTTCGACAATCTTTCTGGCTTCAGCTCGCTTCGTGTTCAGATAAAAGAAATAATAAGGCCAAGCCGTGGTCTTTGCGATCATTCTCGACGCCAACGAGGAGAAGTTAAAGTCATCTATCCAAAAGAGTTGCTCTAGCGCTGGTAGCAGCCCAACTTTAATCAATGCGTCAAACCCTTCCAGCAGGACCTTATCCTTGTCGCTGAGTTCGGAGTCCAGTTGAATATCGGAATGTTGTCTCCTCAAATGCTCAACAAACTCCACAAAGTCGGTAATCTGTTCACTTCCATCAACAAACGAAGGTATCACACCAGTTGGAGAGTCCGAATTCTTCCGACAATGCACAACCTTCAACTCGGTCGCACAAAATCGAGCTGCCGCCAAGAATTGAAGCGATTTCGAATCTACTGATGCTAACCCATAGAACGGCGGTGATATATACAACGACATCTAAAGATGGACTCAACACAACTACTAATCATACTATGCATTTAACCGAGATCAGATCAGTTCTTTTAAAGATTTCTTTGAATCCCCCGTTTATTTAATTTAACATGTTTGTGAGATGATCATACGTGAGAAAATAAGTTAAAATAAGGCATAGTTACTCGTTAGTTTTGTCCGAAAGTGCTCCTTTGTGCTGTGAACCGTCCGTTGGCTCTTTTGGAGCTTCTTCGGGGACCTCCGGTTGTTGGATTGATTCGGACTGTGCTTGCTGGGGAATAACCGAAGTAATCTCTGGTTCAGGACGACGGGCAGTGAAGATTGCAACATCCTCTTCCATCATATCGACATTTTCATCCTCTGGCGCTGAAATAATTAAGATTAATCCCATTAAAAAGGAATTATGCCTAAAAACCAAGAAGAATGGAAATACTTACGAGGAACAAGCTCATCCTGCTCATTCCATTTGATCGGATAATGAGTGACCCTCAGATCTTCCAAATGAATCTTCCTCTCCAGCTTCTCAAGAATTGGCTTCAAAGGAGGCTCGTTGATCAACTCCTCGTCGACATAGGTGTGTGAAACAAAAAAGGCAACCTTGGAGAAGAGTTGGTCGTGATACTTGCAGCGAAGGAAGAGAACGGAGACATCCGTGAGATCTTCATCATGAACCTTGGTGTAATCTGGGGGATCAGCCTGAAAATATATCCTTTATCAAACAAAAGAGAATTCACGATCGCAAATCCGAAAGGGATGTCGGTGGCACGCCTAAGCTTACTTCGAAAATAAATTGGTGCTTTCCAGCCTTGATTGGACCAACTTCAACCGTCTCCAGGATCAGATCGTGCTCCTCATCACCGTCCCAAGCGAAGAGCATTTCCCAGTCGACAGCTAAACTCAGAAAATAAAAAGAAAACCGCTAACATACGATCCGCCAGATCCTCATACACCTCGAACGTAATCTTCAGCGAAACCGGAGTATTGATCGGACTAGGAGTATTCAACGGCTGTACGGACAGGAGCTGAACGCGTGAGGACATGGTGCACAAACCGGAAAGTAGTGAGATTTTTCGCCAAAGAACGTTCTTTCACGGTTTCATCAAAATTTTTGGCGCCTTCAGGCGAGATTTCTGGGTTCTAAGACGAAAAATTGGAATGCAAGGAAAGAAAATACGGAATGCCAAAAGATAATTTCCAAGAGAAACAAAAAAAAATTTTTGTTTGGAACTTCTACTAGGTTTGTGTTTTGTATATTTAGCATTCCTTGTATGTTATTTACTTTCGTCGGATTATGTTACTCTTGTTGAACTATAGGCCTCTAGTCAGACATGTTTTTTTCAGGACACACGGGTACCCATGGCGTAGCGAACGAAAGAAGAAGCGAAATGACCTCAACTCGTTGTTTCATAGATTTTATTAAATTTATTGTTTGTTTAACATTTATTTTTTTCTTCTACAAAAAGTGGACGAAACATGAGGAAAACCAGTGTGGCATGACGTTCATGTGGCGCCGAATGTTCTTCATGGACGTGGGCTTTAGACATGGCGACAGATACAACTTGTCGCTCTATGGAGAAGGATACTACGCGCTTGGATACATGTAAGTCTCAATATTTTGTTTTTATTGGTCTTAGGAACGATCCGAAAAGTCTTGATGGAATTCCGATAATTTTTGTACCCGGAAATTCAGGAAGTGAGAAGCAAGCACGATCGTTGGGTTCAATATTGCAAAATAAGACGGAGAGTAGACGACCTGGCTTTAAATTTAATGTGTTCACCGTGGATTTTAAAGAGGTTAGTTTTTAGAAGATGTTGATGTTGAAGTTTAGAATAAAATTTGAAGTTTGCTGTCTTCATCCTTGTCTCTAGACCTTCATGCTTGTAATTCCAGGAGTTCTCAGCGTTTAGTTCGGTGGTTATCAATCGGCAAATTGATTATCTTGTTCATGCAATCAAGCATGTTCATGGTTTATATAAGGACGGGCGAAAGATTGTGTTGTACGGGCATTCGATAGGTGGAATTATTGCTCAAGGGGCTTTGGCTCATCAAGGGATTGAAGAGAAGGTCGCAATGGTTATAGGACTTTCTACACCTTTCAAGGAGTCTCGTGAGTGATGAAAGCATTGGTCGTGCATGTTGTTTATGGCTCTTTTCTTTCCAGCTATCCTAATCGACTGGGCGATTCAAGAGATTTGGAATAATATGTACAAGTTGTCCAAAATCCCAACAATTTCCATTGACGCGGGCTTAGCTGACCTTCAAATTGCCCCAGAATGGACGGATGCGCCTTTTGTTCACCATGTTTCGACGAATCAGATCGATGGAGTAAATTTGGAGTGTGATCATCAATGTATTGTATGGTGCAACGAGTTAGTGAGGTAAGAATCTTTCCTTTGTTGTTATTGCTTTAGGCAGAACACTCGCTTTCTCTTCGACTACGCAAAATCGGAGAACTTCACCGCCGACTTTGAAGCGATTTATCACCAGCATTTCGGACCAAAGTCGAGCGATATTGTGTATCACGCCGCAGATGAGATCGATCTTTTGCCAAAAACAGCTTATCAAATTGGATTTGAAAGTACAACATCGCACAGTTTGAAAGTTGTGCTCAACTTCTATCATAAGGTGTTGGTTTATGATGTGTTGATCAAATCAAATGAATCCCTGGTCAGTGTGGAATTCCATACGAAGAATTCGTGGAAGAAAGCCATCAAAGAAAAGAATGGACACACATTAAGAGCGTCTCTTTTCAACTTTCAAGTTGATGAAAATGCAAGAATTTTGATTGCGCTTGATAAAAAAACGAAGCTGAAAATATTGTACAAGATCAACTGGAAGTATAGCTTGTTGAAGGTAAGATTTCGTCAGTTATTGCTTTATTCTTTAGTTTTGCCAAAAGTTCCGATCAATTTTGCTCCCCTTGGTAGTCCTCATCTCCGTCAGTTCAGCTGCTTGGAATTATCTAAAGTTTTGGGGAGTTCTCATCGCCGCGATTGGAATTTCGATATCAATGTGAGTTGAATTTGAAGTTTATTTATTTTTTAGAGCGCCGAAATACTTTGACGTCGATGAATTTGAAGTTGCGGCCTTGATTGGACTTTCTCTATTTGCTGCTGTCATCCTTTCGATCTTGATCATTCCGGCCAAATTTCTTGTCTCCCTGATTCCAGACCGATTGTCACAGATGTCGTGTTATTATCTGGACATTGTTTTGACGATCATCAACCCGTTCATCGGTCTTATCTTCTCCTTGTTGAGGCAGCTATCGAACATTCCAAAGGAATCTCTTGAAGCAGCGATTTTCCTGACGGTTGGAATTGTTGTTTGTAGTCTGGAGCAACTTGTCTCGTTCAAATTCTTTGGAATATTCCGAGTTGAGGAAGAGCCCTTGAGTACAGTAGTTTTGTTTTTATTCGTGTCATTTTCGACCGTTTTTAGAACGAATTCGCTTTTTTCAAAAGCATTTGCGGCATTTTTTATTGCGATTAGCGCATTTTTGTTTACATCCTCGCCGAATGTGACAGTACTGAATACGTTTTTCATGTCTTTGTTTATATTGTTTAGGAAGTAGACACTTTAGGTCCTTTATACCTAATATCAGATAAAAAATTTAAAACCTTAACGTATTTTCCTGATTATCTCACTTAATGCAATTTGAAATGTGATCTTATAATTTCCCGGTACGCGTATTTTGAAATGACACTCCGTTATAGTAGTCTTGGTCCAAATTAATATTGTTTTTTCTTGTTTTTAATAAAGAATTGTTTAAAAATTTGGGTTTAAGTCCTTTCGGGGTTGATTTCCGATGTTATTTATGGTATTAAATTTATTTTTAGGGCCTATGATGACTTATATCCATTTAGTTTTAGGATTTGGAAGCTAACTCAAGGCTAAAGAACCAAGGAAGTATGGTGGTAAGTTTAGTATCTTTTGTTCTTTTTATTCGGCTTTTAGTTGCCACTGTCGCTCCTGAAAACGGCCCAAAACCAGCCAATGCTGATTGAATTGAAGAATGGTGAAACTTACAATGGAATTCTCATAGCATGCGATTCATGGATGAATGTGCATCTCAAGGACGCAATTTGCACATCCAAGGACGGCGACCGATTCTTGAAGATCCCGGAAGTCTATGTTAGAGGTGCTACCATCAAATATCTGCGGATCCCAGAGACGGTAAGCCATCCAAAATTTTTTTAAGAACTTTTTTTGTCGTCTGATATTGTTGTGGAAATAGTTGATGATTTGAAATTTTAGGTGGTGGATCTGGTCAAAGACGAAGTCAAAGAAGTTCGCCGCCAGCAACGCGACAACCGCAACGCCAAGAAGAACATTAACCGATACAACAATCCTCGACAAGGCGGCCCGAACAATCAGCAAAGACCCGGAGGACCCAATCAAGGACAAAATCGGAACCAACGACCTCAACAAAATCGGAAATAATTGCTCGACATCTCGTTTTTTAAAATTTTTAATTTGGAATACGTCATTGACCCTTGTTTTATCTTTAAAATTGCATTAACTTATGATTATAAACACGAGGCGCAGTTTGAATAATACAATATTGGAATAATATTGGTCGTATTGCCAAAAATTACTTTCGGTTTTCTCCCCCCGTTTTTTCGTTTGTTTATTACGATATGTGGGCCGGAGATTGTTGCAAATCGTAAATCATTGTGATTTATAGAATGTTTCTGATGTTTTAATTCGATTTCCTTTTCCTCCCTTCTGAACCACGGAGAGAAATGGATGAAACGCGCGAAAAGAAGACGAATGTTGTGAAGAGTTATGGTTTTCACGGGGGTTGTAGACTTTATGAAGGCTATGATAGAATCCCATTGCGATTTGATTGGGGTTTTGTCGTTTTGAACGGGATTTTTGGATGTTATCTATGATGAAAGAGGAGTTAATGCAAAATAAGTTAGAGTTTTAGTCGAAAAAAGCGCATTCTTTCTCAGTTTCAATGACTAACTCGAAAGTTGTGTAATGTTTTTTCCATTTTTTCGACTTTTCGATCTCATCTCCCCTAAGGGGTTGTTGTTTTTTGTCTCGGCGAAAAAAGCATTTGTTCCCCTTCGTTACTTTTTCTTCCTTTTTTTCGTTTCAATTACCCGGGTTCGTGCCCGAAATAAATAGAATTTTGGAGTCTCGCTTTTAATTCCAATGTTTTTTTAAAGGAGTACGAATACTTGGTGTTCCAAATTGTTTTAGGCCCGTCTCCTTGGGCAGTTTTATTCGAATTTTATTCGCTTCTCCGAGCAGAAAGATCTGAAATCCAGAGATTTTTCATAAAAACTTTTTTTTGTAAAATTTGTTATGAATATTAACTAACGAGAATGGGGCCGTGATTAACAACATTTTTTAAACATGCGTCCTTGATGAATAATGAGAGCACATTTCGTCGTTTGAACAAGTCTTTGAAGCCATACAGATGGCTTTTAGCCGCCCGGTTTATGGCCAACACGGCCAAAATTATGGTTCTTGAACGGCTGGAGCCTTGTTGAGGCTTTTTCTCGACAGAGTTGGTAATTTTTTCTTTCAAGTTCTAAAGGAATGGGTGAAAATTAATAAGTTTTGCGATTTTTTAGTCTAAAATTAGGTTTGCAATTTTTTAAAAAGCAACAAATTTGTCGAAGTACGTTTAGCAGGCCCGAGATTAATAAATTTCCCGTTCCTTTTACATTCACTTAATAATCCATAGTCAAATACCCAAAATAAAATTCAGAACTTCCCGCCGTAAATAAACAAGGTGGGGGGAAAAGCCCGTAAACAAGAACGCAAGCGGACGGCGAGCAATTGAGTGTCGGTTTTTTGTTCGGACGACGTTTTGCGGGTTTTTGAGAAGGTACGATGACTCACAGTCTTCTTGAGATTCAATGAAACGGCGATTTATAACATTGCTCTTGAGTGGAAATGTACTCCACTTAATGTTCTAGCATTATATAGACTGAGTCAATATCTTTCGTACATTGAGAAATCGATTTGATGAGGTTGTGATCTGCAAAATTTTTGTAACAAATTTTGCGGTATAGTTTTGTGCTTTTCAAAAAATGTACTAATGTTGTACTGGATGAGTCAGCCGGACCTGAAAGATTTGATTCTTATTCTCGTCTAGACATAAAAAGCGATGGTTTTCCAAATAAAAGGATGAAAGTTTGGCATTTTTTTTTTGTTTCAAAATAATGTTTTTGTAACCTGACTCTTCATTTTTTCACTACGTGTTTATGTTTTCGCGTTGACCCCTTGCTTTTGGAATCAAAATTTTTTACTTACAAGTAAAAAATTTGATAGTAAAATTTTGGGTTTTCATTTGGAAAACCAACGGTTTTACTGCGTGAAAGCAAACGTTTTATGTTAATTTTGCAAAAGTTTCCGTTTTTATATATTGCCGGAAGGCTTTTTCAAATCAGTCGTCAGGAAAATAATGTGGATTTTTCGGAGCAAACGTCTCGTCGCGGTCGCACACCAACTCTTCAGCCGCGGCTAGGTGTCGCAAAGCAATGATGGGCGATTTCAAGACGAATCCACATTATTTTCCCAACAGACTGATAACTAGAGGTTAGATGCCGAAAAAACCTCTTTTGCACTCCGAAAGCCATCAGGATGGGTAATCGAAATGTCTTTGAAACTTTTGCTGTTCCGAGCGGGCTCTTTATTAAATAATTATTATACAGTGGGGGACCTGATCCAGTGGCGAAAAACGTACAATTTTGCATCCGGGAAGCATCAAAGAATGTGGCAAAATACCTCCCTCTCCAAGTGAAAAACTCCGAGGCGCGCCCTCTCTTTTTGTGAGGAAAAAGGGCGCGCCCTTTAAAACGAAGTTTTTTCACTTGGAGAGGGAAGCATTTTGCCGCATTTTTGATGCTTCCCAGATGCAAAATGGTACGTTTTTTGCCACTGGGTCGGGTCCGTCACTGTAATGAAGCTTTGACTAATTCAAATTTTTCCAGGGTTCCCTCAAATTTTCGTTTGGGGCTCCCTTTATCTCCAAGGTGCGTGGCCTCCTTTTCAACCGGTCCTGTGGCCGTCCAACCAGAATGGCTGTCCGACTCTCTGTTGGCCGTATTGTTTGTGATTTTTTGGTGCTATTTGCGATTGGTAGGTTTGACGAAATCTTATTTCATTTCCCCTTTAGCTATTCCTCTGTTGATCTTCCACGAATGGGTGAAACCGTACAAACGCGGGTTTTATTGTGACGACGAATCGATCCGCTACCCTTACCGACCCTCCACGGTAACTCGGCAAGCCCTCATTGTGATCGGAATCCTCATTCCGACCCTCTTGATCTTGTTCACGGAGCTTTTCCGGACCTTGACATGGGAAAGAAAGGAGGCTCATCTCTTCAGAACCTACGAATACCGAGACAAGAATGTCCACAGGTTCATTGTCAGACTCTACACTTTCATTGGTAAGCGTCTAGTTGGTCTTGAAGTTTTTTTTTTCATTTTTTAGGCTACTTCTTTGTTGGGGTCTGTTTTAATCAGCTGATGGTGGACATTGCAAAATACACGATTGGAAGACAACGCCCTCACTTTATGGATGTCTGCAGACCGAATGTTGGGTACAGTAACTGTGACACCCATATGAGAGAATACATTACTGAGTTCCAATGCACAGGAACCGACCAATATCTGATCCACGAGAGCCAGCTGTCGTTCTACAGTGGACATTCCGCCTTCTCCTTTTACGCCGCGTGGTATACTAGTGTAAGTGTGGTTCTTATTTTATTTTTGGTATTTTAGGGAGGAATTGAGTCGGTTTTTTAAAATTTAAATTGGTTTTTGATGTTTTAGTTCTATCTCCAAGCCCGTCTCTACCGACCACTCATTTCTCGCCTGGTCCTGCCAGTCATCCAGTTCTCGCTGTTTGCTGGTGCTGCTTATGTTGCATACACTCGAATCAGCGACTACAAACATCATTGGAGCGATGTTCTGGTTGGAATGTTTATGGGATCGGCGATTGGAATTATTAATGTAAGTGATTCTATCTTTTTTTTGCTTTTTATTAGGCGTAGAAGTATGATCGTGCCGTTTTTCCGGCCCATAATTTCAATCAAAACAAAAAAATTTTACACTGAACCTTATCCAATTTTATATTCTATTATTAATTCCGAGGGGTTTGCACAATTTGGCCAACTTTCAAATCCATCAAAGAAAATTTTTGGCTTTTTTGAAGCCATCTAAATATCAACCCAATTTTCGGCATCGTTGTGTTCAACGAAGCGCTGCTGCCACAGATCGCGTTCCATCGGTCGAAACCAGTGATAATCTGAAAGTGCTGCGTCCGGAGAGTGTCGCGGGTGAGGTAAAACGTCCAAACTCGGCGGTTCTAGGGTGCCCTTGACCAGTTTTTCAACATGGGGTTTGGCGTCATCATGCAGCAAAATAAAAATTGGTCATACCGACCGCTTTTATCATATCTCTTGGTGGAGTTGCATCAAGTCTTGTTGACAACGGATGCCAGTAACCGTTTTTTTGGGTTTCAAGACCTCATAGAAAAGAAGATCTTGTTTTTGTCATCATATATAGAGCAACACTTCCTTCCCGGTAATGTTGGACTGTGCGGTCGCTTGTGTTTCGGGTTGTCAAAATCAATCCATTGTTCTTCTCTGGTCAATAGACAATGCAAAAATGACTTCCTTTCTGTCTGCCTATCAAAATTTTGTATGTTATCCATGTTGAGTTAGGTCAATCCATATGACACCCAAGTCCCTTCTATCTGGATCTTTCCCAATTGTTCCAAACTGAGTGAAGCTTCTTTAGGCAACACGTGTAACATCACAGCTAGCTTTTCTTGCGCACCGGCATCGTGTTATTTGCAATAATCTCCATATTCAAATTTCTTATATGGGTTGGAAAATCACGGGATCTGAAACGCTGAACCCTTTTCCGACGGATTTTTTTCACAGAGCACGACCACAGTAGGCTTCTGTAAGCGTTCCATGCGTCAACGGCGCTTTTGCTCACATTACATGTGCAGAAGAAAATTTCCCGCAAATGGCATTTTTCTGGGACGAAAGTTGGTCATCTTTGAAGCTTTATAAAAACCGCTATTCTAAACCCAACCACATGAAGCATGTATCGATAGACAGCGTTTTCAACGTTCTTTCAGGTGATATCAACAGATGCACCAAAACTTTAACCCTACCTGTAAAAAAGGCACAAATAAAAAACGGCACGGTCATACTTCTACGCCTAATATTAGGGTGAACCAAAAATTTTTCCGATTTTTTATTAAAAATTCAAACATAATTTTAGAACAAATGAAAACCAGTTAAGTTTCAAAGTAAAGGCCATTTGAATCTATGGCTTGAGCTTGAAAAAGATCATCAGGGCGAGATTTTGGACTGATTCCGAAAATTTTTGCGATTTTAGTTTTTTTGGTGACTATTATTTTTTTTTCTTATTCGATTTTTTAAATTTTAGGCCATCTTCATTGCCAACGTCTTTGCACGACGCGAAATCCCTGCTGGTATCAAGACCGGCCGCCATTATCAGATGGACTCCCCAACTCATCACGTCGCATTCAATGGAGACGCGGAAAGGGGCGGAGTCACCGTCCACATCCAGGACAACGTTGCCGGCCCTCACACTGTGATCCAAAAGGAAGTACAAGTCCCGCAACAGGTACGGTACAGCACATTGGTCCGAGGCGATGCTAACTAGGCTCTATTTACAACAACCTTACTTTTTTTCTAAAATTTTTTGGCATTCTTGCTAATTGTCGACTATAATTTGCATTCTTTTCAATCCACTTTTTGAATATCTCATTTTTGTTGTCTTGAAATGTTTTTTTTTTGGATTGTAATTGTCTTTATGGGCTTGCTATTTGATCTTGTACAAATCGTTTCCTCGAAAAATTTCCTAAACTCTATAAATAGTTGGCTAAATACCTGAAAATCTAGCTAGTCAGCGTTGTTTCCTCCCGCTTTTGTTTGCATAATTTTAACGATAGCTAACTCTTGTTTGCCGTATCACCTAACCTGTATAATCCGTCCGCCTACATCGAAAACGCCTGTTTTTGTTTCGTAAATTTGATGGTTTGCGCTAAAATAAATTCTAACCTTAGTTTTGAGAGTAAAAAGCATATGAAAACTTTTTGTGTATGAAAGTGTAGGCAAAATTGGTTGAAAAAAGATAAGAATTTGGATTAAAAGTTGACCAATCCGCCTGAAACTCTCTGATTTGTCAAGTTGACCGGTCAGAGTTGGTCAAAATTACCTTAACCGGTCAAGTTTCGCATTCCTAGGAGATCATTGATAAGAAACCCTGGTTTATTTTTGAGAACAAACTGTCGTCTTGCAAAAAACGCAATAAAATATTATTAGGAGTGCAGTACACGAGCTAAAACCCAACGATCCCGCCGAACTCGTGGCAGCCATATTCAGCACAAAAGTTCGAGGCTGGAAAAGATTATTCCGACCATTGGACAGCGACAACAGTGATCGACAGTGATGAGGAAGAGGCTCGTTGAAGGCCAGTTGACTGTAAAGTTGCTCGAAACTGAAAAGTAACGAAAAGTCGGCAATTGGAAAAAAGGCATTTTGGGGGAGCGGGACGGTTGGGGAAAGTGAAAATTATTATTTTTTCGATGTAGGTGTCAAAATTAGAATAACCGATGGCGCTGATTTTGAAAATGATATTAATTTTTTGACTGTAACTTTTTTCCTTAAGTAGTACTGTAAAGTTGATTTTTGAACTTTTTCACCAATATTTTTTTAACAACTTTTTTCACAAATATTCGATTTAGAGGTTTTTGATGGTGCTGATTTCAAACCAGAAGAAATTAATAAGATTTCTAGCAAGATAATAGTATCTATCAAAAAATGAATGTTATTTGCAAAATCAGCGCCATCGGTTATCCTAATTTCGACACTTATTTTGAAGAAAAATAATACTTTTTAGTTTCCCAATTGTTTTTCCCCAATCATCGTTCCTTTGAATGTCTCTAACTTCGTAAATTATGAAGTTAGACATTCATCTTCAAATTTATATAATACCTCGAGAACTCTAGAGTGATGAAGTGCAGCATCAGATTGGTCGAGCGATCCCCACAACCAGCTCGAACTATCGGCTCCATGCAATTGATCATTGCGCTGAGGTCCCTAAAAATATGCGAATTTTTTTTGGGACTTTGATTTCCCATCTTACTTGCATAAGAACCGGAATTTCAACCGAATACTGTAGAATTCTCGGTTCACAATAGCGGACGTAAAGTTGGCTGTTGTTATGTGGGACTGCTGAATTTGAGCGCTGCACTTGGACATGGCCAATGGTTCATATTGGGTTAGACAGGGAAGGGCAGAGAAGAAATCTAAAAATGTTACAGGTCATTCTGACCTGGAAGGATCTTTTGCTAATATGACATGGTAAATAATTGTGCAAAATTTATAAAAAATGAATTTTTGGGACCATGAGGGATATAATTTTTTGAAATCAAATTTTTTTTATCAAAATATCCTCGGCAATATTCTTTATCAAAATTTTTTTGAAAACTGGATTAAAAAATCTTGATTGAAATGATACCCTGAGGGCATTTTCTCAGAAACAATGCGTCGGCCAAAAATTGAGGTCATTGGGATCCATAAAATCGAAATTTTTTGGGAAGTTGAGCCATGACATGCAAAGTAATCAGCAAAAGAAGCCCTCCATGTCCGGCGCAAGACCCTCTTACCTTTGCGATAGTCTTTGCAGATCAACTTCAGCCCAGCGTAGGTCTGTTTCACCATCAACAGTTGCTTCGAATTTCCTCCGCATTTCTCCAAGCAGTGCTCTACCGATTCGTATGAACTGAAGAGAAAAATAGACAAATTTGAGTGTCAATGGAATAAATTATGATTTTGAGCCACTTACAGACAAACTTGAGTAAAAAACTTGTTCATAGTGGAGACACCGGCGATATCGGGCGTCTGGTTCTCACTCTTCCCACCGGCTTGACGTTGAAGTAAAGAGCGTTGATGCAAAGCCCATGATGTGTTTTTAGTCGCAGGAATTGTGTCTAGCATCTGGAAAGACGAGATCAATAAAAATTTTAGTCTTGGCTTGAAGGAATTTTGACCGGTCAATGCAAAGATGACCTGTCTGAACCAGCTACGCAACTATTGTCTTTGCCAGGTCCGGGAGGGCGTTCAATGGTAAAAACAGCAGACAATTGTCGAAGGGCATGAGTTTCCATGATAAATTCACTATATCACGCTAATTTTAAAGCGGAAATTGCTTGTTATGCGTCCCTTTTAGAGGGTGGAAATCTTCAAACTGGCCAAGCCAATTTTTTGGGGCCGTGCTTGTGGTTTGATGATATTGTCAAGCTTGGCTGAAAAAAGAGGTCTGGACCGGCCATTTTCAAAATTTCCACCCCCTAAAGGAAGCAAAACGAGCCGCGTCAGCCATTTCATTTGGGGAATTTTCACGTAAAACGTGACAAAAATCTCATTTATAGAGCTTAAAATCACCGAAATATTTTTTGTGAAATTGAACAGTTATCCTGATCCGACCGGTCAAGAGCAACTTTAGTTTCAATCGCCAATGACAATAAACACAGTGGTTGATGTCAATTTTCCCTGAGACGCTTACCATTTGCATCTGCGAAACACAATGATCCGTACAATCGTCTGGGAAGGGAATGCATCGAGTGAAAAATATTGATACTGAAATAAATTTTTTATCAAATTTTTCGGTCATTGAACATATTTTCACCTACTGCACACCGCCAGCCAGAACACCTTGTCCACACACCGCCGATATATTCCAATCGCATTCATCATATCATCCTTCCACTCGCAGTCTTGACAAATATGCAAATTCGGTCGGCAAAAGCGGGCCCTTCAAACGCGGAATGAAGTGCCCACGGACGTGGCGAAACAACCAATTAAGCGGCCGCAAACTGCATTTGTCATGAGCAATTTAGCCGCCGTCAATCGAACTGAAAGCCTGTTGTATAAAAGCGGCCGCAAGTTGGCAAATTGAGCGGTATTTGGAAATGGCCAGGAGTTACGGTACCCGCAATTCCTAAGGTCAAGCGGACATCAAGAAACCCGAATGATATTTGTGATGTGGAAAAAGTCTTACAAGGTAAATGTCAATGGCTAAATTGGCGTGCCTCGAATACGAACGACATTATAGTCGAAAGCACGCAAACACAAAATTAGAATAAGGATATAAAAGAGTGTTTATGCAGTAACATGTGGGTCGAATATTTTCAGATAAAGTGACAGATACGGAAGACAAATGAGCGCAAATCCGGGAATAAAACGCGGGAAATTCGAGTATACGAAGATGGAGAGGGTTTAGATAAACTGTATTTGAAACATCAAAGCAAAGCAAGTTGAGAAATGCTGTAAATCTTTGGAATAGTTTAAAGTATGCTTTATTTTAGCTCTTTATAGACTAGAAAAGCATTAATTACAGAGGATGTGCTAAGGTTTCGATATCCTCAAAGTTTCTAGGCCATAGAACAATTCCGGAAAATTTTAGTGGTGCTTTATAGGCACGGACGGGGGCGATGTGGATTGGTCTGAAAAAGGAACTCTGTCTGGGTGATGACTTGCCCTAGCTACGCCCCATGGGCATGGCAGAGACATTTTTTGATTTCTGCGACCAAAACCATTTACAGGTCCGATAATCGCATGTTAATGCTGAAAGGGGGCCAGAGATACACAAAAATCATTTTTTGCCCAGACAATTGCAAATTTTGTACAGAAAAAACAATTTTCTTGTATATAGGAACGTTGAATCCAGCCGCACAGGACCAAAATTTCCAGCTTTTCGAATATCAAAACAATTGTGATGATCATTCCGGCTCCAAAATCTCGATGGTTTCTGCAAACGACGAGAAAAACCACTTTTACAAATCAAAAGAAAATTAATGTAAACCCGTTCCGTCACACATAAGCCTCACAGCTCGAGCATCCCTCTTTTTAGTTTGTATATAAACAATTTTAACACGTTTATGACACCATAGTCTTACGACCGAAACAATAATTGTCAGCTAATATGTCTCAAAGATTTCTTTGGCGACTAAAAGACTTTAACAGCACATAAAGAACCCTAAACGGAATAATATCCCCAATCAAGGAAGTTGCGTATAACATTACCGCAGCTTGCGGAAATAAGCGGCGTTTCGAGGCGGAAGGCGCGCCTCCTTCGCACCTCCTAAAAGCGGCTTTAAGGCCGGCCAAGAAGACGGGCCGGAAACCCCTGGAATCTCGTTCCTTCTGATCCTGCACTACCGCACTTGTACGTGAGACACATGGGAACAAAAGTTGGGCGGAAAAAGTTTCGAGTGCACGGTGAAATAACCTTAATTTGCAATGTAAATTTTGACAGGAGTCGCGGTTGAGGTGCGTCCTCAAGCCCATTAGCATGAGAAACAAAGTACGAAAAAGGATATCTTCATGCAGTCCAGTGAGAAGTTGCATTTTATAAATGAATTATTTTTTTACACTTCCGTGTTATGCAGTCTGAACACAGAAGGGAAATGCTGATGATGCGACTCACAGATTTTGAAGAAACTGCTTATCTTTAACGCACTGTAAAGTTGCAAATAAGGGCGTTATAAATCCAGCACTTTTTTTTGACACTACTAAATTTTTGCACTAAAAATGTTGAATGCTTTTTATTTCAAAGGTCAGAGTAGAGTCCAACAAAAAAAACTTCTTTTACTCCTTTTGTTAATTCAAATACAAGAAAAATTGTGAAAGGGTAGGTTGGACTTGAACCTTTAGTGTTATATAGAAATTTATATACAATACAGGGCCAGCCAAGATGCCCCTCCACTTGTAATCTTATAATTTTATGTCTGTGCTCTTCGATACTCCCACTCTGCGTGCAGATTGGTCTAGCGAATATATGTAGCTTAACGACCCACGCTGTAATCGTTACTAATTTTTTTTTCTTGCTAAGAATCTCCGTCAACACTTTTTTCTTTTATCAGCAGAGTGTTTTGATAAGTTTTTTCACGAAAAACTTTACCTAAAGAAGAACACTTTTTTTAGTAGACGTGATGATTGCGTTAACAAGTACGTTTCCACTTTGCAACGCCATTGTTTCGTAATTTAATTTGACTTTTCTGTTGTCACAACAACAACACAAGTGGCCAAGGGGCTAAAATCGGAACGCTTGTTTTATTTTATAGAAAAATTAGCCTTGATAAAAAATGTTTTCAAGGGATAATTCGAAAACTTATCGGACTAGGAGGTTTCTAGTGCTAATTGTCAGTCTGTCGAGAAAATAATATGGGTTTGTCGCAGCAAAATGGCTAGTCGTCGCAATTACTGCCCATTTGAAAGCGCGGCGAAGCCACAATATCTTCCCGATAGACTAATACTTGAAAAATAATGAATCATGATTTAAATGGCCACAATAGTACATTTGAATCTCGCCTTTTACGGCTTGGAAGACGAAATGTCAGACAAATTTTTCTCCCTCCCCCTTCAAAGCAAAGTAAAAACAATCGTAAGACTGACGAGGATTTATTTTGGGATCTGCTTGTTCAATTCGAATTATTGCGGATTTGCGGATTCGTTCTGATGACGAGGCAAAAGATCTGTGACATTTCGCCATCTCAGCCGTCAAAAACAAGGATTCAAACAAAAAAAATTATAAGGTTTTATAATCCATAGGGTCTCCATTTTTTGATATACAATTTTTTACTACTAACAGGCAAAAAAAATTTTTTTGACAAATTTGTAAGAGACCAGGTCCGGGCCGCGATTTCCGACCCGGCCTGGCCCCAGAGCCATGTCTAAATTGACCTGTTTTCCATTACTATTGAATGACAGCATTTGCAAATTGCAATAATATTATGAGCAATTTTGACCTTGTGATTAATGTCTTTGGATTTTAATTAATGGCTCGACAAAAGGTACGTTCATTTTGCTACCTTAAAGCAACAGGTAAGCAGAACGGCAACAACACTCTATTTTTTACTCTATCATTTTTGTGGTGTGTGGTCTCATCAAATGTTGATTTACACAAAAACAAGTGAAGACAAGAGTTTTTATGGCGTTTCGTGAAACTTGACTCCATTTCCGGCTTAACTCCATTATGTTCATGAAAGTTGTCATACAATCTTACAGTTGCATTTTCAGATGCGGGTGTTCGGAGTCTTCTTATTATTGTGGGTATCCTGCTCTGGCTACAAATTTTTGGTCTACAACCCAAAATTCGGCAGAAGTCAGGTGATGTTCTTGGGCAAAATTGCGGATATTTTAGCTCAAGGAAATCACACTGTAGTAAGTCTGCAAAAAATGATTACTAAACGAAATTTGGCTCTCAGAACTTGTTGATGTTTTGTAGACTCATGAAGATGATATGCCATAACTTTTCCTCGTTTATCCTTTGAATTCAGATTAACTATGTAACCGACATCTCCTCAAGCTTCAACGACACTGGTTCCAAGATTGCTGAGACATGGTTCAGACCCAGAAAGTACGTCTCAGATTACGATATTGGATCGTTTCATATCGCCGCTTGGCTCGTGGATTGGTCAAGTCTCAATGTATACGGGGTTAGTTCAAAATTAATGGTCACATTTTTGCTGCCTTTCGACATAAAAATATTGGTCGTTTCTGCAAAGCGTGGAATATAAAAAATTTCAGATGTTTGCGGAAATAGGCCAGGAATTTCGCCTTTCCTGTGAAGATCAGCTAAATGACACGGAATTTCTTCACCGATTAAAAGAGCAGAACTTCGACGTCGGCTTCAGCGAATACTTTGACACTTGTGGCTTTCAAATTTTCAAAAAGATTGGCATCAAGAAGCATATTCTTGTTTACTCGTCGGCAATGCCGCAGTCCGATGCGACATGGTTTGGGGTGCCGGCGACGCCTTCGATTACACCCGGTAAGGCACATAGTTGCCCGCAAGAGTCGCATCGCTATCTGAAACGCAAGTTAAAAATTTTTTTTAGATATCGGCTACGGCTATACCCCCGAAATGACATTCTTTGAGCGAGTAAGCAACTACTTGACCTACAACTTCAATATGTATCTTTTTCTCCCAGCATTGTACGAAACCTCAAAGGCCTACAAAAACGTCTACGGAGAGGAGTTTGATCATAGAGTACGTCACTTTTTAGACCTCAAAATCTTTCGAAAATATTCAGAAAGCCTTTGCCGAAAGCCAATACTACTTTGTAAACACTGATGAGCATTTGGATTTCCCACAATTAATTACGCACAAACGAGTGCACATCGGCGGATTGGGCATGGAGAATGGCGACCTGAAAGCGGATCTTCCGAAGGTAGGCAAACTAAAACGAGTTTACGGTGCTTCAGGACATGGAAGAGCAAATTTCCAAGTTCAAAAAAGGATTTATCCTGGTCTCGTTTGGTACCGTCGCCGCCAGTTATGCTATGCCTGAAGGGCATAAAAAGGCGTTTCTTGAGGCATTCCAACAATTCCCGGAGATTTTATTCATCTGGAAATATGAAAGAGACGATGACTTTGGAAAAGAAGTCAGAAATCTGCATAAATCCACATGGGTTCCACAGAGAAGTTTGCTGAGTAAGTTCTAGCATTAGCAGTACTAAATTGAACTTAAAAAAATTAAAATTTTGAAGTAAATCTGAACCTTGCACCTTGAGCAATTCCGTTTTTCCAGGTCATCCGAGAGCCCTCGCTTTTCTGACTCATTCCGGTCTGAACAGTGTCACCGAAGCCACAAATGCCGGCGTTCCTATGATAAACATCCCTCTGTTCGCCGACCAAATGTACAACTCGGCTATGGCCCTAACCAAGGGCATTGGCTATCGTGTGGACAAGTTCGGAATCTCCAAAGACACACTCGCCAACGCGATCCGAACTGTCGTCGATGATCCGGGGTACGTCGAAAAGATGTGAGAAATAAAAAATTGCAGCTACAAACGACGGTCAAAGGAGCTATCTCGAATGATACGCGCGAAGCCTATGGGTCCCGATGAGAGAATCCGCAAATACAGCGAATTCGCCGCTGAATTCGATGTCGCAAGCAACCTCGATATTCACGGAAGAGATGTCAATTTCTTCGTGTTTTACTCGTTAGATGTCATTGCATTCCTTCTATCAATAATTGCTATCGCTTTTTATGGCATTTACAGGATGATCACGCTAATATTCAGGCGACAAAAAAGGAAGACTGAGTGAAAATTTTTCAATAAATATATTTTGTGTATAGATACAAACATTGTAGCTAATAACATCAACATATGTATTCTTTTTTTTGTCATTTTATCGCCATGTCCGAACAGAGATGAAGGATAAAAATACAAATCATTAAATTTATGCCCAAATTGATATAATTGTCGCTCAAAATCGATGTCACATCGAAGAGGCACACATGCCTTGAATCTACATGAAAACAATATTATTCTGTGTCTGCACTCATAGATCCCTCATTGTTCGGCAATTATTGCGCAATTTGAGCCTCTTTCGTATAAGATGTCACCGGCGATCTTGGGCGCAGCTCGTATGCCCATCCCAACCGCGGCCGCGCGGCTTTGACCAAACTTGAGCTCCGTAGTGAAGTTGACGATCTGATCGTGTACGATGTCCTGTCCAGTGCGAAACTTCTTCAACTCCTCCATTAACTTTGATTCTCCATCTGCGTCCAGCTATGATACGTTTTACACTCCTAAGCGATCGTGTTTTTCACCTGGAACTTCAAGTCCGCTAAGCACAAAGCAAGCTGTCAGCTTCACAGTCAATTCGGAGATTAGCAGCGATTCTGGAGAAGGGGTAAGCTTAATTTTTTTACATTATTCGGGTACCAGCACTGCAATTTTTGTTTTTGGTCGGGGTGGAGAAAAGGTGGGAGCCAACTGTTGGAAATACTGTAATGCCTGATGCTATCCACTTCTTAAACCTGTTACTCTGCCACTTTCAGTCCGATTCACCTCCAGAATTAGATTTTACCGGATATCTAGACGACATGGAGAAGATCGAGCTGAATTATCCTAAAGTGGGTTTAGTTTGGAAGTTCAAACTCTTTTTGTCTGTTTTCTGTCTTCAGGACTCCTCTTCCATCTTGTGGGACGTTCATTATGGTCGTCGCGACAGTTGGAGTCGAAAGTTCGGAAGTCAAGACCAATTTCAAATCCAGATGACGGTCAACGAGCGAAGCGGCAGCTCCTTTGTTGTGCACTACAATGGCGAGTTGGCCGACAAGACAGCGGACTATTGGATTCGTTTGTACGGAAAAGGCGGACTTTTGGAGCGAAGATTTAGCGGTGCTCCGCTGCGCGAGTGGATCCCTAACTTCAAGTCCATCGAACGGCATATTTACGACCAGTTGGAAGTGCTTTACGTTTATGTTTACGTAAGAGTGGTTGATTATATGCCTACTGCCAGTCCTTGGCTGCAGAAGTTTGTGGATGGACCTTTCTTCTTCAAATTCGACGATTTCCGTATCAAGTTGAAGGATGGAGATGTTGACGTAGGTCTTTCAAGCTCATAATTTATGTAAATTGTTATTAGATACAAACGTTGAGTCCTTTCAGGTATGTCGAGCCGTATTAGCCGAATTTTGCCCATACTTTAGAGTTTTTTTGGAGAAATTTCCTCAAGAAGATCAGCTTTCCATTATAGAATTTTCAACAGAAACCTTCAAGAAAGCGATTGACTTCATGGTTACCCGAAGGAAGTTGGACGAGAATAAAATAGACTTTGAGTTGGCCAGACTTGCAAAGTTCCTGGGTTGTGTTGATCTTATTGTAAGTAGTTTTCTTTATCGTCATTGTGTTTTAGGCCGAAATCGATCACCTACTCACTTATTGGGCAGACCTGTCGTCTCTCTGTCAGCGTGCCATCCTCGCGGAGAAACTGGGCTACCCTGTGCTGAAGGGAGAGTGCGAAAAGTTGATTGGTCTTCATTGGACGGCACTTTTCCAAAAGAACAAGGATTACATCATGATGCACAACGACTTCTTCATCCAGATCAAGACGGGGCCGTTTTTGTGTTGACATTGGTTATGTGTCTGCTTTTATTTTCATATTGTCACTTTTTCTAGCAGCAGCTGTACATACGACACTATTTATAGCCCATAATTATTCATCAAAGTTTATGAAGGTCTAATATTTTTTAACTGCAAATTTTTATGATCCAATCAAATAAAGGAGGTTGTTAATTAGATTGTCCATTTTTTTGAGGTTCAATCCCCTCACGTAATATTGAGTAATCTTTATCTACTATTCCATTAAGAAGAAATAGATAGTGTCAGATCGTCGAGTCAATAGTTGAGCCGAAATTCCAACTAAATTTTTTTATTATAATTTTTTGAACGGTGAATGAAAGCTTTTTTTCCCTGGTTTTGTCTTCTCATTAAAAACTGTATTTTTAACAGATTTTAGATTTTCTTTTGATATCCGTTCATCTGCCCTTTTGTCTTCTTCATAACTAAAATTACAGTTCAGATGTCGGATCAGCCTGGCCCGTCATCAGGCCGACGTTCTGATCAGGATCCCCCGGACCTTTCCGACGAATCGGACAGTGAATTCGAAGAGTCCAGCTCGGGATCTTCCACATCGGGCTCCGAGAACGACTACGAAGAAGGTGGAGATGTTTTTACCTACGAAATCACTGACAAAGCTGCCAAGTTTATCTCGAAATACTTTGGTTCTGAAGTGGACTATAAGCTAACACCTTCGTCTGACGGAAATTTCACTTGTGAATTAACAACAACGCCGGACAACAGAGAACTGCACACTTCTGTATTGTCCGGCTTGGATTTGGCATTGAATTTGTGGCCATTTGGATACCTTTTGCAAACATTAGCTTCCGAGACAGAAGATGCTTTTCAAACGTGAGTAATTTCTGTTGTTATTGGTTTTCGTTTTTAGGAGGAGATTGCCTGATCGACCTTGTTTTACGTAGATGAAAGTAAATTCTGCTAGGTTTCAGTTTGTTCCTCGACAACACTGAGAAATTGGTGATCATAATAGAGTTCTGCAAGCTCTTTAACAATCACGCGTCAAGTACATGGCAAGAGATTCTCGATGACAAGGACAAACTGATGTGCATGGAACTGAACATTCGAAATATTTTGGAGTATGATGACTATACGGAACTAGGCTTGGCGACATTCGTTGCAGAGTTACGAACCCACTTTGAGGAGCAGGAATCTTGGAAAAGAGCAGCAGAAGTCCTAGCGGAGAAGCAGTTGGATCGACTGATGTGAGTATAATGATTACTTTTTGCTTCTTCAGCTTTTAGGAGTGTTTCTAAATAACGTGCAGTTTTCAGCCCATTTCTTATGGGATCGAGGCTCTCCCAAAAGAGCGCGGATGTATTAAATCTGCGGCTGGTTTCAAAAACATTCCAGCAAAAAGTTGATGTGGTATTGAAGGATAATATTTTTGTTCAGTCCTTGTGCCGCAAGAAGACCCTTGGAATTATTGAAATTGATGAAACTCGAATTGAGGTAATTATGACCGAATTTTTCAATGAAGTTTAGTATAAAATACTAACTATGGAGTTAAATAATATCCGTTTAGACCATTCCATACTCAAAAACTGCCAACCCCATTCTCCATTGTGATAAGACGACTCTCAAAAAGCTCCTACCATTTGTCTCACTGCCGAATAATGGTGACTTTTCATTCGCTTATCAATCCGAAACTGCCAAGAAACTCGTCGAATCTCTGAATCTCACTGAAAAGTCGGAAGTTGAAATTGCCGGAAAGAAGTATAATCTTGCCCAAGGAACCTTGAGCCATGGGTCTCTCACAGAAGTCGTCGATCAATTCATTGGAAACGACTCAGCAAATAACAATCTCAAGCGGGAAAACGCGGATATCGTCGATGAAATCCCGGCAAAAACGCAAAGATCCGAGTAATTTTTTCCGGTAACGTTCCTCAACCAGGTTTACTAACATTTGTTACATTTGTTTAAACATGATTTCTCGAGATGTTAATTTATTTATACAGTAAAAATATTAATCAGAAACCTAAAGTTTTCGCAGGAAAATGGATTTTTTACGGGGTATAGAAAAGTCTACAGCCTGGAACGCACAAATTTAAAAACGTCTCTAGCCAGAATCTTTGGCACTTGGAAAGCGGCGAAGTGTCCGCCGTCCTCAAGATACGTGTAATGGGTCAGATTCAGGCTGCTGCGAAGCAGTTCCTTCGGAGCTCGGCTAAGTTCATGAGGCAACTGTGCTACTCCAGTTGGCGCGGAACAGTACACGCTGAAAAAATATACGAATATCATGAATTTTTGTGGAGGTGAAGTCATTAAAACACGAATAGCGTACTGTTTTATCTCCGAATAGTTCGGATCCGCGAATGTTTCCTTGTAGAGTCGTTGAGAGGCGAGGATGTTTTGGTTGAACCAGTAGATCGAGATGATTGTCAGCACCTCGTCCTTGGTGAAGTATCTAAACAAAAGTTTAGAGTAATAACACCTAGCAAGAGAAAGTCATGGTTGCAGACTGGTCTCATGAAAACGGCTAATGCAATCTTGTAGAGAATGCACATAAAAGCTTGTAAAAAATTGGGAAATTCGCAAGGGTTTATAATCCTTCAAATATGGCAACTTACTTCTCCAATCCTCCATCCTTTTCTTGAACAAACTTGGCGTTGGTCCAAGTGCTGAACTTCTCTCCGATATACGCCAACAAGCCCAAGGGAGAGTCGTTCAAGCTGACCCCAACAGTATCCGGTTTGGTGGCTTGAATATGCATGTATCCCGTCTCTTTCAGCGTAAAAAAGACTTCCTTTTTGAATGAGAAATCCGAAAAATGCGGATCCTCGAAGAGCAGGGATGGATAGTAAGATCCAAGGATCTGTTTTAACAGATTGGATGGATTGATGTTGGCCAAAAACATGTTGAAACTCATCTAAATAGGGACAGCTGATCAACAGAGACTCCGGAAGGAATAGGGTTTTTGTAATGGTGCTATTCTAAGAATCCTGTCTTTGTTGAACACGCACAGGAATTTTAGTTATTAGCTGCGTTTGTAGGCTTCTTTCATTTGAACGTTTCTTTGGAACGAAACTTACAATGTTGACATGAACGCCGATCAAACTTTCGGAATAAAACTTTCCAAGTGTGGTTGCCACTGCAGAGCCCAAATCACCACCCTGAACCAAGAATTTGGGGAACTTCAGACGGTCGGTCATCAGTTTCTTGAAGATCCGGGAAACGACAAACACGGACAACCCTAAAACAAAACAAAATTGACCATAGCATGTTGAAAAGAACAGTAAACTCAAAAAAAATAGGATTACCTTTCTTGTGGCTCGCCTCAGACCATCCATAACCGGGCATGGAGGGAGCAACAACCTCAAACGCCACTTGATCGCCGAGTCCGTGCTTCTTGGGGTCGGTCAGCATGCGAATGATCTTATAGAACTCGTAGACATTTCCAGGCCAGCCGTGAGCCAACAGCAACGGGACCACAGTTTTGTAACCGGCTGGGGGTTTCGCGTGGATGAAATGAATCTTCAGGCCTTCGATCTGAGTGGTGAATTGGGGAAACGCGTTCAGCTGCGCCTCATGCTTCCGCCAGTCGTATTTAGTGAGCCAGTACTCTCTCCACTGCTGCAAAGTGGTCAAAGGAAAGCCATATTCAAAGTTCGGGACATCTTCCAGCTGTTCATGGCCAATTCGAGCGTTCTTCAGTCGCTCTTTCAGGTCCTTAAATAAAAAAGGACGTGCACTTGATTAAGACCATTTAAAATAAGGTAAAAAGGAATCAAGAGAAAATTCGAATCGTAGAAGTCATAACTAGTAGTCTTTGACTAGATTCTACCTATCATTCTACTCTACTTGGAGTAATTCCATACAAAAGGACAAAACAAAAGTCATCTATTACTTGAATTTCCTTGTCCGCCACCTGAATCTTGAATGGTTTGATGCTGGTGTCGTCCTGCTTTGGATTTCCAGCTCCATAATACCCATTCTTCGGGAAATTGATCTTCGTCTCAGATCGATTCACAATAGAATAGAGACTTATGCCGAAAATGGCCGCTACAACCGCCAACAGGATCTTACCCATCCAAAACAAAATAAAATTTTTTGATAGGCTCCCTTTTTGTAGTCCGCTATAACTGATAATCATCAAAAGCGACTACAAAATATAGAGCGATTAAATAATCATGAAAGCAACCGCAAACTAACTACTGATAACTAAAAAAAAACGGCGCCATACGGTGTACTAGTCGCGGAAAAAAGTCCTGGGAATTTCTCGCGTCCCCAAAATTCCGTCGCGCTCCGAAAAGTTGATTTGTCGCGGGAATCGCGCGCGACAATAAGGCAAAATCAACAAAATTGCACTGTGCAAAAGCACCTTTCGGGTTCATGCACAGTGCAGAGTCGCAGAAAATTCCCAGGACTTTTTTCCGCGACTAGTATGGATACGTACGAATGAAACGCTTACGGTCACATCGCAACAACTGCAGTGGCGGATCAGACCTGACATAATTAATATTCGTCTTTTTATAGGAACATTAATTTATTTCTATAGTTAAAACAATTAGTTTTGATCTAGAACCTGAATGATGAAAAAATGTTTTGCCCATGAAAAAATTGGGCTTTTCGATTACAGAAAAGTCTACAGTCGAGAATTGATAAATTTGAAAACATCCGCGGCCAGAACCTTTGGCAGTTGGAAAGCAGCGAAATGACCGCCGTCCTCGAGGTAGGTGTAATGGGTGAGGTTGTAGCTGCTGTACAAGAGTTCCTTCGGAGCTCGGACGAGGTCATGTGGGAAATGAGCCACTCCAGTTGGAGCCGAGCAGTAGGCACTGAAAGAGGAAAGTTAAAATGTAAATAATCGGTAAGAAAAAGGAAGGGGATCATGGAAAACATACCTTTGCAAGTCCAAATAATCTTGACTGGCAAAGCTTTCCTTGTAGAGTCGTTGAGAGGCGAGGATGTTTTGGTTGAACCAGTAGATCGAGATGATTGTCAGCACCTCGTCCTTGGTGAAGTATCTAAATAAAAGTCTAAGAGTAACGAGAAAGTCATGGTTGCAGACAGAGATTGCCACGGTCAAAATTTCGGCTCCGGCTCCGGCTCTTAGCTCCCAGAGCCGGAGCCGAGGCCAAATTTGCAGCTCCGGCTCTTGGCTCCGTGCAAAATTTAAAAAGGCCTCCGGCTCCGAATCCCGGCTCCAATGCAAAATATTTTTTAAAAAATATTTTTCCAAAAATAAAAGTTATTATTAGTGCCAGAGATCATACGCCAACGTTTTTGCAGTCAAGCGACATCCTCCGCAGTGTTTTTCAAGCAATTTGGTTTAACAAGATCACAAAATTTTTACTTTTCTGACCGCTGGGAAGCCTGGCTCCGACTTTGGGCTCGGGAGCCGGAGCCGACCCCAAAATTTCCGGCTCCGGCTCTGGCTCCCGGCTCGGAGCCGGAGCCGCTCAGAGCCGGAGCCAAGAGCCGGCTCCGGAGCCGTGGCAATCTCTGGTTGCAGACTGGCCTCATGAAAACAGCCAATATCGACTTCTAGAGAATGTGAGGCACAGTACAGTGGGGGACCTGATCCAGTGGCAAAAAAACGTATCACTTTGCTTCCGGGGAGTATAAAAAATGTGGCAAAATGCTTCCTTCTACAAATGAAAAAAACTTCGTTTTGAAGGGCGCGCCGTTCTCCACATAAAAAGCGCGGACACGCTTTTGAAATCTGAGCTTTTTTCACTTGGAGAGGGATGCATTTTGCCACATTTTTTAATACTTCCTGGATGCAAAATGGTACATTTTTTGCCACTGCATCACGTCCCCCACTGTAGGAATGGGTAAAAAATCCACCGCTCGTGCCAGCTGTAGGACAAGAAAATCTCTTCGGAGGGTTTAATTATTAATTTCCTCTTTGGCTTCACCCAAATCGACCCCAAAAAGTGAATTCACAGATTCGGTTCACATTTATCTTTCTTGAAATTCTTTACAGCCAAAGCCCAAACCTTCAGAGGGGATTGCCACATCTAAAACTGGCACGGGCGGAATTCTTTAATCCATTCCTACTATAATTTGCATTCTCTGGAAGAAGACATTAGCCGTTTTCATTAAGTTAGCCTTCAACGATGCCCTTCGCCTATAGCCAATATTAAAAATCGTTACTCACTTCTCCAACCCTCCATCCTTTTCCTGAACAAACTTGGCGTTGGTCCAAGTGCTGAACTTCTCTCCGATATATGCCAACAAGCCCAAGGGAGAGTCGTTCAAGCTGACCCCAACAGTATCCGGTTTGGTGGCTTGAATATGCATGTATCCCGACTCCTTCACGATGAAAAAGAATTGATTCTTGAACGAGAAATCAGAAAAGTGGGGATCCTCGAAGAACAGGGAGGGATAGTAAGATCCAAGGATCTGTTTCAACAAATTAACCGGCTTATTGTTGGACATGACCATGTTAATATGAACACCGATCAGACTTTCGGGATACAGCTTTCCAAGTGTGCTGGCTACTGCAGAACCCCAATCACCGCCCTGAACCAAGAATTTGGGGAACTTCAGACGGTCGGTCATCAGTTTCTTGAAGATCCGGGAAACGACAAACACGGACAACCCTAAAAAAATATAAAATTAATCGTAGGATGATGAAAAGAACAGCAAACTCAAAAAATAGATTACCTTTCTTGTGACTCGCCTCAGACCATCCATAACCGGGCATGGAGGGAGCAACAACCTCAAACGCCACTTGATCGCCGAGTCCGTGCTTCTTGGGATCGGTGAGCATGGGGATGATCTTATAGAACTCGTAGACATTTCCAGGCCAGCCGTGCGCCAACAACAACGGGACCACAGTTTTGTAGCCGGCTGGGGGTTTCGCGTGGATGAAATGGATCTTCAGGCCTTCGATTTGAGTGATGAATTGGGGAAACGCGTTCAACTGCGCCTCATGCTTTCGCCAGTCGTATTTATTGAGCCAGTACTCTCTCCATTGCTTCAAAGTGGTCAAAGGAAAGCCGTATTCAAAGTTCGGGACATCTTCCAGCTGTTCATGGCCAATTCGTGCGTTCTTCAGTCGCTCTTTCAGGTCCTATAAAAAAGTAGAAAATTTCTTGATTTGAAACCTAAAATAAGCTAGAAGGAGGTGAAAAGAAAGTTAAGATATTTTTTGATAAGAAAGTGTGATTCTCCATTAACTAAAACAACATCACCGAAAATCCAAAACAAAATTGATTTAATACCTGAATTTCCTTGTCCGCCACCTGAATCTTGAATGGTTTGATGCTGGTGTCGTCTTGCTTTGGATTTCCAGTTCCATAATACCCATTCTTCGGGAAATTGATCTTCGTCTCAGATCGATTCACAATAGAATAGAGACTTATGCCGAAAATGGCCGCTACAACCGCCAAGAGGATCTTACCCATCTGAAAGAACAAGACAATGATGGTGGTAAACACTCTATTTATAGTCCGCCAGAACTGATAATCATTCAGCGCGAATAAAAATCAGATAGAATACATAATTGGGAAGGTAAAACAGCACAAATTTTCTAGTCAAAGCAACATGATGTAATGCCGACTAGAAAACATGCTGCAACAAGGTGACTAGAAATGTAAGAATGAAAGATTAAAGATCAAACCGCGGTCAGAAAGAACTGGATCAGGCAGCTGTTCCATCTTTTATTAGAATAACCTCCATCAATATTATACACTGTACTGGACCTCAAGCCGGAAAAATATAGCCAAAAACATCATTTTCATGGCGCAAAAAACGCATGTAGTGATCAAAAACGACAAAAGAGAAATTTGACAGAATGAATAGACATCTCCAGCACAATTTCAAGGTTGCTTTAGCGTAATGTTCGCTACAAAACACAGAAAAGTTCGACTCTATCACTGAACTGCCTTTTTCACTGATTAATTTCGAAAATAGAGGAAAAGCAGATTACACACTCAGAAACGGGGAAAAATGGGAGAAACAACGATGAAAATCTGCTGAAAACAATGCTTTTGCGAGGTCGAAATACGTTTTTTTGGCGAAAAAACAAAAATTTTTGTCGGAGAAGGAAAATGGAGGAGAAACTTCTTTTGCGGCCAGAGGTCAACTTTTTTGTTTATTTCAGAGTTTCTTTGAGCTAAACGAACGTTGGAAGGAGTAATCAAAGTTATAAAAAAGAAAAGTGAAATCGAATGCCGGTTTCCATTTTGCGGAGTGGAATTTACGCGGCCAAAAGTCCCGAGAATCTTCTGCGCCCGCAAAAAACTTTTTGTCGGGGAAGAAATGGGGAATTTTTGGGGCGAGACAGTACGTTTTTGCGCGTCTTTTCTCTGTCTTCTCTGGCAAATCAAGACGAAGTGTAAAAAACCGATAGCGAAGGGTCTATTCCGGCCGCCGGACTCCTCAGTTGACGTGGGCCGCCCAATTTACCAGTCAGATCAAATGCCTGTCAAATATGGCCATAATACGGGCTCTTGCTCTTTGACATGTTTATTTTTGTACATTGTAATTACAAGTGCGCACTGGAATTGAAATGCCTTCTCGAGTTGAGGTAGGCCATTCCATCGGAGTAGGTTTGCGGCAGAACCACTGGTACCGGTTTGTCCGTTCGGAACGTGAACTGGAAAGTGGTTGTGGTCTCCGAATCGCCGTTGTTGATGTCAACAACGTGCGCCGAAACTGAGAGCTGCATGAAACGGTCTGTTGTGTAGCTGATTTGGGATTGCAAAACGAGAAGTGATCCGATCTCAACTCCTTTTTTGAACACCACCGAATCCACCGCCATCACTTCTGGGTTGCTTTTTCTGTAAAATGGGATGATGGCTATGAGTTTTGTGATGATAAAAATAGTCATACTAGGGGGATACAGTAAGGCTGGCCGGGTTTTTAGGGTTTCTTTTGTTAATAACTTCAGGCATAATGAACCAAAATTTACAAAAGTTTTTTTTCCAAGCCCGAAGGGCGGGTCGCATTTTTTTGCATGCAACTTTTTATTACCGAAAGTCCCTGTGGCAATTCGAAAACTACTTTTTACAGACTTCATTTTCAGGCAAATCGCTGTGAATGAAATTTGTAAAAGTGATCCGTACATGTTGCCGGAAGCGCTCGTAGTGACATAGATGTCGAGAAATAGGGTCCCTGCGGGTCCCACAAATATAACCTTTGCTAATGTTTTCACATTATTTTCCAAGCTATTATCAAAAGAAACCTACCAACTCGGCTTCCGTATAAAGAAATTTGATTGTGAGGTTGTGAATCACTTACGAGAACAACGCTGCATTGGCGAAGGCTGTCTCAACGGCCGTCCTCATCAAATAGCCTCCAAAGATCTTCCCATACATGTTTCTTTTGATTGGAAAGCAGATCACCATGTTCTCAACCTTTGCATCGTTCATCCAAACATGTCCTGCGGGCAGCCGGTCCAACGAATGATTCTTATTATCCATGGTCTTCAAAAAGAGGTCGTGAAGCATTGCTCGCTCTATCTCGGTCGGTGGATTCTTGTACAACGACATTTCTTCGCGCGAGCGGCGGACTTGCTTGGCATCTGAAGGGAATCCGTCGTGTTTACAAAGTTTTCATAGGCAAATCTGGTGGTGAATGGCACTTACATTCGCCTTTTTCGAACAGCTTCTTATCCTGTTCGGTTTCCAGCTTTAGAGGGACGTTCGACACAGCTTTTTGCGTCTTTGGATCCAGCGTGACCATGACAAACCGGGCTGTTAGAACTCCTCTAAAACACGATTTGATTTGGGATGATTAGAAGATGGCTAACGATAAAAAGAAACGCTGTCTTGCCTGTACTCGTCCTTGGCGTATTTCTGACTCAAATGCATCGTAACCTCAATGGATGAACGGCCTACCCATGTGACCAGGCCAGTCATAAGAATGTCCAAGTCGCTCTTTATTGTTCGGTGTTTGAGATCTGAAAGAATTCGGCGAGTTGTTTGATGATTGACAGTTTTCCGTGTAACTTTCCAACTAAATATATGGATGGTTAGTTATAAATTTCATTTTTCATTCCGTTCAAAAGTGTGCAATTCAGTCCACGGAGGCACTTTGGACTAAAATTGGGGAATCAAGTCCATTTGGGCGCAAAGTTGCAATTTTAATCCGTTCTCCGGACTAAAATCAGCAAAGTCAGTTTACGGAACGAACAATTTTTTTTTGTCCGCGGACTTTTTTCGTTTGTCCAGGCGACGGACCGAATTCAGCGATTTTGGTTTATCGAGCAAACTCTTCGGGGACAGTTGACCCCGGTGCTCAAAAACTCAAAAAATTTTTTTATTTCCTTAGGTTCACGATGTATTTTCTGAGTGAAGGAAACTGGAAATTTTTCCAAAATGGAATATTTACCAAGAGCAGGCTACCCCATTTGATTTTACGTCTAGATTGCCCGTTTTCTGGACGGATAACCCACCAAACTTTGTAATTTTGTGAAGCTTGTTGCCTCATGGATAATGTAAGTCAATTTATCTTTTTTTTCGCAAAAACAGTGTAAAAGTGGACAGTTATAGGTGTGGACACTAGATTAATTTTACCATGCAAAGACAGCTAATGTTATGAAAGACCAGGTTAACCTTGAGTATCAAGTACAACATAAAATTTTCGTAAATTTAGCTGTGTCTGGTTGGAAATTGGTGTTAGAACGAAGCTAACAACCTATAAAACTGACCAGATATAAATGTAGGTCAGAGTACTGGGTTGTTTTACCATGCAAAAGTGGCAAATTTAACGTAATAGCAGTTTTAACGAGGGACCGAACGTCAGGACCTAGTACAATATAAAATTTTTGTAAAACTCGCTCCTTTTGGTTCGAAATTGACATTAGAACCAAGCTAACATCCTACTCTACCTTTAGCTATAATTTAGTTTAAAAAGTTTTGGTCGAATCAACAAGAAATAAACATTACATTATCCATGGGGCAACAAGCTTCACAAAATTCTAAAATTTGATGGGTTATCCCAAAAGAAAACGGGCTAGATAGGAAATCGAATAGAAAAGCCTACCCTTGGTAAAAAATCCTTTTTTGAGCAAATCCAAGCTGTTCTCAATCAGAAAATACATCTTGAACATAGCGAAATAAAAAAAAAATTTGAGAAGAAGCCCGGGGTCATCTGTGCCTCTGTGATTTGTTTGGAATTTTCCAAACCACGGACAACTCCAAAAAATCCGAGCAAACAAATCAAGAAGTCCATGGATCGAAAATCAGTGGGCTAGATTTCCGGAAACCTGTCCACACGACGGACTGATTTGCGTTTGTCTGAACGGCAAACCAAAAGTGGCGATTTTTGTTTGCACCACGGACAGGATTTCCCGATTTTAGTCCAAAGTGCCTCCGTGGACTGAATTGCACACTTTTGAACGGAATGAAAAATGAAATTTATAACTAACCATCCATATATGGCTCGGGACTTCTAAATCTCTCCGCAAGAGTCCATCCGAACCCTGCAAATTTAGTACAAAGTTAAAAGTTGCGCAATCTGACATAACATTGCGCAATTTCTCTCTTTGTAAGAATTTCTGCCTTTCTCTGTCGTCTCCTCCTTTTTTGTCAACTTTTAACTTTGGACTAAATTTCCAGGGTTCGGATGGACTCTTGCGGAGAGATTTAGAAGTCCCGAGCCATATATATATACTTACTAATTTTATCGACGCACGCGGTGACTGCGTGGAATGGAATATGGTTTGGCGTTCCCATAGGTACTTCGGGCCCTTGGTTGTGCCGATAGGCCATCCATACTGAAAATTACATTCAAAAATAAAAAAAATTTTTCTGCAAGGGGTACTCGTCTAGTGTGAGCTTATTTTCCCCGGACTCATCGACGATTGTGGAGAAAGACAAGTGGGGAAATTGAAAAGTATTGTTTTTCTTCGATGTGTGTAAGTGTTGAAATTAGGATAATCGATGGCGCTGATTTTGAAAATTATTTTTTTCTTTGTCACTTTTTTCCTTACGTAATACTGCAAAGTAATAATTTTTTAAACTTTTTCACACACACTCGATTTAGGGGTTGTCGATCATGCTAATTCTGAAAATCTTATTCATTTTTGCGGATTTGAAACCAGCATTATCAAAAGCCCCAATCGAGTATTTGTGAAAAAAATAAGATTACTACTTTACAGTACTACTTAAGGAAAAAAGTAACGGACAAAAAAAGTGTCATTTTTAAAATCAGCGCTATTGATTATCCTACTTTCGAGAGATACATCGAAGGAAAATAATACTTTTCAGTTTCCCAAATCGTCCACTTCCCTAATCGCCTTTTCCCCAATTGACAACTTTCCATCAGTACAATAAAACTTGGTCTTGTTTATAAGGGATTATCTTGCGATGAGGGCCTATCGTTACCTGCAAAAGTGTCCAAATCTTCTAGGATCTTCCCAAATCTGACATGCTCAGTATTAGCAACGTAAAAAATGCGGATACTGGGCTCAGACCCTAAGGGAATAATGCACGCAGATGCTGACTGCCTTGGAGAATATCCTGCGGCATCATGTTTCGCGGCGTTCCCGTTTGTGAGCGTCTGATTTTCGACGTGTTTGAAGATAATGTCGTTAATCTGACGGATGGTCAACAGCTTCGTCATTGTCGCTAAAAAGAATTTTTATGTTTGAAAGTAAATGAATTTTGAAAGTGAAACAATAAATAAAAATTTCACAAAAAAATGAAAAGAACCTACACCTTAGATACGAGATGTCTGAAGAAGTCTCAAGACGGAAACAACTACAACATTTATGCGGTGAAAATTCGAAAAAGCGTCGCGGGAAAGAGCATCGGGTTGAGAGAGAAGGGAGCACACATTAGCCAGACTTTATGTAGTTCGATCGCGAAATTTCTCTTTGTGGAGAGTTGTGTAATAAATGAGGGTTTTATATAAAAAACAGGGAGATAAGTTTGCAAATCAGCAAATGGACAACGGTCGAGGTTCAAAGGATTCGAATTGGATCTATACAGACATGACTCGGGGCCGGTAACATATTTGTTTTTTATAACAATTAACTATAAATTTTAAAAAAATAACAACCAAAGGTACTTCAAAAAACCGCCAATGGGCTTTAGGCTCTGCGTTTTGTTTTTGATGGCAACCCCAACTTTTTGTTTTGAGACTAAGAATTTTAATCATTGGGGGCCAATTTGAGTCTAGGGCCCGGCCCTGAATCCTTTCAAATCCGCTCAACCTGGCCCGGAGAGCCATCTCTAGATCTATCTCACAAGCTGTCCGGTCAACTTGGCAGTCATGATTGGTCAATCTCTTCCGTTAGAAAAAAAAAATTAAAAAATACTGATGCTTAAAATTTGGCCGCTTCTACTGTCATCACATGCCGTGGTCGAATGAAATTCTTGAAAAATCGTTTTTTAAATTAAAAAAGTTCAATTCAAAAAAATGTAATTATCCCAAGAGACAATGAACTTTTTTAACGACTTTGTTGCAAAAACTTTCATTCCACTTCAAATCGGTATGTTTTTTCCGGCAGGTCGAATTTATTCGACCGTGCTGGCAATCTGTTTGTTCCTGGCTTTATTTACAAGTGAAGTGCTAAGTCAAGTAGCGGAAGATACCAGTCTCATCAACGAGACCAACCTGCAAACGGCACTACAATCGGATTTCGAATGCAGTTTTGACAAAATGTAAGCGGATCTTCGGACGGACTAAAGATTTTAGTGAATGGATTCAAGTGAAATTCGTCCGGAATCTGTCGATTTGGAAGTATGAGATTGCCAAGGACGGCGGAAAATACAAAGTCGTGCTTCGTAAGATCTACAATCAGACGGAACCGGAGTTGCGTTTCACGAAAGCCTTTGATGGATCTCAACCGTTGAAGGTATACGATCTTATTAGGAATCATTGTCAATCAATTTCTAGCTCTCTTTTCGCCCTGGCAAGGTTTGGACTTGCTCTGATGACGAGAAAATGGTCAACCACAGCAGCTCGCTGCTCCAGAGAGTCGATTCGTTTAGTGTCAAATATGTCAGCAAAGACGCTATGAAGAAGCAGTGTACCATTGCTGCATCGACTGTTGAAAAGGATCCACTTGTTGATGTAGCCCCGTTTGATGAGGAGCTGGAAATGGTAGGCCGATAATCGGGGAGTCGTGGAAATAAAAACAATCTTTTCCTAAATTCATATTTTTTAGTGTCTTTCTCGCTCGTCTACCACTCGTAATCCGCCCACGCTTCATTCTACCACAGGTCATCACGGAAACACGACAACTTCGAAACCACCGGTCCCTCCATCAACGAGCACTTTGCCGACGAATCCAACGACCGTACCAACGAAAAAGTCGACTACAGTCAATCCTCCGACTCCTGAAACCTCTACAACCCATCATTCTGCGAGTTCTACCCCAACCTCGACGACGACTTCTCGCAATCCGCCCACTGTTCGTTCTACCACGGTTCATCACACAACCAAGACAACTCCGATGCCACCAGTTCCTCCATCAACGAGCACTTTGCCAACAAAACCAACGTCCGTACCAACGGAAAAGACGACTACAGTCAACCCTCCGACTCCTCCAACCTCTACAACCCATCACGCTGCGAGTTCTACCCCAACCTCGACGACGACTTCTCGTAATCCGTCCACTGTTCGTTCTACCACATCATCCAAGACAACTCCGAACCCCCCAGTCCCTCCAACAACGAGCACTTTGCGAACGACTTCAACGGCTGTAACAACCGGCGGTCCAACGAGAAAGTCGAGTACAGTCAAACCTCCGACTCCTCAAACCTCGACAACCCATCCTGCAAGTTCTACCCCAACCTCGACCTCTAGAAGGCCAGTCACTGGCACCGGTACCACTGCCGAGCCGGCAACTCATGTTTCGGACAACATCACCACTTTGGAGCCAATCACCGGCACTGCCGATTACAATATTACGACAATTGAGCCGGGGAACTCTACTCATGTAAGTGGCACTTCAACTGTGTGCGTGCAGTATTAGTAATTGATGGTTTTCTTTTTTATCAGTCTGTTAGGAAAATATTAATGAGCATCTGTTTCGTGGAAAATTGCGTTGCCGCCGAGAAAATGGATTTTGTCGCGCCAAAATCAAGTTGATTTTCACTTCAATGACTCGAGCGACGCATTATTTTCCGGACAGACTAAAATACGCATTTTCTTTCAGGATAACTTGTCCAAGCTGCGCTTGGAAGCTCGTCGTGTCCTTTTTCTGATCGCTGCCCAGTCCATCGCACTAGTTGTGTTCGCATTTATCTTTCTGGGGCTTTTGAAAGCTTCGGCGATCTTGAAACCAATCACCACGCAAAAGAAGGAACGCTAAGTTGATGAACACTTATCAAAGAACAAATTTGAAATAAATATTTTGAGGAGCAATATGTTTATCTGTTTGTAGAACGAAAATATCGTCGCAGTATCTAAGAATAACAGGAGAAAGATTATTTTTTCTGAGCGTTGGAGTTTTCTTATGGGATTATGTACTCGCCCCTCTGTGCCAATCCGTTGTTCTGAAAATAATATACTTGAGTTGGTTAAAAATTTCATAAGTTCGTTGAAAAGTAGACTATTAGATATATACATGTTACGAGAAGCACGTAAATTTGGAGTAGCTCAGAGCAGCAAATAAATATTATAGAAACTGCTCTTATGCTGTACTAACTTCGTACGTACTCCGTAGCATTCGCCAACTTCCTTACCTTGGCATACTGGTGAAGAACTTCATGTGCTGACCTGATATTCTCATCCTTTCCTGCCCAAGCTTTCATAACCGGTCTCTGGATGGCCCTACCGTAGCAGAACGTCAGAATCCACGGCTTAACTGTCTGTTGTTGAGCAATAGCATTTAGGTTTTTTGTAGCCTCCGTATCCTCTTGTCCGCCCGACAAAAACGCAATGCCAGGAACAGAGGCTGGCACGTGTCGTTGAAGGGCAGCCAGGGTGGCAGACGCTACCTCGGCCGGCGTTGGCTGATGCTGCTTGTAATCCGTCCCGGCGGTGACCATATTAGGCTTCAGAATCATGCCTTCCAGGAAAACATTCGCGGCATGCAAAGCGCGAAATGTGTATTCAAGGGCCAGTTCGGTGGCCTAAGATTTGAAAATGTTTTTCGACAATGAAACGATACGCGACGTCTGTGCAATTGCAAAGTAAATCGGCCTACCTTTTGGCATTCCTGCAGCGAATGACTGCCATCTCTGACAACATCAGGCTCCACGAACGGAACGAGGCCATGTTTTTGACAGACCTTCGCGAATTCGGCCAGCTCGGAGGCGTTCTGAATCAACGAACTCCTGCTTGGTCTGCCCTCGCCAATCGTCAAAGCTGCTCTCCATTTCGCAAAAACGGCGCCTTCAGCTTTGTAGGCCTTAACTCTTTCCTCTAGCCCTTCAAGTCCCTTGGTATGAGTCTCATATTGACTTTGGTTCAATGGTAGAAGTCCTAAGTCGGCCTGAACGCCAACATTAACTCCTTGGCGGTTTAGATGGTCAACAAAGCGAACGCCTTCGTCGTTCTTCTAAAATTTGCAAATTCAGTTGTAAAAAATATACATATAATGTATCTTGTGACATAATAAGGAAGCCAATTGTTGTGGGTAAAATTTCGTACCTGCCGGAATGTTTCCTCCATCATGATAATTGCAGTGATATTGTCAGCAATTCTAGGAGCCGAATACAACATTTGCCTGTACTTTCGGCGCTCCTCCGTTGAATTCTCTTTACCGACGGCTTGGAGGCGCGGAGCCATCAAAACTATTAACATATGCAAATTTAGAGTAAGTCAGAAAGATGAAAAACAAAGTCAGAGTTCTCAACATACCCGCCGTATCATCCGTGGCCAAGATCCCTTTGCGCGGTTGCAGGATTTGACTGCAAATCGCCTTCAACTCGGACTTGCAAGCCTCGCTAAGAGAGTCGCCGGTCATAATGTTTGTTTCCACAATGTTATGGTCTTGCGATTGTTCTTTTAAAGAGATCCTTATCATGTTGACAACACAATACGCATGCTGATAGTATGGGGAAAGTTTATTGCGGGAGCGATAATTAATTGGTGGAGTGTTACCCACTTCGCGTGTGGGACACTTCGCGTGAGTCGCTTATCCCACTTCGCGTGCACGCGAAATGGGTTTCACGCGAAGTGGGTAGTCACCGAGGTTCATAGTACCCACTTCGCGTGACTTTCCAAAAATTGCCGGGGCCCACTTCGCGCGTAATTTTTTTTGTTCGGTGCCCACTTCGCGTGAGATTTGGATTTTCAATGGAATTCACGCGAAGTGTCTCCGGCAAATTTTAATCAACAGGACACTTCGCGTGTACCGTATTTCGTTGGTTTGCCTGATTTTGGCATTCTGTTTTTGCAGGAATTGTCGCCTTTAGAGTGGTAGGAAAGACTTTTCACGGTCAGTCCTGAGGTTTTTATGAAAAACTGAACCAGAATGATGTATAAAACATAAAAATCGGCATAGTTTGGCATGTTTTATACATTTTTTACACTAAAATAATATAAAATGATTTTTTAGTTTTAAATCTAGAACATGCAGCGAGACTAGTTCGACTTCCTGATGTCTGTCATGCCCCAAGCTTCGCTCAGAACCTATAAAACCCGCCGTTTCACCTCCTCCATACACCGGGTTTTGCAGAATAACATCAAGTCATCATGAATAATATAGTTTTACTCCTGGAATTATTTTTGTTGTATACTGCCGTGTTTGAAGGATGGATTTCTTCCTAAAATGGTCTGTCTGACATGTTAAAAGTCTTTACAGGCCCCTTACACGTAAATTGAAGATTTTGATTCTCGAAAAAACAAAAAATCATCAAAAATCAAAGAAATATACAAAAGTCCTGTTTGTCACACTTAATGCTTCAATTTCTGTGTATTATCTGAATTGTTGGTACGTTTACAACGTTTTGTTACCATTTTTCCCTCCGACTTAGCTTTGGGAGGAACAACATCGTCATGGATAACATCGGGAGCATATACTAAAATCGCTTGGAAATCAGTTTTGATGTGTCACAAACACTATAAATAATATATATTCTTGTTCCTCAGATTATGCTGCACATTTTGGAGTCAAAATTGGATTTACCATTTTTTTACCGTATAACACTTACTACGGTAAAATTTCGTACAATAATCGGGTAGATCTGAAATCTTGCGTGGAAATGTCTACCTATATGCTAGACAAGTCTGCCAAATTTCATCCAGATCCACCCAGTAGTTTCTGAGTTATAAACAATTTTATTATTCAAAAAGAGGTTTTTTCAACCTTCAAAATCGTGTTTTCAACCTTATAGTAACTACTGGGCACATTTTCTAAACCTTAACTCAGCTCAACCTTGATCAATTTTCGATTTTTAAAAAGTAATTCAAGTAATTCGGACACTGCGAACTACGTGGCAATACTTATTTTTTGTTCCGGCAGCTCTAAAGTATCGAAAAACACAATGCCAAAAATAGCCAAAATCGCGCGAAATTTGAATTTACATTGCTTTTTTTGCAATTTTAAAACATTTCCAGCTTTTCCAACCCTTCAAGCGCCACCATCATAAAATTTATATTTTTCCTGCCATTCTGAAGCACTTTTAATCAATTTCAATTTAGGTGTCATTTCAAGACTGGACAAGTGGAATATACCGCTAAGTTGGTACGGGAAAAATATGCAAATCATTTGAACTGACCTTTTAAATGTTTGTTTAGCTGCTGGCAGCGTCCAACAGCCGTAGTTCGGAAAAGCATTCAAATTTCGCGCGATTTTGGCTATTTTTGGCATTGTGTTTTTCGATACTTTAGAGCTGCCGGAACAAAAAATAAGTATTGCCACGTAGTTCGCAGTGTCCGAATTACTTGAATTACTTTTTAAAAATCGAAAATTGATCAAGGTTGAGCTGAGTTAAGGTTTAGAAAATGTGCCCAGTAGTTACTATAAGGTTGAAAACACGATTTTGAAGGTTGAAAAAACCTCTTTTTGAATAATAAAATTGTTTATAACTCAGAAACTACTGGGTGGATCTGGATGAAATTTGGCAGACTTGTCTAGCATATAGGTAGACATTTCCACGCAAGATTTCAGATCTACCCGATTATTGTACGAAATTTTACCGTAGTAAGTGTTATACGGTAAAAAAATGGTAAATCCAATTTTGACTCCAAAATGTGCAGCATAATCTGAGGAACAAGAATATATATTATTTATAGTGTTTGTGACACATCAAAACTGATTTCCAAGCGATTTTAGTATATGCTCCCGATGTTATCCATGACGATGTTGTTCCTCCCAAAGCTAAGTCGGAGGGAAAAATGGTAACAAAACGTTGTAAACGTACCAACAATTCAGATAATACACAGAAATTGAAGCATTAAGTGTGACAAACAGGACTTTTGTATATTTCTTTGATTTTTGATGATTTTTTGTTTTTTCGAGAATCAAAATCTTCAATTTACGTGTAAGGGGCCTGTAAAGACTTTTAACATGTCAGACAGACCATTTTAGGAAGAAATCCATCCTTCAAACACGGCAGTATACAACAAAAATAATTCCAGGAGTAAAACTATATTATTCATGATGACTTGATGTTATTCTGCAAAACCCGGTGTATGGAGGAGGTGAAACGGCGGGTTTTATAGGTTCTGAGCGAAGCTTGGGGCATGACAGACATCAGGAAGTCGAACTAGTCTCGCTGCATGTTCTAGATTTAAAACTAAAAAATCATTTTATATTATTTTAGTGTAAAAAATGTATAAAAGATGCCAAACTATGCCGATTTTTATGTTTTATACATCATTCTGGTTCAGTTTTTCATAAAAACCTCAGGACTGACCGTGAAAAGTCTTTCCTACCACTCTAAAGGCCACAATTCCTGCAAAAACAGAATGCCAAAATCAGGCAAATCAACGAAATACGGTACACGCGAAGTGTCCTGTTGATTAAAATTTGCCGGAGACACTTCGCGTGAATTCCATTGAAAATCCAAATCTCACGCGAAGTGGGCACCGAACAAAAAAAATTACGCGCGAAGTGGGCCCCGGCAATTTTTGGAAAGTCACGCGAAGTGGGTACTATGAACCTCGGTGACTACCCACTTCGCGTGAAACCCATTTCGCGTGCACGCGAAGTGGGATAAGCGACTCACGCGAAGTGTCCCACACGCGAAGTGGGCTTCCCCCTAATTGGTGAAACAGGCTATTGTTTCAATTTTCGCTGCCGGCATCCACCACGATTGTGGGTGATTAACTCGAATATGAGGACGAATGTGGCTGATGTGTTCACTACCAAGAGGAAAATTCCGAGTCCAAGATATGGGTAAATCCCTAAAAATGGCCTTTAGCATGGCTAAAAAAAAGTCCTTGTGAAGATCAAGTCCATAGACTTTATCACCTACTGTCATGTCCCATGTCATCTCTTACCAATTTCAGAGCGACCTTTCCTTCTACAGGTCTTCTTGGTCTTATAATCTTGCATGTACTTTGAATAGAGCCTGGTGATGGTCAGTTCCTCTTGTTCAATAATTTTATTGATTCTCGGGAGCAGTTCATAATCTTTCCTAAACAAAAATCCACGTTTAAGGACTTCAATTGCATCAAATGAAGTCATAAAGTCGCAGTTCTTCAAACCGTTGAAGTAGAAGTCATCCGTGTCCTGCAATAATTTCTGTTACATATACATATCTAAACATACAAATCTCATCATGACAGCTTCGTTGTTGTTAAGCATCGTCATTGCTTCCTCATCGTTTTTCGCATAGCGGATAGGATTTCTCGCCAAAACTTCGGTCATATTCAAACCTTGCTGCCAGCCGACGTCGATCAAGGTCTGGCGTAGCAGCGGGTAATGCAGAGTCTCAACGAAATACACTTGTTCCCGATCCATGGCCCGTAGAACCTCTCCAAGGCTTTTCAAGGGAATGAAATGCTCCGGGCTCATTAAGCGAGCCAGGATATACGAGCTGAGAATGCCCATAAGAATGGCGCATTGCGCCAAGGAAAAGATTATGATAGAACATTTTCCTGGAATTAGAAATTCATTGAAGTTACCAAAATGTCACTCAATAATCAAAGCGAGTGTAAAGCGGAAAAGAACGTGACCGTTACCTGACAAGAGCTTGCTTTGACAGTTCTGAGGTTGCAACAACTGTAGGCGAACGATTCTCCAAATAACCTCAGACCATTTGGACTTCTTATCCTGTAAAAGAAGACTATTAAACATGTAGGTCAAAGGCTTGAGTTCACCTCGTAGAGTTCCTTTTCAACTCTATGCACGATCACGGAGAAAATGCATTGCAACGCCAGCGACAGCCCGATGGCTATCCATACAGTTGTCTGGTAAGAGCCAAAAAATCCGAAATATTGTGAGAATCCGTCCTTTTGATGAAGTCCAATCAACTTTTTCTCGGTCTAAAAATTATGTACAAATAGCTTCTTTGGGCTTACATAGAACAATTTTTCGGACACGTTGAATTTCTCGTCAAAATAATCATTCATCAGATACGCTGAGGCAATTGTGTCGACAGTTCCATTCAAAATGTAATTCAAAATGCCGTAGACTGTGCCATTTTGAATGTATTCATACGTGTTGCGATGGTTTACCACCACCGGGACAAGATTAAGGTTTAGCTTGTCGGCGAGCAGAGAAATGATCTGAAATCAGCGTATTTAGATAAAAACTAGTTCTCAAGGCCTCTAAGATTCTTGGTTATAGACAGGTTTGCTACACTATATGTGGTCTGTAAACCAACCTCAACGCAGAGTCCAGGGAACATGCATTCCTTGGAAGCTTTGAACGTCGGGAATCTTGAACAGTCATCGTTTACAAGTGGTGTTGAATGGAAGTACAGAACCTTAAAATCCCCCTCTTTCATGCTGTCAAAGAATCAGTAAAATGTCTGACAGTTCTGCATAGAAATATGTATCTATTTCCCAGGCTTCATGAAGCAGATTCATACAGAATTTTGTTGGCTTTGTCGTTTCCGCAAATTGATACCATCCTAGAACATGCCATTAGTGAGGTTTTTTTAAAGGGGTGTAAAGGTGCTTTGCAACTGTAGTGATACAAGTTTTGATAGGGAAAATTTACCATGTTTTCCATTGTGCTTTTTTAAAAGTGCGTAGGCTTTTTTCTTTTTTTGTTTAACTTTGCGACGGCTCACCGCAGCTGGACATGTGGTGAGAAACTGCACCCTTTTTTCGACAAGACAAAAAATTTTGCTGCGACAGCCCACCACTATTTTCCCGACGGACGAATGTAATATTATACAATAAAGGCCAAAAGACTATGCGGATTACAGTACGATTATTTCATCACATGGCATTTTCCAAAAATTATTTCATAATTTCCAAAGTTTGGGAAGATTGTCACCATGGAGATTGAAGGCCTTCCGAGGGAAACTACTTTTTTTGCCGTTATTGACTTGATCTGAAAAGGAAACAAGGAACTGTTTGTAATGTTGCCATTAGTTAGAATATGCTGTTGTTTTTGGATATACAGTCCAAAACTCAGTACAACGAGCCAACAGCGACCTAAAAAATTTGTAATTTTTACAGAAGGTTTCGTTGTACCAATGATTATTTTTGCCAAGCATTTTTCTTCGCCCCAGGCATCCCTGTAAAAATCTCTCGGATAAAACCCTTTCCCTTATGTATTTCTTGGCATTTCCCCTCCGGAAGCGTCGCCCCTTCAATTATCCCTTGCATCGTACAAGGTTTCCGTAAGAATGGGCTTTTGCTCTGACTAAACGTAAAAAATTCGAAGGAAAACTTTTGGTGAAATTATGGATTGGCCTTTCTTTTGATTGTTTTTGTTTCGCTATATTGGATGGGATGGTCAGAAAAAGCTTTGCGTTGGAATCTTTAATGTTTCGAAAATTCAAGTAAAAAAATTTGTCGTTAACTTTACTTTGAACTTGTATTATAAAGGGTCTAAAATTCAGGTTATCTCAACTTGACCTGTTAGATTTTAGTCCTAATCTCTGTTACCAAGAGTTTTTTTTTGTGATAATACAATAGTTTTGCGTCACCTTTGTGTTTAGCATGAAGAATTATGTCCTTTTTTGCAAGTTCAATGGTTTGGAACACTAAAATCATTGCCCTGATTCACAACATGTAAGAACAGTCATTTTCCCTTGTATGCTAGCTTCTGAATGACTCTGCAAGACGTATTACATAAATCATCGCAATAATAGAAAAGTCAATTTCAGTCTTCCCCAAAGTTGGCGCCCTATTTCCCGACTAAATTAATATTTTATTGCCTAGATAAAAGTTGGATCCGGCTGTTCTTTCTATCCACCTTCTCTCTCAATCCTTTAACGCCTTTTTTCTTTTTTACCATATTATTACTCCGTATATATAGTTGGGTCATGACTCGCAATGAACCAACTTTGTTTACTTTTTCAAAATAATAATACATGTATGACTTTCGAGTTGTTTATATTCTGACTTGATCTTTGTGAGCTATCTGTTTGCGTCATAATTTTAACGTATTGGCTGAACAGATTTTGACGCACAATTCGACAATGTTATGGGACGTCGTCATTGGGGAGAAAGGCCATTGGGGAAGTGGATGACTGGGGAAATTGAAAAGTATTGTGTAAAGGGAAATACCCGAGGTGCGACGCTCAGATTATGATGAAACTTGGCACAAATTTAGAATATTTTTTTTAAAAATATATGCGAGAATTTCAGCCCGCGCTTTGCAGAAACAACCGCGATTTTTAGATCGAAAGTTGGCAAAAATTTGACATTTTTTGCCGAACTTCGGCGCGAAAAGTTTCGTGCCTATTTCTACCATAGAGGGTAATGTTTTCAAAAAAATCAATTTTTTCGCGCGAATTAGTAAAGTTGTGATTAAAATGGGTTTCTTCTTTGACCGCTCTCCGCGGTTAGCGTACTCTCTCGGCGGCAAACATCGTTCAATATCTCGGCGGCACTTGGAAAGCGCGGGCTAAAGCTTTCAGGAATTGATACTTAGTTTACGGCCGATGTGTATGCAAAATTTAAAGAAAATCTGAGCGTCGTATTTGAGGTACTTCCTTTTACAGTACAACTTAAGGAAAAATGTAGCGACCAAAAAAATCAATGTCATTTTCGAAATCAGCACCATCGATTATCTTCATTTCGAAGCTTACATTGAAAAAATAATACTTTTCAGCTTCCCTAATTGTGTTTTTCCACAATCATCGCTCTCCGAAATAATACAAACTGCGAGTTATCCCCTTTTCTTGGCTATTCTTATTTTCCCATTTTTTGGCAAGTTTCAAATTTCATTTACGCAATACTTTGTCGGACAATAGCGCAGATTTGAGGAGCACAAAACAATCGTTTTCCTTGTTTAATAAGCTGTCGTTTGAATGCGAGCGACGGAATCTGGGACGCGAGATCCACCCATTTGGTCATCTACACAAACTTGAAGCGAACAAGACGCGTAATTCAGGTGAATTCCTACGTAGGAGGCAGATGGACAAATGTTTTCTGAACGGCGGGAAAAAGTTATATAACAATTCAGTTTTGCATTTATAATTCTTTTTCGATTGGGTAATATGGAATAACGGTTTAAAAAATCCGCTAAAGTCTTGTTGTTTGCCCGCCAATTTATTAATGTAAAGTTGCTTGAAAGGCGATGTTTAGAGAAAAATTGGCTCAATTTCAGCGTAAATTTTTATAAGATATGAGGTTTTCAGCCAGCGTTAAATCGAAATTTTCGCGCCCTAACTTTTCGGTTCTACGACAGTTCGGGTCAACAAAAAATCGATCGATACGGGGCGTAGGGCAGGTGGATACCCAAAAAAAAGTTGTAAGAAGTTCCTACGAGGCCTGGCAAAGCCGCTGGATGGTTGGCGGACGCTAGTAGAAAGCTTGGCGAAGACTTGCAAAATTTCCGCTTTTTCTAATTCTAGCTACTACTAACGTTAGTTTTATTTACTCTGAGATATTGTAACATACAAAGGACCAAAATTTGTGGAAAAAAAGAAGATCCGTAACTTTTACCTTGGTAATATCACAATGTTATTGTAATATTATTATTGATGTAAGCACATGTAAAATGCCTCAAAATAGGTGATAAGCTATTCTGGAACCCTATCAAACTTATTTATTTCTACTATCTAAGCCTTCTCCTAGCCTCCCCCATGCATACATCGGCGAACCGACTCGGCCCATAGTATCGTTAACGCGTCCTTTGACCTCAAGGATCGACGCGTTATTACTTTCTTGAAGCTCTATCTTTAATATTCAGTCAGTTGCGGGATTCCTGTAATGCACGTCAAAACAATTCTTTCAGAAAATTGAAAAAACAAGGAATCTCGGATCATTGATTTTTTGCGAAGTGCCACAGAATTATCGAGCTTGAAAAATTGTTTTCCTCTTCGAAAAAACATTTTTCTCGAAATTCTCTGGGAAAGTTTTCTTTTGTGACTCGATAATTCAGCGACATTTCGTCAAAAATCAATGATCCGAGGTTCTTTGCATTCAATCCGGAACATAATCCCATCGGAGACCTCATTTTTACGAATTTCCTTGCTTTATGGGTCAGACGCAATTAATACTCGTGCAAGCCGAACATATATATTAAAGCCGCGATTACTTCCTGAACCCACTTGAGCGGAACTGAAATTATTAACCCAACTTCCAAGAATGCAAATGCATCCGAATTGGTACGCTTACGGTGGGCGGAAGTGCGTGGGAATGGGATGACTGTAGTTTCGGGAAGATGAAGAAACTTTCTTTTTTCTGTTGGGACGGACTTCAGCGATCGGTTAGCGGGCCAAAAAGTCTTGTCATACCGGCACATTGTATCGCAGGGCATAAATCTCGTCGCAACTTTTCAAGGCAATGAGCAAAGTTCACGGCGCCCCAAAACCGCACAGCGCGAAACGAATTTTGCTGGAAAGGGCAGGAAAAGTTTGTCACGCGAATAAACCTGCATGCCTTATCTCTAGCAATTGATCTGTGGCTTGTAATCGAGCTGAGTTTTACAAAGGAAATGCTCAAAGTATAGCGCTAGAACGAGGTTCCTAACCCGCAGATCCCTAAATATCATGGCGGCCTTTGCAAAGCGCGAATCTAAAATTCCCATTTATTGACATGTGGTAATATAGGCTGAAAGTTTGTGCAAAATTTGCAGAAAATCTGAACGCCACGTACATCAGTCTTGATTAGATTTGTCGCCCTTCCCACTTTACAAAGCCTCATAAAACCTCGAATTTTCCGGCTCGCTTAATTTGTCACCCCATCCTCTTCCCTTCCCGTTGATCTGAAGAGTCGGTTGACCATAAAAGCGCTTTCGTAAAGTGTTTTCTGTCACCCGAACGCGATAAAAACAAACAGTTTTATCACAAGTATTTTAATCCCTCTCACCGAAAGCGTGGCTTGAACTCCACTTTCTCACGAACAAACTATTCTATTTTCATAATAAATTTTGGATCGTGCTTCGCTAAAGATTATGCCACCGATCTTTGTAGTCTGAGAACGTAGGCCAGTGGGTTTTCTGGGTATTCTGTGTTTTCACATGGAAGTTTTCTTTGGCCTCGATTTACCGTCTGACCGGATCTCGGGTGGCCAAACGGAAGAATACGTAAACGCGTCGGAAATACGGAGCTTGTCTTTTTTAGGGCAGAATATTTCAACGTTCTTTGGAACTGGCGCCGACGGAAATGGGTTTATTTCAGTCTATGTAGTGCGTCTTTTATGATACTCGATCTTGCATTAGATATTTGTTGGAGCTATGCGGAAAAGAAGATGGTTTTCAATAACAAATAAATTTCGGTTCTCTTTGCATTGACAATTTGTCGATCGCTCTTAAATTTTGCACTTGCTTTCCGTGTGGGCTTTGGATAAATAGCTACAAGTTTTTGCTGACGATTCGGCGCGGCTAAGATAGACAACGATTTTTCTAAGGGCGTAGCTGGGGAATTATTTAGCGGAAAGGCAGGGGGTTTTTAGATATGCCCGTGCAATAATCACAAAATTGTTTTTTTAAATTCGTGCCGCAAGAATTTACCTAGGGGCCCTCACAAAACCTTCAGGAATATCGCTAAAGCTGCGCATGAAAAAGATTGTCTTCTTCAATAAGAAGCCAAAATTGCCTAACTTTTTGGAATATAATACCGAATTCCTAGTGAACTTTGGTCACCGCAAAATGCGATTAAGAAATCTGGTAGGCGTCTGGCACAATCCAAGCGTGAATTTGAGTCAAGTCTAACAGAAAACCTAGACAGTTTCCTCTGAACACCCCCAACTTTGATTCGAGAATTTAAGCTGCCGAAATTTTGTTATGCCACATATTGTATGTAGATGATATACATATAAGAGTGTTGTAGCTAGTGTCTAGGGTCTTATTGTTAGAAAAAAATGGTAAGCGAGGACCAATGTAATTTTTGCGCGAAATTTTTACATAGTGACCCTCCAGCCGGCCTCTCCCCTAGAATTTTTGGTCAGCTTTACCCTTCTACTATACACACGCTTATTCAAAATTTTGCAACATCTTCGTCATTTCATGTCCTAAGTCCCATCGCAACGTCATAGTTTCCAAGCATCCAGAAGCACATGCTGAAAGGGAGCCGACCATTTTTTATGGATTTTCTTTGTCAAACAAAGCGCCCGGATGCTTATGAGTTTCGGTTTCGTTTCTCGAGGGCTTGTAAAAAACAATGTTTTCTCGCGTTAGACACTCGAGTTTGATGGGATATCTTGTGGATGTGGTTTTTTTGGTAAGATTTTACTAATCCTTTGCTGATGGGATTTCAGCGACATGCTATAATAAATTGCCAGATCTAACTGCCAAATCCATTGCCCACAAGTGTGGGCCCGCCTGTAAGCGGACTCTGTTGAACCCTGTGAATGATCTTGGACCTGCAAAAATATGTCTTTTAAGTACAAGAATGACTAATACAACTAACACAAGCCAGAATTCCGCCAGTTTATCAAACCACAACCACATGTTTGCCCGTTAGCTTAATTGTATATTTATTTTGAAGGTGGGTACAAGTGAAGGTTGCTTTTATTTACAAACCGGAAGAGAGAGGTTTCGGTTCGGGAAGAGGGTTGTAGCACTAAAATAGAAAGTACTGTTGAAAGTCTGTATAACGCACCCGCTTATCTATAACGCTCAACTGTAGAGCTGCAAAAAGGCTCTACAGTTGGGCTTAGGGGCTAAAATGAACGTCTTTACCACGATGCGTTCTATAACAAAGACTTTTTTGTAGTTTATGAATGTATTATCAACTCCCTCTGATTGATTTTTTGCTTGTTAATTTGAGAGCTTATAAGACTGTTTTCCAATTATATCATACGTTTTGTGGGAGGGGACTAATTGATTATTTTTTTATTTTTTATTTTCTACCCACAATTTCCAGATAGCTATGTAGGATCGGCTATAGAAATATTAAGGAAAGTATTATTCTTAAGATATTTGTTTGTTTGTCTTGTAGGATTGAGGGCATTTTCACATTCAATTTTCAACGTCTCCATTCATACCGGAAGTGAAATTTGATAAGGTCAACATATTAGCTTCTAAGGTAACGTCCTCAATTTTTGAGCCTTCAAAATGAGTAGGACACTTCACATCGGGTACAGTTACAGCTACAATGTGTATTTCCTACAGCTACAATGAGTATTTTCCGTCGCCCGCCCACCAATCCACAGTAGATGCAAGAAGAATAGGATTGTTTACTTTTCTTTGACGCACATGAACTCTTCATAAAAAGGCAATTAATCAAAGAAGGTGTGTGCCACACCCTGTGCGTTTCCCGTTCAGCTGAGTTTTTATGAATTTAGAGCTATTCAAAAAAAGATCATCGAATTCCAGACAGAAATTATTGGATTTCCAAATTATTTGTTTACTTTTCGTCGAACATGCGCTTTGATAATTTTATTTCCTAATTTATTTGTTTTTCATAAAGGAATCCCAATTATTCTCTGATCAGATCGCGTTGGGAAAGGGCTTTTTAAAGGAAACTTGATTAGTTTGCTTTTTGCAAAGCTTCAAAGCCTACGGTTCTTTACTTTACAGAGACGTCTGAGGACCCTATCTAACAGTTTCAGCATTCATCATGGCAAATCTTTATTTTTGTAATCCAAACCAACACCTTTTTATACCATAGACCCTACAAAAAAACCCTGCTTCTCAACTACCTTCGTGTGAAACTGGCTGTCCGACTTTCCTTAATTAGTTTTCCCATCCAAGTATTCTCTCACCTCAATCCAATGTTATTCCACCAAACGCAGCAATCCCTTCCCACACAAAGCTATAATACTTTGCTGACAACAGGGTTCAGAAGCGCTGTGGAATTTGCTGGAGGCGTCTTATCAATTGCGATAACCTCAATTAGGCGTTTAAAAATACTCCAGCCGCGCCATCTCCTTCATTCTTTGAGGGAAACGTTGTGGACTTTTTGGACTGTTGGCTTCCTGATCAATCTTTGGTTTGATGGCGAGTTGCAAAGATTGCGTTCCATTAAGCGTTCGAATTTTTGCTTGCGGTGAAAAAATGTCTTCCTTAAATTTTGTGCCTTTTATCTGCCTTCTCTGCATATCAACTTGTAAAAGTTATGTCGGGCGCAATCAAGGTATTTTGATTTGTTTGGACGAGGTACTAGTCTTTCCTTCTAGGGCGTAGAATTTTCTTTGCCATACTTTTATTTTGAGCCTAATCTTTTCAAGTCAACCTTTTTTGTCCTCAAAATCCAGCGGAATGAGACGTTGAGATTTCTCCCTGTTCATTTATCTCCCTGTAATTCGTTTTTGCTCCATTCACGTGCACGAGAAATATTTGGAAACCAATTTTGTTGACGATAATGCGTTTTGATGTTTCTGGAAGTTTACCGTCCCTTATAAGGCATTACGTGCTAGTTTATCCCTTTTAGTCATCTGCATCTTGTGACTGAAGACCTTTCAAAACAGCATTTGCTGCCATCATCGGTTACGCAAGCTTTATTTTAAAAGTTCATTTTCCTTGAAAATAATTTGGTCTGATCTATGCCTGCAGTAATTTGCATATTATAAATAGTTCTTTGTCAGTTATTTATTAATTTTGACCCGTGATTATAAGCCCCGCTAATTGCCGAGTTCTGAACATGCAATTCTAGGGCTTAATACGTGTTATCAGGAGTTGGAACAAGCTGGCTAGGTAGAACAAACGGGTGCCTCCGCTCATTCGAAATGGATTTCCTTCGCAGCATAATCGGGACGCCGGTGAATCATTCCATCGAGGTGCCCACGGTGACGAGATGGTTTGCGGGTAAGGCCAAGTTTCTCTTCTAATTCTTTAAATTAAATATTCAAGATTTCAAAATCTAAAAAAACATTTCAGAAATGCCCCAAAACTACATGATCATGATATCTCTGGCGATGTGGTTCTCTGTTGTCTCCATATTCCTCGGGGCCCTTCATTTAGTCTACGTCCTAAAATACATCAGCAATGAGCAAATACAAACCGACCTGTATTGGATAATTTTTATGTGTCCGGTGGTGTCGCTATGCGGAACAATCGGGATGATTCTGCCGCGCTCGGCGGTGTTTCTATACGCTGTTGCTTTGGTGTAAGTCTTTGGTTTTTTGCTTAAAATTCCTATGGTCTGAAAGGCGAGTACGGCTAATTTTTAATCGCGCATGTTATGGCTTTGCAAATGAAACGTCAAAATAATTTTTTTTGATGTTTTTTTGCAAAGAAAAAAATGACGCCGACCACGCACCTGCCAAATGAATTGCCTTGAAAAGGGTAATTAGACCCTTTAACATTCAAAAAAACCATTCATAACCTTACAAAATTTCAGATATTTTATGCTGTGCATTTTCGTGATGGTCACGTTGATGACCACGCTGCACGGGAGTCGGCAAGCAATGTGCGAAAAATTGACGGAACGGAATTTCAAAATAAGCGTTCGCGTCTTCCCACTCGGCTGCTGTTTGTTCTGCTTCCCCAAGCTGGATCCCACAGACAAGAACTTCCGCCGTATCGAATGGCTCGTATTTCAGTCGCCGTTGGTGCGTATTTTCCTGGAAATTATGAACATCATGGTGTTCTTCGAGATCAATGACCGAATGCATCTGTTCTTCCAAATCTCGAACTTGATTGGCATGTGCTCGCTCTTTGTTGGGTCCTACGGAAGTTATATGATCATCCCGGCGGGCAGTGTAAGTGGAAAGAGTGATGAGTTATGTAAATACTTTCTTGACGCCAAAAATTAGGGTTGATGGGGCAATTTGACTAGCCTGACAGGTCATGTTATCGTTCTGAACTCCGGTTCGACGTAAAAAAATCATGATTTTGACCGGTCAGATTTGGCATTATGAGCGCTCAAATTTAGTTTAACAATATCAAAATCCTTTTTTTGTTTCAGAAGCTCCTCAAAGCCTACCGTTTCCAACTGATGTTCAGGATGGTGGACCTCAGCCAGTTGGCTTATTCCGTCCAAAAATTCTTCTTTGACTTTCTGGCAGCAATCGGAGTATTCAACAATACGGAGTTACTGCCGGATCACGCGGTTGGACAATGTAAGTAAATTTTTATCCTCAAAGATTATCATAAATTCTTTATTAGCCTTCAAGTTTCAAGGCATAGGACGGCGGAGTTTGGCGGAAAAGACGGGTGTTGAATTTTATGTCTTATCGCAGGCTAATGGACAATTTTATTTGTTAGATAAGACTTGCTATTTTTCTGTGGGAACGCTTTGATTAGGAGAAGGACGCATTGAGGTCAAAAACCTACAACTAGCGTGACTGTTCGATGTTGCTGAAACGCGGCCAATTTTAGAGTGGGGTTTTCTAAGACTTTCATAAAAATCAATTTGCGAAAATCGCTAAAATATAAAACCCCTATTTTTCTCCAATTTACCCACGCAATTTCACAACAGACCTAAAAACCCCGAATTTCAGTCTACACATCGTTCCTTTTGACCATCGAGATGCTCGTGCTCTCCGTGATGGCGACCATTGTGTTCCGGCCGTCGCAGACCATCTTCTTCGACAAATACAAGCATCCCATTGAGCGGATGGAAGAAGACATGCGACGCCATGAATGCTCCTACGTCTCCGTCCCGAGCCTTTCGCTGGAAGACCCCAAATTCGACAATAACAACAATTTCAAGCGACCGGAAACCCAATCGACCTGCTCCTACGAAAGCGAACGGGATGATTTCGACAGTGCGACGAGGGTTGATAACGTGTATCGAGGGTACTTTTAGGCCGATTACTCATTGCGATGTCATGTCACAACGCCGAGGATTCCTCAGTATTTACCCCACACGCCTTTCTGCTCAATCATTGACCAAATTTCGCCCAATTTTTACGATTATTACGTCAACGGGTCTTTACGAGGCCTTGTCTTTCAGCCGCAATCAGCCCACCTATACGAACAAACATTGTATAATCCTGTGAAATTTTTGGAGTTTACATATCATCATTTATAATCATATTGATCTCACTTGACGGTTACACAACAATTGAAAGTTATGTGCAATAAATTCGCATTACAGATGCATGTTATTTGAAGCTTAAAACAGTTGATTTAAGAAGTTTAGAGAAGGCTGTAGCGAAGTTTGTTATACCATTTTTCCTCTGAATCTGTTTCCAATCGAGACCAAATGCCCCATAACCCGCATGCTGATTTTTGGCCTATCAGACGCGACTTCGGCTATCACCGGATCTTGCCAAATCTCTCTGATGACACTAAACGCATTCTCAGCGGTATTTTCGACAATAATATTCCGATTGAACATGTTGGTGACCACTGGTTCTGCACAATCCTGTGCTCTGCATTCGAAACACGCCAGGACTTTTGTTCGAATCTCGACGTGTCTTACAAAAGCGGAAACGGTTTGTGACACGAATAGACACGTCAAATCCAGCAAGAAGATACTGTAGATCAGTTGATGGGCGTGAGTTCCAAATACAAGCGCTGTTTTGCACAAAATAAGTAGAACTTCGGCGCCGACAAAAAACACGACGATTACTTTGAAGATTGTCGAGAATTCGCGAATCAGCCGAATGTTCTGTGAAATCTGAACAAAATTCGGTAAGGTACTGCAATTTACCTCAAATTGCAGAGACAGTGAGGCAAATCTAACCCGATTGTAGTTTGCAACTAGGGCTCTTCGAATCAAGATGTATCCGGCAACGGTGAAGACCAAGGAGAGGAACTGCAAGGGGGCGGAAAATCCAATTCCAGACGTGTAGGATTTTATGCCTAAAATAAATTAGCAAATTGCAGACAGCCTGAAACATGTCTGGAAGTACAGTGGCGGACCTAATCCATTGGCCAAAAACGTACCATTTTGCATCCGGGAAGTATCAAAAAATGCAGCCAAAATACCTCCCTCTCAAAATGAAAAAACTTTCAAAAGCGCTCACTCTTTTTCTGAGGGCGCGCCGTTTAAAACGGAGTTCTTTTTTAGTTGGAGAGGGAGGCATTTTGCCGAGTTTTTGATGCTTCCCGGATGCAAAATGATACGTTATTCGCCACTGGATCAGGTCCCTCAATGTATATGGATTTTCAACGCAGCTGCTTGTGGCCTCAAGGCTGTATTGAACCTAATATTGTCTTGACAGCTCACCAGATATCGCCCACTACAACTTAAACTTACAGATATAAAAACAGGAGCCGCTGAGGAGACATAGACCAACCTGAAAACGTGGAATACATTCTCATTTCTTCGCATCCGCCTTTATCAATAAGACTTACACAGAACAAGTAAACTTTCAACATGATGCGTCTCTTGCGTTGGCCGCAATATTCCTTCAACGAGCAACATGACCGAATATACACGCTCAAGCAGACGAACGGTAGAAAGAAAACTCCCCACGTCAAAGCGGTCATTCTCAGCGAGCGGACCATGTATGTGGTGTCTTGTTGAAGAAGACGGTTGTTCGCCAGCTGCTGCCCTATCAGTAAAAGCCGACAAACACTGTAGATCATCCCGAAAACTCCATTCAGAACAAATAACGCCGAAATCTGCAGTCGTCTTACTTTCCTTGCGATTTTAAAGAGAATACAGCAAAAACAGAGAATCACATTGAGGACGTTGCCAAAAATCTCCACGATTATCACCGTTAGCACGTATTGGCTGCTAACCGGGAGTTCCGTAGCCATCATTTTGTAGGCACTATAGGGAAAAACAGGAATCGCGCGTGCTAATTATGTGGCACGTCAACATTGAATAGTCAATGTATGCACTTGTCCGAATTGCTTCCGAATACGCGCAGAATAAATTAATCAAGACGGTAGTATCATTTCGTGCAAAGCATGTTTTCGCGATTTTTGCAGCGACTCGCCAGAACCTCGTACGTCAAACTGGAGGAGTCCGGCGACCGGAATAGAGACTTCGCTATCGGTTTTTAACACTTCGTCTTGATTTCACAGAGAAGACAGAGAAAAGGCGCGCAAAAAACGTACTCTCTCGTCCCAAAAATTTCCCATTTCTTCCCCGACAAAAAGTTTCTTTACGTCTTTTTTTGGCAAGTTGCCAATCCATTCACCGGACTGTTATAGCTTATCTCAGTTTGACGTGGCTCGCGGTGCAAACTCTCAGGACCTTTGGAGCCGAAAATACCATCCCTGTTCTTTGTTTTGAAGAGTTGGAAACTTTTGATTGCTTTCATTGAACTTGTTGTTCCGATTCAGGACGTTGTATTGAAGATGTTGTCTGTCAGATTCCTGTCTGTTCCCGAAGGTTCGATCAGTATAAAGACAATTTGAATGAGTAAAGTCCGTGGAGATATTCTCGACCAGGTGTGGGAGAATATATTGATCTTATCCAAGGAATTTAGGATAAGCTGGATGGTTGCTTCTATATCTAGAAGTCTTTGAACAGGTGCGTCTGGTTGAATGGGTTATCCAATTGACTGTGTGCAATTGGAGTTGGATTGATTGTATGGGATTGGCTGATCTCTTTCACTTGAGATCGGGGACGGGTGCAATATGTGTTGCGTATCTCTCCCATTGAGATCGTTCTTGTTGTGGTTGGGTTTACTGATCTCTCTCCGTGGAGATCAGTAAGGGCATTCGGTATGATAGCACTTCCATAGTGCGGATAATTGACTGGGTGTGATTGACTGTGCGGGGGTCCCTTTCCAGACGTACTACTGGTTGTCTGGAGCGGGACATAACATCAGAGCGAATAAAGGACAAGTAGTAATAACTAAGTATTTATTGATCGACAGAAATTGAGATCAAATCGACCGCATTACAATTGTAAAACCAAAGATAATAGAGAATTCGTATCTTGTTTTTCTCTTGGACTTCGAATTGCTGGAGGGAACATCTGGAGTCATCTTGGCGGGAATATGAATTGAGTGGAAGAGATGACCAAGAGGGTCAAGTGATACAATAAAGAGAATATAATAAATGCATAATAACAGAGAAACTGAAAAGTCTGTTGAAGTAGATTCGAATACTTTGTATGAGATCTGTGACCAGTTGGGAACAGACAATTCCCCCGAATCTTGGGTTGAAGTTGTTGAATGTATTCGGTGCTCACAGCACCACAAGACCATCAGCCATCTCGTTATTCATTTCGTATTTCGGTCTGAGCGCAGGTGGAATCGGATATAGTCGTTAATTAGTGAGCAAAAAGTAAAGAAAGTTCGCAATCTTTATTACACACGTATGTCGAAGTCAACACAATTAAAAAAATAGTCTTTTTTGGGGTCCTATTGCCACATTGCCTTAAGCATATTAAAATTGTTTTCCGCGGTATTCTCCACGACCAGTTTTTGGTTGAAAACCGTTCTCAGCTCCTCGCCGTCGACTCGTCTGTCGAACCGCAGCTTTCCTTCCAGATGCGGGATCCACAGCATTTGAAACAAATGCATGGAAGCCATGAATATCAGGTACAATTCGAAGGAAATTTGATATAAAACTGAGCCATATTCAAAAGCAAAAGTGCCAATTATTAGACTAGCCTCCGCACACGTGAAGGTTGTGACGTTGATAATGTAGGGAGTATGTAGCCGCCGAATGAGACGGATGTTGCGTGAGATCTGAAAGGCATAGATACGACGGTGATACGACTTACTGCACATTGTTTGCTAAGAGACGCAAACCGCACTCTGTCATAGTTGATGAGAAGTGCGTGTTTGAGCAACATGTACCCCTGAAATCGGCGCTATATATTGGGTTGTTCAAAAAGTTCCGTCGTTTTTCTTATTCTTTTGTTTTACAAGAATTTCTTTATTGTTTGGCAAAGTGGATATATCTATTTGATACAGCTTTTTCTGCTCTACAAAACTGCTTTTTTTGATATTTTTGAAAATTTAATTTTTTAATATTTTTCGGGCTCAAAAGTGAATCATATAGGAGGCAAAAATTTGCGAAATTTGCAATACGAGAACAATATTTTTCTATCGAAAATTCTCCCTTTTCAACATTGTCGGAAACGCTTACCACGCCGCAAGCAATCGTTGTCGTTAATTGGAAAGAGAATATTATTACGAACGCTTTCTCATGTACGTCCATGTCTGAAATTCAGAAGTATTATACTCAGTTTCCACTGACCTACGGATGAACTTACGGATTGAGTAGAATTTTGCAAACGATAAACATCCAACAGTCTGAAACAAGACAATTTATTATACCTATGATGACAACTTACAAACAAAACGTACAACGAATATCTGAGCAATCGTTGGCTGCCTTCGGACACCGATTTCACCACGCAGAACGTCACCAGATACCGTTCGATGCACAAAAAACATATGAAGACATATGTCCACCCAACCGACACCATCCGCAAAAACTTCACACGAAAGATGTTTTCGGCCGAGAAATCGTCTGCAGCGGTGATCAGAAGCAGTCTTGTAATGCAATAATTTAAGGTAATCACAGCATTTAGTATAAATATGGCTTGAATGTTGTGCCTTTTGCAACAAGTGGCTAATGTGTAACAAATGTAAATTAAGGACGCAACAATTGCAACCGTCAGAATTGCCGATTCAAACAGTTGAAAGCCGTAAACGTAGAGGCTTTCCACCGGTAGGTCGAGCGACGCTATCATAGTAATGCGCCGGCTTTGTGGGCCTGTTACGCCTCCAGTCTTGCTAATTCAATACTCCGTCTGGAATAAAACAATAAATTGCGCAATTTTGTTTTTCTGTGTACAGAATGTGAAAAATTCTTGATATTAGCTGTGACAGACGTTGACTAAAAGAGATATTAAATTGTCGTAGAAGCTAATTGTGAGGAATATACCAAGAAAACTCCTTCACCTTCCCTTGGAGAGGGTATTTTCTCGCTAACGGAGTCGTGGTGGACAAATAGCTATACTAGTGGCGCCCCCTGTAGACGTATACTAGTCCTTTCGGAAAGTCGCCGGATTGAAATTGGCAAAAAAGTTTGCTTTGACTGTGCGTGGACGGTACAACCGAGACTTAGACCGATAACAGGTACTTTGACGGCAAGTTGTAGTATTAGATACATATAAGCAACAACAAAAAAAATGAGGGTGGGTTCGGCGGTGTTTTGATTACCCTTTTAATGCGCTTTGATTGACCTTTTCTAAACAATTCACTTCGCACTGTGTGTATTCGGATGCACTGTGAATTTTACTCGCCGCTCTGCGACAAGTACTACCCGCGACGGCGCACCATGCAAAAATGTCAAGAATTTTTTGCCCGCCTTGTAAACATTCCGACTAATTGCCATTGACGGCATAGTCAATAACCTCAGGCTCGATATCAATGCCTCCTCTGAGATCCGTAGATGGATGGACCCTTACAAGAGGGCAGCGGGACGAACATACGTAAAAAATATTAAATCAGGGCCTACACTACTTGCGGGCAACCATTTTGCGGGCAGCTAAAATAACCACGGAGATCTAAGCAATGTTAGCTGTTTGGAAATCAGCCAACGTTTACTTACAAAAATAAATTCCAACGATGCATTTGGAAGTAAGATGCTGCGAATTAAGTTTCCTGGATGTGGAAAAATTGCAATTTTAACCGGTAAATGTCGTGTGCCCGCAAAGTGAATGCCCGCATGAATCGCGACGGCATAAACGATTACTCATACGACGCGGGGTGTTTTCTCAAAAGTAAAGCTTCTCCGCAGAAAAAGACACGAGAAAAAAAAGTTTTTCGTCTCGCCGACTGTCTTCAATTTGCGCGCTCCATCAAAAAAAAGGCTGTTAAATATGTCGGCCGCGCTGAAAAGGAACCTTCCAAGATCAACTGAGTATCCCATAACTATAAAAAGACAAGGAAGTTGGGGTTCTTTTATTTTAAATATCCCTCATTTATTAGTTCAAAACTTGTCGTTGCAGTTGAAAAGATGTAAGATAACCTACACAATCAGAAAAGGCAGTGAATTAGCATTTGAGAGATATTTTTGTTGGACGATTTAATGGGGTTATTTCAACTACAAATGGCAGATTTTTGTGTTTCGAAATGAAACAAGTCCTTTGCAAAACCTGCACAAACTGAAGAGCTACAGGAACTGTTACTTTATTCGAGGTTTGAACATCTTTTGTTTGAGTTGATATTCATGAGAGTTTATTTTTGCTTTCACAATAGTGCGTACGGTTTTCATCACAAGACAGTTTGGCACCGTGCATTTCACAGTGCAACCGGAACAGCTTTTTTTCAAGATGTCTATGGTTGTTTTTAGATTTACCGTCATGACTTTTGAGTCGGCGAAGATTGCTGAATACCACGGCTGTCCCTGCCAAACGTCATAAAGCATTTTTAGGAATTGAAAAGTGACGGTTACGAAAACAAAATTTTAAGATGATTGGACCCTTAGGGCTTCTGTCATGAACAATTCTACTATGTGAGCCAACAAAACTTGGCATGAATTTTGACCCTCCATTAGTATTTTTATAAAGTGCATAGACGTTTTTTCTTTGAATTTTTGCCCTTTTTACCACGCCTTGTTAGGACTCTTTGGCCCGTCCAGTGTTCGTAGAAAAAATGTTTAAAAGAAAAAGATTTATTTTGTACAAAGTTATCGACCAGTCTTATACTTATTAGAGATAGTTATCTTTTGCCGCGTTACGCTCCGGCGACACAGTTCTCCGTATCGCATGCGACTTTGGCCGCGGCCGCTGCTGCTTCACCTGCTGCTTGGACACCGGTTCCCTCCAGATTTGTTGCAAAGCGTTGAAATTGTTCTCCGCATTGTTTTCGACGATCAAATTCTCGTCGAACATGTTCACCACTTCCGTGGGTCGCTGCGGCGTGAAATAGATCTTGACTCCCGTGTCCATGATGATCATAACAACGGTTTCGGCGAGGAATAGTATTGCGACGAAGACGAGGTATGCCGTGAAGGAGAGTTGAAAGGAAAGCGAGCCGTATTCGACTCCAACATAGCTGAAGATTAAGGCGAATTGAGAGAGGAACAGGACAAAAACGATGACTTTATAGGTTGATTCGAACCTAAGGAGTATTCGAATGTTCTGAGAGAGCTGAAAATACCACAAAAGTAAATGAAACTAAACCCTTTTAAAAGAAAATAAACTAATTATTGAATGAAAAAAAGTAATTAAGAATGAAAATCCACTTACCTCGTATTGGCGTGACAATGACGCGAACCGAATTCGCTTGTAATTGTTAATTAGCGCCCTTTTTAACACAATAAAACCCTAAACTTTTCATTACACATGTTTTGAACGCCTACCGCAACCGCAAATATTGTAGAGAGCATCTCCGTCGGCGTCACCACATACATTGCCGAGGAAACACCGTAAATCCGCATAAGGGAAAGAACTCCCATCCCCATGCTGAGGCCTATCTGAAAAACAGGGTTTTTAAAACCGCATGTGAAAGCAATTCAAGCGAAATGTTTGGCTTCTCAAAGCACTCACATAGCACGAGAACATCACCACCTTCCACGTGCAGCATCCCGGAGTTTCACTCCCAATGAAAACCGAGGACTCAAAGTATCGCTCCAGGCAAAAGAAGCAAAGCCAAAACGTCGCCCACGACATTGCCACCACCCTGACCGTCTTTACAATCTGCAGCCATAACGCGTCAAGTAGCGTGAAGTTGCAAAAGTTGTGATACACCAAAATAGTCCTTGTGACTCCATACATAATCCCAGCAATATTAGACATGACGAACAGATGATTGACTCCCCGAGAACTGCCTTTTAGACGGCAAATCTGCGTTGACATATAAAAAGCGGACAAAAACACGGTGCTGAAGAGGATTGTCAGCTCGACAAAAATCATCGCGATGACGTAGCCGTTCTCATACGGCTGATCCAGCGCCAACACGGCTGTCGTGTTGTTTCCAGTCATATTAGTTTCAAAAAAAAGATAATTGTAGTTTAGCAGAAATTCGATTACATTCTTTATTTGCTTCTTAATTCTGGAATTATTTAAGGTTTTGAAGTTCGAGGCAAGAGAAAACGTAGAATACTCGAGAAAACAAGGTATACATTTCAAAACTGAGAATTTGTGCAATAACAAGGAAGGTGATAAAAGTGCGTCGTTTCGAGCGCCTTCAAACTTTGAGTACGTTCTCTATGTGGGTTGAATTTTTGAAAATTTTAGCTCACGCCTAGCGCAGACAGAGCCTTACTGGCTCCCCAGAGTGAAGGGAGCCGGAAAGGCTGAAAAATGTAAAAAAGTTTTCGTTCTTTTTAGTCGTTTCTTTTAGAGTTGCAGGTTTTCGCTGACTGATTTTTTGTGAAAAATATTGTACCCCTCGCCGGCAAGGTGACCAAAAATTTTATTACCCTTTTTTTCATAGCCTCGGCCTGGGGATGTACCCAATTTCAGTTTCCCAATCGGTAAAATGAATTTTGGGGCGGAAAAATTGCATTTCAATCAGTCACATTGTGCTCATTATTTCCCCGGCAGGCTGATAAAGATCCCCAAATATTCCCCTTGGAAAGCGCGTGCCGAAATTTCCGCTATTTCACGGAAAAATCGCAGCGTCACGTTTGGGTTGTTGTTTTCCACGAACGAACAATTGCTACTTCCAAATATCTGCAATTATCATTGCGTAACAAATCCAAAGTACAATGAAAAATCTAAATAGCTTTTGGCATGAAACCGCGTGAGGTGCTCAATTATTAATTGGCATCTGAACAGACCTTTACCGATTTAATGACTTGTTGCATACTAAGGCACCAGTAGCTTTTGTAATTCATGAATTTGTGAAATCAGTTTTTCGGGAAAATAAGGCGGGTCGTCGCAGCAAAATTCTCGTCGAAAAAAGAGTGCAGTCGGGGCATCAAATCTCCAGCTTCGGCAGCCGTCGCAACGCGATGATGGGCGATTCCGGGGAGCGCCGATCCTCCGTTATTTTCCCGACCAACTGATAGCTTTTTTAACGTAGGGAATTTATACAGCAACTAACTGAGTACAACGCAAAAAAAAATAAAAAAATGTAACCAAAAAATTTCTTTATGGTCAAGAAGAAGAACAAAAAAGCCTCTCATTGGATAAAAAGTGGCACAGCGATAAAACGCAAAGTAAAGACTACATGTGTAAATAAATTCATAACGGACTAGCCATGGCCGGTACAGCCGAGACCAAATTAAATTACACTTTGACGGTAAGTTGTAGTATATTACTTATAACAACAAAAATGAAGGTGTGCCCGACGGACGATGTATGTACAATATTGAGGCAAAAACGTTATTGTGCAGGTAGTGCATGAACTTATGCCGTTCATTATCGTATGTGGTAAAACGGACTTTAAATACTCAGACTATGGCCGATGCATCTCAACAACAAGACATAGGACCGTAAGTTTTAGCAAGTGAGATGCCCAAACTGCGACGCTCATACGTTGATGATACATGGCACAATTTAGATTAATTTTCCTCGAGGATCAAGTCAGATTTCTGGCTCTTATTCCTACTGGACATATCGCGGTCCTGAATTCCGTGAAAAATTTTGGAGAAAAATGATTTGTCGCTGCGAAAAATGGGAATCGCGCGCGGCGAGATTCCAAGGGGCAACAAATCAACATTATTTTCCCGACAGACTGATGATGCAAAAAACCAATCGAAATTCCCAAAGACGTCGCCAAAAACCGTTTCTCTCCGACCGGTCCTCCCATTTTGCGGTCTTTCGACAAAGATCTACGGATTTACCTCTGAAAACTCGAGTTTAAGAGACGAAAGGCGAGTTTAACGACAATCTGAACATCAAATTCAGCACGTGTTCCATTTGAAAACGTGTTTAAAATAGGAGCCTACAAATGAGCTACCAGTTCCGTAACTCAATTAAGCAAGGAATTGTTGGAGATTACAGCGTCAAAACTTTATGAATTATTTACAGCAAGCTTGTCCATATATGGAAGAGATTATATCGAAGTTAGAAAGAAGGAGAAAAACATCAACTGATAGAATGTACGTTTTGCACCGGGCGCGTGAAAAGTTTTGTGAAAAAGTTTCATAAAACTAATTGTGTAAAATAACAGTATAATTTATACATAATCACTTGTTTAAATCAAAGTATAGGGCCGTATTATAATATATAAAAACTTAATTACATGGAACTCCGTTTTCACGGCCCTGAGTACCATTGTACGGTCGTCATAACCAAAATTATATGTGTGTTGGATATGGTAGTAAAGTGCAATTGGCCAAGAAAATGGCCGAAGATCTTGAGATATTTTTCGCCGCAAACAACTTTAGTTGATTCGTTAACTACCGGTGTAATCGAAAATCTTGCTGAAATCCCTTCTCCCCTCAAACGGTAATAAATAGTTTCGTGCGGAATTGAATTTGAAGCAAGAGTTTCAAACATACATTTAAGCCACCTGTAAGTTTACCATAAAACCAATTACATAATGGTTTCGGTTGACTGTAATAACAATCGAACCAAAAACGACTATGAAGCTAATAGAATTTTTAGGCTCTATGTGGCTGCCGACTTGAGACGTATGAAGTATTTGTACAAAATCTACGAAACCAAAGTACACTCTTAGTACATCAGCCGTTCTAATAGATGACAACTACGAGCACCGTAAGCCCTTGCGGAACTTCCAACGCTTGTTTCGGGAGGTTTTTCCACCTGTTGCGTCTCCTCATAAACTAGTGTCCGATTTCATAAAAACGCAGAAATTGGTCTTCAATGTGTCGTGCAATCCAAGAACTATACTAGTTTTTTTCGCTGATATCAGTCTGTCGGGAAAATAATGAGCGCGCCAATCGCGTCGCTGAAGTGAAAATCAACTTGATTTTGCCACGACACAATTCATTTTCTCGGCGGTAATGCGATTTTTGATGCGACAGAATGAGTTCAAGTATTAATGTATAATACAAAGCGCCTACAATTTAGTATACCACATACAAACATGTCTTTTGAGCTGTAAAAAAGCATCTTGGGACCGGGCGACTAATTCTTTGAGGGTACAAAAAAGTTTTTGGAAGTGAAATACGGTCTTGAAGGCAGCACATCAGCTGTGAGGCCAAACCCTGCCTAAAGCGGAAGCAGAAAACGATCCAACGGCAAAATTCATAGGGCTGTCTGTTTAAAAGTAGTTACTACTTTGTTCGCAGAGTATCTGTGATCATTTCGGCGACATGCACCGCAAAAAATTCAGGGTCGAGCAACACTCAAAAAAGCCCTTACTGCACTGCGAAAACGCCACAAAAACAGTGCAAAGTGCGCTTTTGTTTTCTCACAATGCATGTCGCAGAGATCATCTGGCGAATTGTAGGACAGGTGTCAAAATTTCGCCACTTTTTTTATTTTGCCAATACGTCACAATAGACAAAGAGAAAATAATTCCAAGAAAAACATTTTCCCATCAAAAAACCCACAAAAAATTTTACGTCACAAAATTTTGTTGTGACATTCCGTTTCACTTCAATCGATACTGGATGGACGGATCGCTACAAGCGAAGCGGGAGGCTCCCTGGATTGCCGATTCTTTCACGACCGCCAATTCCCATCGGCCACCTTCTACGAACAACCGCAGCATAATATTAATATGTATTAATATTAATACGTATTTTTAAAAAAATCTGAAGTATCATATTATTCAACCTCCCACGTAACCCTGCTTCGGGGCAAATAAAGCAAAATGAGAAATGTTTAATTTATCTTGAAAGTACACTCATTTCGAACCCGTGCAAATGAGAAATGACGCAGTTTTACTTTTGGCTCTTCGTCTCCATCCAAATTTGTTGCAGCGCGTTGAAGTTGTTTTCGGGCGTGTTTTCCACGAAAATGTTTTGGTTCAAAACATTGACGATTGCAACTTCTTTTGTGTCCTGTGGCTTCACCGACTTCCTAAAACGAGAAATTCCCAATTCCAGCTGCGGAATATTCAAAGAGCATGCGCAGAGCACGATCGCAAACCACCTTCTCACCTCACGTAATGATTAACGTCATGCGTGAGCGCTGTCAGCGAGGACAATGTGAACATGAAGGCGAGGAGGACAAGATATACCCCAAACACTGGCCTGTTCGGCGTATGGCCATGGTAGTCGCCAACGTAGCTGGCAATGATGACAATGTTTGTGATGGTAAAGTCGATAAACACAAGTATAAACCATTTTTCGAGCTGATTCAACAGCCGAATGTTCCGTGAAATCTGAAGAAAACAAGCTCAGGGGTTTCGAAATCCAAATACAACCGTTCCTGGCTTCAAACTCACCTTGAATTGCGTTGACAACCCGGCAAACCGCATCGTGTGATAGTAATAGATGTTTGTGCGCTTCAACAAGAAAAAACCCTGAAAATGTACACGAGTCTAGTTAATTCAGCCCAGAGAGTACATGATATAAAAATACTTCGTATCTTCGAGAGTTTTGCGTAAAAGAAATTGATTTTCTACGCGCATGACAGACCACTCACCGCTATAGAAAAGGACGAAAGAATCACGGTAGATGGCACCAGAATCTCGTTCGTTGTGCCAGGATAAAAATCCGCTAGAAACAGACGTTTCGCTTTCTGCAATGTTTACTTACGTATTTTATCGATGATGGTCCCAAAAAGGCACAAGAAATGCTGAAATTACTGGTTCTATAGGCCCTAATTTCAAAGCAATTGATTTTCTTTAAATTTTGCATACGCCACGAATCAATTCTTTAAACTTTTGGCTCGTGCTTTCCAGAGGAAGCCGATATATTGATTGATCTTTACCGCCGAGGGATTATGTGAAACGTGGAGAGCGATCAGAGAGAAATACAATTAGTTCCTATCTTTGCCAGTTTCAAAAAATAGATTTTTTGTGGAAGCATTACCTCCTACGCTAGTAGGCATGACTTGTCGCATCGAAATTGGTGTAAAAGTGAGACATTCTGTCCAACTTTCGGCCTAAAATTCGCGGCCTTTTTCCGCAAAGCGTGACCTAGGGGACTCGCATATGTCTTAGAAAAAACTTATTCTAAGCTGTGTGACAATAAACTTCTGTGAAAAACTTTGTCTTACACAGGAAACTAGCAGTGTAATCCTCCACTTCCGCTCCATGGTCCCATGCTTATCGCTGATCAAAACGGTCCCGATGAACCGCTCAAACGACACAAATGTCAGCCAATAGAGAATCCACATAAGCGAGAAACATCGGACTCGCTTCAATGTTTCCGACGTGATGTAATTCAGAAACGCTTGGTACTCATCAAACAACAGAATGGTCCTTGTGACACCATATGTAATCGAGTACACATCACTTAAGCAGAAGATGATCCGCAGGTTGGCGGTTTCGAGTTTATGACAATGCTTAAGGCGGAAGAAATGCCGGACTGAGAGCACCGCATTTACTGATAACACCAACACTTCTGCCACATTTTCGAATACAATAATAAGCTCTAGACTATCTATTGTCATCTGAAATGAGCGTTAACTGATGAATAACATCTAAATTGGAGTTAAAAAAAATTGTAAAAGGGAAAAACGGCAGTAATGTATGGTTAAAGAATGGAACAAAAGTTGAACATGGCTTTAATAACTAATTAGCAGTTCTGCCGTAAATAATGTCTGGGTTGACATACCAATTCAGCAGCTATATTATACTAAACGCAACAGAAAATCGGGCATGTTTTTAAGGCTTTATGGACATTGAATTAGATAGCAGGAAACACGGTAAAAAAGGACGGAGGTAATAAGCAGCAGGCATTTAAATTTTCCTCCGCAGATGTACTAAACTCCCTGGTCCATTTAAGTTCACGAATCTGTTGAATTCATCGACCGCTTTCAAAGTTCTGAGAGTTAAAAAAATGGTTTTTGATCACTTGAAAATGCCTGGTTAACATTGTTGTAACCTAAACCTCCATGATATTACCATGGAGCAAGGAGCTCCCTTAAATATTCTTCACAAAAAAACGACAAAAATTTAGAAAAATCACGTTTTCTTCAAACCTTCAGAATAATTTCCGTATCTTACAAATACGATTCAAGATATTGTACCAACTGAAACTTCTCTTAAAAAAGCGAAAAACAAAAGCCAACCAGTTATTGTGCAGACATATTTAGCGGTCCCACAAATCAAATTTTGATAAAACTTGGAAAAGGTTGGACTAATCTTTTCAAACAATAAAGCATGCCAGATTCCTAGAACAACATTTTAAAATTTACAAACAAAAAACAAGTAGTTTTTCGCATGAATTGTAGATAAACAGCCAAAAAATGTTTGCTAAAATTTCGTGAAATTGAATGACATAGGCTCGACGTGCCCACAAAAGTTAAAGTGTTTCCCTTTGGACACTTAATCCGCTTAGTCATCAGAAACATAAACTTAGTTCGAATGAGCAAATAATCAATTTTACATTTAATCGAATTTCAGCATTTTCGCGACAACGTCTTTGAACCCGTAAACTACATGCATTCAATAATGTCATTGCACAGAATATAATTTGAGCGCAACTAAACATCATAAATTTCATCAAAAAATATAGCAATTGAAGTTACGTTCAATAATAAATAATAATAATAATAATAATAGCCTTCTGGGAAATGTATAAGTCATGAATGGCGTAGGCAAACGCAGTTTTAAGCCGAAAGATTGGATGAGCTTGACAAGCACGCAGTCCACGCGCGCGCTCAGTTCTTAACAACGCGTGGACTTTGCGCACGCGTTGATAAGCTTGTATGTAGAGATTGCCACGGGCAAAATTTCGGCTCCGGCTCCGGCTCCCATGCAAAACCTTTTTAAAAAAATATTCTTCCAAAAAGTTATTAGTGCCGGAGATGACACGCCCAACGTTAATGTGCCAAGTCGTAAATACGCAACACATCCTACCCAAATTTTTTAAAGCAGTTGGTTTAACAAGGTCACGAAATTTTTACTTTTCTGAACGATGAGAAGCCTGGTTCCGACTTTAGGCTCGGGAGCCGGGCCTAAATTTCCGGCTCCAGGTCCGGCTCCCGGCTCGGAACCGGAGATGCTCAGAGCCGAAGACAAGAGCCGGCTCCGGAGCCGTGGTAATCTCTGCTTGCGGGCAATCACTTTGCGGGCAGCTAGAAGAACGGCAGAGATCCTGCGGGCTCGTTTGGAAATCAGCTAACGTTTGCTTACAGCATGAAGTTTAAACGATGTATTCATCTCATATTCACGGCCTCTGCTATAAGCGCATGCACGTGGAATTTTGGCCAAAATTCCATTTTTTTCGACCAAACCAAAAAACGGTAGATCTTGCGAAGCATTAACGAAATCTCTCAAAAAATTGTACAAAAAATTTGCCAATTATCATTACCTTTTTCTCTGTGTCATTCTACCATTAAAGCCACAAAAAAAATCCAGGCCTTGGCATCGTCACGCCCCAGAAATGGCAACTCCCTGGCTCCAATTTAATACTTGATTCGATAAAAAAATTAAGTTAGCTAGCTACGAAATTACTTAAAATAGTAATGCACCCAGGAAACAACAAGCCCTATAGTTATGTTAAGCACAAACAAAAAGAAACATCGTTCAGCCTACTAAGCCACCACACTGCCGTTATTGTTCTGAATAGCAATTCTGGCCTCGAGAAAGTAAATTATTGCAGAATACTCGTATTTTCAGTTTAACCGCCGATTTGAGCATCAAATATTTATACGGGACAGGTGTTGACAATTACAAGTCGCTGCTATTAATTTATTGGTGGCAGCTTTTCGCATTTCCTTCGATTTCATAATTTTGACAAGAGTTTTTCATGAATATTTTTGGAGAAGTGTTACATACAGTACATGTGTTCTTCACAGGCCATCCACATCATTGAAAATTTTGGTTTTGCAAGAGCTGCTATTAGGCGGGCCAAAAAGTCTTGACATGTTTTTGCACTGGGATTTTTGAAACAACAGGGCTTCCAGATCCATTTCAAAACTGCCATCAGACAGACTTTGACCCACACTGTCGGCCTGATCGCTCAAAGACCATTGACTGGTAAGAAAATTATTTTTATTGCGGGAATAATAAAAAAAATGAAAATTACTTGGGATTTTGATGACTAAAGATTGATTTAGAAGAGAGACGAAATGTCGCAAAATTATCGGCACTTTTTCTCGCCCGAAATAATTGCTTTTTCTCGAAAAGGAAGAAGAAAGGCAAGAAAATGCTTTTTGACATTTCGTTTTGAACGAATCGCCAAAACGGGGCGGGAATTTTTTTCTTCTATTTTGGATTGACGTGCGTCAGAATATCACTGTATACGAGCGAGAATAATCCCACCGAAGATCAATGGTTTATTCGGAAAGGGACCAAAGGTCAACCACAGTCAGCTTTCCCATCCTTTTCCGCACCTTCTACTTGGGGTTCTCCTCCACGACCTTGGCCAACTGCTCGGGAGTCATGTCGGGACAGCTCTCGTATCCGTTATCCTCCTCCTCGTCCTTCTTATCCTCTGGCGGAGGCGCGTCCTTCTTTCTCCTCATCGACTTAGGTGCGCCGGGCGCGGCGACTGGTGGTTTCTTGCTCTTCGCCGACTTCTCCTTGGCCGGTTTCTCTTCCTTCACCTCGGATTTTTCCTTTTCACTCTTCTGAAAATTTGAGGTTCAGGATTATGGGAAAATTTGGAGTGAAAAAAAAGTTTTTTTTTGAGGTTTTAACTAGATTTTAACAAGTCAGCTCACCTTTTTTTCGACCGTTGGAGTCTTCGCCGGGGCTGGCTGTGCAGCGGCTGATACAGGCTTCGCGGTAGATTTCTCCTGAAAAAAGCCGGTTAGATTGCAAAATCATGATTTTCTTGGAAGCACATCTGATTTTAGACTGAAACCCAAAAAATTATTATCAAATTACCTTCACATTACTCATAGCCGAGCTCTGGGATTGCGCGGGAGAGGGCATTGCCACACTTGCTCCCTTATTCTTCTTGCCGCACATGACCATACTCAGTCCGAGAACCCAAGACGCGGTCATGGCCAGACCCATAAATGGCCAGAAGTGTTGTGGTATTAGAGACTCCAACATTTCTGCAATACCCCCATATTAGTCACCTTAAAACATCAAATTAAAATTTTTGAATAATCCAAAAAAATTATGATTTTTGCCAAAACTTTCTTCCGAATGCGCTGAGGATATAAAATACCTGTTGCGGTTGATCCTTGGGGGAAAAATCAGTGCACCAAGAGAGCTTGGTGAATGGAGCCGGAGAGAACAAACCCGGCCGGTCAGTTGGATCGCTCTAGTCTGAATGGCCGATTCAGAAATTTGGGAAATTTCAAAAAAATTTTTTGTTCAGTATGCAAATTCTGGCAGTTTTAAGAATCCATTTTCTTGGGAAACGCTTTGTAAACCCTCAGGGAGCAAGTGTGGATAAAAAACAATAGGAAAATACGACTTACTGTACCAAAAAAAATTTTTTTGATAATTTTGATCACTATAAAAATTGAAAAAATAGTAAAGAATAAATTTGAAAAATTAGTACTAATTTCTGCCTAAAGACCAAACCAAATTTTAATGCCCTTACCGTTCCTCAACATCCACAGATGGTCTCAACAAGCTCTGACGAGCACACTTGCTTGGGTCTCACACGTTTTGCAAATTCTCCAATCGACGACAAAACTTTCGGTCGAAAAAAAACGACCGCTCAATGTTCTGAATGCCTTGTTTTTAGTGACAGATGGAAATGTTTAGGAAATTTTTGCTTTTATATCCTTCTTCAAAATCATTTTCCTTTCAATGTTTCCCATTTTTGTCTGTCGACCGGTCGTTTCCCAAAATTCGGTTTCCATATGAACCGCTATCTTCTAATTCTACTTCTGGCTTCCGACGTCCGAGCTGACTGGTTTTTGGGATGCGAAGATTTTGATCTGAGCACTTACAAGCGACCCGTTCACATCAACGGCCATCTTATTCTGCTTTTGCATTCGAATGATGATGATTTCGAGGTAAAGTTCATTGGGGCCCAGATTTTTCGGGTCGACGACAGTTCGGGTCAACACAAAATAGATTGATACGGAGCGTAGGACAGGTGGATACCCCAAAAAAGATTGCAGGAAATGCCTACCAGGCCTGGCAAAGCCGTTGGATCGGCGGACGACCGGAGAAGGCTCGGCGAAGACTTGGCAAAGACTTGCGATATTTCCACTTTTTAAATTTTAGCCATAATAATACTAACTTCAGTTTTTTGCCCTGGGTTATCGTAGCTTATAAAAGACCAAAATTTGCGGCAGAAAACAAAGTTACATGACTTTTATCTAGGAGTTAGACAAATGGTGAGGCTAAGCCTTCTCTTAGCCTCACCATGCATACAACGACGAACCAACACGATTCATAGTATCGTTGACCCGAACTGTCGCTGCCCCAAAAAGTCGTATAGCCAAGTTTATCGCTTTCTTGATGAAACTTGTCAGCTTATTGAGCAACTAATTTCCGCATTTATTTCTCTGTTTCAGACCATTTTCAGTGATGCTTTGCTCACTGAGATCGCCTGCAAGGCCTTGCAAGCCGACACCAACCAAACGGTTGGTCGTCGGATCTCAGCGGTTGACTTGAATGGTATCTGGAGCTTTGAGACCAACCACGAAAAGCCGGTGTTCACTCCGTTTAATGATGAAGATGGACGTTTCGGTGAGTTTTAATTTCCACCTTGCTTTTTTCTCGAAATTCGCTAATTTTTTTTATTTTCAGACTTGTATCTTGGGGCTGATGTCACAGAAAACTGCAGAAAAGTAGTGGAATTAGAAAGGAGATTGTCTGGCGCCATCGATCTCACCGATCGACTACTGAAACATGTGATTTACACTCAAAAACCAGAGGAAAATTGCAGGTTGGACGAGCTGATTACGGTAGGCAGACAAAAAAGTGCTATGACCGATGATTTGCAGGAAATTCGCGGCGTCTACAGGCCCCCTTTCACGACGCATCCAGAATTCGCCGTGGTCTTGCATCGGATGCGGCAAGAAAGGGAGGGACATGTAGACGACGACTCGCATGAAACGGTTGGAAAATGCCCAGAGGGGACCATGCTTTCAACATGTATTGCTGTTGACCTAGTGCCTGGAGTTAGCATGGTTTTGCGCACGTCTAATAGTAAGTCGGTGGAGTTCTACAGTGACGGACCTGATCCAATGGCAAAAAACGTACCATTTTGTGTCCGGGAAGCATGAAAAATGTGGGAAAATGCGATCAGGTCCCCCACTATAACAATTGGCAAACCTTAGATTTGAATTTCCGGCCAGCTTTTCTCAATTTTCAGAATTGAATAAGCGCTCACGTGCGGCAGATTTGGCGGCTCTACGACTTTTCGGGTCCTGCGACAGTTCGGGTCAACGATACTATGAATCGCGTCGGTCCGTAGTTGTATGCATGGGGAGGCTAGAAGGTTTAGTTAGCAGAAATAATAAGATTGATCGGGCCCAAGGATAGCTTATCACCTGTTTTGAGGTACTTTCCATGTGCTCACATCAATAATATCTCGATAAAAGCTACGGATCTTTGTTTTTTGCCGCAAATTTTGGCCTTTTATAAATTACGATAACCCATGGCAAAGAAAATTAACGTTAGTAATAGCTAAAATTAGAAAAAATGGATATATTGCAAGTCTCCTCCAAGTCTCCGCCGAGCCTTCGTCGAGCGTCCGCTGACCATCCAACGGCTTTGCCAGGCCTGATAGGCATTTCCTACAGCCTTTTTTTTGGGTATCCAACTGCCCTACGCTCCGTATCGATTGATTTTATGTTAACCCGAACTGTCGTCGACATAAAAAGTCGGGACGCGGATTTGGCCAATGAGCCAATAATTCATAAATGTCAGATTTTGAATCGGCGTGACATGTTCATATTTTCTTTTTTAGGCTCACACGCCGTAAACGAGTTCCTTTCTGAACTGAACAAGCTAAATGCAGAAGTTGAATATATCATCGATTATGCCGAGAACAATTTGCAACGGGTCTTGCCAATCAGCATGCACAGGAACTCGGATTTGACCGCATCCTTGGCGGTGTAAGTGTAAACGCCCTCCGAGTCACCTTTACTGGACTTTTTGAGTGGTTGAATACTTTCAGAACTGTCGTCAAGGAAGTTTTTTGCATCTTCTCGGGGATCGTCTTCTTGGCCAGTGCATGTTTACTGGCCCTCTCTGTGCCGCTCGCCCTTTCAATGAACCTCAACGAATCGATGGTTTTGGGTAAGGGATACGCCTAAAACTTGAGTAAATTTGACCAGACATCAACACACGCCGGTTCCACGAGACTGCAAATCAAGGGAATCGAAATGCAATTGCCCAACAAGGAGGAAATCAGCAAAATAATGGGGAAGAGAGGCCTGAAAATGGACAGAATCAGCAGCCAGTTGCAAATGCAGAAAATCCAGTTGGAAATGTGAACGCAGAATAAAAAGTTGTTGTAAACAGTGGAAGTTTTCCCTGCGAAAACATTGCAGGTTATGCACGTGTACATATACTGATCGATAAAACTAACAAAGCGTGTAGTTTACTCGGTGTTTATAATAACAAATTTTTGGAGGCCTCTGAACGATTGCAGCGTTTGATTCCGCATCAACAGAAACTATAACCCATCAAACAAATTAGGAAGTGAGCCGATCAAATGCCTCCAAAGAATGAAGTGTAACGGTTCAAAAAAATAATTTTCGAAAGCAGACACACCGAGCACACACTACATAAGACGACGTATAACTTGGTTTGTTCCTTGTGGCGAGATAAACTCCGACATTATAAACCGATCAACGCAAACGTTGGTCATAAGGAAACTGGGGCAACTAGCATTAAAAGATGACTTCATATCTCCGATATTGAACGGTGGCACAAACTATGCTTATCGTTAAAAAAGATATAAATTCCTTAGAATTGCACAGGGAAACTGCTTAAAATATCGCTGGGATTTGAAAGGCTCTAGGCACAAATTTAGGTTGATTCTTCACAATCAACATGCGCACTTCCTAGGCCCTCGTTTTGCATAAATTTTTGGCCCAAAAAATGATCCAAGTACGAGATTTTCTGAAAAATTTTATCATGAAAAATTTTGCATTTTTTCCCAACATGGAGGGCAATTTTTCTACAAAAAAATAGTTTTTTTTGTTGTAGGGTATGGCCAAAAAGCGTTTTTCTCTCTAACCGCTCTCCGCATTTCGTTGGTGGGAAATCTCAGCTACCCGTGCAAAGCACTAGCTAAAATTTCTCGGAATTAGCATGCGACATTGGGATAACGCTTGTACAGAATTTAAATAAAATGTGAGATTTCTGACAGTTCTCTTGTCAGTTAACGCCTTGCGCCTCCGTGGATAACTCAACGATATATCGTTGGATTATCTAGACGGTACACGTCAAACTGAGGAGTCCGGTGACCGGAATAGACTCTTCGCTATCGGTTTTTTACACTTCGTCTTGATTTCGCAGAGAAAGAGAGAAAAAACACACGCAAAAACGTACTCTCTCTCGCCCCAAAAATTCCCCACTTCTTCCCCGACAAAACGTTTTTTCGCGTTTTTTTTTTTGCAAATTGCCAATCTGTCCACCGGATTGTTTTAGCTTATCTCAGTTTGACGTGCGGTATCGCGATACTGTCTGGTACGACAAATCGGGATGTTTGGCCACAACTTCTACAACTGCGACTCAAAATCTTTTAGACATAGTCTTGTCAATTTTGCTCTTCCTTTGTGCCACTCTAAATAACCATCAACAGACAATCAAAACCTTAACATTGGACCCCAATGCTCTCAAGTGATGACTGAATTAAAAATTGTTTTACTTGATTAAGACATTTAAAACCATCCGTCTTCCTAAGCCGGTCATAATACACCCGAATTAAATTGTCTTGAAACTACGATCGCATCACCACGGTTGTGGTTCGAATCGAGCCTTCATTCGAACCACTTCTACGTGATAAGAGCACAGCGAGAAGCTCGCTTATAAGGAGGCTGTCTCAAGGTATACTCATTTGATATTAGAGAATATTGACTTTCAAGGTTAATACTAGACGAGCTTGAGAGTCTTCACATGTTTTACACGGTCGTCGCGTAATAAATTTGCGCGACAAATAGTCGGCATGGTGAGCGTAAGAACGCACTGTGCATTTTTCGCATGACATGAGCTTTTTTGCCGTTTTCAAAAGCATTCGTTTTGCATTGCGCGTTGTCGGGCACCATGAATTTCAATCGTCGCCGTGCGACAAGTTTTTTGCGCGACGGCGCACAGTGAAGGCATTTTTTTGGGTTAAGAAGTGCCAAGACTTTTTTGTCCACCTAGTACTTTGCGCTTGCAATTTTTCATGTTTCGACATACGACTACGTCCACTTAAAAATACGAAAAACCCCGTAGACGTAGTTTTGCAGTCCGAAGTTTTGCTAGGCAAAAAATCGGAAATTTGTAATGAATTTGTCTTCCATACCCTATATAATTAGCCGCTGTTTTCGCCACATCAAATTCATTCTTGACCTATCCTCTCTATAAGTCATTCCATTAAAAGATAAGCAGCCTTGAGTTGTTTGGTCTGTTTGCAAGTGTTTTCAAAAACAACCGTGTAAAACTGTCTACTGAATCAGTCGTTTTTCCGCGCATGTTCCGTTTTCTCTTCCTCCTTGTACTTGCTGTTGTAAAGTAATTCGATTAGTCTCCACATTGTGAAGATGATCGTTTAATTGGGTTTAAAAAAGAAGAATTATTGGGAAGAGTATGAAATTGGAGAGCTAAGCAAGAAGCTCTCTCGCTCGACTAACTGATAATTTTTAGAAAGTTCTGGCAAAATCGAAACTGTCAAAGAGCTGCGATGTTCATAGAACTTTTAAATAGAATCGAATTTCGCGTTTTGTTTTTTACGGGATTATATTGCTGTTTGAGACACAAATATTGGATAATTTCAGATTCAGAATGGTGTTTCTTATCATCGTCACCTTTATCGTTGCGCTCATCGCAACCTACAATTTTTACTGGAAGCGAAGAAACCTGCCTCCAGGCCCCACTCCAGTCCCAATACTCGGAAATATGATTGAGCTGCAGCGATCCACTCACTGGCCCGACGTTTTCATGCAATGGTCAAAGAAGTACGGCAGCATCTTCACCTACTGGATGGGCGAGGTCCCCATTATCGCTATCACCGACTACAAAACCATTCACAAGGTGTTTATCAAGGACGGCGAGTCCTTCAACGACCGTTTCACGCTCGGAACATTGGATCAAATGTGCCGTGGAGGGGAATTCGGATTGATCTTTGCTTCATGGAAGTGGGCCCGAGATCACAGGAGATTCGGGTTGAGGGTGTTCAGAGATTTTGGAGTGGGAAAAAATCAAATGCAGGAGAATGTAAGGGAATTACAAAGTACTAAAATTTGACAGAAGTAGTACTCCAAGGGTTAAGAACTTTGATAAAACTTGACACAAGTTTATCAATTTTTTTGGAGTACTTCCTTTGTAATGTGCTAAAAATTCGGCGCCTGAACCATAAACATGCGTTGATTGCAGATTCTGGACGAGACTGTAACTCTCCTGGAGAACATTGAAGCCGCACGAAAAGTCAACGAGGAGTTTGATCTGTTCCCATTCTCCGACATTGCCGTTGGCTCCATCATCAACAACCTTTTGTTCGGCTACCGATTCACTCAGAACGTAAGCTCTTTCGTAACTTTCCATCAAGAAAATCTCTCCTTTAGAACAAGGAGGACGAATTCCACCGGATGAAGGTGCATCTCCACGACTGGATGACACTGTTCAACAGCCCGTTGACTCGCGTTTGGATTGCCGCTGGATTTGTCCATAAACTCCCATTCTTTAAAACCCATTGCCAAAAGTTGATCGACGTTTACACCAACATCTTCAAGGACATGGACAGGAACATTGCCGAGCACAAGGAGCGGCTTCACGCCGATGGTCACACCGAAGCCCGCGACTATGTGGACGCCTACCTGATGGAGGTGGAGAAGATGGAGGCCAGAGGCGAGGACACCAGCCTCTTCACCGACGTCCAGTTGAAGAACATGGCGTTCGACTTCTGGCTGGCCGGCCAAGAAACCACCAGCACAACGATCACGTGGGGAATCGCGTACTTGATCCACAATGTGCACGTTCAAGAGAAGGCCTTCGAAGAGTTGGATCGGGTCATCGGAAGCGACCGATTGATCACCATGGCCGACAAAAACGACTTGCCTTACATGAGCAGTCTGGTTAATGTAAGTTTTTATAACTTTAAATAATTCCGTTTTGCTGTAAAGACCCTCAGATCCATCTGTAGATCTAGTCGATCTTTTAAACATTGCTTGATTTAATTAGCAATCAACTATAATAACAAATTTCAGGAAGTTCAACGAAGAGCCAACTTGGTTGCCGAAAATGTCTTGAGAACCGCGTCTGCTGACTACAATCTCAACGGCTATGAAATTAAGAAAGGACAAATTTGCATTGCACAAGTCTCCGCCATGATGGAGGACCCTGATATCTTCGAAGACCCTAAGGCATTCAAACCGGAGAGATTTTTGGATGAGAATGGACAGGTCAAAAAATGCGACGAACTCATTCCATTCGGAGTGGGAAAACGGTCATGTCTGGGAGAAGCGCTAGCCCGAATGGAACTGTTCCTATTTATCGCCAACTTGATGAACCGATATAAGGTAGGTTCAGTGATAACAAAAGGAAAAAACTGTCGACTTTGTAGTTGATTTTAACTTTGAAATTTCAGTTCCTCCCCGGAAAAGAGCTGCCAATCCTCCAGAAATGGCCCACTCCATCCAGCACACTGATAAAGCCCTATCAATGCAGAGTCATCAGAAGAGAGATCAAATCATAGGCCTAAATTATTAGTTAGTTGCCCGTATTTGCTTTACTTTTATTCCTACTGTACAATAAACTATAAGATTATCAATTTTGGTGTGCTGAAACATTTTAAAAGTGAAAAAAGTAGTAAATAGAACAAAGGAGTAAATGCAACATTTTGTGGGAGCATTTTACAACACCGGTCAAAGTTTTTAGGTCATCAAAATCGAGTTGTTTGCGAGTCGCATGACGAAGCAAATTGACTACAAAGATAATATAATTTACCATGGTTTAATAAGTTATATTATACAATATGCTACGTTCTTTGGTGTAAATGATGTCAGTAAAGAAAGGAAATGTATTTTGATCGACTCTATTCAGTTTCCACACCCTCTTGCACTAGTATGCTTGCAAACAAACGGCAACTTTGAGGCCTGATGTTCGCTTTGGTTCTCAACAATCTTATAAAATCCGGACATTTTAAGGTTGAATTTAAAATGATTTTTTATCATGGCATACCAAATGAGCTCAAATCTAATCGCTAAAAACACATGTTTTGTGGCAACGAATAAAGATTGAGTAAAAAATTGGATCTTCCCCTCTTCCCCATTTTTCGTAAATTCTAATAATTTAATTAATAAGATATACTTTACATATATAGTATTTATACCTTATGTATAGTATTTATTATATTACATATTATATGATAGCCGTTTCAAAGCTTTGCGGGTTCGTCTCGAACGGCCTTATCGCCCATGCGGATTTCATATTGCTTATTTAGGAAGTCCAGCCAGTCCTGTGGGTAGATGTTTGGGATTGGTCCTAAAATCGACACATAAATACTATTGTAATCGAGATCTTCGAGGCAGACGATAAATGCAACTTACTGTCGTCCACATCGATGACGCCGTATTCCGCGGCCAGCACAGCGTTAGGAATGATCTTTCCGGTCTTTGAGAGAAGGTTAGCATCTTGTAGAAGCCTCACAATAATCCGACCAGTAAGATAAATAGACTCTCCGATGGAGAACAGGTCTTTCTGCGCTTTATTCTCGTTTTCTTTGGTTAGAACGACATCGCTGATCGTCTCAGTCTTGATTGGACCGGGATGCAGCGAAATTACGGTGACATTGTCTTCCAGCAAGTCAATAGCCATGTCACTGGACATTTTGTCTAGCTGAAATAAACCTTCATTATATTGAAAAAATGATGGCCGCGACAATGAAGTCAGCTCAACATTAAAACGAAACTTACTCCAGCCTTGGTGATACTGTATGACACATCGAACAGCTGGATCAACCCTCCAATCGATGACATGTTGATAATGACCCCTCTCTTTCGTTTAGCCATCATTTTAGCCGCATATGTAGCGCAAATGTAGGCATTCCGTAGTCCAACGTTTACCGAGAGATCAAACACATTTTCTGGTCTTTGTTTGTAGTCGTAGAACTTAACCAGCGAATTTTTCATAATGAACTCTACCGCCGAGTAAGCATTGTTGATGAGGATGTCAAGCTGGCCATTGTTCTCCCGGCTGATCCGCTGGAAGAGCCGTTCAACTTGTTCGGGGTCACTGTGATCGCAGTAGGCAATTACGCATTTTCCGCCGCGTGAATTGACCTGAAAGAGCCATAGTAAAATGTGTTTAACATATGAAACCGGTTCAGGCCTTAATGCAGCAGCAACTGTTTGGTCAAAAAGAAACGTCGATAGACGGTCGAATTTGAGTTCCAACTTACAGGGGAAGTACCCAAAGTGCGACACTCAGATTTTGATGAAGCTTGGCATAAATGTAGCATATTTTTTTCCAATACATGCGAGAGTCCTAGCTTTGCAGAAACAACTGAGATTTTTAGATCAAAAATTGGCCAAAATTCGACACTTTTTGTCGAATTTCGGCACGAAAAGTTTCGTGCCGATTTCTACCATAGAGGGTACCGTTTCCACAAAAAATCAATTTTTTTCCGGACGAAACTAAAAAAGTTATGCTCAAAAAAGTGTTTTTCTCTCTGACCGCTCTCCGCGTTTAGCGTACCCTCTCGGCGGCAAAGATTGTTCAATATCTCGGCGGCGCTTGCAAAGCGCGAGCTAACACTTTCAGAAATTGATATTTAGTCCATACCCAACGTGTATGCAAAATTTAAAGAAAATTTGAGCGTCGCACTTGGGGTACTTCCCTCTTGTGGCATTACCGAATTAGGATCTTACCTCCTTGGCCACGTCCACAATATCTCCACCGTCCTTTCTGTTCTGCCCGCGGCTTACTGGACGACAAGTTATGTAGACCAAGGCTCCGGCAGCGGCCAATTCCACGGCCGTTCCCCTTCCAACCCCTCGTGAGGCCCCCGTGACCAACGCCACTTGACCCTCCAGCGGGCGTTGCGGTAATTTGTCAGCTTGCCAGTTTGTCATCTTCTTCGATTCCTCGCAGAAATGGTTCGCAACTTCTGTTTATAAGGAAAAATTTTAGTTTACACCGAAATCGCATTCAGAGAACGAGAAAACATTACGAAAACAATTGCCTACGTGGGCAATAGCCCTACGGTATTACACATTCAGAACTTGGCGATCCCCTGATTGAAAATTGTGGTGTAAAAAAACACGGGCCGTATAATCGAGAAGCGTATATTTTTAACGGAAGGAAGCTCTGCAAGGTTGCTTTTGCAAGGGTTTTTTACAACTATTCTAAAATTATGTGCAGCTAAAAATATAGCTAACAGAAGAAGGAATGTGCTAGCGTAGTTGAAGCGATTTCATGACCAATATATACTCGATGTGACGTTGCGCCGCAAATAGAATTTTTAATTTCTCTTGATTTCTTGAGACCAATTTTGTTCGCCAGAAAAATTTCCCAGAAGAATCTTGATATCTAAAATAAATATTGTCGTCAATCGATTTTGTGTGTACGAAGCGTCTATTCAGGGTCAGTAAATGACGTGCAAAGTAACCTTTATCTCTTGGAAGGGTGTGGCAAAAATAGAGCTCAAGGTGGACAGCGTTTTTTTATAAAAAATCAATTCTCTATTAGCCTAGCCGGCCATCCTCAATGTTCTCACACTTCACATGACTTAGTATTTCCGAAGCGGCAGTAATGCGCAAGTCACAATTTTAAAGGACTATCCTCTATTCAACATTAGAGTAACATATCGTACAGTGAGTATTTTGCTTCCAATCTAGGCTTCCCTTTCAGTAATAGAAGGTCTCTACCTCACAAGATTTTTTTGTCACGCCAAGTACTACCGTAGCCTCTCCGACTATTTATATACGAACGGTTAAGCTTGGAAGTTCAACTCGCACTACAATCATCAGACTCAAATTCTTTACAAGTGACGAGAATGCCCTTTAAATATTGTGTCTAGAACACGCCATAATTGTAATTTGTGGAATTGATCCGTTTTTTGTATGCGAATGGTTCGATTACATCTCCTACCTCCATCAGCTTCACGGTGGTCTTGTCTGGAAAAAGGCAAAGAACCCCACTCCTTGTTTGCACTTTTAACCTATGTATTAAGGTGAAAAGAAGTCTTGAAAAAACATCTGCAGTAATCAGACCGCGTTCCTGGTCACCGTATGTAACATTCAGCTGGCTAGAAATTTGTAGTTCGTGTGGGCTGAAGTTGAGTGATTGACGGATTGTCGATACCGTAACTTACACCCAGAGTGGTCTAACTTGATACAATGTGTAAGTTGTAACATGTAACCGGCTCAAGTCGACTGATAAGGACAAATAAGCCGATCCTAGCGACGTGGAGGGCCAACAACTTGAACTAAGCTCCGGCTGCACCAACAAAAAAAGATTTTTTATACATACGTATGATACATTCGGAGGACCAAAAATGTGAAATACGTTATCTACATACGCTAAATCTAAATTACTGACAAAAGTATTTGGCAATTTCAATTGCCGCGGAAATATTAACAGGGGAGAACCCCCAAGTGCGACGCTTATTTTAATGATACGTGGGACCAATTTCAAGCTATTTTTTTCCAATACATATGCGAAATTCCCAGCTAGCGCCTTGCAGAAACGATGACTTTCAAATACCCGCCTGCCAAAAAAAATTTCCGTTGACCGTAAAGGCTCATCCGACTGAAGAAGACGCCAAGTATTTAAGAACGATGACTGCTTTTAATCCTATTTCTTAGCTTATATAAATAGCCAATTACAAAAAACAAATGCTTGTTGCTTGCTGCTGTAGTCCGTTGATGAGCTTGAACTTGTACGCACGGTGCGCTTAAGCCCAATCAAATTAGCGGCTTGTGTAGCCACCAAAATAGCACAAAGATTCGGCGACTGATTTGAGAACGGCTAATCGCCTTATTGTCTGGAGTTTGTCCCCAATGTTTGTCTTGATATGAAAAGTTGAACCGATTGATTAGAGGAATGCTTCAAAAGGTCAAAGAAAAACGAACTCTTTAAAACGAGAGGGCTTGTTTGTGACTTGTAGCGGAAAATCAATAGTGTGACTCCTTCAGGAAACTCTCAAATCCCTTTTACAAGACACAGTTTTTTGCATGAAGTGAATCGGGGTTAACAAAAAAAGAGTGTAAAATTTTTGAGAAAAACTCCTTTTTCGCAGAAACGCTGTGTTCTCCGGGAACCCAAAATAAAGAAAAAAATGTCTTCTACCCACCTTGGAGTTCGTAACAAACGAAGTGTCACAATTGAAAAATGAAATAATAATTTTAAAATAATTTCTTTCCGAGCAATACATACAAGGATGGTGACATACAAATCAAATCGGGTTTCGTGGCCTGAAACCGCCATTTCTTGTCTGTTAGGCTTCTAGACATGAAATGCATAATTCTTGTCTCAAATTGCGTAACATTGCGCAAATTTCTGCTCTCTCCCCGTGAAGATTTTTTTCTTTTTTTCTCTGCTCAGACAAGAATTGCGCATTTCTTGGCCTAACAGACAAGAAATCGCGGTTTCTGGCCACGAAACCCGATTTGATTTGTATGCCACTATCCTTATATTATAATACTTTTTTATCGAAAATTGCGAACTTTACGGGACTTCCCTACAGGTGATTCCGAGGTCCTCCAGCTCCTCTAACAAGGCATCAATGGAACAATACACTCTAGATCTCTCTCCAAATGCCAACTCCCCGGATCTCCACTGATATATATATTGATGGCCGCTCGTACAATACAATACTAGATAAGAAAGACCAACTCCTCTTCACGGGTGCCTTGGACGACCGTCAACACGTTGTTCTTCTTCACCAACCTCCCTCTTCCTTCACCAATCCTCCAACTCTCCAAACTCCCGACTGCCCAACTTCTGACCGCCAATTGCCAACGATTCTCCTCTGTCCACATTTCACTCATACAGTAGACTGCCCGTTGTCGTTGCGAGACCAAACGTGGTCTGGGTGAGACTGTCTCCACTAAAAAACTCCACAAAAAATCGTGTTGTTACATTTCATCTGACTTCAATCGATACTTGGTGAGTGAATCGCCCAAACGATATGCGAGCTATGAGTCTCGTAGAAAGCACTGTAATTCTCCTATAAATTTGTTCCAATCGGTTCAAAACCATGATTAAATGCCTTTGTCTATAGACCAGTGCTGATGAAGCATTGTACATTATTTTTTCTTGCTCTCTCATTGTCAGAAGTTATGGCTCTGCGCTTCCTCAGAAGATAGACGGAGTTGATTTATAAGGTTACCGGGAAAATCCGCATCGAACTTTTACATGAGAAGCGCTGTTGAGAAATTCCAACAGGAACATTGATTGTTGGAGTTGAAACTTCCGTATACACGACAACCTGGCCGAGCTAGAATGAAGTGTACCGACGATTTTCGCAAACACAACGACCCGCTATGGAAGCATCTTATGCTGTTTAAACAATAGAGACCATTCTGATCCACGCCATGCTTTATGACGTGATTAGTATGAATAAATTGAAATTGACAGCGTTGTTGCAATTGAATGCAATTGAAACTCTTTGAGTTGGTTTTTCGTCGCAAATAAGGGGGCTGGGAAATCTTTTTTGAAATTCATACCTATTTCTGCCGTAAAGGGCAATGTTTCCACAAAACATCTATTTTTCCACATGAAACTAACAAAGTTATGGCCAAAAAGTTCTTTTCTTTTTGACCGCTCACCGCGTTTAGCGTCCTCTCTCGGCGGCAAAGATCCTTCAGTGTTGCGGCTGCGAGTGCAAAACGCGAGCTAAGAGTTGTAGTAATTGATGTCTAGTCTATGTGCGACGTGTTTGCCAAATTTAAAGAAAATATGAGCGTCAAACTTTACATCCCGTGTAAGCCTAAGCTTACGTTTCCTAGAAATGCAAAACATTCGCAGCATGAACTTTGTCCCTCCCATCCTCCAAAATTAAGCTCCTCATGCAGAAATCCTTCTATTTTTAGCAATTATCAGTACCAGCTTTCATTGTTCCTCTTTGTTTGCTGAACCCAAGCCCATTCCACTCGGCGAACCTTGGCATATCTTTCAGCAAACGGAAAATGATTTCGCCGCGGCTTATCAGCGCGATGTTTGGTTTCTTGCAGATAACTCGTGTTTATTGAGCATTTCAGTTCCCGGTTGAGGTGATACGCCAATTGTTTGTGGTGTTTTGGTGGGTCAAGCTTTTCGTCCTTTCGGATGACGACTTGTTTTTACATATATCGCTTTTCGGTTGTGTACTACGAGTTTGACCGTAAATAACGCTCCCGAATAGCTTCTATATTGTGTTGGTGTTACTGTAATGCACGTCAGCAAAATATTTCTTCTCGCTACAAACGGTTGTAGTTGTTGGGACAAAAATCTTATTCATGCTGTAGAATGTAGGCCCAATTTTTTAAGAAATGTGCATAATATTGGATTCTAAACAGTATTTTCTGTTATTGCCGATATTGTAGCCTACAGTTAACTTTGTGAAAACAGCCCTGGAACGTTTGGTATCTGTCGGAGAAATCTTTAGCAGTCATGTTCGAAGTTGTAAAAGGAAAATGGAGAAATGTTTTCTTTTTCTTGAAAAATAATCTTAATCTTGAAACTTTCAAGTCAACGTCATTGCTTGCGCTGACTCGTTAGTGACGTATTTTTTTATAATATCAAGACTAATAAGATAATTGCCTCGTTTGTGGCTAATTCCGCCGATACTAACCGGCTCTAGAAAACGTCATTTTCTCTGCGAGGTTGATGGGTAAAAGGGCGCCTGTATTTCGATGAAACCAGTCACAATTAGATACGTCTTGCTCCGCGGCCTAGCCGAAAATCGCGGCCCTGCCCTGGGTGATTGGCCTGGTGTTTGCTAATATCAAACAAGCCAGCGAAAAGCTTCAAAGAATTTAGTAAAAACAAAAAAAAATTTATTTAACCCACCATATTTTTGCCATCATCACTTTATTTACAAAGTATTTTGTCTGTATTTCTTCAGCTTTAATACTAAATACAATTTATCTTTTTACTAGAATGTTCAATTTACCAAGACGCCTCAAATTTGCTTCCTCTTTGGAGCCACGTGTAGCCACAAATCTACGATGCACTGCGACCTCTTGAAAGCTTTTTGCCCCGCCTGGCACAGCCGATAGTATTATACTCTTCTGCGAGCGTACCCACCAACAATAACCGCCTTATTTTAACGCAGAGGATAATGTTTCTTGAAAAAATGCAGAGAATAGCTGCGCAGTAAAGCGCAAGCCAAAATTTTCAAGAATTAGCTTGCGTCTACGAGTAAAATCTCGAACTTCGAACAAAACGAACCTCTATCTCGTTTATTTGCATTAATTCCCAAATTCGTTGATTTCTTGCTCGCAAAATGTTATGTATATAATTTGAAGATAGCGACCTGCGTGCGTCTTTTTTTGTGTAAACTTTAATGCTCCCCACAAAAGTCACGAGGATATTCCCTTCTTTTTGACCAATAGGCAATAGCATACATATTTCCGATAATTCCGTTTATCAGCCGCGATCATTTTCGGGCGATTTCACAGTAATTCCCACTTGCTCTTTCGAACTTTGCAATTTCTGAATGATGTAATTTGTAAACAAAGTTGTGCATAGTTATTTACTAAGTATCATAATATACGTATCACTATCTATTTATCATATGTGTAGGCATTTTTTGTCGCGGCCCGCATCGTGCACAGAAAAACCGCTATGTGCGGAGGCGACAAACGTTCGTTCAAAATGCAGGGTGAGAAAGAAAACAAGCGTTCCCGCAGTTTATGAAAATATATTATAATAAATACTATAATTACAAACACGTGATTACATACAATTTCTCAAATGTATCTTCAGAATTTTAACATGTTTTTTGTGGCTTGATTCAAGAAGATTTTATTTTAGGTAGGGCCCTCATTCAAAAACGGAGGTCCTAAAAATGGCATACGCGTTTTACAAACACCTTACAAACAGCTACTGTAAGCTGAAAGCCAGTGGAATTTGAAAGCAACGCGAAAGATAAGAGGATCTTACAGCGGGTGTAATACGTAGATTAAAACGTACTAAGACGTTTGCCGTAATAGCGAAGTTTAGCTCGAATTATCTACATTATTTTTAGAGGAGTTCAACGTTTCATATCTTTGTCATATCTTCTTTTTTGATAGTCAATTATAATACTTTTCAACGGATAGAAAGACGTATGACAATTATTTCAAATGACAATTATTTCAAATTCATTTCTGCTTATGTGAGTGCACAAGTCGTATGTTTTGTAACAACATACATTTTGGCTCACTTGTAGTTACCGTGATTGTACCAGGTCATTGAGTCCGAAAAAAAATGGGCAGGATTAGCGGAAGGCCAATTAGTTTTGTTAAGACGGAAATGCCTTGTTTCGCACGCAAATTGGCCAAGAGTTTAGATTCGTAAAGTGAGACGAAACGTCTATAATACTGTAAAAGAAAGAAAGAGGTTAAAAAAGTTATGTTAAGTTTTGTATGGGCTTGCTTGAATTGTAGTAGATAGATTGGCAAAAACTGAGGTAGATTTATATATTAATATACATAGTTAAAGCTCGGAGATTTTCCTTCAACATGTTCACTAGACCAGAGTCTCCTACGGCGGCGTCGCGACACCTACGGGCAACCACTCCGACATTTTCCCATTAAAATTACAAATTTTTCAAAGCTCAGCCTTTCCATGAAACTTGAAATTTTCGAAACTATTTTTTCCCGATAAATCCTTGAGGAAAAGTCTCAAAATCATTTTTGGTTAAATCTCGGCTGAGCCAACTTGAAAATTTCCCTTTGACGTGCAAAGTTGCTCTGAGCTTTTAGCGCATTCCTTATCAAATGCGTTAAACTTTTACTCGTCCCTATCACTCTGACCTCATGTTACTTTTCTTTTGAAACCTTGCCAGCTTTTCCCCTGCTTTCTTCGATAAGAACAGCGCAAACAAGCCAAACTACAAACGATGCATTTTTCGATGCCAATGAAATTACTGTACTCCATCTCCTGCTGGGCTTATTCCTGCAAATAGCGGCTCAGAATATTTTAGTTCAGACTTAAATTAATCGACGCTGCAAAAATAGCAAATCTTTTTAAGAATTCGCATATTAAAATTCGATAGAGCTGTGTTCTGGTCATCGAACCACCAAAATTTTTAACAAGAAATCCATTTCGCAATTGCGATTACTTCCTCTTATGTCGGTATTTCGCACCAACGTTTAGCGTTTTCGCAATATTAAAAACCAAAATACAATAAGTTAAGTGTAAAGATAGGTACGTGCAGCCGCATTTAAGGGGCTACAGTAAACAGTATTACAATTTAAGCTCAAATCACAAGCCTTAGTGCAAACATAAATTTTTTATAGCGAAAAAATTTATGTTTTGGCCTGTCTGGCATTCAAATTAAGGAGTGAATTGCTCAAGGTTCAGTAACCCAATTCTCTTAAAATTTTGCATGCATAGAGGTTCTTATGCGTACATTAATGTTTGAAAATTTTAGCTTCAGCTTTGCAAAGGCAGGCGATATTTTCAACGATCATTGTCGACTCTTTGTCGAAGAAGGAGTGAGCGAAATGTGGAGAGCGGTCACAGAGAGGAAAGTCCCAGGTCGTACCGTTACCACCTTTGCGCGGAAAAAAAAAGTCTTGAAATGTCTGCAGTGTGCGCCGTCGCGCGCGCGACAAGAGAAATTCACGGTGCACTGCGACCCCGCACAGTGCAAAAAAATTGTTTTGAAAAGGGCAATCCAAAGCGCCGACTTTGTTTTTATCGCGCGATACCTCGTCGCAACGCCGACTCACGCGCCCGCACAGTGCGAAAACATGTCAAGGCCTTTCCAACTTCTTTAGAAACTCTAAACGTATAAATTTAATGACAAAGCAGTACCTGTTTTTATAATATTTGCCGGGAACAGAGCACATTCCAAGGAACAATTTATACATATAGCAATTACAAGCTAATCTTGTGCTCGGAAAAACAAAATAATACTTTTATTACAATAAAAAAAATAGTTTTTGTCATTTTCAAGGCCAAAAATATCTCTCACTTCTCTAAAAAAATGTAACCTTATTTAAATTTGTAGGGAAATTGCTCAGAGTTCATTCAGACCCCGAAATAGCAGCAATCTTTTTTGCTTTTCGTTGTTTCCTCGCTTAAACACGCACTTCTTCGGCCTCAGAACACTTCCTCGCCTTAGAGGCCGCGAGAAACGATGCTACGGTAGGTGTCTGTGGCATCTAAATCCTCGTATTTCATTTTTTAAGAGAAGCGGATTAAAAATTTCGGAATTTTTGGGTATTATATGAAATCTGGGGTCCAAGTTTGCTGTTGAAAGCATTTTTTAATTATTATTTTGCCGATAGCGAGCTTTTTGGGCAATGACAAATTTTTCATATGAAAATTTCAGCTCCCGCATTCCCACCGCTGATATTTTGTTATCCTTTTTCGAGAGCGAAAAGGAATTATTGCACGCTGAGAAGGGCATTGTAGCGTAACATCACCTCTGTTTTGGAATGTTCTGGTGCAATTTTGGGCGAAATCCGATATTAGTCATAAGTCAAGATTATTTGAAACCAAACAGAGATTAAGTATGTCTGTTTGTGGCCCCTCTGGCATTTCCACGACTGACTCATTCCGCAGACAATATCCCCAAAATATCCCCCGAATAGGGCTATATAAATTTAGATGTATGTCTCATCTCCAGATTCCCGGCGTTCTTCACGTCCGCCACCGCGAGGATTTTCGACCGCCGGGCCCGCGGCCGCTGACTCAGCGGCTTAGGCAGCGGGGCATTCTTCGGCGGGGATTAAACTTTAGTCGAGTATTCAACCCCGAGGCGGGCTATTTTCGGCCGCGGCCCGCTTGTAAAGGGCAGTGTGTTTTCCACATTGGATGCAAATCTGCAGCGGGCGCCTTAAACCGTACAGAAA